ATTCTTTTTCTAACCATATATTTTTAGCAATTGTTTTAAGATCCCCCAATATTTACAACTACATACATATATAATAATATGCATGAAGAGCTATGTAAATTTAACCATTTTGTAAAAAAAATTTAAATAAGTATGTCTTCAGAAAGTTCTTTTAACATTAATACGATAAAATTAAAGGAAAGTAAAAATTTTAATAAAACATTTTGCAAGGAAGCATATAAAAATAACTTGCCTTCCACTTTAATTTTGCAAGTTATTTCATTGTAAATTACGTAGCTTACTCTATTGTAATACTTGTATGAAATAAAAGATTGATTATTATCTAGTTATAGAACATTTACGCTTTATTTTGCTCTTTGTAAAATTTTCATAATTTGGAAAGTTGAATTCTATTTTTTATATTATAAAACCACAGTATTATAACAATGGTTTGTATGCCAAAAAGTGTCTTACTTTAATCCATTACATTTTTGATACTATATATCTAAAAACATAAAAGATATATGTATGTTTATGCATATTTCTCAAAATTCTAACAAATTTGTTGCTCTAATATCTTTACAATCATTAAAGCATAAAAAGTTTTTTATATTAAAAACCTCTCCTTATAATACATTTGTTGTGGTATTATTAAAACAGTTTTCACTTTTTCCTTAAATTATGCATGCACGTTATTGTAATGGGATTTTCTTACACATTAAATCAATGTATATATATGTGTTAAACTTCACCTAAGTAAAAAAAAAATCTAAGATATTTTCAGTGACACGAATTAAATTTTAAAATATATATATTTATAAATAAAACAAGAATAGAATTTTCTTTCATATGAATCCTTAATTATGATAGAAATTACTGAGAAAATATATATATATTCCATTGGGAGTTATATTTAAGACAATTATAAATAATCATTTGTCTTAATTGACATTTCAGTGCAATTTAGCAATGTTCTTAGTAAGGATATATTTAAAAAAAAAAATTTTTTATCTAATATATTATTTATTTTTAAAATTACATCTCTGTGAATTATGTTATTTTATTAAAAAAATAAAAGGATTACCATATATAACATCAATATTATGATTGAATCCTTGGTAATAACCAATATATGAATGAACCACTAAACATTATTTTCCCTCATTAACTGTTATAAGAGAATATATAATTTATAAATGTGTTTCGATATCTTTTTCCTTACGTATATATGAATACATTAACCATTTTTATTATTCAGATTCAATAACATACATCACAAAAAATAGACACATTTAAATCAAGACTCATGTGCATACACTAATTAATTAGAAAAAACTAGGTTGCATACTTTATTATTTTAATATTACAATGTCATTTAAATCACATATAATTTTTTCTTTAACTCATGCCTTGATGTATTTGTATATTTTTATGTTACCTTTTTTATATTTAGTACAAATATGTTAAGTTATTTACCGCAAAATGTTCTGGTTTTTAAGCTGTAAAAAGAGTCTATAAGGGCTTATTTAATGGACATTGAAGAATTCATACTACTAACAGTTTAAAAAATCCTAATTATATCCGTGATAATTTTATTGAAATATGCATAAAATGTTTTCAATTTTTAACCTGCTTAAGTGAAAAGCCCTTGTATTATAGTGTTTATATTTTTCTAGTATTTGCTCTATTGCAGTTTGTTTAGAAAAAATAAATCCATATACAACATATTTTTATAAAAAACTATTATGATATAAAATTAAATTAATAACTACTATTAATTATATTTGTAATATCAGAAAATTACCAAGTAACACACAATTGTGTGGTTATTAAAATTTAGGAATATACCTCTATATTCGTGCAAGCACAAATAAACACAACTATATTTTAATTTATTTTAAAAAAGTAACAGCATAAAATCCAGTAACACATTAATTTCATCATGGAAAAATATAAACAATAAAAAAATTACGGTATAAAGAATAGTTTTATATTTATTTTAAAATATTCATTAATGTTTCTTAAAACGAAATTGCCTTTAATAATTACTGGAGAACAAAAATTTATTGTACCAATAATGCCCACATGTGTAAAAGTTATAATCTTAAAAAATGAATATGAATAAAGTTACCATACTGTTTCATCACTCTTGATATTCATTGTAAAATATAAAATATACTACAAATCACTTTACCCTCGTGTTTTAAATAATCAAAATAATTATTTTATATATATACAAGCAAAAAGTTCTTTTCGCATTGTTACATTATTGTACAATTAAACCCACTATGATGTTATTAAATTTAAGGGACCATATAACAATAAACATATTTACTATATATTTAGTTGTGTATCTCTTTTGTTGAATACAATGTCTTATGTACATTGACTTTAAGTTGTAAATATTTCCATGATAACTTAAAAACATTCCTAGGAATCAAATAAACACTTATTAAAGAATAACAAAAATCAAACGAATTAGAAATGTTATTAACACTTATTTGTATTAAACAATATAAACTGTTCTCTAAAATGATATAAAATATATTTTAAATGATAAATTTCTAATACGTACAATAGTGTGGTTTTACTAATTTTATAATATTAAAATTCTTACACGTCATATTTAGAACTATATGCACAATTCAAGTTATAAAATTTTATTTTTTTTTTTTAGCATGCTTTATGTAACACATTTATGTTTATATCAGTGTAGCAAAATAATCTATTATAAGTGGAACGTATATATATTTTCTTAATAATTTTATAAGGGATAACTGAAAACCGACAATTTAACCTCCTTTGTTCAACATGAAAACTTGCAAATGTTTTTCATGTATAATTCTGTACACTAGTTTTATATTAAAGGTAACATGAATTGTCCTATTGTTTATATAGAATACAAAATTTATATAACATAACAATATCATTTTACGCATATAAAAAAAAAATAATAATAAAATAGTTAATAGTAGTTTAATGATGTTAATGCATTAATTTTCTAGACATATTTTCCGAATGTTCCTTTAATTCAGTAATAAGTTCATGATAAAATATAATTATATCTGTATCTCAGGCAAAAAACATTTGCAATAATTTTTTTTTTTTTTTTTATAAAATGATATTTCTAAAAATAAAATCATAGAATATTACATTCTATATTCTCAAAACTTGTCGAATTATCATATATTATAAATTTAATAACTCTTGAGATAAAATTAAATTATTTATCATAAAAAAAAAGGTTTAAAGAGTAATGAAAGAAACATTACTATTAGTATATTTTATATACAAAATTTGTCTTTTTATTCTTTACGTATTATTCTAATGTGTAATTAAAACATTAAACTTGATTTTTTCTTTTTTTTTAATGCTATTTTTGTTATTATTATTTCAAATAACCCTTATTATCATTTTATTTTCATTGCAATTTTTCTATTAATTATAAAGTTCATAGTCATACATATCATTGCGTTATGCAGCATAAAATAGCGGACACTTTCCATTTTCATTAAATATTTATTATTACTAATCATTTAATTACATAACTTGTAATTTTTTTCGCATCTAAATTATTCATTGACATTATCCCTACATTTATGTAATTACTAAAAGGGCACACTTATTTGTTAGTGCTGAAGCGAGGAACTCTTCAGTTAATTATTCTACAATTCAGAATCATTAAGTATGTTTCATTTACACAAACTATAATTTGCATTAATCATTTAAATATATAATTATTATTTTTCATTTGTGATAAATATGCACGATATTTTGTGAACAGTTTTTTTACATAAATCCTCATTTTGCACTTTAAAATAGTTCATGCTAAAATATATATATTATTTTTTATTGTCCTTGTTAGACAAGCGAATATATTCCTATTTGAACGCATCGATAAATCATATTTTGTACACCATAAAAAGGTGTATTACATATACATAGCTACATCAAGGTATTAATGCTAAATTATGCAAATTCTACAACTTTTATGTATGATAAGTTATCATATTATGATTTTTTATGAATACTTATTCCATATCATATTATTTTTAAAATGTAGAATGCTGCAAAAGAAAAAGCTTAACTCCCATATTCTTACATACAACTAGGATTGGTTTACTCATATTTATTTATAAGAATTATAATGTAAATTATTATCAATCAAGACTAAAAAAAAGTTTTCATCTGATTCAAATAATATGATAAAGTAAAAATGATTATATTATATATTTTAATTAGTTAAATTTTTCATCAATTCATAAATATAAGTGTGAAATATTAGTGCACACATGAATATATTTTAATTTTATCGTGCATCCCATATGAGCATCTAATATTAATGTAAAACAAAAAAAACAAAAGAAAGTAAAATGACAAAAGTGTTTAATAATTGAATTAGATGTTCAAAAAATGTAACACAAAAAAAAGGTGGTAAAAAGACAGAAAAATACATTTAAATTAGTTTATTAGTTCATAAGCAATATTTTTTAAAATACCTAGAAAAATTATGTTCATAACATATTTCCATAAAAAATTACTATACTATATTTTTAAATTAATTACTTCACGTTTTGATAGTTGTACTTTACTCGTTAATTTTGAATGCCGTATAATTTTTATTCTCAAGTATGCACATAATTATAACATAATTTTCATCAAAAATCAAACATTATTATGGGTTCATTAAAATTTAACTAATATATATGTTCTTCAAGCACAATAATAGTGTAAATTCTATTTATTTAAAAAAATACATATAATGTGTATCACATTTTGAGATTTAATTATTTATACGCCACCTTATATTTGTCTATTATATTAGAATTAAATAAAAATTAAAATGATTTCCTTTCTGTTAATTTTAGTTGTATTTATTATATTTTTTTTATTTCATCGTAATTCCTGTTTTCTATTTTTTATTTATAAGCATTTCCCCAAAAAACTCATTCTAGTTTTATTACCAAATATTTTTTTAAGCATATTACTTTATTGTGCATTTTTATGTAACTATAATAATATCACCTAGGGTTATAAACAAAGTATAATCTTCTCATTTGTGAATCTTCAAATTCGGAGTCAAAATCATGTTCTAATGATTCTTCATTAAGATTCTCATGATAATAATTATTAAATCTTTTTTTCTTTATTCTCCTTTTATTTGGCCTCGATTCAAATAGCGTAGACTAAGAAAAAAAAAAAATAGGAAACATCGTATAATTATTTCGTTGTTACAAATTTCTTTGGAATAAATTATTATTATCGAGTAAATTTATTAATATTTAATATTTTTACTAACCTTATAAAAAAAGTAAAGGAATATAATTGTTCCCATTATTGATGTTCCTATGACAATTTGCTGATAATTAATTGGCTTTAATGTGTCTGATATTGGTGGAATAGTATCAGCAGTATCGATCGTTCCATGGAGTGGTGTGTTATATGTGATCTCTGGAAATAGGTTCTCATCTTCACTTCTCTTGGGAGGCATGATATCGCTTTGATGGGGACTTCCGGTTTCATTATGTACTTCAGATTTTGCACCTATTCCGACATCAGTTGTATTTTCATTTAATTGACTTATAGTTTCCCTTAATTTAGATAATAAATTTGAAGGTCTATAATGTTCTTCACATTTAAAATAATGTATGCAATCCTGATACAAGTAACCTAATCCACAGCAGTAATCTTGGTCTTCATTATATAAGTTTTCAATATAATTTATATAATTTATATAATTTTCGCATTTATTTTTATCGGACATGTTTGTTATAATATAGTTATAATTTTTAAAATAATCATGCAAATCTTTTTCTTCCATTGCTTCCTTCAAGTTATATGTTTGTATACAAGTACAAGGTATTTGCCTGAAATCGGTTCTATTAATCATTTCTACAACAGCATAAAGTTTCTTCACAACATTTTGATTATATATTTCCCCTTGCGTATTGATTTTTTTCCACAAATGTTCAAAAAACCAGTTCTGGAAATAATAACAATTGTCTGTGCGCTCGCTTCCTACACTTTTTGATAATGCTCTTAAATTTGTTGCTATCCTTTTACAGTGTGTCTTAACTTCCTCATTGTCGGTGGCCAAGTCATTACAAAAACTCTCATCTTCGTTTCCAACTAACACATTATCCAACTCATGATACTTTATGTATGAAGGTAATTCTGGTAATAATTTTTCCTGTTAATTACATGAAAAGTGTAAAATATGCATATAATTGAACGTTATCATTAAATAAATGCTCTTTCTTTTTTTTTAAACAAATGTAGAATGTCTAATTAATCATATATTTCTAATTTGTTTACAAAAATTACAAACATACCCAATTATTCATTTCTAATTGAACCCTTGCTTAGGATAAAATGTGTTACCTGCATTGAATAATTTTTTGTAATTTCATATCATATATATTCTCAAGTAGTAATACACAACCATTTATGAACATTACTCTGAATTTCTTCTAATTGATATTAAAATATAGGTAGTCATTTGTAATCAATTTATTTTTTCGTTTTTATCAAATTGCTATGGAATAATTTTACAACGTCAAATAAATATATCCAATAACATATTAAGATACACTATAAAAGAGCAATATAGTAATTAATTTAAAATGCCACATTTTATATAAAACTATTATTTCTTAAAATTTGAATATATTCAGTTAATACACTATTTTATGAGTAACATGTAAGGAAGAAAACAATTTTTAATTTACATATTTTTTTTAAACTTTCCTTTCCTTTGACATATTTATTTAGATACTTATCATTTTAAATGTTATCTATACGTGAAATCCATTATTAATAAAATAATTGGGGTACATATATTTTAAACATTCTTTTTCTAAATGTCAGTATTTTAGTTATTCCTCTTAATTTTTTTTTTTTTTCCTTGAATCTATTGTCCACTTATTTATACATCTTAAGCTCCTCTTTCGTTTTGGTGCCTATGAAATCGTATAAATTTCCTAAAAAGTGTTATATAATTTATTTTAAAACACATCTCTCTAAAAACATTATTTATTATTAAGGCTGATAAAATCTTAATTACATTTTTTGTAATATAATTTTTTTTAACTACTAGCTAAATTTTCACAGTAATAACATTTTGTGGATGCCAGAGAAGCCATTTAAGAAAAAAAAAAAAACTACAATGTTTTTAATTTATTATTTATAACACATCAAGAGAATATTTACAGAAAAGCTATAATTTTATGCGTTAAAATTACTTCTTTTTTTCTAATATTGAACATATTTTCCTGCCGTTTAATGAAATTCCCATTCAATTATAAGTTATTGATCTTATTTTATATCTCCTTAAACTATAAGTAGTAACATATATGTTTTATATTTTTATAGCATTCGTTAACTTTCAGTAATTAAATAATTGTATGAATTATTTATTTAATTAAGAAACATATATATTCTTGGTGTGTTTGCTTTTTTATTCAATTCAAAATCTCATTATGAACAAAATAATTGTAATTAGAATTGGAAACCATATCACTGAGTGTGACGTTACACACAATTAGGAAAGGATTTCAGGTTTACTGAAAGTCCCTTATAGATATAACACAAATAAAACATGTGATTATTTTTTAAGCATTACAAGGATATAAATTCAATTACGTCTTATATTAACATTTTAATATTGTAACGTCAATTTAGTTCTTGTTCATTATTTATTCTTTAGCGTTCGATACAACTCTATAATTCTCAAAATGTTTCATCATTAAAAAAAATGGTGCAAAAGTATAAATATAAATACAACAATTTGTGTGATAAAAACGATTAAAAATATCAAATATTTCTAGGTGTAATATTTTCAAAAGAACTGGTAATAAAAAGGAAAAATAGAAAAACATTTAAGTGATTATAGTTAATATTAAATATTTTTAACGTGTCTGATTATTGAAATATGTGTGCATAACCACGTTATAATACTTAGAATGGTCAATATGCCACTTCAGGGTGACAAAACTATGAAACTTATAAGTTTTAATTCAATTGTATTATTTTGTGTAAAGAAAAATTGGATTTTTCCTTTAAAATGAATGCTCTATAGATTGAATAAAATTTATTACTAAATTATTGGTTATGTCCATTCGTGACATGAATAAAAGGTAAAAATGCAATTGCTCTTTAAAAGGAATAATAATGAATTTGATCGCATTATATTTTTTATAGTTCCAATTTGCATGGAAGCCCCCATTTTAAATATTCCATTTTTAAAAACACATTAATGAATAATTAAAATTCATAAATTTCTATGTATTGCTAAGATTTTATTATTTTTTTTTTATTTTTTGCACGCGTTTAATATTCTAATATCATTTACAAAAATATGATATCTCATATTTCAAATTCCTACAATCACATGCATATAATGTTTATCAATTTGTTCATTTCAACAAAAAAATGTATAAAAAAGGTTTACCAACAAACAGTGAATACATCATGGTCGAAGTAATTTTTACTGTTGTTGTTGGGGGGAAAGAAGTTTTTCTTAGTAATTGCTTCAAATTTATTTTTGATATATTAAATAAAGTCAAACATTAAGATATCAAATTAAAAGATATGGTAAAACTCTTTGTCAAGAAATGTCGAGAATTAAAAAAATGTACGCTATTATTAAAAACAACAGTGGATACTTTAAAGGTGAGTTTTCATGCTATTGTCCTATGATCAAAAGCCACATAAATGAAACATTAAGTGTACAGTTATTGCAATAAATCACATGTAATTTTGAACTCTGAAATTGAGAAACTTATTAAAACAGGACTTGAAATATATAAATTCTTTAATAAAATATATGATTCTCAAAATAATTAATGCTACTAACAATAGAAAACAAATATTTTTTGGAATGCAATGTACAAACATGTAAATCCAGACTTGTAAAACTTCCTTATATTTTGAGACCGAAAGAAACTATGGACGATATAGCTGAATAAACAAAAGGAGTAACTACTTCAGCTTCTCTTTAACTGATAACCCTATCAAATAAGTTATTTCTGGTAATTCCTTCAAAATTAAGGCAGATATGCTATAGTTCTATTTGGTATAGTGAAAAAATTGTCTTCTTCGATTGACATAGAAAAAGCAGGTTATTCAACAGCAGAAAATGGAGTACTATATCCATCGTGACCATTTTTAACACATAATTGGTTAAAAATTTAATTTTTGCCACTATCCTTGACAATTATGCTATAGATGTAAGTAGTAATTATGAGAGAGTCCATTTACTCATTATTAACATGTTCAATATAAACTTAATAAAGATAAACATGAGAAGGTTCAAACTAATGAAACTTTTATTATCAAGCTTCTTCACAGAGATATTGTAAATGTTGAATACAATCTTATAATAAAAATATTTAAAAATTAAGTGCATGACACTATAAGTAATTCTCATGTACATTATCCTATTCATAGTAGACGTATTAATGTGGTTTATTATATAATTAGATTTACTGATAAAAGCATACTATTTAAAAAAAAAAAATCAATCCCAAGAACAAATAAAATATTTCAATAGCTAAGATATGTTCGAAAACAAATATTTTATGAAATAATTTTAATTCAAAAAAATACAGTCAAATGTTCAAGCAACATGAAAAATATGTAGAAACAACATGTTAACAAAAACTAGGCGATATAAGAAAATTATATATCCCAAGATGGTGTATAACTCTAAAACAAAAAGGATCGGAAGATTCTATGGAATAAATTCATTAGTGTAATAGGGAAAAACATGAAGAATCCTCCATTAGTACACACACTCTTTTTATAATTAAGAATTATATAACAGATACATAAAATGGTAAAGCTATTTTAACACACATACATATTCAGGGAGATAAAATGCAATTCTCCCTTATACAAAATAATTCTGTAGCACGATAAAGTTGACAAAACTTTAATTAAAATATATTCTACCATTATTTTAATGATTTGGAAAGTTATTTTTCTATGTGCCTTTATTTTATAATTAAAATAAATCTCCCGTGTTAGGAAAATATTTAATATACATATTTATTTATATTTAAAATTTAATTTAATAAAATGGTATGTTCTATTTTATAAAATGAAGCATTTGGTGTAATGTTAAGAATATAAAAAAAAAACAATTAGTAAAGCAGAAAACATAATACAGTAATAAAATTCATATTATAATAAATGTATATCCGGCATATGCTACAATCGGATATTTAAAAATATGAAAATAGGTGAAAAATTAAATTATATCATGAAATAGCAACAACGAAAAATAGAAAAAATTATAAATATTCATATAGAAAAACTTTTCTTCATACTTTATCATGAACTTTTGTGTAAAAAAATTAAAAGAGCAAAAAACCATCAACAATTATACAAAAATGAGCAATGCTCTATTGAGGTCTGTGGATAGTTTTGCAAAAACTAGTAAATATTAAGGAAATTATGATAATTACAATATTTAACGATACTATGTTTGTAATCATAATTGTTACTTATATATTATAGACAGAATATCGTGTGATAAAATTTAGTAAATTTTTGAGTAATATAATGATGGATGTTAATAAAAGTATATGGAAACAATGTTAAATAAAAATATAAAGATAGAACATTTATCAGAAGGCAATTATGCATTTCAGTAAATGATCTATAAGTCTAAGTTTATGAAATAAGAGAAAATCAAAATATCTATAAAATATAGTTGCAAAAAAGAAAGTATAATTAATGAAAATTTTAGATCCATGCACGAATTATGGTGTTCTTGTACTAAATAGGAACATATATTTGTAATATGAAATTGTGGGGAATATATTGTTATATTATAACAGTTAAAGAGTCTCTACAAATTTTTGTAAAACAAAGCATTAACATTTACGTAAAATAACTAGAGAGATTCTGTTTATTAAATTTTATTATATTCTTATTAATAACCTTCGAAAAATCTGAATACAAAAATATAGAAATTATTATTTTTTACATATATAAAAAAATGTTAATATTTTTGATCAAATCTTGATATCTATTTGTTTATTGATTTTTCTTTTAGAAAAAACATGTATTAGGTTTTATTTATGTACTAAGTTCTAATTAATGTGTTACAGATTCATATTGTATATATTATCGTGTAATGAGATAAAAAAAATACGTCTATACGGCATATATAAAATAATTTGTCAATTAGTCTAAAAAAATAATATACATTATTAGTACACATGCTAGTTTAAATTATTTTTCCATTTCTTTTTGTTAATTTTAAGTGTAATGATATTTTCTGATGTTATTATTCAATATAATTCTTATTAAAAATTGCATTATTAAAAAAATGCAAATATTTTTTATTAATTATTAAAAATAATATTATAATGTGCAAAACACATGTTCATAAAAATAATGAGATTATTTAAAGAAAACACATTCAATATACCATATAAGTCTGTCTATTTCCTTATCATTGTAAAAAATGAAAATTACATTTCATTTGTTTAATACTTGATAACAAAAAGTAAGAAATATTATTATATGTCCTATAATAATAATATAATTTTTATATAGGTTATGCAATTTATATCTCACATTAATAGCTTATCTATTAAAGAATAACGTAATTTTAATCACTACAAAACTTTTTTACATATAATATATCAAAAATATACACATAGTATAAATGTTATATCTTATTATAAGTTCCCCATTTCATACCACTTTTTTTTTTTAATTTTTTTTTCTAACTAAATCTCAAAATAAAAACATCATTTAAAACATTAATTCCAAAATACACCATTATTATATTATTGTATTTGAAAATAAATAACATTAGAATTTTTATAAAGTGTTCATTCTCTACTTTTGTTTTTTTATAACAGTATAATTTATTTAATCATTGAAACCATAAAATATTTAACAAAATAAGGAAACTATTTTGCATGTTACATCTAAAAAAGAACATACCTATTATTTTGGTCTTAATCAATATTTGAAAATTAAAAATACAAGTGCAATGCATATTATACAATGTACATTTTTTGTGTAAAAATGTATTTGTTATATCACGCATAATCTTATTTGAATTTGATGAGTTTATATTTTGAAAAATAAAGTTAATTTTTAAAAATTTAACTTTAATTAAAGAGAACATAAAAAAAAAAAAAAAAAAAAAAAAAAGTACTGTTTTTTATGTAGTAAATTGGATTTATTTTAATTTTTTTTCTTTTTCTTTAGTGTATTATGTTCTGTTGTAAGAATGAAACAATATCTTTTATAGATAAAAAAATATGTATAATTAAACAGGTTCATCTATTTTTTCTTACGTCTTACATTTATATATTTTTAATCATATTGATCCATAAATCTTGAAATATCCCTCAGTATTCAATTAAATAGTATTTTTTATGAAAATATAAACATAAAATTTATCTTATAGAACAATGGATTTTTTATGTTTTGTATATTTATTTACAAAGTAAATTATTTATGTCATTTAGTTTCTAAATTTCTAGATATAATATATTCTACGACGTAAAACATTATGCATTTACATTTTTGTATTTCATAATTATATTTCCTTTTCTATTTTAATTTTATTTTCTTTCATAATAAAATTATATATACCATTTAACCTTAAATTAATCCATTTATTCGCATATCATTTGTACCTTTATTTCTATATAACAATATTAGTTTATTTGACAAGCACAAAGATAAATTTGATAACTTTTATGTAGATAAAGGTTCTTGGAAACACGAATGTGATCTGTATTACTCCAAAAATATACATGTTTCTTTTTTTTAATATTAATCCCAAAGTTATTTATAATTTATATGGGTAAAAAGAAGCTAACAAATACTTATTATATAGGTATATATTGTATGTGTACTTTCTATTCAATATATGATTGTCTTATCTAAGACAAATCAATTAAGAATATTAAAAAATAATATCAAACTTCCAATCAATCATATAATACATTTGGCACTTATAGATGGAATAATTGTAGGAAATATGTTACCAATTACTTGATAATAGAACTAAAGGATATAAATAATATTAACGCCAAAGTTAATAATTTTAATTATTATGTTAATTCTACAAATGAAAGGAGGTATAAATCTTCCAAAAAGTGCAATGAAACGTGTATGAATCACGAGAAAACATTTAAATACAACAAATAGAGAAATTTTTATAATGCATTAATAAATATTAGAGCTCCATAAAATGTACAGAAGTTAATTTAAGTTTGTGTTACCTTTACTTTCTAATATTTACTTTCTCCCCATAAAAACAACGAAACTGTTCCTCCTATATCTCTTTTAATTATTCTAATATTAGTAATATTCTCTTTTTTATGCATTGTCTAACAAAAAATTATGTTATTATTTATGTATATATACACTGTAAAATGAATTCTCTAAGTAATTAAAAAAAAAAAATAAAATAAAAAAGCCATATATATTGTTTTAAATAAAACAGGTTAAAAGATAATAAGAATAATTGTTTTAATAAATTACACAAATAAATCCTAATTAATATGAACAACCAAAATAGCTTAAATTAACGTTGTTAAAAAAAAATGAAATACTTATTAAAATTAATATTTCTTATAGTATGCAGCGTTGCCTTTAATACCCGAAAAGTATATATGAAAAAATTATAAAATAAATAATAATAAATTATCTATTATTACAAAAGAAAAAATAGTTTATTACTTTATATGTTTCATATAGCAGGGCTGGTATATTTATTTATTTATTTAATCCAATAAAATAATAAACTATATTTTGATTTATCATTTATCTATTCTCATAATATTAATAAAAATGTATATCGAATATTTTCACAGTAAAACATAAATCCACAATTATAATCCCTTGAATTAATATAATCCTATAAATAGCACTTTTCTTACACTTTTCAGCTATCCTATTTAAAAAAAGTGTGCACACTATGCTATTTTTAATATATTTATTTTTAATTAGAAATAATTTTATAATATATATAGCATGTTATAATTCATGTATAACTTAAATTAATTATCTTTTTAGTCAAAAAACAAAACAAAAATTAACATGTTTAATAATTTTTAAAAAAACATCTTCATTTAAGTAGTTTTTAAAAAAAAACTGATGTTTATTAATTGCATTCATATTAATCAGTACTCAGAACAAAAATTAAATACATTTATATATTCTCATCACCGTAAATACAATTGGACACTTCTATAGAGATAAACTATATTAATTAAACACATATATAGATCTCCTATAATGTGTATACATATATAAGGCATATAGATTTAAAATATTTTTTTTTGCCAAGAATGAAGTACATATTTTACTCACATAATTACGAATATATTAAATTAAATAAATGAGTGTGTAATAAAAATATGTATTTTATTTATTTTTTTTTTTTTATCCAAATACAGGATTAATTGATGAACAAAAGTTAATGCATTAAGTATAAGGATAAAAAAATAAAGTATTACTGTCAGATAAAGAATTGTACAGTTATGTTTTTTTTTTCAAAATATGTTTTTCATTCAAAAAAATATTATATAATTCAAATAATTATAAGAATAATAAATATAAATATAAAAATATTTCTAATTACAATACTATTTTTATGTTTTCCTTATTCTCATTGTATCTTTTAATCTATCATATTTTAAAAATTTTACGATAATATAAAATACCACTAATAAAAATGTAGCAAGTATTATTAGATAGGGTACAGCATATCCATTTTGGGGCGTAGCTTTATAAAATATTGTAGGGCAAAAGATTGTTCCAGCTAATAGAATTACATAACGAAAAAATAAAAGTGTATCATATACTATAAATAAGGCTCTTTTAAAAATGTTATTATAAATTTTTGCTTTTAATTTACGATTGTCTAATTTTTCAAGATGATCGAATATTCTTTTTTCAAAATTATAATCAATTTTTCTTAATCTTTTATATAAAGGTGAACTTCTATTTAAACATGGAAACATAGTATATCTTGGATTTAATCCTTTATGTTCAGTAGTTGTTTCATATAAAACTTCGTTGCAACTGTGTAAACTATTTTTTTCACATTTACTTACTTCTTTATATAATGGTATATCTCCAACTAATTTTTTTATTTCTTTTTTGTCCATATAACCTTCTAAATAATCATTTAACTCTGATTGATCAGATTCGTATAGCTCTTTATTATTTTCCAATAATCGCTCATTCCTTATATGCAATGTTTTATCAAAATTACACTTCTTACCGAAATGTATACCAAATACACACTGAATAAAACAAATATTTACACATGAAGAAATATATGTACTTTTAGGTATAACAAAAATTATAATAAACATACAACTTTATATATATATATATATATATTATTATAATACCTCTTCAATGTTATACTGATGTATCCATATTAGTAGGATAAATGTAATAGTTTTAGTAAAACGAGCAACCTTAATCACTTCCTTCATCATATATATATTTAATACAATATCCAAAAAATAAGTAGATATGTATATCAATATATGATATAAGAAGAATGGATAGAATTAGTTTTTCATAATATATGGATCTATTCTATTCGGTTTTGTTATATTTTATAATAATTTATGTGATATGAACATAGATAAAGTAAAATTTTTATAAATAAAAAATACAATACAATATTAAGATGCATTGAATAAATCTCAAATATGTTAATTTAAATTATCAAAATTTTGTAAATTTTTTTTTATATTTATTTTTATTTTCCTTAATTAACATAATCAAGTAAACATAGAATGAAGATACATTATTTTTTGACACACATAAATAATATAATATAAATATAGCGTATTATGATTTCAAGTTTTTACTCATAATCTAGTGCAAACATAAGGCAAACTAATTTGGGCTTATTATTTTTATTTAATGATATTCATTCCATATATAGTAACATTTTATTTTTACGCACATTTGTAAGTTTAATTATTAATGGGATCAAAATACATTATTTTGAATTCAGAAAAAGGTAGATTTAACATGAATATAATTTCATTCTTATCATATAATTTTTATATATGTCGATAATTTCACGTTGAAAAGGTTTTAACGATTTAATCATAATGTATGTTTTATTATTCAATTTTAATTTAATTTTAAAGCTTAACACATTTGTTCACATAACATTTGTTCTCGAATTTTAAAAAAATTGATAAAGATCTATGTATAAAATAAACTATAGTATAAATTATAAAAAAATAACAATACATTTAATATGAACCATCATTTTTAGGTGTTATAATCTATAACTCCTAAGGGTAATATTTTTACTTTTAGATCTCTTTTGGTTCAGGTTTCACGACCTACTGTTTAGAGTCCACTTGTTATTTCTATTGTGTAATGTATTTGTGTTATAGGTATTATGTTTTGAGTTTTTGCTCGAAGTTCATATATTGGTATTTTCGTTACATTTATTTTGTGTGTACCTTTTTATTTTATTTTTTTTTTTAAGGATTAGTTATTATTAACCTTGTTTGTCTATGTAAAATGTGATAGATTATTATTAATAATAATTATCTTAATTTACATCAATTATATCTAACTAGGTTGCATTATATGCGAGAATTATTTAATATTTTATAACATTTAATTTCATTTTATGTTTTGTGGTAATTTTATATTACGTATGTTTATTTCACTATATATATAACTTATGTGTATATATTTTTTAAGAGTTTTTTTTTTTTTTTGAAGGATATAAGCTTATTTCAAATACATTTATAAAACGACATTTCTAAAGATATATAAATGTGTTGTACAAAATATTTTTATCTTTTATTTAATATGCTTTAACATTTGCCACATTTCTGCTTGGCCATTATGTTAATTTCAAATGTCGTAAATGTTTAACTAAGTAATAACATCATGTTTTTAAAATATTATTATTAATGAAAAATAAATTTATATCTTTTTCTTTTATTGTAGATTATTAAAGAATAAAATTACTTGTACAATATTTGATATATTTGTTTTCTCTTCTGTGATTGTAATTTCATTTAATGTTATATTTTCTTATTACTACTGATCAATGATGTGAAGTGCAAAATAAAATAAAAACTTACAAAATTTATTCTATTATGTAAATAAAAATGAATAAATATATGAATAGTGTTCCTGCTATTTGCATATTTAATATGCCAAATAATGTTTTATAATGATAGTGTCTTTTTTTATTTGATTTAAAGTGTGTAATAAAATCTAAAGAGAATAAATTATGTATATGTCAAAATAAATACATCACATGACACATCAAAAGAATTATGTGCGAAGTGTGTTTACGTTATATAAAAAATTGTATTTTTAAAAGAATAATTCACTATTATATTTCAAAAAGTATAAAAAATAATTAATAAATTAAGCCCGTAAAAAATATGACTTCACATTTGTGTAATTTTTATTCCAATTAATAGTTATAATGTTTTCATAAAATAAAATGTTTCAAGACACAAGTGTTATTCAATTTATTCTAACAAATTTTACACTTTGAAGTCTTAGTTCACTTAGAAATTATTAAATATTGAGTTTATAATATTTGTAACTTATTAGGACATTATTATTTTCTTTTAATTACAATTTTTTCGATTATGATTTTATTAAAATTAGTCTACAAAATAATTTTAATTCATTCGTTATGAAGTAAACTAAGTGTTAGTTTAAAATTAAAAATATAAATATTGGAACCCTTTTTTTCGTATGTTAAATAACTACAAAAACAAAACATATTAGACTTATACATATATCATGTAATTTGATATAATATTCCAAAAACGAGCCCTCAAAAAATATGTATTAAACGAATAACCAAATTTGAAATATACGCATAATGAGAATCATAAATACAATTATTATGTAATATTATATCTTACAATAAAATAAAGTGTAGATCTATATATTTTCTACATACATAATAATCAAACGAATTCATTAAGTCGTGTTAATCAGATATGTTTAATAAAACATATAGTATTTGAAAGACACAAAATGTGACCATAAACCAAATAATAGTGACACACGTTGGACAAAAGAAAACAATCAACTGAGAGTATATTTCAATGAAATATAAAGAGAATCAAATAACATTAACAATGAACGAGTTGTAAGAATGTTTCAGGATATATTAAATAAAAAAGTGTTTACAAACTACAAGTTTCAAATGACAGTATAATTCAATACAAGAAATGAATATGTTAATCCAAGTGGATATCATTATTACATCATATTTGAAGTGTCTACTATGTATTTCTTATTTAATTTTATTTTTTCTTTTTTACAGCATATTTATTTATGTATTTGTTGTTGCTTCAAATGATATCATATCCTTTACCTTTAAATGCATTACATAAGACACATGTTCCATCTAAGAAAAATCGTTTAAAAACAATTCATACCATTGTTAGTTATAACTGTTCTAAACATACCTCAAATAAATATTGTATATTAATGAATGAATTCTACAATTCATCTATTGAATCATAGCTCTACCACCCATTTTCTCTTTTTTGTTTTTTTTTTAAATACATGCTCAAATCATCTGGGGAATTGTAATACCAACATTATCTAAATCCAAGAGAACTTTACATGGTAAATATATGTATTTATCAAATATGATATTAAAATTATAACACATAATTTTATATCATATAAAACAGAATTGTTAATTAGGACATATATATGATTCTTTTTTTTTTTTAAAAAAGAAAAACTGCCCCTTCTTAATAGCATTCATGAATAATTCACATATATATATATATATATATATCAAAAGGTTAAAGAAGGTGCATAAATAGTTATACCTTTTTCAGTTATATGTTTTTTCTTTAAAGTATATATTTTATTAAAGTATGTATTTTATTTTCCTTTTATATAATGTTCTTAAAGATTTAAACAAGTTCTTATATACAGCGGAAAAAAAATATATAATAAAAATCTTTAATATAGATGTGATTAATGCATGTGTATTTTGTTTTTAAATTGCATCATTTGGGAAAGGAAGTAATGGATACATAAAGGGGATGTCATAATCTAAAATGAGCAAAAACTTCCTTATAACCATTAGAATTCTTAGATATTCAAAAGGCACATTTTATTTCATCATCCCGTTTATCATACATATTTCTCTTAAAAAAAGAGTAACATGAAATGTCCCATGTATTCCTTTTTTATAAATTAAATTGATTTCAAGAATCCATGTACATTCCCTTCATAAGCTCTATGTATAAAATCGTTCTTATTTCTATATTTCTTTTGCATTAGTATATCTCTAATTGGGAATTTTTATTCATATCATAATTTTAGTTTATTTTTATACTTCAAACTTAATACAAAAATATTCTCGCGCAGATTATCTATATATGTCTTTCTTTGAAGTTCTAAATGTTCCATTTCAAATTTCATACGTGCAATAAAAAATTGACAAAATAAATTAAATTTTTATTATATATTTTTATATTATAATAATTTCTCTTAGTATTCCTATTCTTTATATATTCATTTCATGCCCATATCTAAATTTTCTAAAGTAAATGATATAAAATTGTAATATAATTATTCATCGTGGACTGCATTGTGTTGTTTCTCGTTCCTGAATTTCTCCTCTAGTTCATGTACAACTTTGTCATAATTTTTGTCTCTGTTTTGGAAATAATTCTTTTTTTTTGTATCAACATTAGTACTTGAATGATTAGCATCTGCTGATCCTCTTAATGTAGATTCACCTAGGCTTCTTGAAAATCTATTGCGTAATTGTAATCCATTAATTTCCTTACCATTTTTTGTTATGAGGGTATTCTATGACAAACGTTTATAATTGTATTATTTTTTTTAAATATTTTCGGACAAATTTTTATATTATTAAAAAAAGATAAGTATACAACGTAAAACAAATACATAAATAGATAAAATGATAGATAAACAGGCATATACAAATATTTAACATATTTTTAAAATTTCATTTTTTACTATACCTGCATAAAGAAACATAACATGGCAACAACAAACAAAAGAACAATCTTAGATCTTGAGGACTTTGGGAAGTTTCTACCTTTGATTTTATTTCCATTTTCTAATGAAGCTGTAAAGCTATCCGTAGAATTGTTATTGTTTCTGATTAAGGAACTCCTTCGTGAATCATCATGGAGGCATATATGATTAAATAATCCTAAATCCATCATTTTGTATATTATTTTATTATTAAACTTGGAGATTTTAAATACTATATTTTTACATATAATTTAATTTAAAGAATATAAACGTTTTGTGAATAGGCCAAAGTGTTCGTAAAAAAATCGAAATAAAAATAAAATAAAAAAAATAAGTAATAATAATTATATTACATAATTTTGAATTAAAAAGAAAAATAAATTAATAATTATCACATTAAAAAATTTTATATTAAAAAAAAAAAAACATAATAAATTAATTAATATTTATTATTTCTTAAACTTTAAATCATAAAAAGTAGCAATGTTATACTTATTTCAGTTGTTATATATATCAGCATACAACTAAGTAAATAGCTATAATCGAGTGCATAAAACCTAGTTTCACTTGAATTATTTTTTTTTTTTTTTTTTTTTTTTTTTGTGTCTCGATTTTTTTTTCTAGCTCATTCTTTTCTATTAAATTGAATAAAATGAACAAAAGAAATCATTTATTGTTTCTTCTAAAATATAGCAATTAACACTAATTTAGAAAGAAAAAAAAAAAAAAAAGTTTCTTTAAAAGTTAACCACACTAATTCAGTGTTGTTTCGCTATTTGTGTTTTCATGTTACCGTTTTTGTTATATTTATTTTAAAAATATAGGTTTTGTACAACTCTTTCACGAAATCGATCTAGCTATGTTTTGTTCTCTAAAATTTAAATGTCATCACAAAAGAAACTTCTATATAATTATATATTTTTTCACTAAAAAGAAAAAAAAAAATTTATTACATGCTAAAGAAACGGGAGTTTCTAATATGAACTCAAAACAAATATTCGTGAACACATTTCTAAAATGTTCTTTATAAAAATATTTTAGTAAAACAAGATAATCTACACAATTCAGAGCTGTTCTGTTATGTTTTTAATGTTTTATAATTTTTTATGTTAATTTATTAGCCATTATTTATAGTAAATGAAATTTTATTATTTTTATGTTTACCTCATTTAATGTTAAAAAATAAAAAAGAGCTTGAAAAATGTTTTACTTGTCTGAGAATATACATTGCAAAATGATGTATAATAAAATTGAGGACGCAATTATTTAAAAAATATATATATATTTAATGTTATTTTAAATAAAACATCCATGTAAAGCTTATTGAGGATGCGTGTTTATGTATAATATTAAAAATAGTGATGAATTCAGGATGAAAGTATGCATAAAAGCCTACATAAACAAGAATAATAATCTCACTTTTTATGTTGTATATTGTACTATATTACATAGTATTTGACTAAATAAGAAGTTATAAATTTTTGCACTGGAAAAATTTCGCCCATGATAAAAACACAAGCAAACTTGCTTTAATTTCTATTGTTAAGTTCGCGAATTACTCTATATATCTGCATTGACATGTATTTTATATCTGTCAACATAAGTGTGAAAACTTAGGCATACATAATAGTACGATATCAACTATAAATCAAATGAGTGCAAATAATTTATCCCAGTATTATGTAAATTCCATTTATGTATATCTACACATTACAACAGGTTGCATTGGCCTTTTATTCGATTTTTATTTCTTCTTTTGAAGGTTAAGAATACAAAATCCAATTAAATTTTATACAAATAGTGTGTATACATATTGTAATATCTGTATTCATAAATGTTTTAGTTTTTTCTCTTTACCAAATGAGTAAAAATAATACATAAAAAAAATTTGATAGTGCTTAAGCAACATGAAAACTATTATACGCATTCCTGTCATAATAGTTAATGTAAGTCATACAAATAATTGAGTGTAGAACACATAAAAGTAACTTTTTATAACATAACGCAAAAAATAAAAAATTGAAAAAACAAATGAAAAAATAGGTAATTAAATAAGCCAATAAATTCTTAAATGTACGTGCATTCTGTACACATATGTACACATTTTTATATTTGACATTTTCAACTATGTGGATATCTTGAAAAAACAAAAGATCAGATGTCACATATTTTCTTATAATTTAATTTTACATTTTATTCAAAAATTAAACAAAAAATTATTAACAGAAGAAAAGCCATGTGAGCATTTGCGTTAGAAAAAAAAAAAAAAAAAAAAATACGTGTTTTTCACAATTTTTTTTTTTTTCATTTAATGATGACATCATAGAATGTTGTAAAAATGCTTCTTTCAATTAATTTTATTAAGGGTAACTAATTTTTATAATTTCACAAAAACATGCTATTCGGAAGATACTACCTTATAAATGAATCTTCATCATATCATTGTGTTTAATTTTTAACATTACAGAATTGGTAATTTCATAGATTTTCCTTAGCCCCAGAGAATAAAAAACAAAAGTAAAGAATATCGATTGGACTTAAAGTTTAATTTTGTATACTCTAACAAGTTTATTCAAAATTTCGTTGGAATAATAACAAAAAATCCTTGTTTAAACTATTACATTAATTTTTTGATATTTTGTTCTATTAAATATGCATCCAAAACAGGATTAACATAAGATCACTTTTTACTTGTAAGCAATTTCCATGATAATCTTTTGATTTATAATAATCTGGATATTTTCCGCCCATGTAATGCATTTTTCCCCAATAATTATTTTACATAAAAAAATCAAATGAGTTTTATCTCTTTTCCTTAATTATCTCGCCAACGTAGAAATAGAACATCACCTCTGTTCCATTCATTCAATTGAATTTATTTTCTTCTCCGCTACCTTGTGAATCTTCACTTAATTTACATAAAGTCTTTCTCATTTTTTAAAAATGCAAGAACAAAAAAATATATGCAGAAATATTCATATCAATAAGCTTCATATATAGTACTATAAAGGTTCAATTTTTTTATAAAATTCATATTTTGTTACCTTTCTTGAAAAATTACATTTTCCTACAGTTTCATATAAATTTAAAAAAATATAATTTTAGTACTTCATAATTGTTTACTTAATGGATTTTTTATACAATTATTCCTTTTTCTGCAGATTGTAAAATATATTGTTTTCCTGTGTCTTATTTACATACCAATATTCTTCTTTATTAATTTTTTCTTACAATTAAATGTTCCATTATTCTGATCTTTAGAAGATTTTTATTTGTGGGTAATTCCATAAATGCTACTACATTATTTGTATTTTCTTCTCAAGGAGCAATATTTTCTTACTATTCATCACTTTTCCATATAACTTTTACTTTTATTCATAGTTTCCTTTCCTTGCGATTCAAAAACACTTACCATTAATTTTGCTCACTAGTTCTTTTTTTCATTTTGAAAAATTGTGAAAATAAATTTCCTTTATTTGTGTTTTTTATGGATGTAATATAATTTTGCCAGTTTTGGATGCTTTCATCATTTTCTTCATCGTACCATACAGGTTCATCTTTATAAAATATTTTTTCGGCTGATATGGGATCTGCAAAGTGTACTTTTCGTTTCTCTCGGTTTTTATTTTTTCCCTTTTTCAAACAGCTTCGCATTTTTTTCACATCACCATTGACTGTTATAGTATCATCATCTTTGACTGTTTTAGCGTCACCATTAACTGTTATAGCACCACCATTGACTGTTATAGAATCATCTTTGACTGTTATAGAATCATCTTTGACCGTTATAGAATCATCTTTGACTGTTTTAGCGGCATCATTGACTGTTATAGAATCATCTTTGACTGTTTTAGCGACACCATTGACTGTCTTAGAAACACATTTGACTGGTTTAGAAACACCTTTGACCGGTTTAGAAACGCCTTTGACTGGTTTAGAAACACCTTTGATTGGTTTAGAAACACCTTTGACTGGTTTAGCGTCACTTTTGGCTGCTCTAGTGTCACTATTGACTGTAGTAGCATTACCAGTGGATGTTTTAGCGTCACTATTGGTTGTCGTAGCATTACCATTGACTGTTGCAGCATCACCATTGACTGTTACTTCATCACCATTGGCTGTTGTAGCACCTCTATTGTTTGTCTTGTTCTCTACTAATAGAATACACGATGCCCTTTTTAAGGAAGGTTTTCTAACTACTTTCTTTTTAACACTATTAATTTGAGTTTTATCATTAGCTGGACATTTTTTTTTTTCGGCTAATTTTCTTTGATATGTACAGCCAAATTTTATCTCTTCACATATATTTCTGTCATCAGTAATATATTTATCCTACAGAAATAATTAAAAAAACAGAAACCACGTTCGTTAAATATATAATTCATCAGAAATAACAATTTTAATAAAAAATTTAAATTAAAAAGAATTGAAAAAAAAAAAAAAAAAAAAAATGTATATATGATTGAGAATTTGTTTATTTCCCATTTCTCATACTTGTGAGAACAGATGTAGCAGTATACAAATGGAAAAAAAGAAAAATCTAAAAGTTATAACATTTTTGAAGCACATTTTCATACTAATTTTTCTTTGTTCTTTTAATAAATGAGTAAAATGATGTTTGGTATTCCTGCCTTTATTATTTTTGGTTCTTATTTCTGCTGCAATGAATAAAGTATTGTCCGGCAGTTCATTGTTCATTTCAAGCATTTTATAAATTATCTATCAACTATTTTTATGAAATTTATAAAAAATTATGTATTCATTTTATTATTCTTAGATAAAAATGATGCTAAAAAGAATTATTCTTTTTATGTCATTTAAATTTTTCTAGAAAAATATTTTGAAAAACATATAGTGGGTCTATATTTTGTAATATACATAAATTTATATGAATAAAGAGAACAACAGATTATAACTCGCGAACCTGAATCAAATGATCCAAAAATATTATCTTCTAACTTAATTTCCTGTTTTTCCTATGCAGACTTATATATAAAGGTCTCTCTACTTATATGCCATTCCTGCAGAATCAAAATGTTCTGTCATGTTTTTTGTAAACATTAAAATTTTATGCAATATCTTGCTTTAATCGAGAAATTTATTATTTTAATTTAATTATATATATTATATATAACACAACATCGCATACATAATACAGAATTAACTACATTATTATTATTATTTTAGCATGAAAAATTACAAGTGTTTATAAATAGGGGGTTAAAAATAAATTTGTTTATATGAAGAAATAGTAATTTAATACAACGTAATACATATTAAATTAATAATTCAATGTCTTTTCATTTCAGTATTATTTTTTTTCCATTCTTAAATTTTTATCGAAATTTATATGTATTTACCTCATCATTTAATTATAAAAAATGTACTAAAATTTTTTTTTTCTTTCTTTTTTTTTTCCTCCTTTTTACCATTTACTTTTGGTCTGCACTATTTGCATTTACCATTCACCATTTACCTTTACCTTTTTTTTTTATTTTTTCCTTAATTTGCTTATTTCGACAGGTTTATATGTATTATAAATTTTGTTTTATCCTCTTAATGGAAATGTTTTCTGCAATCCTAGAAGTAAAAAGGTCATGCAACATATACGTAGGGCAATAAATGTAACAAAACTGCATCACTAATTTTTTTCGTGTCTTAAAGTCTTTTGCTTACTTTGTATTTCTTCTATACATACGTGTTTGTTTTGTTTTTTCTTGCATATAAAATTTAAAGAAAATGAAAAATATAAAAAATTTGATTCTTGCCTATTTTTTAACAAAAATGTAATTATTTATTCCTGCTTTTATATTTTTAGAAATACTATTATGAGCGCACATTAAAAAAAAATGTTTCCTTCCTTAGGAGGAGTTCTTGGGGTGGTTTTCTATACTTTCAAAGTTATTTTTATTTTAATTGTGGTAAGTACCAATGGTTCTAAGTATTACATTTATTTTTTTAATGTTACTATACTCTGTAGTGCTTTTAATTGATCTTAAATGATGGAACTAATTGAAAAAAAAAAAAAAAATAATAATAATAAATAAATGTAAAATGAATAATGCGAAAACGAACAAATTGAATGATACCTCACCAAATAGTAATCAAACTTTATACTAACTATATTGCGTTTGTATCTAAATCCTAGGCAAATCATATTGCATGCAAAAAAACTCATCATAAAATTTTTTTCTCTACATTTTTCTGTAATTTTTGTCTTGATCTTTTATAGGACTATTTTGACTACCTCCTCTATGTATGTTCTTATAAAACAAAATTTTGCGTTTATATTATTCATTCTACTATTGTTAGGTTTTTTCTTTTTTTTCAAACAAATAAATTTTACAATTGTAGAAATTCATCTATTTCTAGTTACCGATATGTATATACATATAGGTATTACATGCATGTGCGAGCACATGCTTCCACAAGGGAACAAGCAAAATTGTGTTTATCTTTTACATAAAATACTAAGCATTGATGGGGTAAATAAATCTAATACCACCTTCGTTATTTATGTTTTATAGTGATCATATAATATATGCAAAATTCTTGTCTACAATATTTAAAATAAAAAGAACAGTAAAAGATATTCGCAAAATGAATTAAGGAAAACTTTACACGGATTTACATGTCCATGATATCATATATTAAGATGCATATGCATGCACACAAAATTAAGCACAATATTAAATGATATCTTTTTATATTTTAAATGTTTTATGCATTTATCTTTTTTCATAAATAACTAAGAATGTAAAACTAAATTGTTCTATATATCTAAATAATTTATTTTTAAAATAAATTGTCAAAAATGTGAAAAAATGAATTTATATTAAAGAAAAAAAAAAAAAAAAAAATGTACATGAATGTTATAATTCAAGATGTAATTTATTTACGTAATATACCCATTTTATGGCAACTTATACAATATTTATTTGCGGCTTCTTTTCGAAAGGATGTTCTAATGTAGTCTTATAATGCCTCATCATTCATCCTTAGATATTTCTATTAGTCTTTTTTTATTAGACAACAATGAATTAAATAAATTCCAGATAAACCTTACACCAAATATAAATCAAAGTGATTTCTAACTTTTCTCGAACACTTTTGTGCACCTTCTAACAAATTATAGCATATATTAAGCAAAGTAAAACATGTGGACATATAATTTTTTTTCTTTCATAAAAAGAATAAATATTATAAAAGGGTAAAAAAAAAAAAAAAAAAAACTTGCGTCCTTACTCTACAAAAATAAAAAATAATCAACATTATGCATCTATTATTGTACAGATATAGAAGAGAAAATAAAAACCTAACAGCTCTAAGCGCACAAAGCGAGAAAGAAAAAAATCTTATACACTTTTGATTTTCTTCATAGTGAAAAAAGAAAAATGATTATTATTTTTTTTTTTTTTCTTGTTTGCTTTTTTCCTGTTTGTCTTTCTTCGCGTTCGTTTTTTTTTTTTTTTTTTGTTGTTTTTCATAATTCTTATCCACTCTCATACAAAATTATAGTGTACTTGTTTGTATGTGCACAATTATATAACGCAAATAAGTAGTAGACCTTTTAAATCCAAAATTTCAAATACGAGCTTAAAATGTCATAACAAAAAAAAAAATGTATATAATCTTTTAATTTTTGCCCATTGTATAAGAAGTATAAGTCCTTGATGTCCCCTTCTTTCATCTATTACTTTTTCATAAAATAGTATTTAATAATGGCATTCATAATATAAATTTGTTCAATAAAAATTTATATTTTACATTCCGTACAAATGTAAATCTATATGTACATATTGTATGGATCATGCGCTTCTATATATTCATGTGTGATGAAACTTAAAATTCATTTTATAAAATACATCTACTTCGCAGGGTTAAAACATATTCATTTTAATAGGTCGACAAAATACAGAGACAATAAAGTCATATAGGGTCTCTATTGTACGCATACAAACATGGTGCACATATATATACACACATATATGCATGAGCAATGGATTGTGTTTTATACCCATGAATTAGGTGTACATTTTTATAAAACAGAATATATTAAACAAACAAATAAATATAAACGTTAAAAAATTTTTGAAAATCATTGTATTAATTTCATATTTCTTCTTGTAACACGGTTAACACATATTTTGTAAACATAAAAAACTTATTGAAAGGAACATAAAATATTTCGGTTCGGTTTCTTCATGTAAGTTCACAAAAATGTTCAAAAAAAAAGGTGCATAAAAACATTATTAATGCTATCAAAGAATGCAGAAAAATATTTTTTTTTTTTTTATTTATTCTCAATATGAAAAACAAAAACATTGATATATTAAGGAATATTAAAAATCAAGTAATTTTTACAATTTATTAATTTTTCATTTTCTGTAAGATATCATATGCATCTTTTACTAAGGATAACGTGTATAATAATAAGTAGGTTCTTTGGGTTCCAATGAACATCATCAAAAGTGGGGGGACGGCAGGTAAAAGAAATGGGACTACATTAAATGCATCACTTATCATGGTTTTTATAACGGATTTTTTTTCTATCTCTTCTTCTTCATCACATTCACCTAACTTACAACATGCATTATTACCCATCATATTTTGTGTTTCATTTAAAAATCTTAAGAATTGCATCATTTGTTCAGGGCTTTCAAATGGTAATCTTCCACCTGCGTTTGAGCCTCCCTGATTTGCAGGTCTTCTCTGCATTGCTTGTGGTGGTGGTGGTAAAAATCTTAATAATTGCATAAGTTCTTGATCAGACAATTTGGGGAGGTGATGATTGTGTTGATGGCTTGGTCCTGGAACATGTGTAGGCCTATTATTAGACATTGTTTTAAATCTTTCTTCCATCTTTTTCTTATACATTTCCTCAGCCAATTTTTTATTCTTTTTTTTCTTATCATCTTCATCATCTACTTCTTGAACCCGTGGAGCACTGCTAGTTTCTTCTTCTAATATTGTTTCTTTGACGTCTTTTGCTTTTCTTAATGATTCTCCCAAGTTTCTGTTGGTTCTTAAATCAAAAGATACACCGTATGTGTTTATCCCTTCACTATCAAATGAATTTCCGAAGGTATTATTCTATAAAAAAAATTGAGCATTTTTGTGTAATATTAATTCGTTAGCATTTATAAAATCATAAATACATTTTTGTAATTATAAAATGTACATGCACAACTCACGATAAAAAAAAAAATAAAAAATGCTCTCGTTAATATATGCCCATATAAATGTATACGCCATATGTTGTAGGGCACAAGAACAATCCATAAAAAACTATTAAGTGTCCAACTTCATTCTTATACATTTTCTTTTTTATTTTCTTCTTAGCATACCTCAGTGAAGCATTGCAACGCCAAAAATAAGATACCAAAGATAGAAAGTTTGAGATAAAATGGGAACTTATTGTTATTATTAGTTGTTCTTTGACTTTCCCAAGTACCCATACTGCCTGAATCAGAATCTTTCGTAGTTACAGCACATTCATGGTTTCTTCCTTCATTTCTGGAGACGTTTGTAATACGATTAAAACTTGCATTGACCATTTTCACTTCAGTATAATATATTTTATATATATAAAAAACAAGTAGAAACAAAAATTATTAATATTATATTAAGTATTATTTTTATTATATAATATATAAATTATGCAATATAAAATAGATTAATCGTATCAAAAAAAAAAAAATAAATAAATAAAAAAAAAAAATTATTCCTATTCTATTAAATCAGGTTAATTACTAAAGTATTTTTATATATTATGTTCCTTTTTACTTATCTATAAATTGAATAAATCAATTTTACTATAATGTAAAATATTTTATAAAAATCAAATTTTAATTAATAAAAAAAATAATAATAATAAAGATATTTAATTTAACTGTTACTTTGCTTAATCATTTTCTCTAATATGAATAAAAAAAAATTATTTTTTTTTTTAAGACGGAAACAATACTAAACTGTAAACTATAATTTATAATTTCTCCGTAGCATTAAAAAAAAAACAAAAAATAATCGGATTTATATTTAAAAAACATGTAATATATATAATGAAGCATTTTTTTCAAGGTAGAATAACATTTTATAATCAAATTTTTTTTTTTTTCTCTGTAGCATTAAATAATTACATGTATTTATCAAGAAAGTAGCGTTAGAAGAATATCGTTTCTTTTTTAAAAATAAAAATATATAGGGAGTGCTTGATAATCAATTAATTGTTCTTGTAGATATTAATAAAAAATAATTATTAATTACATGGCGTTAAATTATTGTCTGTCATTTTATTTTTTCATTTATTTCTTTTTTTAACTTTTACTCTAATTAAAAAAAATCCAGAGAAAAAATACCGAAGAGTGCATAAATTAGAAATATATTTTTTTCATTATCATGTAATAAAATTAAATGCAACTTGTAGATTCTATATGTAACTATATTATCTCATTATATATAAAAAAAAAAAAAAAAAAAGATACATTATAACATATATTAACATTAGCATCATATTGAACACTCAAAAATTCAGTAATAATTTTTAAAATGTAGGTTGCAGCTGTTTTATGAATGTATTTCTTATAATTCTTTAGCATTCTTAGTAATAATAAAAGAATAGCGTGGGAGGAGGATATATATATATAGGTATTTTAATTTGACGAACCTTCTTTTAACGTATCCCTTTCATTTTTTTTTTTTTTTTTTTTCATAATAATTTATAAACTAAATAAAATAGTAATATGTCTTTTTAAATGGTATGAAATAATGTTTTACGACATATTTATTTAAAAATTATAAAATAGGAAAGAAAGCACTTAAAAATAGAGTCATTAGCCCCCTTATTAAAGAGTAAAATAATGTAACGCTTTAGAATTAATAAAATTTCTTGTTGTTCATAAAGATTTATGCATGATACATGGCAGCACAATAATATATTTACATAACTTGGAGTTCAAATATTTCTAATGAAAGTGGGCATTCCCACTCACGGCTTACATAATTTAATATATATATGTATATACACCTTTTTTATTATTTGATAAGGTTAACTTTATTACATTAATTTGTAAATGAATTACGTTGATATGTATAAATTTAAAATGAAAAAGAAATGTAGTTAGATTATATCGAATTATATTAAAACTAATAAATGACTATAAAATAACCCAGAAAAAAAATAGTGACAAAGTAATGAAAATTTAAATAATAATGTATAAACAATAAAGTACAGTATATTTTAGACGTATATACTTGTGGTCCAATGATGACTAATTTGTTAAAATTTAAATATCGCAAAGCACAGGAAAATGCCTTTATTTTAGAACAAAAAAAAATTATTACCATAGTATTTAAAAAAAAAAAAAAAAAAAATTTACTAAGACATAATGATTCTACTAAAAAATATTTAATAATTTTATATAATAAATACATGCTTGGCATATGATATGATTTGAAATATATTTGTACTCCATATATAAAAGTGCCCAAAAATGTTCTGTGATAAAAAAATACACATATAAATCAATGTTCGATAAAAATCATATTATGTTATTTAAAAAAAAAAATAACTTCTCAATTTATTATATTAGTTGTGTGTTAAAAATTAATTTACTACCTCATACACTTCTTTTACTACTATTTTGAAAAGATAATTTTAGTTTTAATTACACCCCCCACGCCTTTTCTTTGCGCTTATAACCAATATTACCAGTAATGTCCAACACTCCTTCATCAAACATAGTACAAATGTGAACATGTATATGTGTACGGATTTTATATGTAATGGACTCTATTTTATTGAAATTCCCCATATAATATACAGTTCTAAGGAAAATATGAATAATTGTGATTTTTTAAGTATACACCAGAATTTTTCTATTTTATTCTTATTACATAATCTTATATTTCCTTATCTAGTTTCTATATATGAGATATGATATTTCTATAATTCGTGTAATCGTATAGTACTTACTAATTCTATGCTACACCATCTCTAAGTGTACACATATAAATAAACACTGACGCGAAAATAATTAATCAACGAATTGATTTACTCAGTAATTAGTCATTAACGAGCTGGTTGACCAACTGAATAATTAATCAAATAATCGGCTGGTCGGTCAACCAAATAAAAAATAAAACAGGACAAATAAAATGATTCACTTGACTAATTACTTTACCTTCAAAAGTAATTTATTCATAAAAGCTGTCAACTCAGTGATTAGGAAATTGGGAACACTGAATTTATATTCTTTTTACGCATTACAAGATTTTATTAAGTCGGTTTTATGTCATACAATATAATATGTCAATTTTCGTGTTTATATTTATTTATTCCTTTTTAACTCCCATAATAAGTTACTGTGAAGATAATTTAATAAACATTGTATTAACATACATTTGGAGAATTATATTTTACGAATGCGTTCTATAATCATTCAAAAATTGAGAAATGTTGCAAATAAGTTTTCTTTGAATTTTAAACTTTAATATGTTATTGTTCCAAATAGTTCCATAAAAAAATTCTTCAACTGCATGTTGAATTATGCACTCTTATTTAATAACATCATTTCAGTCATCTGAAAAGCATATATTTTATTTAGATATATGTATTTTCCATATTTTAGTATTATTTAACGCTGTTTTTTACTATACATATATTAACACACAATTATGTCCTAACGAAAGAACGTTTATTTTCTTTGATATTAACAAATGTAATATTTCACCCGTCTTATTATATATAAAAAAAAAATAATAAATAGAATAAAATAAATAAATCATATAAATATGTGTTTATTTATTTATTCTATGATACCATAAATAAAAAAAAAATAACGGAATTGATGAAATATATATTTTTTTTGAGTTGTAATAATCTCCTGCAACAAACAGGGAAAATAGGCTTTGAAATATAAATGCACAGTCCCAACAAATGTTTTTTATCTGAATATTTTATCAAAAAAACTAAGTAAAAAATTATATTTTTTCCAGTTTATTATACATCATAGTACCATTTATTAAAACAAGCACAAGACAAAATCCCTTTCGCTTCTATATATGAACAACAGTCACTTGAAAATAGTGACATCAGTTTCTTGAATGTTATAGAATTAAAAGAAATATAAAAAAAAGACAGTAGATTAATGCGATAATTATAAATCATATATTATTTACGAAAATACAATAAGGAAAAAAATAAATAAATAAAATATCATATCACACCTTAAAAATGATGAATTCCCATTTAACATAGATAAAATTTTTAAAAATTAATTAAACATTATTCGTTCATTTATGCAGAAATTGGGGTAAATATCGTTGTAGCTATCTTTCTTTTTTTTTAATTTTGTGTTTTCATTCTCAAACTGCTATATATAGCATACAATATATTTTTGAGAAAATTCTCCTTTGCATGTGTTTATTTGTACATACATATAGATATATATATATATATATATATATATATATATATATATATACATTTAAAATTAAAAAAATGCTGTACAATTTACATAATTTATATATACATACACACATAACCTAATAGGATAAAGTAAATTCAAGAGTGAAAAAAAAAAAAAAAACTTCACCTATATATATCTTTTGAATTGATTTCATTTTATGATAAAATTGCATACTTTTTCTCTTATTCTAAATGATGACATATCTTAAATTATTATATGTGAACAAGTGAATTAATTATCTTTCCTACTTTCGTCCACTAAAAAAATATATTTACAAATAATGTGGAAAAACTAAAAAAAAAAAAGGAAAGGAAATCCAGAAACACCTTTTATTATATTCTTTTAATAATAATATATTGGGGGGTTTCAGAACATTTTCAATGTTTACAAAAACACTTTCTATCTTCTACACCACCCAAAATAATGTTTTTATTTTGAAAGGTGCTTAATGTAAGAAAAAAATATATACAATATTTGTATATACATATATTAGGTATAATTCTATTTAAAGTAACCTAAAAATTTAAACATAACAGAAAACTGTAATTTTATCGGTCTGCACTTTTTTTTTTTCTTTTTGGTGGTAATGTTGGTGGGAGTTCCTAATTTGTGTCCTTGTTCTTTCTTATATTCCTTTTCCATTATTTTTAATATGGTGTTATATTTATGTACGAATTAATTTTTAACATATGCATTAAAAGCAATTTTAAAAAAAAAACTTTTTACTTAAAAATTTACGAGCAGTTTCATGTTTAGCAAAAAAAGCAAACATTTTAAACAAACAATTCTTTGATAACACAAACTTTAACATTACATAAATAAGAATTCGGGGTAAAAAAAAAAAAAAACTTGTAACAAATAAATAAATCAATGAATGAGTTAATAAATAAATATATAAATAAATAAATAAATAAATAATACGTACATAAAATAGCTGCATCATTTAATGCATTGAGAAAAAAAAATCACAAATTAAAATTTTTATAATACAAGACACATGAAAAATTTTAATAAAATGGTAATATACATAATCACAAATAATTACATTAGTATGGGAGATAACATCCATATTTTATTTTTGGTCCGTTGTCTATATATATCCCATTTGTTCATTTTTCATGCCTTTTTCCCAAAAATTAAAAAATAAACATATTATACGCATGTACATACATAAAGTACGGCCCATGCTTTTATATATATGGGGAACAGCATATATTTCATAAATCTAAGAAAACACTCTTTTTTGCTGCATTTTATCGTATATCCTTTGAAGGTGTGCATATATATATATATCAAATAATTCATCATTTTAGCATAACCTCTTCTTATTATTAGGTCTTCTCACACGTATTGGGGAAACATTTCACTTTTTTTTTTTTTTTTTTTTTCTTTGCTTTGCTTTGCTTTGATACATATTACTACATTCTTCTATATTTGTTAATTAAAAAATCCTTTAAAGTTAAATTTTTCCCAATAACTTAATCCCTTCGTGGGTTTGCTGTCTTTTCTTTGTTTTACTTCTTGTGGAATTGGCACTTCCATAAACGCAATACATTCATCTTTTGCTTTATGGGTAACATCATCCCATGAGGCTCTAATATTTTCAATGATACCTTTGAACTCATCCTTTGTTACGTTATTTCTTGTAATAAAGCTATAAAATACATCATTCACATGTTCATGTTGTTTTGTAAAATGATTTTCAACTATTTCTTCACATTTTTTCCATTTCTTGTTAAATTTTGGAAGAGTTTCAGTGGTCTGCCTTTTCTTTAATTCCATAAATTTTCCTAATAAATATTTTTTAACAGCTAGAAATTTATGTCTTTCATTTCTATACGATTGCCAATAAAGGGAAAGCATTTCATTTCTTTTTGGTAATGCATCAAGTTCTTTTATCTTTTCGTTTATTTCTGAATTTCTCAATCTTTCGTCAAAACATGTCATTTCATAATAAAAGGTGCTAGTTTTATGTGTTCCATATTTTTCTAATAAGTTAAAATCCTTAAACAATAAATCGTCCATTTCATCTGAATCTACTATATTATCTTCTACAGCATTTCTTAAATATGGTCTTTGCACTACTGGATTTTCTGCTGCATATTTATCTAAGATCTTTTTCATTTTACATATTTTGCTTTTTTTTTTTTTTTTCTTTCCTTTTGAATCTTCTTCTAAGGCTTTTTTTGCAAGTTTTTCTTCTTCAGCTTTGGCAATTTCAGCTCTTTCCTTTTCTTCATCTTTTGCTATATCCGCATACAACTCATTCAATATCTTATTGTATGTGTTATTATCCATAATACCAGTTCGAATGTGCTTTTTTTTCTCCTTTACTTCTTTAACAATTTCAGGGACTTCTTCAACTACTTCAGGGGCTTTTTCAACTACTTCAGGGGCTTCTTCGACGGTTTCTTCGGCGGTTTCTTCGGCGGTTTCTTCGGCGGTTTCTTCGACGGTTTCTTCGGCGGTTTCTTCGGCGGTTTCTTCGGCGGTTTCTTCAGCGGTTTCTTCAGCGGTTTCTTCAGCAGTTTCTTCAGCAGTTTCTTCGGCAGTTTCTTCAGCAGTTTCTTCGGCAGTTTCTTCAGCAGTTTCGTCAGCGATTTCTTCAGCAGTTTCTTCAGCAGTTTCTTCAGCGGTTTCTTCAGTAACTTCTTCTTCAGTAACTTCTTCTTCAGCGGATTTTTCAGCGACTTCTTCAGCAACTTCCTCAGCGACTTCTTCAGTAACTTCCTCAGCAACTTCTTCAGCGGGTTTTTCAGCGGCTTCTTCAGCAACTTCTTCAGCGATTACTTCAGTTGCTCCTTTTGTTGCTACTTCAGTTTCTTCTTCAGTTTCTTCTTCAGTTTCTTCTTCCGTATTTTGGTCTATATTTTCAATGTTTTTTTTTTCACCAAAATAATTATCTAATAAATCATCAAATTCTTCCGTTAAAATATCACTTCCGATGTCATTCATAGCTTCAATTACTTCATTCTTTATGAGATCTTCTATTTTGTCTGTTTTGGCAAATTTTTTGTGATCCATCACTTTATATTTTGAAAGATCTACTGAATGCCCCTTATACTTAGCAGCAAACTCTGCATTATTTATTGTTGCAGGAGATGTCTTTGGAATATCTTCTTCATTTATTTCAGGAGACTTTCTTTTTGCATTTACATATTGAATCGTATCATGTGTAATATAATTTAATATATCATTCATTAGAGCCTCTTCTGCTGGGTCCTTTACAACTTCACCTTTCTTTTGGGGTGCACCACCCTCTTCTTCGTCATTTAAATCATCCTCTGAGTCACCCTTTGGTATTTGACTTCCGTCAACGCTAAAATCAACGTAATAATCATATTCAATATCTTGTAAATCAGTTTTTGTAATTTCTTCAAAAATCTTACTCAAATATGCTGCTGTAATGGGATGTTTTGCTATCTCTTCTGCACTTTGTTCTAATGGTTTGAGGTCAAATAATTCATTTGGATCTACATTTCCATCATCACTAAACAAGGGGCCGTTATTTTCGGTTACAGGTATTTCTTCACAATCTGGTGATAATAATTTGAAATTGCTATCATCCTTCAAAATTTTAGCTGGTGGAGCCTCTTTTTTTTGTTCTTCACTTGATTCAGCAGATGCCTTAATGCCTTCTCCTTCAACTGCCTCTTCTCCTTGAACTACTTCTCCTTCAACTGCCTCTTCTCCTTGAACTACTTCTCCTTCAACTGCTTCTTCTCCTTCCACTGCTTCTTCTCCTTCAACAGCTTCTTCTCCTTCAACAACTTCTTCTCCTTCAACTGCTTCTTCTCCTTCAACAGCTTCTTCTCCTTCAACAGCTTCTTCTCCTTCAACAGCTTCTTCTCCTTCAACTTCTTCTTCTCCTTCCATTGCCTCTTCTCCTTCGACTGCTTCTTCTCCTTCCATTTCTTCTAACTCAGAGTAATCTTCTGCGTTAACTTCTTCTTCTTGTTCCTCAGCTAAATTCCTCACAATTTTGTTACTTAATTGTAATTTAGAAGCAGCATTCTGTCTTTCGAAATCATCCTTATACTATAATATGAAAAATTTAATAATAAAGAAATGGAAGTGTTATGTGTGTGAAGGTGTACGAATACATTTATAATATATATAAGTAAAACAAAACTAGAATAAAATAAAATAATATACGAAGTGTGAACATCGCAAACAACTAAAAAACACATTTAGGCAAGGACAAAATAAAGCAAAAAAAAAAGCACAACTGCAAACATATACATATTTATACTAAAATACATAGCCATGTAATTTTTGGTATCAAGTATTATTTTCATTATTTACCTTTAAAAATATATATGCAGAAACAACAAAACAAAAAGCAAATTTCTTAGAGAAAAAATACTTTGTTGCCTTTTTTTCATTTCTTTTATTTTCCTTACAATCTACAGAACATACAACGTTGTTTTTGGAGTTCCTGCATCCTGACACGGAATTATTTATTTTATTCAAATGTACCATTTTTTTTACTGATGTTTGTTGTATAAAAAAATAAAAAGAAAATTGTATCAATAAATATAGTTATATTCTTTTTCTAAATATAGTATTCTTTGTAAAATCTAAATTATATATTTTCTTATTAGGAGAAAGTTACAATATTAAAAAAAAAAAAAAAAAATGAATTATATATTTTGCATAAAAATAATATATTAAAATTTTTTTTTTATACTATTTATTATTGTAAAATGATAAAATTATCAAATAATAATTATTTAAAACATATATAAATATACTCTTTTTTCATAAGACCTAAAACTAAATTATAATAAATATATAAAAATCTACATTTTAACAAATTTAAAAGTATAAGAAAAATTTATATACTTTCAATAAAAAACAAATTAAAACTAACAAATACTTTTTTTTGTTTTTAATTTATCCTTAAATTAAAATTTTTGTTCTTATAAAAAAAGTATTTAATAATAATAATTTTCCAAATTTATATATGTAAATTAAGGAAAAAAAAAAAAAATTTCTTGTTAATATATAGAAGGAAATTATTAGAAAATTGTTTTCGTATTTTTTATAATTTACGTAGCATAATTGTTAAAAATTATTTGCAAAATATACTTGTGTATACTTATTAAATTAATACACAATGTATATTCATAATCGTTAAAGGAAATAATTACAATGAATTGAAAAGAAATTATCTAAAATACTATTAAAAGAATTAACTTTTACTCTTAAAAGTTTTTATTTCCATACAAAATACCATTAAATCTAATTTATTTTTAAATTGGAACAAAAAAAAAAAAAAAAAAAAAAATTTTTTTTTTTCCATTCTATGTTACCACTCCTACAACATGGCATTTAAAGGATCCAACACAAGGATTATTTTATATTAATGTTCAATACATTTATATATAATAACATCTATATATATACATATATAGAGATTTTTATTTATATTTTAATTTGCGTGAAAAAAAATTACTATATTTACTTTAAAAAAAGTGATAATAATAATATATTTAGCGCGTTTAATTAATTATTCGGATTTAAATTTTTTTTTTTTTTTTTTTATCCTGATTATTTTAATGACTTAAAATATACTTATGGAAGAAAAAGCGAAAAAAAGTTCAATCCTATGAACACTTTTTGCATTTCCATTCGGTAACAATTTTCTTGCCATGTGTACTATTCCTATATAAAAAATGTGCTAAGAAAAACATGAGAAAAAAAAATTATAATTTTTATTTTGACTAACATATATAATAAGGAAAATACTTATAGATCCAATAGGTTCCTTATTGTATGCATTAATTTTCCACCACAATTTTTTTATTTATGAATTTGCTATTACAGTTCCATACTTGTGCCATTCTAATTAATGTAACGACAACTATTATTATTTGTGGTAGGTTCTTTATTGAAATGGATTTTCTCTAAACAACTAACCCTCACCCACTCTACAAGTATATTATATAAAGAAAAAATATAATATAAATAAAAATAATACACATTTAATAATTTATGCTATCTAAAATATTTTTCTGACGTATTTTCTTCAAGATCTTGTTTACGATAAAAGTATGTGTATTCATCACGTGAATTCGATTATACATATTACATTTGGAGTGCATTACCTGGTTTGTAAAATTTAATTCGTATAAAAAATCCATGTATTATATAAATCATGTGTATAATTATGCATATTATTACTATATTTCTGTGTGAAAAAAATATAATAATAATAATAAATAATGCTGGGAAGAAAAACATAGTAACAAAATATATATATTTTTTTTATTCGTGAAAAAAAACTTTTACATATAATATATAATTTTTCTTCGATCAAACTTTTATTAGATAGCTGCACGAATAATAATTTGTTTCTTTTTTCTGCAATTTATTTGTACCCTACCACAAGAATACATCTTTTATGAAGTAAATAATGAAATGCGTATATATGTATACACCTTAAATGATGAATTGGATATTTTCCTCACGTTTTATATGAAAAAAAAAAAAAAAAAAAAAAAATGATCGCATAATGTTGCGGAATATATATAAACAAACTGTCACGTTATTACTGCAATTATTATATAATTATTTAAAGGATAAAACTATCGAATTATATTTCATTTTATCCATTTATTTATGAAAATGTACATGACAAAAAATGGGGGAGGGGGAGGAATATTTTTAAGAACACCTCAGTAAAATATGTTTTCCAAATATGTTACCATCATTGAATATTATCAATCTTCAAAAAAACGTTTTTTATAAATCATTATTTTGTGCACACAGATCCAATTACATATAAGCTTGTAGATCTAACTTTTCTGTGATTATGTTAAAATATTTAAACTGTGGCAACTTTTAGCTGAATTTTATCTAGGTTATGAAATGAAAAAAGTAAAATAAAAAAATACATGCAAGTAAAATTTGCGAAAATAAGAAATGTGGTAATAGTTTCAAAAGGAAAATGGAAAAAAAAAAAAAAAAAAAAAACACTAAGAATGTATCCATTATTTTGAACAGTACCACATGTCCATGGTGCATTTGAAAAATTCAACATAATTTATCAAACATGGTTTAAAATATTTTGTTATTATAAATTAGTTGAACAACTAATTCTTTTCATGATTGAGGTATGATTTCTTAGACATACATCTACCGCGTCTACGTTAGTGTGATCATATATACGAGTAAGTATATATATGTAATTCAAATTAATATGAAAAATAAAAGAAGCTTAATTACTATAATTAGCCAACCTTCCCCCCAAAGGCTTTCCCAATGAAACTTGTGTATAAATTACAAACCATAGAAATGTAATAAGACGGTAATATAATTTTATCTTAAGTATAATTTTTCTTCCTTACAGCATTCAAGAAATTGTGGATTACATGACAAGTTAAAACTAAATCATATAAAGTTCATATGGTATGATGTGGGATGAGTAATTAAAATTGTTCTTTAAAATTCGATAGTATTTTTTGGTGTGTACTTTTCCCTCATTTCATAAAATGGCATTGGGGCAAAGATGTGTAGTATGTTATGGTAGCTCCATAAGAGTTGTAAAAGTGGTCTTTTTTAACACAAAAAATATATAATCCTTATTAAAAGTGTCATCTTAAAGAAGTATAGAGTTAAAAAAAAAAAAAAAAAAAAAATATGAGTAAAAGAAGGATGCAAAACAACTTCCTTCAGCTATTTTGCAAATAAGTCCGTACTTAGTAATGAATTGTCTTTTTATATTAACCTTTTTTTGTTCTGTTTGATCCCTTTTCTAACTCTTACAATTTTTTTGTGATATGTGATTTTAAAAAAATTGTCTCTTATATATACAATTTTCTCATATCAATATGCACTAACGTGAAAATGGGTAGGGAAATGAAAGAGGCAATAATGCAAAACTATTAACATTTTAAATAAATTTTATTTTATTGCACTGTTTTTTAATACTGTAATATATGTATATATTTATTTTTGAAGTTCTACTACTGTTGTGCCCTCCTTTCAAATTATTTTACATGTCTTAATGTGATATTAAAAAAAACTTATTCAACATGAATGTTATCCTTGAAATATAGGAATTTCTCTTCAAGGCTTATTATCTTATTCACACAGCACCAAATAGCAAATTATTTACATATTTACATATTTTCATATTAATCATGATCATTGTATAAATATTTAACAACATCATATGTATTAACAGAAACCTTGTAAACAAAAACTAGTTAATTCTTGCAAATGTATAAATAAATCAACTCAATTCTATCTATATATATTTTTTATATTTCCCCTATCGCATCTCCCCTTTTTTTTATTTGATTTTCCCCCTCTTTTAAAATTAAAATCTCCTTTTTTCATATTTATCCAGTTAAAGAATTGAAAAAGCAAAATTACTTTTTACACAAAGTATCCTAAATTGTAAAGATGCTATTTAGTTTTAATACTATTGTCTATTATTATTATTTTAATCAAAGTGTGGTTATATATGCACACTTATCTCCTTCTAAGTGTAAACATAATTATCAGCTTGTTTATTTTAAATTAATGCGTAGCACAAATGAGTGTATGCATGTGGATTTTTTTTTTTTTTTTTTTTTTTGTTTTCTTTCCTTTTTTTTTAAAAAGCTATATCAGTTTTTTTTTATAGTTTGAATTAAAATTATTTTATTTTGTATTCACAGACACATGCTCTTCTTTTTTTTGTCTTATGGTGACAATTCAAAATTTATAAAGAACAAAGCAGCTATTCTAATTAGTTAAAAAAAATTAAATTTTTCGTGGAATGTTACCAAAGTTAATTTAATGGCGTGAATGTAGCAAGCTTTGTGCACCTGTATTAACTATTATATTATTTTATCCATATCTTGCTATGCTCGATTTTAATATATAAATAATACACATATAATAGCACTATTAATTCTTTTATTATTTTTTTTTTTTTTTAAGAAATGAAAGGGGGGATTAAGTATAACGAGATATACCTTTTCTGAATTATTTTAAAAAATATAAAAAAAAGTAGTAACTGAAAAAATCGTAAATAATATTCATTCATATAAGTATTTATGAATAAAATTACAGTTTTTTTATTTACCTATTTTTTTTTTTTTTTTTTTTCTTTTAATTCCAAATATAAGAAAAACCTAAAAATAAAATTGGTATTAAAACAACTTTTTAATTCGAAAAATATACGCTTTGCTTAAATATGTTTCCATTTTTCTATAAACCTTTACCCAATATAAAAACGTTGAAAAAAACTTTTTTTGGAAAAATGGACTATAATATATTGTTCCCAGAAATCTACTATTTATGCATTTTTATATTTGTATACTTTTAAGTAATTTATTATATAATCTCATTTAGTAACCTGCGTGCCTACTACCATACAGCAACTTAAATAAATAGGTAAAAATCACGTGAGACGTATATATTTTATGTATAATTAATTATACATGCATGCAACTAAATCTACATAAAATAATATTTACGCGCATATGCTTTTTCAATGTAATAATAAATAATACCGTTTAAATTAATCTGTATTTGCTCGCCTCCATTTGTAGAAACTTTTTTAATTAAGAAGATTCTAAAATTATGTAATTTTTAATTTTATTTTTATTTAATATTTTTTTGTTTTTCTTTACCCCAAAAATTTAATCAAAATGCTTAAAAAATATATTTTTGTATTATCAGTTAATCTGTTATTAAAAAGTATATTTAATTTTAGTCCATTTGATGCTCATGTATTAGCTACAAGGGGTAGCGTAGACCCATCAAATGCACAAGATGGAAATAATTTTGCAAACTATGAACACGCAGAACAACATCCAGGTGAAATGTATAACTATATGGAAATGCAAGACTACTGTAATAATGAAAATGTAGTTAACGAAAAACATGACATTGATCAACATATGGAATTGCAAAATTTAGATAAATGTATCAGTAGTGATCAAGAACAGGAAGATGTAGAACAGAATAACGAGGAAATGGAAAAAATAGAAGAACAAGAAATTGTCGAAGAAGCACAAGGAATTGAGGTTGACGAAGATGTAGAATATCTAATACTACAAGTCAGAGGAAATGAAGTAATTCTGCAAGGACGCTCCAGTAGTCTAAGCGAATTAGAATATTCACTTGACTCTTATAGATTCCTTTATGAAGTTCTTAATATTGAATTTGAAACAACAGAAACGTATTTAAATAAAATTGTTAATTGTTCTACAGAAGAAGAAAAAAGGGAACTTTTGGAAGATCATATAAAAATTTTACAAGAAATGTATGACAATAGCAAAAAAGGTAATAACTGTGGATTGCCTTTTGAACTACGAGATTCCATGGCACTTAGAATAAGTGATCGTCTCAAAGATTTTTGTTTGGGTGTACCATTAATAGAATCATACATCTTAACACTGAAATCAGCTTTTCAATTAGAATTAGAAGTTTTCAAAGGTGTGTATTATTATACAAAAAGCAAAAAAACGTACACTGAAAGGAAAGAAGCTATAAACGATTTAGAACTCATGAAGTTTTATCATGAAGAACTAGCCGACAATAATGGCTTGTATTTAACAGATGAACAATTAGATAATGCAGCAATGAGAGTATCCAACTTTGTTAATGACATATATTTCGTATGTTTTTCTAATCAAGAAGCAAGTCGTGTGTATAGTAAATTTCGCGACGATAACACCACATTTTTTGACCTCTAAAGAACATTTTGAACTTTTTTAGTTCGGGAAAAACGCATACCTTCGCGTCATAAAAATTAGGCCACACTTGCCGGGTCCATATAATATATATATATATATATATATATATATATATATATATATATATATATATATATATATATATATATATATGTATATACATATATGCGCCACACATATTAACACATTTGTGTGTGTGTTTTGCTCAATTCTTTAACCCTTCCATCGGATGTGCTTTGAGACTCCCAGAACTCGCGTTATTACATGTCGAAGAACAAAAATTCCAAAAAATATTTTGCTATACATATATATTCCCTTTAATTCAGATGCTTGTTTTTCTCCATAATTAAAAGTGAAAAGATTCTCAAAGCTGCTAGATTTTTTGAAAGAGGTGTAATTATATCTGATAAATTGAAAAAAAAAAAAAAAAAAAAAAAAACGTCTTAGCATTTTTCTTTACCTTTACTAATGTGCTGGTATAGTATAAACAATGTTTTTTAAGCTAAATAATTTTAAGGTTTTTATTATTTTTTTAATTTTATAAAATTTTAAATCATTTTAAAATTGTTTTTTATCGTTTCAAAAGAAAGAAAAAAATTATAAAAGTGCTAATATGTTTTTTCCCTGTGTTTTGTGTGCTGTAAAAAATGTGCCCTTTTTTTTTTTTGTTTTCATTTTTTCATTTTTTTCCCAATTTAATAAAAATACAATTGTTTGTTTTATGAAGAATTGTTGATGTAACCTTTAAATTATATGTAAAACCATTTTTCTTTTTGAATTTGTGTTTAATGTTTGCATTATAACTTATTCTCGTTCCATGGTTCACATAAAAATAGAAACTATGATCCAAGTTAATAATATAAAAAAAATTAAGACAAAACAGATTACATATATATGTATATATATGAGCTAGATAATTTGTTTTCTAAATTCTCATGGGAAGAAAATTTACACTCTCTGAATAACAAGAGTTTTTTTAAACAAATGTCAGTGGAGGGGCACGTGTAAATGATGATTCACATGACCAATATGTTTGTTTATGCGCAAAGGAGCGTATGTCCCTATTTGTAAGAGGACTGCATATATTCGTCTATTTACTCTTTTTTGTATTCCTGTACGTGTGCATTTGAGCGATCAAAAATGAGGAATTTTCCATTTCTACATATTTAACCAAGCCTATTCAGAGTTTTGTATCTATTAAGTGTATACATTTTTTCTTTAAGTGGACACCACATATCCATCAGAAAATTTCTTTTTTATCCCTATAGCCCGTAAAAATTTATCGCATGTGTTATATTACTATAAACATATATTTTCTAAACATGTAAAAACGCATTTTTTGCTTTATAAATTTGTTTATTATTCTATATATATATATATATATTCTTTTTTATGTTCGCAGTGTGCGGAAATAGATATGTGCTTAATAAGGTGCAGTCTTTTATTTCAATTATTTCATTTTTTATTTTTTTAAAAGAAAATATTCGATTTGTTGTATCAACCTTCCCTAGTGCTATCCATGTGTTAACACACTGTGGCACCATTTGACTTCTTTGTCATTTTAACTTTCTTTCAAATTAAACTTGTACGCAAAATTTGCTCATTCTATCTTAAAAAAAAATTATAAACCTTAATATAATTTCTAATGTTTCTTTATGGAGATTGTTTTTCAAATTAAATAGAGTAAATGTATATATGTATTATACATGCGTGTTTTTTTTTTTTCTTTTTTTAAATCGAACTTTACTAATCAATCGATCATTCTGTACAAAGGACAAACAAATGTAAATTATAAAAAAATAAATAAAACAAGTTTTTATAGGATTGCAATTAATAAAAACAACTGTTGAATATTCACCTAGAGGGCACAATATAGCACATGTGTAACATACACAATATTTATATGCCAATTTTATGCTGTTATTACCAAGCTAAATATTACTACGAGCAATAAAGATTATTCAACCAAAATAAAGAAATGTTAAAAATGCAAATACCTAATTCCCTTTGTCATGAAGCTTCGCAAATTTTTCATTATAGCAAGATCATACTTTGAGTTTCATACTTCTGAAAGCACCAAGAGGAGAGAAAAAAAAAAAAAAGTTACAAAAGTTCTTTTTTGATTACTTAGCGTAATATAATATTTAAAGTATGGAATTAAGGTATATGTTCTTTTTCACTATTATTATTTATATAAATTATGGATTATAACACTCATGAGTAGTGTGTATACAAAAAAAAAAAAAAAAAAAAAAAAAAAAAAAAAAAAAAAACAGGAACACTTTTTGCTACATAGCAAATTAAAAACTATAAAAATAATTTACCTTAACTTATTTTGTTCTTTCCAGTTCATGGGTATAATGATAATAGTTAAATATTTCCAAGGGTGTTGTTTGTCTAATTAACACCCTATATAATAGTTTGTTCATATTGCTGCATTTTAATAATGTAAAAAATGAAATGCCACTCATGAAAAAACTTTCTTATGTTATATTATACAAGTACACATAGAGTTTATAAATTTTTACTCGTATATATACGCACAGGATTAGAAATATGCTGTGTTATCAATAATCTAGAAAACGAAAAATAAATATTTTGTTCAAGCCATAACACCATAACTGAAGTTTTCGAATTACATCGTTCAACTAACTATTTTATAATGATCAAAACATGTACGCAAAGTAATAAAACCTCAATAATTTTCTATATTGTATGTATGCGGCACATCCCCTCATATATATATATATATATATATATATATATATATACGCTTAGCAGGATCACGTAATGTAAACTCATAGATTGAGTGTGATGCTTAAAGTAATTACACTGCCCCCTCCTATAGGGAAAAAAACACGTTGTTAATTTTTTAGTAGGGTTTATACATATTTTACTACTAGTAATAAATTTTAAGAGTTCTACTATTTTATTGTACACGAACTATCCTTCTTTCACATGTGATTCATATAAGATGATCATGTGAATATTTTCATAGGTTAGAAATATGTCAGGGGTATTATTCATCCCCTCCTTCCCTTTCTCCTTTTTTTTTTTTTTTTTTTTTTATGCATTTTCTTAAGAACTTTTAAACGATAATTATTTTACATATATATTTATATATTAACGCTTAATGAAATCGTGCATAAAATTAAATCATAAAAAATCTATCAGTTAGGGAATTACTTATTACAACTATTTAATTTTTATAACTTTACACTAAATTAACACCTTAAGATGTTATTAATTTATAAATATTTATATTATATACTAATTATTTTTAGTATAATTTTCTCATTAGTTCAGAGTATATAAATATAGGGATTATATTTTTGTAATGTATGTGAAAATGGATACATTTGGTTAATGACTAACTAAATCTACAACACTAACTCTACTATCCTATGCACCACCGCCCACACCCACCTCTGGATATAAATCTTACTATATAAAATGAGGTTATTTAAATTTTGTTCATATAAATAAAAAGATATTATTTATATATAATCATGTAATATCAACTAGTTTTTAAAAAGAAAAATAAAACTAAGGATGGGTGGAAGGAAGGAAAAATAAATGAATAAAATAAAGAGGTTGGCAGGAGTTCGCCACTTTAAGCGTTATTAATGTACGCTACCTCTTCCTCCCCCTCTCACTCTATCATATAAATAGATGATATATGTATTGTATAAATTAACCCTTTTTTGTTTAAATTATTGCGTGTAATTAATATTAAAAGCGCTCACTAAGGCACCCACCCAATTACCTTTACAGCAACTATTTTTCAATAACATCACCTGTGCTTTTTCTTCAACTTATTGTTTACCCATGAAACATGATTTGTTCATTATAAACTTTAAAAATGAACTTTTTTTAAATACTTGCCCTCTCCTCCTATATGAAGAGTAAATTTTACAATCGTTAGTCATTAGAGTTAAATAAAAAGCTAATATCTAATTCGTAAAACAAAAATTCAAAAAAAAAAAAAAAAAGGTGCAGCAATTTTTTTGTGGTGTGCTTAACTAACTATATGATTAATAAATTTCTAATTAGGTTTTTACACTTTGCTTGCTGCTTCAAGTTTTTATTAAGTTTAAAAAAAAAAAAAATCCTAGTGAGAGAGAAGGGGATTGAAAAAATTAAAAAGTTAGTAGAAAATATATTATATATTTATATATATATATATAACTTTAAATTAAAGAACTCGCTATGCTATGCATGCATGTGTAAAAAAAATCTAGAAAACGTTATATAGCTAGGGGGTTCGTTAAATGCACCAATTTTGCAAAAGTGAGCATTAAAAAAAAAAAAGCTTCAAGCTTTGGCCTTTAAATGAACAAAAAGGCAATGTTTCTAACCCCTTGAAAAAACGATGTAGATAAATAAGTTCACTAAAAAGGACTTTTTGCAAATTAAAAAAATAGATAAGAGATGAAAGATACATTGATAGCCCCACATTTTAATGCAAAAAAGGATAAAATTTATGAATTTTCAGATAAGTTTTATTAAATGAATTATAATATAACGTTTCTTGATTGGATTAAAAAATAAATATTAATATTTACTCTTTTAATTAGCTAATTTAGGTACATCCATATTTTTATAAAAACTATACTAAAATTTTTTATAAAAACTATATAAATTTTTATAAAAATTATAATAAATTTTTATATAAAATTTTATAAATAAAATTAAAATTATATTACAAAAAAATATATTAATTTTTTTTTTTAAAAAAATATTTTTAAACATTTTTTATAAAATTTTTATTCAAAAAAAAATAAATTAGTGAATCTAAAAGATATTGAAAAATTTATTTATTATAATATTTTAGTGTATAAACAAAAAAAATAAGAACTTTTAATATAATATTAATATTACTATAGCAAGTAAAAAACTGATCTTACTTTTGTTACTTTTATAAGCCCCTGTTTATTTTATTTTTTTACCCTTTTTATACTAAGCTTTTTTTTTTTTTTTTTTAATCTTTATCGAAAATGAAAATCACAAAGGCATTATATTTCATTGCTGCTTTATTAGCAGTTAATTTAATTGCCCCAAGTTTCTACAATAATGTTGTGTCAGGAAAGAAAGCAGCTGCAGGATACAGAAAATTAACTGATGCAGAAAAAAAAAAGAGAAACCAAAAGATCATGATGATCTCTTCCATTGCATCTGGTATTGCCATACTCCTAGGTACTGCCTTAGGTTTAGGACTTCACTACAAGAACAGAAAACAGGATAATAAAACATCAAATCCAGCAGTTCCAAAAAAAGAACCATTACTTGGAGGTATAAAAGTCAATCCAACACATAAGTAAAAATCTCGCGATTAAATTTTGATGATTTAAATATATAGCAAGAAATTGATTTAAAACAATCTGGGTTATTTATCACCAAGGTGTAAATTGAAGATGAAGTCATAAGAGAAGATTATTGCATATATATATATATATATAAAGTATGTATATATGGTGTAATAAAAAGGTGCAACACTTCATGGATCCCCTTTTACCCTTTTAGATGACAGAAAAATAAATTAGAGCAAATAGCATTTATTTGTTATTCCTTTTTTTTTTTTTTTTCCTGTCACTAAAAAACTGAAGAAAATTCCCAGAAATACAAATATATAGAGAAAATGGACTTTTTAAGAGAAAGCTTTTAGTGTGATTAACAATTTTATGATAATAGGAAACTTTAAAGAGTTATATATTTTTATATAATTCTTGAACTTTTTCTCAATTATGTGTTTTTCACCTTTTAGCAAAAGAAAAATATATATATATATATATATATTAGTAAGGAAGAAAATATTTTACCTTTTAAGAAATGAGATTTATATTTACAAGTTTCATGGAGTTGCATGAAAATAATTTATATATATATATATATATATATGTGTATATATATTTATGTATATTTTTTATTCTACACATTTTATATATGATTACGTTCCTCAATTTAAACATAAAAATGGTTTAAGAACATTTTGTAGGACATTATTTTTACTATATATATATAATGTATATATTATAAAAGTAACATTTTATTCTTATATAAACATGATTAAAAAAAAAAAATAAAATAAAATGCAAAGTGTGCCTTTTTCTTGTGTAGATTATATGAGAGATGTATTATATATATATATATATATATATTTATATTTTATTTTATTTTTTTTTTTAATGTATTAAGTTCTTTGAAGTACTTTTATTTAGTAAACGTGAGAAACTGAACTGTATTTTTATATTTAAAAAATTTTAAATTGTATAAGAAGGCTACAATCTTTTAGATCATTATAGAAAAGTTAGTTTATATCATCATTATTTACGTGTTATAAATACGGAGTAATATAGAGAGAGCTAGTTTTCGGTTAAAAAACTAGTAGCACAATAAAAAGTAGCACACACACATTAATAATTTGTGTAAAGTGTAAGTAGGCACTCAAACTATGTACGTTTTACATGGTGATTTTAGAATCTTATTGAGTCGTATCATGTTATTAGATTTAATAGGAAAGAGGAGTGGATGGGGAGGAGGAGGGGCTTAAGTGTATTCGTTGTAGAAATAGGAAAAGAGCAAGAACATATTGTTCTGAAATGGAAGTGCTGATATATGTATTTATTTGTCTAAAATACATAAGTGCTTATTGTTTTTACACATGCTTTAGCCATCACCCAATTTTAAGAGTTTTGTGAATTGCTTAAAAAGTGGGAAAACATCACTTAACATCTTCACCACACACTTGCGTCTTTTTGGCCTACTGGTATATTACAAAAATCTACGTGTACGAACAATTGGATAAATTTGTAGCACAAAATTGTGTATTATTCGATTCTATTAAGTAATAATCATTATAGTTATAAGAAATGATGAACAAAAATGTGCTCATTTTCCCTACATTCTCTGATATGGTGTTAAGTTCCATAGGAATTTTGTACTTACACAAAGCTCTCAGCATTATTTCTTTTATTAAACTATTCCTGACATAAGTTCCAAGCATGATAGAATATTTGGCTAACTATATATCCAGCTTGAAATACTTTATTAAAAAAACAAGATGAAATTTCCCAACAAAATACACACTTTGTATACATGTATGTGAAATTGCATATGTATAGTTGTACATTTACACATATGTACATACACATGTGTGGATGCCCATGACCTTTCCCAAATGATAATGAAATTTGAAATAAGTTCAATAAGAATGTGAATAACAGTGGTCTTTATTTAAGATAATTTTTTTGGAGCTCAGCAAATCAACTATCAAATGGCTAATATTTTGATGTTAACACTCAACTTATTTCTTTGTTCACTTAATTTTACAAATGCTTTGTTTTTTTTTTTTTTCTATTTCAATCGTATAATAATATCAAATATATATAATAGCCCGTCCTTTTCATGTCCCTCATTCATTTTACTCTTATTTTTTTTTTTTTTTTTTTTTTTCACATTTTTATTAATTCTAATAAAACATATTTTCACATAAATACTCCAAAGAGTTATGTATTCCAGTGAAGTATTTAAATTCCTTTCACGGGGCATGATATTTTATACTGTGAAAAGTGAGCCATTCGGTTATCTTAAAAATATACGTGCTTTTTATTTTGTAAAGAATTAGCCAAAACAAGTTATACACTATTGTGGTATACAGAACACATCGAATCCAAGTGTAATCATAGATATGCACAAATGTTGTCTCTCTGTGTGTGTGTACTTATCTAACTATCGGGGTGTGGATGATGGAGATGGGGTACACACCTCATTTTTATATCTATATGTGTAGTTATCGATTTGCCTGTTCATGCATTTACCATTGGGAACATAGTTTACCAGCTTAAATAGTTATCTTCACATAGGGAATGCAAGTCTTCCAAAAAAAAATTCACAAAATACACACTTTTGTTCCCTCTGGAATTCAAAAGAAAAATAAATAACTCTAAAACCGCTTCAACATTATATACGCCAAAGCAGCCATCTTTTTTGAACTGTTCTACGTGTCCATTCCCTTTAATAAAAAGATCGCACTAAATATATATATATATATATATATGTTTTTTTTTTTCTTCTTTTTTTTTTTTTTACATTTATTGGCAAAAATTAAAGTATTTCCATTTTTAGACATAACCAAAAAGAAAATGGTTAACTTATATACATTATTATCCAAATGTTTAAATTAACAAAAACATAGAGCTATATTCCCATTACACTGTTCAAATATTTGGAGCTTAAAATTAAATGTTGTGTTTTGAAAAAAAAAAAAAAAAAAATTATAAGAAACAAAGATGAAAGATATCTTGTCATGACATAAATGTTAAGAAGATAATTTTCATATTGCTTCGTTCTTATACAATAAAAAAATCTCAACAGAATGATGATGAATATCATTTTAAATTTTCTCTTTTTTTTTTTTTTTTTTTTTCGTTTTTTTTTGTTCTACACAGTTGCACCCATATAATCTCCTGTCACATAAATGCAAATACCCAAATGCATCAAATTGGCAATGACACCCACTAGGGTAATGTATATGAAATATTTGTTTTCATAGATTCGACACAATTTCACAATACCATGGATAGATAAAAATAAGAAATAGGTGAAAATAGGGAAAAGATTAAAATAAGAAAAAGATTAAAATAAGGAAAATACATTAAATGTTTAAACTTTATAAAATGGACACTATCCTTAATATATTCAGAAAAAAAAAAAAAAAAATTGAATGTCTTTATTAAACAAGTTGGCATATATAACCAAAAAATGCATGTCTTCCGTTGTATAGCACGAGTTTCTTAAAAAAAACGGAGCTACCTTTAGCAAATAAAAGTAAAATATCAAAAAAAAAAAAAAAAAAAAAAAAATTATTAATGTACATCTAAAAAATAACCAGATTCTCAAAAAAAACAAAAAAATAAAATATTAGAAAAAAGTTGTTAGGGAAAGAACATTCCACAAATTCCTGTTCATAAGAACGATAATTGCATACATTTATGTGATCATACGTGTAATGCAAAAAAAAGAAAAAATATATAAAATGGATATTTTCAGCGCAGGTAAAAAAAAAAAAAAAAAAAAATTCTCTTCACATCGTTATATTCTACATTCTGATAAGGTAACAAATTTCGCATCAGAAAAATTTATATTCGTGTTAACATTTGTTATAATGTTATACTTTAATGGGAAAATATTGCTGTATTCGTTAATTTCTAAAACTAAATGACCATCTTCAACCGATGCACAACAATTCGCAAGCATAAAAGTTTCATCCTCCTAAATGTAGAAATGGAAAAAAAGAGGACAAAAAATATGGAAAAACATTAAAACATATTATACAGCGTATGCAAAAATACATGTACAACAACATGTTTCAATGTAATACATTTAATATTGATTCTCCCTTCTATCTTTTTCTTCACCTGGCAGAACTTTTTATATTTCATCTTCAGTTTAACGTAGACGCATCCGGATTCATCTCCTGCGAAAACATAAACATGATATCCTATACCAAGTAAAAGAAAACGGGGAAAAATAAATTTTTAGAAATAAACATACTCTTGCGTATATATATATATAATAGTCATTCCAATGCACACACAAATTAACACATAACTGAATCTCATGTATGCGTTGGATTATTTCATGCGTGTATCGTCTATACTTTTTTTTTTTTTTTTTTTTTTTTGGCATACTGTTGAAGTGGTATAGACATACTGCCTTCAGAACTATATTAAAAAGACGCAAGAATGGTCTCAAATCTTTGCACTTTAAAAATTTTAGAGGAGGCAACTCTCTTAAAGCCTTCAAATATTCTAAACTTCCCGATCCGTATTTAAACTGTTTTGTATTGGGCATAGATAATACGCTAATTTTTTTTTTTTTCTTCTTCTTTTCTCTATTGTCATTTAAAATAGCAATTTCGAAAATTTCCTCATTTGCTAATTCAATCTTCGTATCATTTCCATTATGTTTCATTATCCTATCATAGGACTTAACTGAATGTATTTCTTCCTTTTCATTCATTTCATTCCATATTTGCATAATATCTTCTTCCTCCCTATCAACTTCAGTAAACACTCTTTCATCATGTCCATTCATTTTTTCCACTTTATTTAAATCGTTGTTCAGAACACAGTTAATAACTTTACTAATGTTGTGTAATGATGCACCCTTACGTTCATCAGGATTATTTTCTTGTCTCATATTTATGGACATATTTAAAGTACTTCCTAATTCCTTCATTGTTATGTCATAACATTTTTGTACAAATTGCTCATTCAAAATATTTGGATGAAATGTAGGGTTCATTTCTTCATAAATGTTTTTAGAATTTTCTCCTAAAATATGTTTTCCATCATCTGTACCCAATGCTACAGGATTGTTATTCTTATTTGATTCGTATGACAAGCATGACTCTTTTTCTTCCTCACATTCATTGTATTCCACTACAGTTTGACTAATCAGGTTTCGTGTCTTTATTTCTCCCACTTGTTTACTACTGAATGAATTATCATCTTTCAATTCATTCATTTCTTTACTACATAATTGTTTATCTTCAAATTTTATTTCTTCCTCCTTTTGTTTTGTCCTATGTTTTGTAATTCCTTCTATGATTTTCCTATGTTCATAAAATTTCCACTCTTGCTCACTGTTTTCAATTACTTTCTCCAACTTATTCTGTGTGTTATTTGACAACAAAGTGTTCGGTTTCATATATTTTAAATCTACTGTTTCTAATAAATAAAAATCATTATCGATTTGGTCCTTTCTTTCTTTTGCAACTTTTTCCATATCGTGAGTTTCGTTGCCATCAAATGGGAGACTTGTATTTCCATTCTTCCCTTCCTCAACATTTGCCATTTCCACTACTTCTATCACTTCTTTATTTTCAAGCGTGGGTTCTTCATTCTGATTCATCATTTCCATCAATTCCTTATCTTTGTAAAATGAAGCATCGTCTCTACTGTTACAACAAAACTTCCTTACCACATTCACATCTTCATCCACAAACAATAATTTTTTTTCATTACTATTTTCTATGTCCATTATTTCAAATGTTTCATCTCCATTTCTCTCAACATCCATATAGGCTTCATAATATACTTCATTAACATCACCAAAAAATAAATTATCAATTGATTTTTTTTCATTGTCTATTTCTGTGTTTCTCATTTGGGTTATTCCTAACTTACCCCAATTTTCTTCTTCCCATTTTTCCTCGAAGCCATTTTCTCCTATTTCACATGTTTTCTTTTGATAAAAAAAATTTTCGTCTAAAATTTTTTTATCAGATTGTTCTTCCATCCTTGGCTTTTCCTTTTCCATTTCTTTATTGTTAAAAGAAGTACTTTCAAATTCTATATTCTTATTTTGTAGCACTTTTCCTTCGTCTAACTTTTCTAAACTATTATTTTCAAAAAACGTGTTCTTTCCTTCGTCTAACTTTTCTAAACTATTATTTTCAAAAAACGTGTTCTTTCCTTCGTCTAACTTTTCTAAACTATTATTTTCAAAAAACGTGTTCTTTTCTTCCTCTTCTTTTCTATTCACATTTCTGAAGCAGAGGTATTCATCTAAACTATAATTCGACTTTTCCTTACTTATATTCGCACAAAATGATAAATCCAATGACAAACAGCTATATTCATCATTATAGTCACCATTATGTTTACCATCACAAGTTCCATTTTGTGTATCTTCATGGGAAGCATTCTTCTCTTCCCTATGCTCTTGTGTCCTGTTGAAATATCTATATGCAATATCTTCATTAACTGCTACTGCAGAGTCGAGCATAAAAGGATCATTTGGGAATTCCCTTTTTTTCTCATTTTGGACATCCTTTTTGACACAATTTTGAATGTCATTTTCCACTTCGTTTTTGACGTAATTTTTCACCCCCCTTTTAACTTCATCTTCTTCAATGGATTTACTAAAATGCATCATGTCAGTGTTCTCTATAATACACATCCTTTCTTCAGGTACATGTTTTTCTGAAATGTTAAAAAATGGGAATTCTTGTTTCCCTCCACTAATATCAGATTCCATCTCCAAGTGTGTATACACCAAATTTTCCGCATTATAAAAATTTACAGTTTCACACTTTAATGTATACTCCTCATTTTTTTCACTCTCTTTAATGCTTTGGATAACTTGACCCTCAAAATGTTTAACTTCACCGTTTCCTACTTCACCGTTTCCTACTTCACCGTTTCCTACTTCACCGTTTTTTACTTCACCGTTTTTTACTTCACCTTTTTCTACATCACCTTTTTCTTCTTCACCTTTTTCTACATCACCTTTTTCTTCTTCACCGTTTCCTACCTCACCGTTTCCTACTTCACCGTTTCCTACTTCACCGTTTCCTACTTCACCTTTTTCTTCTTCACCGTTTCCTACCTCACCGTTTCCTACTTCACCGTTTCCTACTTCACCGTTTTCTACTTCACCGTTTTCTTCTTCACCTTTTTCTACTTCACCTTTTCCTTCTTCACCGTTTCCTACTTCACCGTTTCCTACTTCACCTTTTTCTTCTTCACCGTTTCCTACCTCACCGTTTCCTACTTCACCGTTTCCTACTTCACCGTTTTTTACTTCACCGTTTTTTACTTCACCTTTTTCTACATCATCTTTTTCTTCTTTACCGTTTCCTACATCACCTTTTTCTTCTTCACCGTTTCCTTCCTCATCGTTTTTTTCTTCACCGTTTCCTACTTCACCTTTTTCTACTTCACCTTTTTCTTCTTCACCGTTTCCTACTTCACCGTTTCCTACTTCACCGTTTCCTACTTCACCGTTTTTTACTTCACCGTTTTTTACTTCACCTTTTTCTACATCACCTTTTTCTTCTTCACCGTTTCCTACCTCACCGTTTCCTACTTCACCGTTTCCTACTTCACCGTTTTTTACTTCACCGTTTTTTACTTCACCTTTTTCTACATCACCTTTTTCTTCTTCACCGTTTCCTACCTCACCGTTTCCTACTTCACCGTTTCCTACTTCACCGTTTCCTACTTCACCTTTTTCTTCTTCACCGTTTCCTACCTCACCGTTTCCTACTTCACCGTTTCCTACTTCACCGTTTTTTACTTCACCTTTTTCTTCCTCATTCTCATCCTTCATATCATCACTTCTTGTAATATTTCCATTAGACATAAATTCCTCAAACTCGTACTCTTTATCTCTAACTGAATATTCCTCCAATCCTGCATGTTCAAAACTGCAACTTTTTAGATCTACAGTGGAATTTAAAAATTTACTGTTCTTGTTGTCGTTGTTCATATGATGCGAATCACTGGTATTTAAGTGGCCGCTATGAGCACATTTTTCTTTATTTTTTTCATTAGTGGTATCATTTATTTGTCCCCCATCATTTGAATTTTCTGCGTATTCTACATTATTACTTCTTTTTGTATGATAACTAGCAGAAAATGTGAAAGTGGAAAAATTGTTTTGGTCTATTTTGAAAAAATCATCACCATTTTCGTCAAATTCACCAACATGGGTGCTGATCTGTTGCAAATATTCACAGGAATCAGTAGTGTCTATAGAATTTTGAACATGTTCCCTAAACTTATTCATGTTTGAGTCAGTATCAACTCCCTTGGTCTCCACCTCTGACAAATTCTCTCTTCTTTCCCACGACTTTTTCTCTTCCTGTTTACAAATATTCGATACAAAACATTGTTCACTCATTTTTTCTTCTGCAAAGAAAATATTGCTTTTTTTTTTCTCTCCATGGTTAGATATTTCCTCTTTTATATTATTCTCTCTACTTTGTTCATTATTTTCAAACATCAAAAATAAATCGTCTTCTTCGTTGTAATTCCTTTCATTACTTTTCTCCTTAGTAATGTTTTCATCTTCCTGAAAAGTTTCATTTCTCCATGTGTCTATGCTGTTGTCCTTCTTTTCTTCATGAGCTTTTGTTGATGCAGATGTAATTTTATTGTATAAAAAAAACATTATTTAGGGAAGATAAATTACATCAAAGAACAATGTAAAATGAATACACAAAAAAAAGTTTTTCATTTTTTTTTTTTTTTTTTTTTTTTTTTCCCCCACACCACTTTAATGATTATTTTCTCTTATTTTATTTTATTTTTTTTTTTTTATTTCCTCTCATAAATGGACCTTAGGGTATATAACTTCATTTTCGTTATTAAAAATATGCAAAAATACTTACCATTTTTGTGAAATCAAAGCAAAATTTGTTGTTTAATAAAAAGATTAATTCGCACAAAAAAGTCAAAATGAGTGATGACAATATAAGTGTCATTTTAAAATTGAAATTCCTGAAAAAAAATTTTTTTTTTTTTTTCTCTCTTAGGTGTTAAATGCTTTCATTCTATTTGTTTATTTGTTTACTTCCTTGTTTGCTTATTCACTTATTTGCTTGTTTGCTTATTCGTTTATTTGCTCATTTTTTTATTTTATTTTTTTAGCTTACACGAAAGGCGAAAAAAAATAGCTCATGTTTTTGTATTATTTTACTTTTTTGCTTTTTCATTTAAAAAAAAAAAAAAGAAAGAATGAATAGTAAATTTAAGTCTACAAAATAATCATTATATTTTAAAGAATGAAAGGGAGTTGGGGGAAACTTCCAGTATGCCTTTTTAAAAAGGCTTTTATTTTATTGTATTTGTAGGTTACTTATATCCTATAGGATATGTGTGAGCCCATTTTTACATTTCCATTTGAACGCATGTGATGTCATTTGTATGTACACACATACATACATATATATATATATATATATATATATATATATATTCAATTGTACCAGGACAGATACGCACCTAACAGTTTGAACCACATCCAGCTAATAATTTAATTTTAAGGCATCTCTTCACCTTTGAGCTTGTGTAAAAGATGTCCATATATGGTAACAGTTACACATGCGTACTTGTGCGAACTGTATATAAGCCTTTGCAGATGGAGTGCCTATATATTTACATTAACACATTACCATATTAACACATTAACACATTACCACATTAACACATTACCACGTTAACACATTACCACATTATCACATTAACACATTACCACATTACCACACTACCACATTAACAAATACCACATTAACACATTCATGTATTTAGGCAGGTATGTGAGTATGTCGTAAAGCATCACACCCCTGTCCAAGCACAGCATCATTTTTTCTCTGATTGCCAACCCTTTTTTACCGAAGGATGATCCACCTTAGTAAGAAAAAAAACATAAAGGGGTTTCTGAATTATTGCAAAAGCAAGTGCCTTAAATCGGTGCTAAATAATAAAAATGGTGACATGCTTAAAGAAATTTCGCCATGGAAAAGGAATAAGTTCCTTTTTGGCAAAAGTGAAAACTCGAACATTTTCGTGGATATATTGAAAACTTCACTTTTAAAATTGACGGGAAAATACATAAGCAACAAAATAACATCGGATATAAACAAAATAACATTTGATACATCTGGAAGTGGTAACACAAAATACACTGAAAATGTGAACAAGGAAATTCTATTATGCATGCATGTACTAGAATACAAAGATGAACAAGTAGACAAAGAGTTAAGTTACTTACACGACTATTTTAAGAAAATTAAAAGTGGAATAGACCCATATGCGCTCTGTGAAAATAAAATAAAAAATATTGATGAACATATATATAACATCATTAAAACGGATTATAACAATATTAATGAATTTATAACTTATATATATCTCTATCAAGGGAAAAAATTTAGGGTCATTTTAAGTATTCTGTTAAAAAATATTTTATCTTATGTAGATAATACATCTTCAAAAAACAATTTTAAATTTAGAAATATACAAAGAAATTGTTCTAAATCTATAAAATCTACGAAAAATATTATAGCAAAAAAAAAACTATCTGTTATTAACTCCCCAAATAATAATATGTCTAAAAAACAAATCGGAGAAAATCAATGTAAAATTATTGCTGCATCAGAAATTATTCATATGGGATCTCTTTTACATGATGATGTAATTGATGAATCAAATACTAGAAGAGGAGCTTTAGCATTACATAAAAAATATGGAAATAAAATATCCATATTATCAGGAGATTACTTACTGGCACGTGCCAGTTCAGTATTTGCAGCTACAGGGTGTCCAAAAATATGCAGAAGATTTGCATATGTTGTCGAAAGTTTAATAAAAGGGGAATTGTTACAAATGAATTTGAAATTTAATAATATAGAAGATGCATTAAAAACATATTTTATTAAAACCTATCACAAAACAGCATCTCTCTTTTCTAACCTGTTTGCTTGTATAGCAATAGCCTCTTTTAAAAATGAAAAAATTATTGAGTTATGTTTTAATTTGGGGCTTCATATAGGTATGGCTTTTCAACTGTATGATGATTATTTGGATTATAAACCAGACCAAAAAAGCAACAAACCTATATTAAATGATTTAAACAACAATATAAAAACAGCCCCATTTTTATTTAGCTATAATCACAATCCAAATGCTGTATTGTCATTAATTAACAAAAAAAATCTCTCGGATACTGATATTAACAATATTTTATTTTACATTAATAGCACAAATGGTATGAAAAAAAATGAATTGTGCTTCTTATTACACATCAAAAGAGCAGCTGATATTCTGATGTCCTTAAATTCTTATTGTAGGATTACCAAAAATGTCGAAAATGAAAATTCACAAAAAAATGATCTTAACCAAAGTAGGGAAGCCTTAATCAACTTAATCTTGAATATATTATCACGAAATACAAAATGAGTGGAAAATCGGGAAGGGCCAAAAAAGGTTGCCCATTTTGCGCAGCACACTGCTAAAATGGAAACAAAAGACAAAAAGACACGAAAAAACGCGAAAAATGAGAAAAAATACTTAAAAAAACGAAATCGAATATGTGCATAACAAACAGATGCAAAAAATTAAATAAAAACGATTTCAAAATGGCACGTGGTCGTGAATTTTCGTGTAAGGAGAAAAATCTAACCAAAACACCGCGACAAATGTGCCCATTCATACAAATCTTCCCATTCGAGTTCCTTCTTCTGCTCGAATTTTTTATTATTCCATTTTTATTGTTTACTTTTTTGGTTTCCTTTTATTTTCTCCATGGGAGTATTTTTATTTGTTTTCTTTTTTTGAATTAAATTCAAAAGAATTTAGTCTATTCCATTTTAATTTAATATATATTAGCATATAATTTAAAATAATACAATCCAGCGCAATTTAATACAGTCTAGTATAATTTAGTACAGTATAGCATATAATACAACACAGTTTAGCATAATATAACACGGTTTAGCAAAATTTTATACAATTCCTTTTTTTCCTTCAATGCCCATTTCATATGCCTAATTTATTTGTCTTTATGTCACTTTATTTGTCCCTCTTTTTTTTTCTTTTTTATCCGACATTTACCTCATCATTTATGAACAGTCACTTCTTTGCACTGTTGCAACTATGAGACGGAAACGTGTATTTAAAAAATAAAATAAAATAAAGAAAAACACAACAAAAAAATGCACATTTTATGAGGTTAAATAAATCTGTGTAATTTTTTTTTTTTTTTTTTTTTTTTTTATCCCTACCAGATATAGAAATCCATATTGTTCTTTTTTGCGTCCCTCCAAAATGTTCTTTCCTCATTCTTGTCTAAAATTTCTATTTCTATATCCCTTTTTAAATTTCGTTCCTTGGAATGCAAAAATATTATATTCTTTAAAATAACTTTGTATAATTTCAAAAGGTGGGAAACTTCTTCATCCGAATGCATCAATGCATAAGCTTCATTTTTTGTGTGATCAATATGCATCAGGCATACGTCAACTGAAAGGATAAGTACAAGAGCGTATTTTCACTGTTACTTATATATATCCTTATATCGGTATCGAAGTCATTTATAAGTGTATGTAATCCTCTGCATGTATACAGTTTTAAGACTGGGGATGCATTATAGCTAAAAACGTTTTGTACTAAAAAAATATAGGTTCATAAACGGGAAACAAAACTCTTATCGAATTGTCTGTGGAACATGTAAGTACAAGCATAAGGATATCGAACTGTGAACTTCCAAATGAGAACTCCGTGATAGGAAATATGACACATGCATGGACCTAAAAGAGAGTCCTCCAGATGTTTCAATAAAAAAAAAAAAAATTGCTCAATTTGGGTTGCCTTAGCAAATATTTACCCATATGTCCAAGGAAATTTTTTATCTCTAATTCTCCTTCGAAAAGAATAATGTTTTTTATTTTTACTAGACAACCTGTAGCTGCAAAAACAAAAAAAAAAAAAAAAAAATGCATTTCATGCTTATATATCATCATGTCGTGTGCGCAAACACTACACATTATTTACACACGTATCAACATGGCACATCGGTAAAAAAAAAAAAAAAATAGGCATAACAAATAGAACCAAAGAGGCTGGATGAAAAACAAAAATAACTGTCACTCCCTTTTCATACAACATTCATATTGTGTCAATGTGTACACGTGGTAATTCTCTTAATTTTCAACACTTACGCTCACTTGGAAATGTGAGAGATGTTTTATATTCCATTCTGAAAAACGAAGAAGTTTTTACAAAAATATATTCACTCAGTCAATTCTCATTTTTGTTTTTCCATACTTGAAAAAAATGAATAGAATAAAATATAGTAAAATAAAGTAAAATAAAATAAGGTAAAATAAAATAAAGCAAAATAGTGTATAATATAAAGCATAAACCTTCTTGCTCGTCAATCAAATATTCTTCCATACACCGAAACGTCCAAAAATCCACTCACAAATGTGTACGTATTATAAATTCTCATTTTTGCGAACATGCAAAAACCTACTTCAGAAAATGAGAAGAAATATTAACCCTCACAAATGGGTAGCAGAGTTCTATTATAGTACAGAACTTTAGTTTTTATTTTGGAGAATATGCACTAGTGTAATTTATTCCCCAATTGTTTCATTTTATTATTATTTTATTATTCTTTTTTTTATTTGCTTTTTATTATATTTTCTTATTTTATTTTATTTTTTTTTAACACTTTAAGTGATTCCTATGCAATATTCTACGTTAGCATGTACGAGTGCATTTTTGTATACATTTTCCTTGCTTAAAATTGTGTGAAATGCGCAAGGCTTATTTCATTCTAACATAAATACAAAAAAAACATGAATCCCTTATTAAAAGGACATACTAAATGGACCGTTCATACCTTTTCTTACCTTTTTCAAGTTAAAAAATAATTTAAATAACTTTTACTATTTTTTTAATAATTTCAAATTTATTTATTATTTTTTTTCTTTTTTATTCTATTTTTAAAACATATAAATTATAGGCTCTTTACGTGTTTTATCTCCTAAGCGGCTGTCTTATAATCCATTTTGAGTGTACGTAAAAATGTAATGCATTTTTTTCTGCTAAAAATTTTAATTTTGATACCCCACTATTTTATTAATTCCTTGGTTTATTCCTTTAGCATATGTTATACTAGAACAATATTGCCCTGGGAATTATAACAGGTTTATTTTTCTTCATTTAAACCTTGTCAAATCAGTAGTCTGATTTTTGTTCTTATACTTGTCTATACGCATTCATGATTAAATGTCTATCTATGCCTATGTGTACTTATCAGCAGAATCCAATAATCCCCATGTAACCATCTCTTCATTGCTCACCATTTTGATACTCTTTCAACCGTAGGCTTCTTTCTATTCTACTTTTTACAAGTAGTACCTTATCCTTTTTTATGATCTCCCTAAGTGATCCCGGTAATTTCTTTTTCCTTCAATATAGCCACATTGGACTTTCTTGAATTTATGTTTTCTCATATGAATAAATAAAATGTTTCACATTAAATTATGCAGGAAAAATATCCCACATATCGTTGGACAAACACCTGAATTTTTATTCGTATGACCAAATCATTTTTCGTGAAAACTCAGAATGCAAAACATGCCATATGTTAAAGTAAGGAAAGAAGGGAACCTTTATATTAACACAAAGGAAAAAAAGAATTTCAAAATGAAACGTCAATATGTGAAAATTTGACTTTTCTTCACCGTAAAAACTTACACATGCGGTATATTATGGAAAAAAAAAGAAGAAAAAAAATATGCACTAAATAAAATACAAACATCTCTCTCAGATTAGAACACAAAAGTGTAAAAATAAATAATAAAAATAACTTTAAATGTCCCAAAAAAAAAAAATTCTTTTCTTTTCAGACCTGCAAGAAGTAAACATTGTAAATATTGTTTGTCATGTATATCTCGCTACGACCACCACTGCTTTTTGTTAAACAACTGTATCGGCGGATACAACCATATTTATTACTTGGTTTTTATATATACAAACATCATAATTACCTTTCATTCTAACTATATAAGTAATCAGCAATAGAAAAAAGTACGATATGCGTTTGCATCCACTCAAAGTTTTTAGATCCTTTCTAAATTATACAATTGCTTCGTTTTGCATGCCCTACTTCATAAGCTTCGCTCGCTTCATCTGTTCTACTCTGTTTTCTTCCTATTGTAGCATCTCGCTGTCTGTATAATATCATTAAATATGAAAATCTTCTAAAAGGTACTGACGCAGGAAAAAAAGGAGACCACACAATTTAACATTTCCTTTAGGGCGAATTATATGAGTTTACCACGAGTTCTCTATCAAATTATATATTCACACATATGTGTGCATATTCTCCTGTCCACAATTGAGGCATTTGAGAAAAATAATTTTTTTTTTTTTTTTTTTTTTTTTATTTATTTATCTACCGCTTGTAGCTACATTTATAAACCAAGTGAGCAAAGATGAATTGCCGAATTCGTATTTAACTATTGCTTTGGTAAAAAAAAAAAAAAAAAAATTAAACAAAATAAAAATAAATTAATAATGATACACAAAATGAATAGTCTTTTACAAAAAAAAAAAAAAAAGAGAAAAAATAAAATAATAAACTTTGGCTAAAAAGAAAAAAATTCATTTCCCCTTTCTACAGTACCTATTTTCCAAATACAGTCCCACGTTCTCCCTATTTATGATATCTCTACTTTGCTTACCCCTTTTAATCTTACTTTTTTTGCGTGATATCTTTTCCAATTTTTGCCTGAACATAACGAACAATGAAAAGACAAAGTATAATAATTTAAAAGGTAATAGTCCCGTGAACAGACAATTTTACAACAAAGGTACTGAGGAAAATCCGGATAATTAACAACATCACATATCCTTGCGTTTATAAATATTCGTATAATTAAATTACCACAAGTATATCATTGTACATATATTAACATAACACATATAATGTTATTTTTTTTTATTTTATTTTCCTTCTTAATCATAGGTTTCATAAGGAACGTGCAAGACGTGTTCTTTTACAAAAAAAATGTGGAAAATTTTTTTAAAAAAAATTCATAAATACGAGTGCTGTATATACATACTATATTTGCATATACAAAAATGTCAGTTGGTCACGTTGTTGAGAAGTGAAGCAATATCGACGAATTGTAACATAAAATGAAAAAATGTAAATAGCACATATGTATGTGCATATAAATACAAATGTGGATGTGTTCCAAATGGACATGCGTAAAAGAAAAATACAACGCCTAATTTGGGGCACAAAATTGTCAGGTAAAGGTATACAAAATAGCTTATTTAAAAAAGGTCAACAGATTAATATGCCAAGAGAACATTTTCATGAAAAAAATACATGTAAAAATAGTAACAAAAGCATGTACAAGTATCACACAAAGAGGTATATAATAATGGACATCCCCACCCCCGACACCTCTCTATCCTCTCCTCATCAAAACCTAGATAAATGTAGAACATACAATTTGATCAGAGGTATAACGGCCACTTGGAAAACTTAGCAGAAGGGACTTTTGTGTACAAAAATAATGTCTCGTTTCTCTCCAACGAATTCGTTAAAAATATTTTTCACTTTTTTCATGTCATCCAAGTAATTAATTTTTGGCGTATTCCCCAATCTGTTATATTTGTTTGTTAATCTGTTTTTGTCCATTGTTTTTGGTCTGCTATGCATTTCCCCTTTATGTGTGAAAGCGTCTTCACCACACTTCCTCGATGTAATGTGAAGATTCGAATTTATCAAATTATTTTTACTCAAAAGTATTTGTGGATTATTATTATTTTTCTTCACATTTTGTATTTTTCTCAAATTGATTATACTATTAGTTAAAACATTTTCCTGACTCTCTAATATTGTGTTCTTATTATCGTCATGCAAAATGCAATCTTTATAATTTGTATATAAAACTTCATCTTTTTCTACGCTAAAATAATTTTCATTACTCATTTCAGAGTATTTATCTAATTCTCTATTTAAGGCAAAGTCAGCTCTATTCGTAGAATCATTTAAATTTAACTCTTTTATCATATTTCTGACTCTCCTTAATTTTCTCATACATTCTTGATATTTATATAGCAACAAATGATAATCTCTATTTAGCATGTTTTTGGATTTTTTTTCAAAATTTAAATCTTTTCTTAACTGTGCTATCGTTTTTAGTCTCATTTCATCCTTCGAAAAGTTTAATATATCTATAATTTTTCCTCTTTTCGTGCTGTTACTATTGTTGTAATCAACATCTTCACATTCCCCATCCTTTTCAACTATTTCTTCCCTATTCTTCTCTTCCAAAATGAAATACATCATCTCCCTTTTTATGTTGCTTGCTGTTTCCAAATAATTTTGAAAAAGAAACCACGAATCATCATACCTTTCATTGCTCAATTTTTCATTTAGACTTTTTACATAATTTCTTAATTTATCCAAAAAATAAAAATATTTAAAAATCAATACTCTAATTTCTTCTGGTATGTACATAAGTTTCCATAAATTCCGATTTATCTTTTCAAATGTGTTAACAAATTTATCGTTTAAAAATAAAATGCTTAATATCTCGTTTACAATTATACAGACAACTGTGATGGTATTTTCTTGAGCACTCTCTACATCTGTATTATTCACATTGCCTATAGCATATAAATCTTCCACATTTTTAGAGTACAAATAAGACCCGATTATTTTTTCTCCTTGCGTAGAATTCCTCTCATGAAGAATTTTCATTAAACGGAAATTGTTTCCTTCCAATTCTTTAACCTTTTCTCTCACATCTAATAGATGCATCATCTCCTCCGTTCTCTCCCCTACAACGTCATCCATTTGATCATCCATTATTCGATCATTTCCCAAATTTTCAGCTCCTCCTGACTTACTTTCCAAATTTTCATCCAAATGTGCTGATTCTTCCTTTTTTGATAAAAATTTCCTTGATTTCAATTTTTCATTTTGTATCTTCATTTTTTCATTAATTTTGGTTAATGATAAGATTCTTTTCTTATTCTCCTTATCCTTCATTTCAAGCTCTTTCACTTCATTCATCAGATCCACTGATTTTATATCACAGCTATTTTTTCTATTCAATTCGTTGCTATACAGCAAACTAAGTCTGTTTATTTCTTCTTTCAGATGTGCTATTTCGTTTATATAATCATTTACTACTAATGCTGATTCATCCCTCTTAGTCTCAGTTTCGCTATTAGGTATAAAATATACACAGTTAGAACCCTCAGATTGGTCATTCAATGTGTTTCCAGCATCTTGTTCATTTAACCTCCTCGAACTTTTACAAGTGTTCATATTATCATCACAGTTTCTCTTGTCCTTTTCATAATTTTCATTTTGTTCACTCGATTTATTTTCATCCTTACTGATAACTTCATCGTCAGGCGTAAGGTGATTCTTACTTTTCTCACTTTTATACATTCCATTTAAAGAATCATATTCTTTGGTCAATTCATCATGTTTCAATTTTAGCACCTCGAATTCATTTTTCAAGTTATTAATATCGCTAATGTACTTTTCTTTCTCCTTTTCATTTTCATTAATTAGGTCCTTAAAATTCTGTATAACTCCTAGATTTTCATTCAATTTCAACATGTAATTATTCTCTTTTGTATAAAATTCTGCGTTCATTTTATCCGAACTATTTTTAAGATCTTCCAACTCTTTCTTCCAGTTTGCAGCTTCTTCTTCCCATTTTGTTATTTCCTCCCTTGATTTCATCTCTTCCTTCTTCATCTTTAACACTTCTTCGCTCAACCTTTCAATTTCTTCATTTGCTTTCCTCAGATTTGTACTCACTATGTCCTTCTCCCTTTTCTGTCTCTCTGTTTCTTCTACAACTTTCGTCAATTTATTATCCTTCTCCGCCAATTCATTCTTCATATTTTTTAGATCCATTACCTCATTTGTTAAGGAGCATATTTTATTCTTTAAATCCTCAATAATTTTCATCTTATCTTTCAATTCATTTTTGTATTTTTCCATTTCTTTGCTTTCTTTTTTATGTATCTTCATTTTCTCATTTTCATCCTTATCTAATTCGTTTCGTTTCAAATCCGTTTGTATTTCCTTTTCATTTTTTGATGACTTTTGTTTTTTTCCTTTTATTTTACGAAGTGGGAAATTTAAAAAGGATTTTAAATTCCCTCCTCCTTCCATGTCTGATTCTGAAATGTGTTCCTTCTCAGAATCACATTTTCCTTCGCTTTGTTGCGACACACCTTTCTTCTCTGGTTGTTGATCAATTTTGTAAGCTTCTTCACTATCCAATTGCATCATCCCTCTAACATCAGCACATTTCTTATAATAACTCAGCTCTTCTGTTAATTTTGTAATTTCATTCTGTTTCTCCAACTGTTCCTGATCATTCTTAACTTTCAGTTCGCTCAACGTTAAACTTAGGGTGTTAATTTGAGAGATGTACGCATTTATTTTCTCTTCAGAGTTATTTTCCTTATAAAGAGAAATAGTTTCATTTAAGTTGTTTATTCTATTAATCAATTCAGAGACTTGATTTTTAGACTCTTCTATTTCTTTTTCTTTTAACGACAAATGGCATTCCATTTTTGCCATCTCTTCTCTATGCTGTTCTTGCAAGCATTCTAGTTCTTTCTTTAACTCATGAATAACTTTCTCTTCTTTTTTTCCTGCCATCTCATCCTTAGCCTCTGATGTGTTATTTGTATTCTCCATCCCTTCGTCGAGCTCTTTTGGATTCTCATTTCCAACGTTTTCAGAAACTTCTTTTTCATTCGTGTTTGAAACAGCCTTATCAATGTTTGTAATAGATTCCCTTTCTAATGTATTCATTTGTTTACTCATTTTATTTATATAATCTCCAAGCATTTCAACAATTTCCTCAGATTGTATTCCCTCGCAATATGGAAGACATATTTTAGAGCAAATATTTCTGAAAAGATTCATTCTGTCATCATACAATTTAAGATATTTTTCCTCTGTCTTTAATTTTAACTCCTTTAATTCATCATTTTTCAAAATTAAAATTTGCTCCTTTTCGTGTGATTTTACATGTATATTATTTAACTCTTCTTCAAAGTACCTCTCTTTTGATTGTAACTCTTCATCATATTCTTTTATTTTTTTGTCATAATCTTCCTTCATTTGTTTGTTTTCTTTTTCTTTCCCATTTAATGCATTTTTCAAATGATCCAACTCTTCCCTAATATTTATATTCATTTGATTGTCTGTATCTTTCAACTTTTCTTTTAAAATTTTTATTTCATTTTTGTAATTATTTTCAATTTCTATAAGAAATTTTTCTTGTCCTTCCTTTTCATCATTCAGTGTGTTTATCATGTCTTTCAACTTGTTAATTTCATTATCTGATGTGCTTATTTCATGTTTTAAATTATGTATCATATCGTTCAGTGTTCTTATTTCACCACTAAGTGTATCTTTTTCGCTGTTCAGTGTGTTTATTTCGCTATTCAATATTTTTATTTTGCTGTTTAATTCATCTTTCTCCGTAGCCAAAGTGTGCTTCTCTTCGTTTAATTTGTTTATTTCTCCACTAAGAACCTGTTTTTCATTACTTAACATGTGCTTCTCCTCACTGAGTGCATTAATTTCGTTATGTAATTTGTAAATCTCCATTTCGTGATTATTCTTCAATTGGATCATTTTGCTTTCACTCTCTTCAAGTTCATCATTCAAATTGTTTATTTCAATAATATGACTATTTTTTAATTCTATACATTCTTTCTTTTTATCATTCAGTTCCTTATTCAATGTATCTATCTCTTTTTCGTACTTAGTTTCAAGTTCATTTATTTCCTTTTCCTTCACTTTAAGTAAATCTTCCAATTTCTGTTTATAACCTTCATTTATGTCTTGCTGTTCCGTATGTTCCATTTCTGTGGATATCTCACCAGGTATATCACCACAATTACATCCACTTTTACTACTACAATTTGCAATTTCTTTTTCTTTTTCTTTTATTTGACCTTTTAACAAATTGATTTCATCATTGTATGTATTTTTTAGGTCCAATATTTCCATTTCTTTTTCGACAAGTGCATTACTTAAATCTTTTATTTCTAATTCGTAAATTTTTAATTGGCAATCATTTTTAGAAACATTATTTGTGAGATCTTTCAATTCGTTTTCCATATGAAGGAAGTCATTTTCTCTTGTTTCCACATTTTTTTCTCTTATTTTAATTTCATTTAATTTTTCTAAAAGTTCACCTTGTTCTTTTTCTAATTCTTTAATTTTTTCTTCAAAATGTTTTTCCTTTTCATTTGCTTTGCTATCTAACAATTCGATAATTTTTCTTTTTTCTTCTACATCTTTTCCTAATTGTTCATAAATTTTTTCCTTTTCATTTATCTTTTCATCAAGATGTTCAATCAGTTCATTTTTTTCTTTTATGAATTCCTTTAGTTCTCTTAAGGTATTTTCTTTTGAAATTACTTTATTGCTAACATTTTCTAGACATTCCTTTTTGTCTTTAACTTCATACTTTAACTTTTCTAAAGATATTTTAATATCTGTAATTTCAAAATGGAGTTTTTCTTTTTCTTTATTTTTTTCTACATATTCCACTTGCATATCATTTAATTTGTCTTCCTTTTTCGCAATAAATGTCTCTCTATCATTCATTTTTTCTTCTCTCATATTTATATCTAACTCTTTTTCATTTAACAAATTTTCTTTTTCATTTAGCATGCCAATCTTCTGTTTTATAAAATCCTCTTTCTCCCTTAACTCCTGTTCGTATAATTTATCAACTTGTTTATCTTTTTCTATTTTTAATTCTTTTTCTAAATCCTGAATTTTAGTTTCATAATTTACAATTTTAGTTGACAGAGAAGTGATCGATCGTAATGTCTCCTTCAGTTGTTCCTCCAGTTCATAATCTTTATCCCTTTCAGTTGTTTTTCTAACATTTTCTTCGCACTCCTCTTCTTCTATATCATTAGATTTATTTTTACTTGTAATAGCATTGTCAATAACCTTCCTGTACCAAGAATTACTTTTCTCTTTTTTTTCCCCAGGCTCATTATTCTTTCCTTCATCCTTATGTGTGAGTTTGCTTAATTTGTCTGAATTTTCTTCTTTCTTTTTTTTCTTGAATTTAAATACCATTTCTTTTTTCTGTGCCAATTTTGTGCTGAAATTATGTCATGCGAAAGGGGAGCCGTACGACCAGGAAAAAAAAACGTTATACCTATATCCACAAGGATGTGCATGCACCTGTACACCTATACACTTGTACATATACACTTGTACATAAATTCTCATGCATATGTATGTATACTCTACAAACAGTTCCCTCCTTTCACGTTAACTCCAACTACTCATCAGCAAAGAAATCACAGGAAATTACTAAAAATTATGACGGATGAGCAATTGGGGTATGCACACACAAAAAAAAAAAAAAAAAAAAAATAGCAATAAAGTAGCAATAAAATAGCAATAAAGTAGCAATAAAATAGCAATAAAGTAGCAATAAAATAGCAATAAAGTAGCAATAAAATAGCAATAAGGTAGCAATAAAATAGCAATAAGGTAGCAATAAAATAGCAATAAAGTGTGAAACAATATGAAACAGTAGGGTGACACAAATAGGTTCGGTTAAACCAAATCAATACTGTACAAAAAACTCTAGCAGTTTTGAAGAAACAAAAAAAACATGCAAAACAAAACGTAAAAACAGAAAAAAGAAATAAATAATAATTTTCCCCCCTATTCTACATAAATCTGCCAATATAACGAAAGACATTCAACAGATAGCCAATAAATCACAAAATTCATCCAAGAGATTTATGTAACAAATACATGAGTTATGATCATGCAAATGTATCTTATGTTATCTTATATTATATATATGCATATGTGTGTACCTCTGTTTGCTTGCGCATTTATAAGCACTTAAACGTACACATTTATTTGCCCACACATGTAACTCTCTCTGACAGAAATAAGACTACGAAACAAAGGGTGTATTCTACCAAGTTGGAGGGAATAGGTGGGGAGGGGTGGAAAGAAGAAGAAAAGTTAAAATAAAACTAGAACTAACTCTTTAATACGTTTGTTTATTAAACAATTCATGAAATTTCACAGAAAACGAAACAATTCTAACTGCATAGATAACGCGAAAATTTAAAAACTTTAAAAAACAAAAAAAAAAAAAGAAAAATTTATACTAAAAAAAGGTATAGAAAGGCATAAAATGGTGTAAAAATCTTGAGAAAAGATATAAAAGCCCAATAAAAGGGAACTTAAAAAAAAAAAAGAAAAAAAAAATGTACTATATAATTTGCTGTACTTAACTGTAAAAATTAATCAAATAAACACTGGAATCAAAGCAAAACATATGAAAACAAAAAAAAAAAAAAAAAAAAAAAAAAATAATCAAAACTCAACAAAAGCTAATGATGAAAGGAAAAAAAAGAAAAAAAACATTTATTAAGGCTTGGGTTTTTGTCAACCATAACTAATAAAGTAACAAATTCAAAGACGTGCCTCCTATATTTTTTTAAATTGTTTTAACAAAATATTTCAAAGATCAAATAACTGAGTGTGTGCGCGTATAAGTAAGCGTGCAGTGGGTATCCCACATATATTAAACCATGTCGTGAAATAGAAAAAATGAAAATAAAATGAAAATACTACACAATATCCACGAGTGGAGAAAAAAATGGTTTGAGTAACTTTTTAAACATTTTTAAGAATGACATATAAACTTCACAAGTTAAGATTAAAGTATACTAAATTGGCTCTCAAAGCATTTAAACAAATAATAAAAAAAAAAAAAAAAAAAAAAAAAAACTACTTTCATTTTTAACTTCGCAACGTTTGAATTGTAAAAAAAAAAAAAAAAACTTCGTAAGAAAATTTGTTCATAGAAAAAAAGGCCTCAATTGTAAAAAAAAAAAAAAAAACTTCGTAAGAAAATTTGTTCATAGAAAAAAAGGCCTCATATCGCATTTATAACTTTATATACTTTTACATGTCCTTTCTTTCTGTGCAATGATATAAGAAATGTTTTAACAAAATTTTCCAAAATCATCTGTCGAAGAGAACTTAACTGTTTCTCTTTGATGAAAAAGAAAAAAATATAAACTAAAAGATATAATTTTTTTTTTTTTTTGTGAAAATATCTCTTAATTAAATTCTTCATAACTCTGGATGATTTATTAATACGAGAAAAATTAAAGAACCACAATTCATTGTTTACACATATGAATTATTTTTACCAGTTCTTTTCACCCAAGCTACCGCTTTTAAATTTTAACATTGCATAACGTATACCAAAAAAAAAGGATTCTATAACAATGGAAGGGTTAAACTTTTAATTAATACTTATCCTTTGCAACCATGCTTACTTATACACATGCATATATGTGCATATTCACATTTCTATGCAGATCTCCTTTGCAAATAAAAAAAAAAAAAAAATTTACACACTTTCTACGTACACATCCTGTATACACTTTCCCATACTTGGTAATATTCTTCCTAAATAACTTTGTAGAAAAATACGACACAATGGTGTTAATCCTGAACTACACAATATTACATAAGACGGATATTCAACCCTTTTTTCACTTAAATCCTCAGATAACTCTTACCTGTTCATTTCGATAATTATATAAAATACACATATACTGGAAAATAGTTCTGCGATATGTAACTATATACATATACATGCACAAAGTATATGCACATACACTAGCCTACCCCCACGCACACACCCTATTGGTACATTTTCTAAGTATAATATTTTATTTCTTGAAATTTTTTATATACACATATTTATGTTAAAAATGTGTGAAAAGGAACTACTTGTACACAAACACATATTCATTAATTTTAAACAAGTTCTAATACAAAATAAAAAAAAAAAAAAAATCGAAGAAAGTCGAAAAAAATTTTCTTATAGAAGAAAATATGAACTTTTAATTAAAAAATTATAACAATAATGAATTCGTAAAAAATGAAATATCTAAAGGTGGCAACAACGAAAAAAATGGCGAAAAAGAAAAGTAATACGGGAGGGTCATATGAAAAGGTGTACACTGATACAAGTGTGTTCTTACATATGTGTATTCCTTCACAAAAACATCATGAGCTGAAGGAGAATCACATTAATTTGTAAAATGAATGCATCACAAAAATCGATAAATAGAAAGGATGTCAAAATGGCATAGAATTAACAAAATTTAAATTAATGGGGATATAAACACAACTAAAACAATATTACCATATTAGACATAGCATGTTTTATCTGTTAAAAATGAAAAACAAAATTTTTTTTTTTTTAAATCTGGAACTTTTGAAAACGTGAACAAAAAGGGGTTAGTCCCTCCACTTGGGGAGGTGGTGGACTAACAGAGATAGCTCAAATTGATATATCATGGATAGATATTGCACAATTCGTGATCAAATAACATTTATACTTGTTTCGATATTATTTGGCTTCAAATTATCGTATGACGTGGGAGATTACTCAATTTATAATACATTAAATGAGATAAAAAAAAACATTCTGTAAATTATTTCAAAACTGTTTCTAACACCCCTTTTATATTCTTCCCTCACTTTTTTTTTTCTTTTTTTTTTTTTTTTTTTTTGGTAACGAGTAACAATTCATATTTCATGTTCCCCTGAAATGTATTATTATTTCATGGACATATTATTTTCCACAGTTAACTTTTACACTTTTTTTTGTTATATCCTACTTTGAATCAAAGTAGTTTGAGGAAAAGTTATTCATTCTCTTTTCTTTCCAGACTTCTTTTCCTTCCTCAGATTCTACTTTTTTTTCGTCTCCTTTTCCTTCTTCGTCTCCTTTTCCTTCTTCGTCTCCTTTTCCTTCTTCGTCTCCTTTTCCTTCTTCGTCTCCTTTTCCTTCTTCGTCTCCTTCTCCTTCTTCGTCTCCTTCTCCTTCTTCGTCTTCTTCTCTTTCTCCTTTTTCACTTCCCCACACTTAGTCATATCAACGTTTAAATTATTCAGAGATTTACTATTCTCATCTCGTAACTTAATTTCAAAAAAGTCAAAGTTTTCTCGTTTTAATTCTTGGTAGAACATTTCAGGCTCACAAGATTTTGAACTCAGGACTTTTTCACTCCTGCTTTTATTTTTGTCATTAAAGAAAAAAAGATTTTTTAAAAAATTTCGAAAAATATTATTTTTCTCTTTCCCATTATTTATTTTGAGAATATCCCTAATTTCGAAAATCGAATTTGGCTTTTTTTTTATGGGTCTTTTCTTTGTCATGAATTTATGAACTAATAGATTTGAAATATTTGCTCTGTTTTCTGGAATATTTTGTAAACATGATTCAACAAAAAAACATAAATGTTTACTAAATCCAGTGCATAAATTAATTTTAGGAGATGAATTAATAATTTGTTCTACAGATTCCTCAATATTTTTATTTCTCTTCCATGGTAAGGTACACATCACAATTTCGTATATAGTTATTCCTAACGACCAAATATCAGCTGAACAGTCATACTTTTCTCTCTTCAAAATTTCAGGAGAAATATAATAAAGAGTTCCTGCAATATCCCCAGATTTAATATCTACTAACTTTTCACATGATCCAAAATCCACTAACTTTGCTACGCCACTTTTTGAAAGAACGATATTTGTTGGCTTTATATCCCTATGTAATAAACTAAATGAACATTCATTATGTAAATAATTCAACGCTTTTAATACATCTTCTAAAATGTATACTAATATATCTTCAGTTATTCTTCCACACTTTTTATATAAATCGAATAATGTCCCTCCTGACAAATATTCACACACTATAACCAAATAACATGGTGGCCAAAAAAAAGACTCATAATACTTAACAATGTTAGGGTGATCACACATTTTTAAAAAATAAACTTCTTTCATGATTTTTATTAGGTTATTTTTTTTACTTAAATATCGCAAATTTATAATTTTAAGTGTCACTAAGTTATCTTCGTCGTAAATGCTCTCGTCGTAGCTCTCGTCGTTGCTCTCGTTGTTGCTCTCGTCGTTGCTCTCGTTGTTGCTCTCGTCCTTTCCCTCGTCCTTTCCCTCGTCCTTTCCCTCGTCCTTTCCCTCGTCCTTTCCCTCGTCCTTTCCCTCGTCCTTTCCCTCGTCCTTTCCCTCGTCCTTTCCCTCGTCCTTTCCCTCGTCCTTTCCCTCGTCCTTTCCCTCGTCCTTTCCCTCGTCCTTGTTCTCTTCGTTTCTAGTCTCATCACTTTCATCCCCCTTTTCATTGTAAACTCCGTTTTCTCCCGCAACTTCCTCGACATGTCTCTCTTCTATGTCTTCCACATCCTCATCTTCCATGTCCTCCTCTCCTATATCCTCCTCTTCCACAACTTCCTCTTCTTCACTCCCACTTGTCTCACCTCCATCCACAGCATCCTCGCATGGTCTCATAGTGCAACTCTCGTTCTCACTCCTCCACGCAGAAAACACAACTCCGTGGGCTCCTTTACAAACCACCTGATTGATTTTGTACACTCGAGACCACTTTCTGAATTTTTTTTTCCCTAACTTTCTTGTGTTACTTTTGCACACTTTCACCTTTCCATAACCATTATGTACATACGAATTCTTTTTAAAAAACTTGACCGTTTCATTTAAAATAAAGTTTATCCTTTCTGCAACTATTTCAAAATTTCCTAACGTCCCATTCTGAATTTCTGTGGAGTAATGTCTTTGATTTTTCAGATTGTGTTCTTCAAGACATGCAAGGCTAGTGCAGCTTATATTTTTTAATTCTTCTTTTTTTTCTCTCAAATGCATAACATTGTTATTTACAGACGGAACACTATTCTGCTTCTTTAAGTTGGTAGCTTTTTCATACACACATGGTTCAAGCGCACGAAGTTCATGGATTGTATTTGTGCTATAGTCCTTCGTGACACCAATATCATTCTGAACAAATTCCTCACTAACCCTACTCAGTAAGACCTTATCTGCCTCTGTAACAGTTCCACTCTTTGTATCTTTCACAATATCACTTTCGTCACCAAGCACATTTGTTTCAGCTACTCCTGAATCTAATTTACTACACATCATGTCATTAAAAATGTTAGCATAGTCACTTCTGTTGATCATCTCAATTCTCTCTTCCCTTACATTAGAACACACTACATCCTTCTTATCACTCATATCATAAATGGGATTAATTATTTTACATGTGTCATTTTTCGTATTGTCTTCTTCCCTCTCCTTATCAGTACACACTGAATTGACAATATAACCTTCTCCTGCTTTCTCAACATCATTGAGCTTTATCTCTTTCACCTGCTGAACATTAGGTTCATGTTCCAAATCGTCCTTATATCTACATTCATAAGAAATGAATTCATCGATGACTTTTTCCTCCACATGTATCATTGGTTCATTACTCACTTTGGCTCCTTCTGCAAAAAAGGAGAAATTTTTTAAAAGTGAGAATATACTATTTTCATTCCTTATTTTAAATATTCCATTATTTAAAGCATTTTTCCCTTTAGAAAAATAAAACCTTAATTTTTGTGCGTTAAATAAATCATCTTCACTATTAATAAAAAAACTGGATTTTTCTGTCAACTCCCTGATAAGCTTGCTATCGCATATATTTACGTTTGATTTCTGTTTTGTAAATACTTTTTCCTTTCCCATATAATTTTCCTTATATATAATGCCATGTTCTGTATGAGTCCCTTTCAATAAAATACTATCGACATTTTTTTTTTTCATATAATTTCCTGATTTGTCTAATTCTTTTAATTCGTTACTCTTGCTTGGTTCGTGATTTCCACTATGTAGGGGACCTTTACTCAGAACATTCCTACCATCATGCATTTGATTTATATCACTTTGATCGATTTTAGAGACGTTACAAGTGCATTCTTTATTGACGTCAAACAATTTATTTTGATTGTTTAAACTATTCCTATTAGATATGAAATACTTGTTCATACATATCTTGCTTGTGCCCCCTCCTTTGTTTTTCCTTTCCGTGTAACAATTTCCTGCATTTTTTGCAAATTCGATACTCTTTTTTACTTCATTTTGATCAAAATTATGGATATGTTGTTCATTAATTTTTTTTCTATCATAGTAGAATCCATTTGACTTTACCTTATCTAATGTTTTTTCCATCTGGTTAGTGTGATTTTCGAGAGAATAACATTCCCCTCCTTTCACTACTAATTTATTTTTAACAAATTTATTAAAATGTCTATCGTTTTTATGATTTGTAGTATATATAGTATTCATCTCTGGTGAATTGTCTAACACATAGGAATTCCTGTGTCTTATGCGAAATTTATTTTTATTTGTCAACTTTTCACCTTTCCCTATGGTAGAAATGGTAGAAAAAATAGTTCCACCAAGTTTTGACATAAAACTATTTCTTATATTTTGTTCCGCATGACTACTATAACATTCATTATTTATTTTATTTTGTAACACTTTGTTCAGGTCATGTTGATCATACCCATTGTTACTCCTCACTATAAACAGGGATTTATTAATTCTCCCCCAATTGTTTTCTGCTAAATTGTTCTGGTTATCACTATGCTTATATTTCATTTCATTGAATATTTTACCACTATGAAAGGAGTTTCTTACCACATCTGCATCATTGCAATGTATGAAATTCATTTTGTTGCAGCTTCTGCAGTCTGCCTTTATCATCTTACTCTCTATGTCGGTACGATTCGTATGGTTATTTTTCCTGTTCTTATAATTATTCATAATTATATTATCATAACTAGTGCCATTCCTATTAAAATCAATTTCTGTAGGAATAACATATCTATTACTTATGATATTTTTTTTCTGCTTACTTTGCTGAATATTCATTATGCTGAAAGCGTTATCATTAAAGGATTTCCTCAAGGAAGGATTTTCTGTCTCTCTAATTTCACCTACGTCTACACTCTTGGTGATATGATTATTTCTAACCATATTATAAATGTGCGAAGAACTAGATTTATTATTTATTTTTCCCTCCTTACTCTTCTCCCTCTTCTTCACTTCCCCCCCTATGATTTCATTCAAGTGAACATTCCTATACATATGATGGATGTGAAGTAAATTGTATTTCTTCGGATCCTTATTTGCTAAATTATTGTCCATTTCTTGTGTTCTTAACGTCCCATTTGTACGATGGAATATATTTTCTTCCTTTTCACCTAATGCATTATCACAAAAAATTTCTTTTTCAAATGATACCGTGTCCATGCTACGTCTCATTTGACACGTTAAAGACTGTTTCCTTTCCTCAGCACAAGCACATAATTTCGCATGATTATTTAACATTGTGTATGATGATATGAATCTGTCGTTTTTCTTCTCCTCCACAAGGACCTCATCCACCTCATCAGATTTGCAGTCTAAAGGCAAAGAAATCTCATCCGCTTCATCCATTTTGCTTACATACACTCTTGGGTGCATACTATTTATTTCACACCTTGACCTATTTACAACAAAAGAATGATTTTCTATATCCTTTGTTGTACATATCTTTTCATTTCTTAATCCTTTCAAGGAAATTTCCCATTTCTTTTCATTTCTGAAGTTATTCCTCAAATATGCTATACTTGGCTCTTTTTCTTCCTCAGTCATTACAATGCTTCCTATCTCTGTGTTGTTAGAAGAGGTATCATTTTTTGTCTCCTTTTTAGAAAGACAATTTACCTTGTGCTTTTCCACATATATAGAGGTGCATTTTTCAGATGGAAAACAATTATTTTTCATGTGAAATACTACATTATTTTTTTTTAACATTTTCCTATCTCCCTCCTCTTCTTTCTTCAAATTTCTATAGAACATTTTACTCTCATTCTTACTAACACAGCCACTGCTACTTCTCTGATTATTATTTGTCTTAAAAATCTTATTATCTGTTCTTTTTCTCCTAAATATCACATTGTTCTTTAAAAAATTTACAGTGCTAGCTTTAGAATATACATTTGTTATGCTACTTTGGGAATATGCGTTTCTTCCATAAGTACATTTATCATTTCTTTTTTCTCCTCCATTTGGGGAATAATCATCTTTTTTCATATCCAAACCATCGATACATAAAATTTGGGGGTTCATTAAGTCGTGGCTAAGCGTGCTTCTAATAGAAGGAATGTTTTTTTCTATTTTCATCTCATCCTCATTTATATTATTATTCTTTTCTTGTTCTATAAAATATATATTCGAAATAAGGTCCTCTTTATCTTTGTCGCCCTGTGATATTCCCACACCCATTGCAATCCCTCCAGAATATGTAATATCAGTATGAATTGATTCAGTTCTCACGTTTACGTTAAAATGGTCTGTGTCATTATTGTTGTCATTTCTTCTCCCCTTATATATTTCCTTTTTTACAATTTCAAGTTCCAAGTTTTTCATTTCATTTTTATTTTCAAAAAAATTTCTACCTGCATGGTTATTACCCATTTTTGAAACATTAAAATTTGTCTTATTTTCACTTTCGGAATTATTCTTTTGGTGATTTTCCTTTTCTTTAGTAATCCAATCTATTTCAGCTGCATCCACATTTGTATAATCGGCCGATTCGATACTTTTAACTGTATCAACATCTACCTGTTCTTCTCTTTCTTCATATATCACATTTTCACCATCTTCTAGTTTGCCATCAGCAGTATCCACATTACCTATATATCGATTTGGATCCTGTTTTTCCCAGTTGTTGTTGCAACCTTTCATTAGTGGAATATTCACAGGGGAGCCCTTACACAGGAAATTAACACCTTCGCAATTTCTTTTCGTCCAAGGCAAGCTGTTTTTCATTACACTTTGGGGATTACAAATCTGGGAATTTACTTCCTCTAATTTTACTTCCTCTAATTTTACTTCCTCTAACTTTACTTCCTCCAATTTTTCTCCCCTCTTTATTTGGCACTCAGAAGGGTACTTCCTAATATCCTCGTAACATCCATTAGCGAATTTTGCGAATTCGTCGCTTATCCCATTGCAGCTGCTACTTGTACATGTTTTTTTCAATTGACTCATTATGGTATTTGTTTTTCCATTCTTTTCATAATCAATAGTTATGTACCTTCGAGGACAGAAGTTTCTTATCGCATCTTTCTTCCTACAAATGTAGTTAGAATCACATGATGATTCGTAAATATTACTCCTAATAAATTCATCCATACGTGAAGTTTTATTTATTGCATTTTTTTTTTTCATACCCCTCGAATGAATTAATTCAACATCTTTTTCATCTGACAGTGTTCTTCTTAAACATCGAACATTGTCTTTGAATATTGTTTCTTCTCTTAGGATGTCTTCACCTTCTACACTCTTTAGACAATGTTTTTTAATCATTTTGCTTTCATTTTCCAATATCATCAATACACCATTTGTCACCTCCTTATCAACATTTGCATCAGTTTCATTCCTTTCCCTTTTATTTAATTCGTTTGTCTTTTCGTCGGTTACTTTCTTCATGGATAAATACTTCTTTTGATTTTTTCTTTACATAATTCAAGGTATTTTCCGCTTCAAATGGGAACATTTTTTTTTTTTTTTTTTTTTTTTTTTATTTGTGTTTTTTAAATCATTAACCAAATGACAAGGGAAGCCAAGGGGGCCCTCTTAGGATAATTATTAAAATGATGGAAAAAAAAAAAATAGAGGAAATCTTAATGATATACATGTACGAAATTGCAAACATACATATTGAACATCTTGAAGTATATATTATTTTGTTAATATTTCGTTGTATTATGTTGTTCCTTCCCACAACCACATTTTAAAAAGGAACATTTTTAAATATCGAGATATTTAGTCTAATGTTCACTAAATATAGCTAAGAAAAAAAAAAAAAAAAAAAAACACAATCGTTTTTTCACCACATTTAAATCAACGGGGTATATTTTCCTTGTCGTTTTTTACATGTTCCTTATACACACATGCTTCTAACCTTTGCACAACCATTCAAAAAAAAAAAAAAAAAAAAAAAAAAAAAAAAAAAAAAAAAAGATTTGAATAATGCCTTACCCCTCAGCTAAAAAGTAACTCTTTTTTTTTTTTCCCTTTTTTTTGAAAAAAATATAAATTAAGCATCACACTTCTAAATTCTTAGCATTATCAGTTAATAGAACTTTTTTTTTCCATTTGAATTTTATCTTTTCTAAAAATGTCAACCATTGGGGAGGGGGGCTAAAGGAAGCTTTATTCGATCACAAAAAGGTATCATGACGAAGGCTTGTAACAAAAAAAAAAAAAAATGTACACAGCAAAACCCAGTGAAGACATGATAGAGTAAAATGCAATTACATGTATGCATGCTAACACATATGTGTGTATGTATATATGTGTGTACATGACATGTACACTTAACAGTGCGAAGCAACCACATCACAAACAAAACTTCCACACACAGGAAAAGAAAAATTTCAGTAAAATTTTTCATAATGCCTAAGGGATATTAATGTTTAGGGGAAAAAAAGGATATACACATACAAGGACCAACCATTTAGATTACAAAATATTTTGAGTTACGTGCTCTGTATATATTGACTTAACAAAGTACTCCTTTTTCTTTAAAAAAAAAAAAAAAAAAAAAAAAAAAAGGTATGTGAAATAATTCAGGTACTACTTAAGACTTCTTCCGAGAAGGTATGTTTCTCTTCCACTTGTGTTAATAAAGATTTGGACGCACAAACATCATCATGTTATATACAAAAGAAAGGAAATTGTGGACGCCTATAGAAGCATAGAGTAACAATTTGATTGTCCAAATGATCATTTTTGACATGAATTCATTAAAGAGAATGTTATGAATGCTTTGAAGTAAAATAAGTTACATGTATGCGAAAACATACAAGTATTATAAAAAAAGAAAAAGGAAAATTAGCTTTCCCCAAAATAAACAGAATACACATCTATGTATCTGTGGAAGTATTTCCAAACTGTTAAACAATTTCATTTACAAAAAGAGAAAAAAAAAAAAAAAAAAAAAAAAAAAAAAACTAAAAATGACGAAACAACTGCTTTCGATACAAGGGATCGAAAAATGTTCTGGATGCAACTTGACTCATTACATAGAGTAAATGCCTTGGTACAAATTTTATGGAATATTTATTTTGGGAATAATTTTTAACCATTTCTTCAGATTCATCTAATAATGTTATTTCTTTCTTGTTCAAGTGCTGTGCGTAGAGTGGTCTTGTTACATATGTTTCATGTTCAACATTCCAAAAGGAGAAAATATGGGCCTTATTCTTTGGTGAAAGAATTTCCTGCTTCTTCATTTTCTCATCAGTGTTCACATCCACACCATTATTCTTGCTGTTGTTGATGTTATTTATGTTCTGCTTGTCTTTATCGTAATAATCATTCATCTTTTCCTTATTGGTAACGTTGGCTAATTCCGATGGGCTGATAGTTGGACTGATGGCATTGTTAATACTACTCGTTCTGCTCCTATTACCTTCGTGGTCAATGTTCGTGTTTTTATTTTTCCCGTATACATTTGCAGTGGTCGCATGCGTCTTAGTTTGGTTCATGTCACACTCATTTATACTTTTCTCCTGATTGTTGCCCTGTCTTGATATGTTGTAAAATTGTTCATCTAACTCCTGCATGTTATTTATATTTTTTTCTAATTTATTGTATTTTAAAGGAAATGGGGAAAAATGAACCCCCTTGGAATTCCTACTTTTCGCATTTTTCTCACCATCTCCATCACTGTAATCGTCGTCTGAAGAATAAAACAGAAGACTGCTAGTTATGTCATATGCAAATGGGTTAGGATCATCGTGTTCTGCATCAAAATGTTCATGGTCATACTTGTTATACATCTCTTGATAATTTTTCTTTCTTTTATACAGATTCCTCTCTTGTACTTCTCTACTATTCAACTTTGCCACATCTTCAACAAAATCTTCATCGCTTCCTATTTCTTCTATATCACTTGAAGAAGAGTAATCATTTTTAACTTCACCCCCATGATGCAATTTATCCTTATTTGTAGGGTCAACTTCACTATATTTATGTAAAAAACTCCCGTTCTCATCCAGATCCAATGTATTCAGCGGTATATGCCATTTAATGTTACGATAAAGGGATGTTTTCACAACTTCCTTATTTTCTCTTTCGTAATGGATCCCTTTTTCTTCCTTCGAAGTTTTGCTAATGTTTTGTCCATCCTGACGTCGAAACTGTTTTGCACTTCTTTTATGGTTTTCTCCCAATTCAATACCTACTTCTCCATCTTTTTGCCTTTCCTGCCGTCTTCTCTTCTTCCACTTGTGATTTTCTATACGTAACAAATGAGAATTTGACAAAATGTCATCGGTAAGAATACTATCAATCCACTGAACATATACAGTTATATTGTTATCTTCTATACGTTTGGTATGACCTTCTAGAGGGGTACTCATTCTTCTAATTTACGACAGTCGTTATTCCTTCTTAAACTTTCTTCGATCATTTGCACCTCTCTTTCAAATATGCATACGGGATGCCTGCATAAGTGTGCTATACAGCTCTTCTTTACACCCTTCTGGTTTTCCCTATATTTTAATATGTCATATGTAAGAGTCCATCACGAATTTGCATAAGATAAGTGGCATAACAATCATTTTCCTCTACCTATGCATGGGTGCAACTTCTCACATCTATATATATATATATATATATATATATATATATATATATATATATATACTCAATTTTAAAAAAAAAAGTCAAGTCATTATTTATATCCCTATCTATACTTGAAGTATTATACGTTATCCATTTCATCAATATGTATTTTTTTTCGATTGTGACATTTTACTTTTCTCTCAGTCTGCAGTTTTTTTTTTTTTTTTTTTTTTTTTTTTTGAACGAAAAGGTTTTAATATATCAAAACGGTTCATTGCGATTATTCACTTTGACTTCGTTTTTTGCTTCCTTATTGTTGCTTCTTTTTTATTCCCTTTTGTGACATTTTTTACACTGCACTATTTTTTAGGTTTTTTTTTTTTTTTTTTTTTTTTTTTTTTTTTTTTTTTTTTTTTTTTTTTTTTTTTTTTTTTTTTTGTGGTACTTTTTTTTTTTTATTTTTTTTTTTTCCTTTTTTTTTTTTTTTTTTTTTTTTAAAATACTTAAAAAAAAAATTTTTTTTTTCTTTTTTTTTTTATATTTTTTTTTTTTTTTTTTTTTTTTTTTTTTTTTTTTTTTTTTTTTTTTTTTTTTTTTTTTTTTTTTTTTTTTTTTTTTTTTTTTTTTTTTTTTTTTTTTTTTTTTTTTTTTTTTTTTTTTTTTTTTTTTTTTTTTTTTTGTGGCACAAAGGTGCCATGGTTAATTTGTGCACACAGGCAATTGGCAAATTTTAATTTTATCTCGTTCTTCATTTTTGCTTAAAATTTTTGTTTGTTCATTGGTTTGTTCATTCGTTTTCTTACTCGTTTTCTTACTCGTTTTTTTACTCGTTTTCTTACCCGTTTTCTTACCCGTTTTCTTACCCGTTTTCTTACCCGTTTTCTAACCCGTTTTCTTACCCGTTTTCTTACTCGTTTTCCTATTTGTCTGCTCATTAATTACATCTCCATGGCGGCTGTTCCCCCATGCGCCCTCATCACATGACGTCCTTTTTTAGAAAATCTCGAAACAAGGGAAGAGCCAAATTTGTCCTACTACTTTAAAAATAAATTAAAATGAAAACCTAGCATTAGGAAAATATGTAAACATTTCCAACCAAAGCGCCAGAGAATTATTACTCTTCAATGTCGCACAAAAATGAAGAAAGGCAGAAATATTGAAGCATACCCCCCACCCAATCCCCTTTAAAAACTATCAAAAATGTACAATTTATTTGTAGAATACACGCTTTTAAGCGAAATTAGAAAAATTGTAGCATTTTCTTGAAAAAGCTAAAAAAAAGAAAGTCCTTCCTTTTTATTATATTTTATATTTCTTCTACCCATTTAAAGACGCTTATATATCGAGAAAGGGAAAAATTTCAATGCAATTCAGGCAACAAATGTGTATGAAATTTTACACACATAAGTTGAACACACCCACTTTTATACATTTCTTTACAATTTTACCACGTCATATCTTTGCTGCTTCGTCTATTTGCCTCGATACCATAAACCACTTTACCATTACATCACCACATCAAAGATGAACAACAACCATGAACAACCCAATGGAGAAAATGAAAACAGGACCGACTATTGAAGAAACGCCAAATGGGGGAGATGCATTTTTCGATGTTAACGCAGAACAGTATCTAGTAATTTCCCCGAGACAAAAATTAAATCCAGTTTTAAAAAAAATAAACAGAGTTCGTTACAAATTTAGCAACATCATTCCAGATTTTTTAATAGGAAAGAATAATGCATGCTTATTTATATCAATGAAATATCATAGACTAAGATCAAATTATTTAAAGGCACGAATTGAAACATTGGAAAACAAATATAATAATCGAATATTATTATGTTTAGTAGATATTGAAAATATTGAAAATTCTCTTGGTGAAATAAATCAACTTGCTTTTTGTTTTAACATGACTTTAATACTATGCTGGAGTGCTGAAGAATGTGCTAGGGTTATAGAAGACTTTAAAATTTATGAAAAAAAAGTTTCCTACATAAAAAACAATAAACTTACCTCCACTCATGAGGAAAAAATACATGAACTTTTAAAAAAAATTAGGTGTATTAACTCATCCGATTGTGCAACAATTACAAATAAGTTCAAAAATTTTAAAAATATTGTGAACGCCAAAAAGGATGACCTTATCAATTGTCCTGGCTTAGGGAATAAAAAAATACAATCACTCATATCTACTTTTAATGAACCCTTCTTTTAAATATTCCACTTTTAATTATACTTTATATCTCATATCGTCTATTTAAGATTACGCTAGAAAGTGCAATTATGTATAGAGATTTTCATACGGGTAGAGGCACAAACCTATACACACATATATACAACAACATAAACATGATTTCACATTGAGCCCATGTTACACAGCGTACAAGCTCCCGTTTAACCACATGCATTTTTTCAAAGTTTTTACATTGATCTTTTTGTAATAATAGGGATTGAAAAAAAAAAAAAAAAAAAAAAAAAAAAAAAAAAACACTTCTTAAAAAAACTTTTATTTACATCTTAAGAGTTTTAGTTTTCATAAACATCTGTTTAATTTTCTTTAAAAAATGTATATATTTTTTTTTTTAAATACTTAAATAGATATACATTTGACGCATATGAAAAGGGAGCAAAAAGGTTGCATTTCTTTATGCCTAAATACATTACCAATTAATGTACAAAAAAAAAAAAAAAAAAAAAAAAAAAAAAAAAAAATATTCAAAAAAAAAATTTTGTAGCTATTTTAAAAACTTTTTTTTTTTTTTTTTTTGAACATTTTTTTAATGTCTATTATGAGTTTTTCCATTTAATTTGTCCTTTTCCCTTAAACTACTTGGTGTATTATATAAGGTTAATAATTTTTACATTTCTCTGGGAAAACCTTCAACCGAATATAACTAAAAAGGGTGTCAGTATAGTAAGCAATTACGAATTCATGAATGTGTGTGTGTATGTATGTATGCATGCATTCTTAGCTATATGTTCGTACACATATATTTAGGCTCACACGTATGCATACACGAATCAGTTATAAGCGCTTCTCGCTTTCCCAACGTTTCCTCCTTTCTTACTGCTCGATGCTCCTCCTGGGGGTTGGTTAACCTTCACGTTAGTCTTTTTGTCTGATTTCGATGGCATCTTGTTCATTTCAGGGTTCCCTGCAGCTTCAGCATTTTCATTATTTTGTGGATTTGAATTCACATTTTTGTTGTTGCTCTTCTTACTCTCAACATCTACGTCTGCAAGATGTTTAAAGAACAAAAAAAAAAAAAAAAAAAAGCGGAATTATACAAAATTGGGCATCCCTTCTCGTGAAGTAATCGTATATTCAAACGTACACAACTGTATTCATGCACACAAAATAATACATATAACAAAAATGTATATTCATATATGGGGAGTAGTACACAGATTGTGAGGACACTCCTTGTGTATTCTTTGGATTTTTTTTTTTTTTTTTTGGGGAATTCTTCTGTTACAGTTTCCAAATGATACTGAGGAATTTCCTCCTGGGGCGTTAGTAACTCTTGTGCTGGATCTGTTTTTTATGAACGGGTTGTCTCTTACATCTAAAAAAAAAAGAAACGAATAAGAGTATCTCCACATTATGAGTGCATATATATATATTGAATGCTCATTCATATACGAGCGTAACAACATTGGGTGTCAGCAAAACATACATGTGGTAACATTGACAAATCTCAAAACCAATCAAATCGTAATTAGAGATGTGATTTCCATATAGTACAAAAAAAAAAAAAAAAAAAAAAATATGGTTCACAAGCAAGCATTAAACGTATATACACACATGTTAAGCTAAATTTATGTGTATAAAATAAACACAAAAAAATATATTAACTGGGAAGACATGTAATGTACGTTCATGTGTATTTGTGTGTGTTTGCGATGTACATCCTTACCCATTTTTCACACGTTTAAAGTAGAGATAAAATAAGTGGAAATAATAAAAATGAGTTTTCCTTCGAAAGTTCTCTATATATAATTGAAAACGAAATGTGTTGTTTTTCTTTTTTATTTTATTTAATTTATTCTTTTTCTTTTCTTTTCATCGAATGGGTATTCTTCAGGTTGGGGGAAAAAAAAATATATACATATGTGTGTGTAAATATATATATATATATGCATGTATACATATACATCCACATGTATATAACTCTATTCAATTTGTTATGCCTGTTAAGCAAAAATAAGCAATATTATATTAATCGTTTCTCGCGTTTGTGTGGGATTATTTAAAAGGTTCACATATTATTTGTACATACTCAACGTTAAGTTACTTTCTGACGAATCCAAAGATTGTAATTATAATGAGAAGTTGTGAATTTCAAAAGTTGAATATTGAGATTGCAAATGGTAAAATGATTAAGAAGATGAAAAGGTAAAAAAATAATGTCACATAAAATACATACTTTTCTACATAACTACATTTCCTCTTATGTCTCTTTCAAAAAATAAAAATATGTATATGACACATTTCTTTTTAATTTAAAAAGGTTCAAAAATGTGCCGAAAATAAAAAAATGTTCACGTTCACTTGGTAAAATACATCAAGAAAAAAAAAAAAAAAAAAAAAAGTGCTTTAATGACCTTAAGCATAAAGCTATTTTCTACCCGTTTGAGGTATTTTTTTTTTCCTTTTTTTTTTTTTTTTTTTTTTTTTTAAGCAAATGAAAAAAAAAAAAAAAAAAAGACGGTCCCTTGCGTGCAGCAGTCATGTTAATATAGGATCAGAACTAATATAGTGCTAATTGTAATAAATCAATTTTATTTTTTTATTTATTGCCTTATATTATTTTTTTTTTTTTTCTGAAATAACCATGTGCATAAAACTTAGAGACACCCATGAAGTGCTTCGTTTTACTGGGCTTATTTGAAACACGCTTATCCAGACGATTAAGACAAAAAAAAAAAAAAAAAAGAAAGAAAGAAAATAATGAAAAAATAAATGCACATTTGTAATACGTAAACCATTAGTAATGTATAGGTGTGGTTCGGCATACCTTAACCATTTCGAAGGTATGAGCCCAGTGAACTCTCCCAAGCATCTATAATAATTTATTTAACCATGATTACACCTTTTCTCATTTTGTAAGCATTCTAAAGTACGTAACCTAAGTACAATATAGAACACGAAGAAGAATAGGTACAACCAAATTTAAATGGCTAATTATATTTTTCGAAATGTTACTTGTTTGTGTAAATTACCGTTAAAAATAATATTCCATCGGGAATACGAAAATTAGGAATTCCAAATACCAGAAAAAAAAAAAAAAAATTTCTAACATTTTCAGTTTTAAAAAGAACTGCGCTCATATTTTCAAATGTGGCAATTTATGTTCACGAACATAAAAAAAGTATTATTATATGCACATATAACACGCCGAAGGATTTTTTTTTCTTCCGTAAAATAGGAAAGGGAGGTATTTGAAAAACTGAAAAGGAATAAGATATATTTAAATTGTCCCATGTAGAAAACATTTCTTAATTTTCTTCAATTTTCTAATTCTAAGCATGTTCATAGCATGCATTTTTTATGAATTATAGAGCCCTATACTTCATATAGAATGAGTGTATGATAAGTTAATAACTAATAAAACTATTAGGTTCTGTAGTGTAGTGGTTAGCACTGCAGACTCTGACTCTGCAAACCTGGGTTCAAATCCCAGCAGAACCTTTTTTATTCGGTTCTTCCTATTATAATATATATATGTGTGTCTCACCCGAAAGTTTTAAAAAAGAAAAAAAAGTTAAAAGCATAATAATAATTTTTTACTTTTCCACTGTTTAGCGATTTATAGAAAAATTGAAAAGAAATTTTTTTTTTTTTTTTTTTTTCCTCCCCTTAAAACATTCCGTAAATCCTGAGCGAAATTATTTCTCTCTAGTGAATATGCAAAGAGGCATATGCGCTTTAAGTGTGTTTTCACTTAAGCATCACAACATATGTAGCATTATTGTCATACAAATATTTATTTTTTTATGTAGATATGTTGCCACTATGACACTGATTCAACCTGTCATGATTCAATACAACAACAACAAAAAAAAAAAAAAAAAAGCTGTAGCATAACAAATATAACATTAAAAATGTAACGACAAGTATTTAATTTTATTTTTATGTTTTTTAAGTCTCAAAAAATAGCAAATAAATAAATATAAATATTTGTACACAAATACGCTAAAAATAGAAGAAAAAAAAAAAAAAAAAAAAAAGGGCTATGTCTCACATTATGGCTATAAGATTTAAAACGCCTTATCCTGGTCTGATTTATGTTCCTATAAAATGGTTAGCTTGTCTATACCTTTCCTACCCCTTTCAACACACATATACACACAATGTCGTTTTATCAACTTATATATATCTTCATCCATGACCTATTCTTGTAAAATAAATTTGTAAAAGAAGAAAAACATGAATATTTATTATATCACAGAGAAGGGAATACACACACCCCCATTGTGTTGCTAAAACGAAGTAGTAAACGAAACTCAGCAAAACAACACATCATACAAATATATATTTGAACCCTAGCATAGACTTCATAAAATAGAAAAGTCTATTTTTTAAAAAAAAATTTCACAAGGAGAATTTTCTTTTATGGAGAATACCCAACAATTGAGAACCTTTTTCTAACTCGTTAATATGTATGATATAAGCCCATTTGAAAAAAAAAAAAAAAAAAAAAAAAAAAAAAAAAAAAAAAAAAAAAAAAAAAAAAAAAAAAAAAAAAAAAAAAAAAAAAAAAAAAAAAAAAAAAAAAAAAAAAAAAAAAAAAAAAAAAAAAAAAAAAAAAAAAAAAAAAAAAAAAAAAAAAAAAAAAAAAAAAAAAAAGTATAATAAAATAACAATAATGAAGTAAAAAAACAGCAGGCACACACAAGCATAGTAAGGAAAAGTGGGAACTATTAGTCAAAAACAAAGTTAATTAGTGAAAACTATATTAGAAAATAAACAGTCTGAATTCGGAAAAAAAAAACCTAATGAGAGAAAAAAAATTATGGCCCCTAAAAAAAAAAAAAAAAAAAAAAAAAAAAAAAAAAAAAAAAAAAAAAAAAAAAAAAAAAAAAAAAAAAAAAAAAAAAAAAAAAAAAAAAAAAAAAAAAAAAAAAAAAAAAAAAAAAAAAAAAAAAAAAAAAAAAAAAAAAAAAAAAAAAAAAAACAATAAAAAAAAAAAAAAAAAAAAAAAAAAAAAAAAAAAAAAAAAAAAAAAAAAAAAAAAAAGTATAATAAAATAACAATAATGAAGTAAAAAAACAGCAGGCACACACAAGCATAGTAAGGAAAAGTGGGAACTATTAGTCAAAAACAAAGTTAATTAGTGAAAACTATATTAGAAAATAAACAGTCTGAATTCGGAAAAAAAAAACCTAATGAGAGAAAAAAAATTATGGCCCCTAAAAAAAAAAAAAAAAAAACCTAAAAAAAAAAAAAAAAACAAAAAAAAAAAAACAAACAAAAAAAAAAAAAAAAAAAAAAAAAAAAAAAAAAAAAAAAAAAAAAAAAAAAAAAAAAAAAAAAAAAAAAAAAAAAAAAAAACAAAAAAAAAAAAAAAAAAAAACAAAAAAAAAAAAAAAAAAACTCCCACAAAAATATAAAAAAAAAAAAAAAAAAAAAAAAAAAGGTATGTACTAAAGTAATAAAAAAAAATAAAGTAAAAAATACTAATAATGTGGCACATGTAAATTCTAGAAAAAGCGAAAAAAAAAAAAAATACTAATAATGTGACATATGTAAATTTTAGAAAAAAATAAAATAAAATACTTAATGATCTTTTTCAACTTCCTCCCTTTCTCCACCTTCGAGCGCATCTCTAATCTCACTACATGAAGATACAAACAAAGAGAATCATCTAAGGAAGTGTCCATGTCTATCAAGCAGACTCGCATGCATAGCAAAAAACGTAGCGTATTCCCCATAGCACGCAAATGAATTTTTACCTAAATGTGCTGGATGAAATAGAGGAGATACTTCAAAAATGCAACAGCGACATTAGTCAAAAGGTTGATAAAATAATTGAGTATATCAAGGTTAACTACAAAAATCGACATGAAAAAGGTATAGCACCAAAGAGAAATTCCCTGAAAAAGAAAAGAAGTAATTCGAAGAATCGATTGGTAAAAGACACGGATGAGAAGAAAAAGTGTGACAACTTTGCTGGGGTGGAGGGGGAAAAACAAAAGCCAAAAGGAGGTCCAAAACGTGGCCAAAAAGAGGGTCCAAAACATGGCCAAAAACATGGCCAAAAACATGGCCAAAAACAGGGCCAAAAACAAGGTTCAAAGCAGGGTCCAAAACAAAGTGAAAACACAAACAGTATTAAAAACTACTTTAAAGTGATAAAAAGAGAGTCTCCATTACCCAACTGCCAAAACGCAGATACATGCGAGGGGGACATCACGATGGAAAATACTTGCAAAATGGAAATCAAAAGCACCTCTTCGCCAATTAATATATTTTATTTTTATGGAAATTTCAATATAGTAATAATAATCTATTATATCATATGCAAAATAAACATTCATAATGAGAGTCTTTTTTCGAGTGATAGCCCCCATGGTAGTAGTAGTAGTAGTAGTAACACAAATATTAATAATAAGGATTTCATAATTTATAGTAATAAAAATATAACACACATTATATGTTCACAATTGAAGAATGACGATTTAAATGACTTAAACGAAATGGTAAAAGAAATAATAAGTTATAAATTAAGTTCTCTTCGAATATTTGTTATTGAATCTTTTGATTTTCTTAATGAACAATTCAGAAAGATATTTATGAATAAAATGGTTAGAAATAAAAATCTTGTATTTATACAAAGTTCTGTTTCTTTAAATGATATATATTTAAGCAATTGCTTATATATTAGAATACCTAAACCAGACAAAATTTCATTTAATTCACATTTTTTAAACTTATCTCAAAATAAATATAAAATGAATGTACAAAATAGTGAGAAAAGAGATTATCTAATAAATGTCATAAGCAGTTGCAACTACGACATTACCTTAATACTGACCATGCTATACATAATTAAACTTAATAATTTCCCTGATCTTAACAAAATTATAAAATTAATTGTTAATACCAACATAAAAAAGTTAATAAGTGTAATACACAAATGTGTTATTACAAAGAATTCTCTCTTTTTAATAAGAAATATTTTATATGCTATTCTATATACTTACAATTTTGACATTCATAATTTCTTAACAATCTTTTGCAAACAATTAACTGCTTTTCACAAAGAAGATGATAATTATAAAAAGGAAATATTATCTCTCTTTTCAGAATATAGCTATTTCATTTCTTTGCACGATAATCATATATTCTCATTAGAAAATCTCGCTTCAAAAATTATTCTAATTGAGCAGAAGTATACTACTACATTAAATCCATGCTTTCCCAATTCTGAAGAGAACGATGAATTTAGTACAAGTTTCCAATCAGAAATTGCGTAAACATTGAGACCCCATAAAACTTACTACACTACTCCTATAACATGCACATTGGGGACACTAAGCTGCTTAAATCATGTATAATTAACAGAGCTGCTAAAAATTGATATTACCATTCAACGCACATCCAATGCGACATTCCATTCAAAGCAAAATGTAGTTTTAAATTCGTTGAAAGTGAGCAAAAGTAACAGTTTATTAAGAAGGTTTGTAAAGCAGACATGTAGGAAAAAAGTAAAAAAAAAAAAAAAAAACACAAAAAAGAAAACGCAACCAAGGTCTATTTTTCAAAATGCTTTGACTTCATTACTTGGCCCAAAATATGATGCCACTTTCCTGACCCAAGTCATACACGCAGTATTAAAAATAGTTGGGCACAATCTGTACGTATATGCATGGGATACATACATATATATATATATATATATATATATGCCCATGTATGTGTACATATCTCCCATGCGGAAACAAACGCAAAAGCAAGTTCAATTTTTTTACACAAAAAAAGATATGTATGGTTGGGTGTGTCTATATTGTATGTGTAATTGGGTTCATGCACACACACGTATCTGTTTGTGTTTGTGTTCGTGTTCGTGTTCGTGTTTGTGTTCGTGTTCGTGTTCGTGTTCGTGTTCGTGTGTGTGTGTGTTTTTTTTTTTTTTTTTTTTTTAAAATACATAAAAATATGTCTTCATCACCCCCTTTTATCTTACCTTTCTAGTTTTATGCCTCCACAATACAATGTATTGTCCCCAAAATTTTTGTCTACCTTCTTTAGGTGTCCCTTCCTCCTTGACATTAGAAATAACCATGTATAAGGATCCATCTCGAACTTCAACGTGATCTCTTGGGGCCTTTGAATTTATCTTTAACACTCAGCCTTCTCATGCCTTGAAATAAGTACAAATTCGCTTATCCATCTAACCACACACATTTTTGCAATAAGTGACTAATCGTTTTCGTATACTATTCGAATCTTCTTTTTCCCTAAAAGGATGGATGAAGAGGGGAAGGGTGACAATAATATATAAACTTACACATATGTATACGTATATGTATATAAACTATACACATACTACCATGCATACTATACACACTACATGCGTACATGCACAGGAACAGGTAGGAGAATACGGCCAACGCGACATCCTGCTTCCCGTGTGCAATATTCAGTGAAAGAATACCAGAGGAAAGAGAAAATAGTTTATACGCACTCTATCCCATGGTATATTTACCACACATGTATGTAATATATTTTGTGCAAACAGTCATGCTGGCATTCTATAGAAAACAAAAGACTTATGGTTTTTGCACCGCATGAATAATGCTTACCTTTCTTATTACTGCCCTTGTTTCTCCTTTTTTTTGTGAAAGTTCTATCAAACTCTTCTACTTCATCGTCATCAAACAATTTCCCTTCCTCCTGTAAATTTTTGATGTGCTCTGCATCCACACGTTCTTTTATGTATTTTTTCTTCCTTTTCGTCTTTCCCTTTTTGGGTTCCCCATCCGAGTTCGATACGACATAATCTTCGTCACTATCATTTTCGTTACTATCACCTTCGTTACTATCACCTTCGTCACTATCACCTTCGTCACTATCATTTTCGTCACTACCATTTTCGTCATCATCTTCGTCATCATCTTCGTCATCATCTTCGTCATCATCTTCGTCTTCATCTTCGTCATCATCTTCGTCATCATCTTCGTCTTCATCTTCGTCATCATCTTCGTCTTCATCCACCTCCTCCTCATCATCATCCTCACCAACCTCCTCCTCATCATCATCCTCACCAACCTCCTCCTCACCAACCTCTTCATCCTCCTGCTCCTCCACCATCTTCTTCGTCTTCTTCATCTTCTTGTCCCTCAAGACATTCTCATCCTCCAGCTGTTCAAACATCTTCGCCAGTTCAGAGTCCTTATTTTTAACCTTCTTTTTGGGGGTCAGAAATTTATACAAATTTCCATACGTCCCACTATTCAATCGGTTGAGTAATTCCTTTTCAACGTTATTTAAAATGTTAGCTGCTTTAAGAGCTTTATTTTCCCTTGTTCTATCTCTCCTTTCTGTTTTTTTTTTAATTGGAACTAGTTTTACTTGTTTTTGCAATATTAATTTTCTACTCCTTTTTAAAATTTCTTTAAACCTTATATATCTTTTCATACATTTTTTTATTTGTTTTATGTTATGTGTATATTTCATTTCTTTATATATAACATTAAAAGCTTCTTTTTTATTTTGGCTTAACAGGATTCTAGTCCACATAATGCTTGGCAAATGAGCCCTCTCTGGATATTTTAAATATAAATAAATTTCTCCTTTATCTAATATGACAGTACCATATACACTGTTACTTAGTGGGCAATTTACCTTCGTACATAATCCAGTAACATTGTATTCGTTCATACAGAACATTTGCGTTTGAGTTTTTTTTTTGAAGGAACATTTTCCCTTTCCTAGAATTTCCCATGTGACTGTGTCATCATTCATTTTTACCTTAATTTGTTTTTTCTCTCTGTGATGTTTCCACGTGTAGTAACCTCACAGCAGCACCCTTTAAACTCAATGCTGAACTATGCAGCTCACTGTATATATATATATATATATATATATATATATTGTGTAGCACTTTCTTTTCCTTTCTCCCTTTCGATTTTTGACACTATCAGTTTTATGGCCCAAGGGTTCAGCTCACGCAAGCCGTAAGTACAACTACTACTACCTCTGCTGTTGACCTTGACAAAGTGAGATGTCTCTTATCCTTCGTAATAATGGTATTCATACAATTTGGGATACATAACATAATGTGTCCACGTATGTACATACATATATAATGGTTGCAAAATGTAATATATGGCTCTAAACGTATATACCACGGGACCCAAAAGAAATACTCCCCTTTTTTTTCCACCACAATAATTTCTTATGAAAAAAGCAAAAGTTAGGCGCGTTTTAACCTTATAAATACTTCCTCGTATGCAATTCTATTTGGTAAGAAACAGATATATGTAGGACTTCTTTATGAATCAAATGTGATACACTTACATATGTACATGCATATTGTACATATATCAAGGCCCCATCTTTTCCTGTTTAAATTCAGGCATATGTACTATTGTTTTGACGCAATTCTACATAGTATATGCATATATATGCATATATATACATAAATATACATATATATACATAAATATACATAAATATACATAAATATACATATATATACATAAATATACATATATATGTATTATGCCCTCTTTTCTTTTTCTTTTTTTTCTCCTTTTATAATTTTCCTATTTTCATGAAAAAGCTTTCATCTTTGGAAAAGGCGCATTATTTTATTTTTTTGTCGAAATGAAAAAAAAAAAAAATTCTTAGCCCTGAAATAAGCTTATAACGTCGCTGCCTTATCTAAAAGTTCATGAAAAATACATACGTGCATATATGTATAATATATAACATCTGCATTGTTACATAAGTACGGTGTTCATGCTGCACTGATATTGGTCGCTTCCACTGAGGGAAACAAAAAAAACCCGCTGAGCGTTTTTTTTTTTCAAATGTGCTGCATATATAAAAATGGTATGTTAAACCCGTAATAATATATATATAAAATACTTTACTAAAAATAATAACCTTATTTTTTTACATGCCAAAAATTGACATATAAAGGCCAATGCCAGCAGCAAATGTAAACAACATAAAATTAATCCCCAATTTTTAAAACACAAAAATGTATTTCTTCTCCTGCTTGATGTTGAAAAAAGTTGTGAAAATTTTTTTCTACGTGACAAAATTGTGTTCCCTTTCATTGGAGTAGGAAGTAACAACGGAAAAAGGGGAAAAAAAAAAAATGGATGAAAAGGCAGAAGAAAAGTGTTAAATTAAAATTAAACATATAATTAAAAACAAAGCTTAAACCCAAACTAAATGTAAAATAAAAACGGAGGTTAAATATAAAAAAAATGTAATATCAAAAGAAAGCTTAAATTACGAAAGAATTGCTCAACTAAAGGGGAAAGAATTTTATTAGCCCATTTTATTAGCACATTTTGAAACCCCATACGAGAAAATAAAAGGGCTACTTCTTCCCTATTGCACAACATTACTCATACTATATGCTTCGTTTCCAGAACAGTTTTACTTCCTATTGTTAAGCAATTCCACGTCGAACAGACGTGCTCCAAAATTCAACCTACCTCGGTTATAAAAATGAGAAAAAAAGAAATAATCTTAGCTTAAAATTTTAGAACTGCCACAACTCAAATGAGTTGAATATAATCTCACCTTTGTAAATATGTCTAAATAAAAAAAAAATGCCTATAAAAGTACATATTTTTTGTATACATTGGCACCGACAAATGGGTGAACCTATGTATACACAAATATTTAATCTTTGCCCAACCTATTATTTACATGTAAAAAACATCAACCTGTACAAAAATTAAGCAACAGCTCTTAGTGTAAATGTTTTTTTTTTTTTTTTTTTTTTTTTTCCCCCAATGGGTTAATTTAAAATTGAGTTCCCATAATTGGGGGCGGGGGGCTGGCCCACAAAAACAAATAAATAAATAAAAAGAAGACATACTTATTGTATAAAACTATAAATTTAAAAACTAATTTGAGTATTCACATGCGCGTGTATTCGTATATTTATTTGCGCATTTGTTTATTTATTTTGCTTTATTTCTCTTTTTTTTTCCTATTTTTTTTTTTTTTTTTTTTTTTTTCCCTTTTTCCGTGAACAAAAATACCAAAATCTGTTGCAACAAAAAATAAACAAAGGGAGCTACGAAGCTAACAAAAAAAAGTTCATACAAAAGGATTCTGTATTGTAAAAATAGATACTCTATGCAGATTAATTTGTAGACGAATAAAATTGTTTGCTTGGACAAAATGTAAAAAAATGAGACAATTATAAAAATTCGACTTCTTCATAATGGTGAAATGAACATGTCACGAGAACGTGGAAAATTGTATCTAATCATCTGCCTATCAATCTGTCTTTCGATATGTCTATATATATGTAGAACTATATGTGTGTGTATAAACGAACACGTGCGTGCGGACGTGAAAATGGCCCATCTTGCAAGTGTTGCTCAATATTTCTCACACATGACGATTCCAGTTATATGACAACTTCTGAATTCTCGCTTTCTTTAATGAATCCCTATCTGATTGATTGTTTCTTTTTCTTTTAATTTTATATAATTTTTTTTCTTGATCTTCACTGCATTGTTCTGTTGTTGTGAATAAATTTTGGTATGGACATTCATCATACTCATTCTGCATAGCATTAAAAAAGTGTGCCAAAAAAAAGGTGTGAAATTTTGTCTTTTTAATTTTTTTTTTTTTTTTTCTTTTTTTTTTACTTTTACGTGTGACAATTTGCATGCCGATTGAACAGACATAAATGAGCATAAATAAATCGAGCACTATGGTAAGTATAAAGCAACCAATTTTGGATGTATATCAAAAAAAAAGAAAAAAAAAAAAAATGTCTTTTTCTCCTCTCAACACTTACGCTAATATTTTTTGCACTCTTTATCTCGAATTCATCAAATTTCGGGTTGTTCCTTAAAATTCTTATAAATCCCTTATCGTCACCACATATGATTGTCTGCACAAAAAAAAAAAAAAAAAAAAAAAAAATTTTTAAATATATATTCAAATAGACATGCAAATAATAGCTGTAGTTATGTGTAAACATGTATTATTTTTATCACAAAAGGGAAATGAATAAAGAAGGGTAAAACATGTTGCATGAAAAATAGAAAAAAAAAAATGGAAAAGAGCAATTTTCACTCATAAAAACATAGCAATTGCTAACTCCACAATGTACATATGATTAACGCCAACTCATATATATATATATATATATATATATATATATATATATATATATATATATATATTCAAAGAAATAACAAGAACATTTTCACAACTAAAACATATACGTACCGTCATGGAACTGTTTGAAGCTAAGACCTCCACTGAATGTCCACACACATTCTCCGAAATGTAATTTAAAAATTCCCCATCATTTAGTGAAAAAAATAAAAGGGCTCCAAAGTTAAAATTTTCTTTACTTATATTATTCTTTAATTTTTCATTTTGAATATTATTATTTAATATTTTCTTTTTATATAATTCATTTCTGTCCTCACCTTTCATATCCACCTTACTCAGGGCGTCATCGTACACTATTTCCTTTTTCGTGTTCAGGCAATCTACATATCTAAATAAGTTTTCACACTTTTTTATTTGTTCAAATGCGTTTGAACTGTATAAGCACAAAATTTCAGCCATCAAGCTATGATTGCATAGATCGGGATCTCTCAAACCTATAAAATGAAAGAAGTAGAAAAAAAAAAAAAAAAAAAAAAAAAAAAAAAGCGTTCTGCATGTGTTCCATGTTTATATGCATACGTATATAATACATTACTAGGAAATATATCCACAAACAAATACCAAAGGTTTCCCCTCCTCGCTCCCCTTTTTTTTTTTTTTTTTTTTTTTTTTTGCTAAAAGACTTAAAACCTACCTGGGACATGTATAGAATACATCTTCCTCAACACACATGAATCTAATTCCCAAAATTCAATCAAGTCATTTGATATTGTGAAGAACTTTTTACTTATCTGAGGAGAGAAAAAAAAAAAAAATAAAAAAAAAAAAAAAATAATTTCGTGCTACAGTTATATCAGTTTAAGTTATTCGTTCATGAATTCGTCGCAAAGTTGATGAATCTTCTTTTATCTTAAAAATATAAACATATATTCATTTGAATTATTAATTATGAATTGTATTTTTTTTTTTTTTTTTTTTTTTTTTTTTTTGACTGACATATGTGTGTATCTGTTTGTCAGCCCCATGGGTGCTTCTAAATATCTACATGTGACCTACCTGGTTGTGGTATACTTTTCCATTTATTGGGGATGGATGCTAAAAAGAATTTCAAATGAGAACAAAATAATTTTGTAGAACACATATTTGTAATAGAAAATATGGATATGTAATAGAACTCTATTGTGTATTTCTCTCCCTATTGATATTTGTCAACTGCTACATCGAATATCTAAACAAAAAAAAAAAATAAAATAAACAAGCTTAGATGCTCATGATCCTATTCCTTACATCGTAAAACACAAAAGCCGTAGGTTGGAATGTGTATGTATTTTTAACTTTCTGTCGCGTTTTCTTCAGTAAGTCATAAATTCTTAGTGATGACCCTTCTTGTTTTATCTTAAAAAAAAAAAAAAAAAAAAAAAAATCAAATCATGTTTGTCTAAAATTATCTGAACATATACCGAATGGTATTAACAAGAATTATTAAATATAGGACATCTGTTTGTAATCATAATAGAAATATTCTATAACTCTGAGACATGATGATAAGGTCTCATCGGGGTACACATCACACAATGTTGCAACCCAGAAGTAAGGTGAACAATAACTTTCCATTTTTGTACAAAAACATTTTTATATACATTCAATATTTCCTCATTCGACTAACCAATAATTTCGAAATGAGAAGTTCAAGAAATTGCATTTCCTTCCTTGGTAAAATCGATATAGTAGTTTCAACCTATGATAAAATGTAAAGAAACGATATAAGAAGAATAATGTTTTAACTTTATCAATTTATTCAAAGACGACATATATTGTATACTAGCATATATACACACACAAATTGATACATCTAATAGATATTATAAAAATCGTACAAGTCTCTCTCCATTTTCTATATCAAACAAGGCTAATGGAATAATATTATTTATGGGCTGTTTAAACATGGCAACTAATCCATCTGAAACTCTAAAAAAAAGAAATTTGTCGTTTTTAAGTTATGAGAAGAATTTGGAATAGTTTTCCTCTTTTGTATAGAATCATTTTTTTTCCCCCTCCTTCCCTGCGTATGCACAGATTTATATATATATTGTGGATCCTAATTAGGAATATACTTGTATACATACATCTCCTGATTTATATGTATGTGCATGCATAGAACCCAAATAACACAACTTGCTGTATAAAAAAAAAAAAAAAAAGAAAAAAAAAAAAAAGCTAGTTAAGATCCACTAACCTGATCTCCTGAAATTCTTCCTCTATCTCAAACACCTGTTCATAGGTTCGCATGTCCCAAAATGTGTACGAGTTCGTGTTTAAGTTGGCAGCTCCTATTCGTCCATTTGTTTCTTCAAAGTAAAAATGGAGAAGGGATGAATATATAAGCATGTCTCATATGTACCTCTAAGGGTATGTGCCTGTGAGAGCATATACCTAAAAACTTATACAACCACAAACACAAACATGTGGATATTGGATTCTTCTCCTTTTTCATACCACAAAATTCAAAGAACGCCGGATGACTCAGTATGACCTTTTCTGAGAAGCGAAAAAATGCATATATAGAGATAAATGCGTGTATAAACAGCTAAATAAGTAATCATACAAATATATATACATACATACACATATACACACATACACACATACACACATACACACATACACACATACACACATACACATAGATAGGTATACATACACACAGATGCACATGTAAACGCTCGCTGTCTATTAGGTTCGCTCTTTTGTATTATGTGCTCTTGCCTTTTTGCACTACTCACTGGGAGCTTATTATGAATGTCAAATGAGAAACGTGAAACGAAATTACCGAAAAGAGTGCCAAGTTTGGAGGAGTGTGTTTTCCCTATTTTTAAGTCCTGTTAGATGGGAAAAAAAAAAAAAATGTGACAATAAATAAATGCTTAAACAAATGAATAGACGTACAAACGAACAAATAAAACAAGCATCGTTTAATTTAATTTTCAAGAAGCGTCTCGCAAGTCATGTGAAAGATTACGTCTAAAGACGTGGAAGTGTTCGCACTTGAGCTTAAGCGCGTCGTTTTTCAAATGCACATGTTCTCAAACGTCCATTATATCCTCTCCTGCTTACACAGCAATCGATAACTTTGCACTGCAAATGAGCAGGAAAAGAGGCATAAGCAACTATCAAAGTATTATTGTAAGAATTGTGTACAATTGTGTGCACAACTGAGTAACTACTGGGATTAATTTCACATAAAAATCTCCCATTCACAACATCATATGCTCTAGATATCCCAGAAAGTAACAAGACAACAATGACATCGTTTGCTAAAACAATTTCTTTAATTTTTGTTCTTTCATTATCGAAATTATTAATAGGCATATTTTCATAAATGTCAATTATCTTTATCGTTTTGTAATTACAACATATGTTTTTCTGAATAATTTTGCTTTTATTTATTTTTGATGACAAACTTTTAGGAATATTATTTCCATGTTTCTTTCGTTCTCTCATGTATTCCAACATTTGTGAAACAAAAACGAGCGCAAAAAGGAAAAAAAAAAAAAAAAAAAAAAAAAAAAAAAAAAAAAAAAAAAAAAAAAAAAAAAAAAAAAAAAAAAAAAAAAAAAAAAAAAAAAAAAAAAAAAAAAAAAAAAAAAAAAAAAAAAAAAAAAAAAAAAAAAAAAAAAAAAAAAAAAAAAAAAAAAAAAAAAAAAAAAAAAAAAAAAAAAAAAAAAAAAAAAAAAAAAAAAGGCAAGAAAAAAAAAAAAAAAACAAAAATTAGAGAAAAAAAAAAAAAAAAAAAAAAAAAAAAAAAAAAAAAAAAAAAAAAAAAAAAAAAAAAAAAAAAAAGGCACAATTGTACATGTTCAAATTAACATACATAAACAATATTAGTAATAAGCCAAACAGAACAAGCAAATAATTTTGCTAAAACATTATTAAGACATAAAATATTTTAAAACGGAAATTCAAAAAAAAAAAAAAAAAAACAAAAAAAAAATAAACAAAGAGGAAGTTAAAAAGGAGTACTGTCACATATAAAGTCTTGGGACATGCCAATGTATGCCACCTCAGGAGATAAGAGGAGATAAGTTCGGTGCAGACATACATGCAGACACGATCATGGGGAGAACGCTAAATTGTATGACCACACACACCATGATAAATATACCTAGCGTAAAGAAATAAAGAACTAATGTCACAGATAATTAACATTTGACAACTTGAAAGAATGTGCTAAAAATGCACAGATAGGTAAAAAAAAAAAAAAAAAAAAGGGACACAAATATATACTCAGATTGCTTAAGTGTGTGTGTGTGGGGACGTAACAGATAGAGTAAACTTAAATATACATACAAATGCAGTATATGCATACATGTATATATATATATATATATATATATATATATATATATATATACGTATATATATTTGTATATATTTTTTGCTTACAAATTAGTAACGCACAGTTTGCATATTCAAATACAGACATGAATAAGCTTTCGTGATCTCCTTGAGAGGGGTGGGTGTTACGTCCAAAGGCACATTCCCCAATACAAGAACGTTTGTGTATATGTTCAGATCAGTAGACGCATGCACATTTTTGATTACACATTTGCACAAAAAAAATAAAATAAAATAACAAAAACAATAATAATAACAATAGTAATAATAACAATAATAGCAATAATGGCAATTAAAATAAAAATAAAAAGAGACATAAGAAATAAGCACAAACTTCAATACATACATGCACAAGTACTTATGTATGTTTCCATGGATAGACTTAAATAATCACCGAATTATGTGCCTTCTTGGTTTTTATATATGAATATTCTAGGAAAGACACATAGTTGATCTATTTATCTACATTTTTCGTTTTTCTCTTTCACAACTTTTTTTTATTCTATATATTCCTAATATTTTGTCTAAATATATCATTTTTTAAATATTTTAAGTGTTTTTTTTTTTTTTTTTTTCTCATCTATTTTGACCTCTATTTGTAATTTCGTTTAAGGATGAAAATATTGGGAAAAAAAACAAAGGAACGCAAATTCAACCGGGTGCCAATTTGTGTGTACGTACTATTAAAAAAGAAAAAAAAGAGAAAATTAGAGATAACATTCCAAAATAATGATATAATTCAAGAATTGAACAGAACAAACCAAAGTTTTTTTTTTTTTTCTATTTTCCATACATTCAGGCGAAACAAAGATATAATTTAAAAAAAAAAAAAAAAAAAATTATGGGTATAGAAACATGGAGAGAGTCCTATATTTGACAATCATTTATAAGCCATATTTATTCAGCATAAGGTTGGGGTGAGAATACAACGGAAAAGGTGTCATAAGGAATTATACATATTCTCATGTGCATGTTAAACATGTATATACATATATATACTTACATTAGCATATATTCTAACACACTTTGGAATTGTGATATTTTGCAATTGATATGTTATGATTCACGTAATAAATATTAAGACATATATGCATTATCGAACCAGAAATTTATAAATTGGTCACATGGAAAATGCTGATAACGGACACAACATGTTCAACATGTAAATTCCTAAGGATACAAAATACAACTTTTTTGAGATAATTTACAGCCTCAGTTCTGCTATCTTTATAAACCATTTTCAATTTTTTTCCTTCTTGCGCCTTGTTTTATATATGCAGCTATTTTTATGCCAAACCAAAATTGCATGAAAAAAAAAAAAAATAAATAAAGTAAAAAAAAAAAAAAAAAATCATGAACATTTATGTACACTTATGTACACTTATGAACATTTATGAACACTTATGAACATTCACCAATGTCCTTCATTTGACAGTTCCGTGTAAATAAATTTAAACGTAGGCGTACACAAAAGATATAACATGATGAGATACACTCAACTAGGAAGTAAGAGAGAAAAAAAAAAAAAAAAAAAAAAAAAAATAGGCTGAAACAATGACAAATGCAAAGAGAGTTACATGAAGAAAAAGAAAAAAAATGAATAGGTCATTTTGGGCCACTATAATTCTTTCCATTAATTTCTTCATATTATGGGGAGGCAGCAACAATAGCAATAGTAAGCTTAAGTTAAACACTGAGGGTAATAATAGGAATGTTGGCATACGAAGATGCAGAAAAATGAAGAGAAATTTCAATTATATATCTTCTGGAGAAAAAGAAATAAACTTATTGTATAAATGTGTATATAGAAAGAAAATATACAACTTGGACATAAACCTACACATAGAGGAAAACAAAAAATATATAAAAAAAAATCATACTTTTAAAAGTGTTGTAACACTACTTGCTAGAGGAAGAAAAAATGGAATAGAAACACAAAGGGAAAGTAATATCCAAAATGATTTCGAAACCTTTTTAATTATAGATGGATCTTCCATTTTGTTTAAAAATTTTTTCGGGATGCCACATTTAAAAAATGATAATGAAATAAACCTAAGTACAATATATGGGTTTATCCAATCCTTAAATAAAATGTACAATTTATTTTCTCCCTCTTACATTTTAATAGTTTTTGATTCTAAGACATCCAATGATGAAAAGAAAAAAATTTATGCAAAATATAAACTCATGAGAAAAAAAAATCCAGATGAATTATATGAACAGCTCAAACTTGTAAGCGACTTCTGTGACCTCATTGGGATAAAAACTATTACAGCAACAGATGTAGAGAGTGATAACTATATTGCTGGTGTAGTAGATTCCATTAGTAACACCATTATGATGGGGGAAAGCGTGTCTCATCGTGTATTTCAAAATGGAGAAGGAGAAGGTGACGAAGAAAACAGATCGCGAAAGGAATTTCGAGTGATCATCGTTTCAAGTGACAAAGATCTTTTACAACTCCTAGAGTACAATAACGATGAACACAACAACATGAATATATCCATATGCCAACCGAATAAAAAATATAGATTAGTTGATGCTAACGCATTCTTTCAGGAATATAATTTATTACCGTCTCAGTACAGTGACTATCTTATAATGGTTGGAGATAAAACTGATGGAATTTCAGGAATTCCAAATATAGGCGATAAAATTAGTAAGCATTTACTCAAAGAATTTTACAGCATTGATAATATTTTAAGGAATTTACATAAAATTCCAACCAGATTGCATGCCATATTTCTCAACAATATAGAAAATATTAACACGTTCAGAAAACTTATTAAGTTAAAGTGTGAAACGAAGCAACCGATAGTATTAAATGACTATAGACAAGGTAGTATAAAGGATTTCAACCGTTTTCAAAATATTGTAGACAAATATTCTCTTCACAAATTGATAAAAAAAACTGTTATCGTGAATTACAAATAAGGAGTGCTAAATGTGGTATACCTCCGTTTGGGACTAGGGTAATATCCTGTATATCGCCTTCTCATTAATATGTAGAACTGTGTGTAATTTGTGTATTTGAATTTCTTTTTCTTTTTTTTTGATTCAATGTATGCATACCAATTTGTCCATATATATTGTCGCTTCTAAACACTTTAATTACAATTTTTTTTTTTTTTTTTTTTTTTTTTTTTTTTTTCTTCAATATATGCATACCAATTTCTCCATATACAGTCACTTCTAAACACTTTAAGTGCAATTTTTTTTTTTTTTTTTTTTAAAGCATGAGTTACTTTTTTTGACTCAATTTTTTTCGTTTTTTTTTTTTTTTTTTTTTTTAAGTTATTTTGATAAGATGCTCGCAGTTTTCTTGTGGCACCTTCACCTTAAAATCACATCTCACATCAACCGTGTTGAAGTATATATACCTGCATGCACATATGTGTATACATGTTTGTGTATGTTTTTGCATATTCATATGGTTTTTCTCATGCTCTCTCCCTTGCGTGCGGATTTCCGCATCTCACATTTTAAAAACGATATCATTTTTTGAAATGCTGCATTTGTCTCAATTATGTAAACGTACACATGTACATCCTTTCTTGGCAAATACAAAATGTCACGATTTAAGATTTAAAATAAAGGCCTACATTTGTGTATAGTTCAGATTGCTTGAGTTACGTGCCCTTTTTCCGCACATATCTCATTGAATATTCCGAGATATACATCCTCATATACTGCAATAATTGCAGTTGTGTCTATATGAAACAAGTAGCAATTTTCAACTTGCATCCACGTTTTCCCATTGTGGACCCATGTTTTCTCCTGCCTTTTTTGGTCACTACATTAATACAACATATTCAGCAGTTAAGACACTGAAAGGTTTGATGCTTTTCTTATCACATCCATTTGGGGTTCTTTGGCCAATTATTTATACTACATACCTGTAGGGTTTTTACTCCATCCTACCTGTCCTATACATGGCAAAAAAAAGAAAAAAAAAATCATCCAAAAGAGAATATTCCAGCACATTCCTCTTCTTTCGCCACTCCCACATTGTAAGAACATGTCAACATCAGATGAACTATCTGTGCTTATCCAGAATCTGCAAAAATGTAACAACACAAGCGAATCTATCAATTTCGATCTGGCTAGTACCATTCAGGAATTCCTCAACTGTTTAGACAAAAATGTGTTTGAAGATTTGGAAAAAGGAATAAATGGAAGTGAAAAGGAAAAAAACAAAGGAAAAAACAAGGGCAAGGATAAAGAAAAGGACAATCACACAGAAAAAGACTTAGAAATGGAAAAGCAAAACGAATTGATGAACAGTTTCACCTCAGCAGCAATATTCGTCGAAAATTGCGTGAAAATTTTTGGGTTAAAAATTGAACATCTTCACAACTTGGCACATAATACCTTGTACAATATTTATAAAGAGAACAAAAATAACAACTCAGCAAAAAAGCATATTATCATATCTGATGAAGAGGAATATTTGTTCATTAATGAAATTAAAAGTTTAAAAAATTCTCAAAGTGAGAACGAGCAATACTTGGAGGACGATTTGCTTATCAAAACAATTCCTCTCCCTACCTTTCTGTTTGCAGAAAATATGAAGAAGGAAAAAAGCCAAGTCAGTAACTCCAATAGAAGCGAGAGCAACAACTGCAGCAGTAACTTTAATGGTGATGAGAAGAATCGAAACGCTAGCTCCAATTTGACTTCACAAGGAGAAGATGTAGAACACACGTTAAATACAAAATGGACAAAACTGGGAAAACAAGTTCGTACAGATTCAGGGGATATTGAATCAGAGGTACCAGAAATAGACGAAGAAGAAGAAGAAATAATAGATCATAATTCTATAAAATCCTTAAATTTTGATAAAATATTCCTGGAAAATGATGGAATTTTACTCCTAGATATCAATGATTACAATATTTTCATAAATGATCAAAACGATTTTTCAATTCAAAATCAAATGAGTTCTGCACTTTTCGAAAAATATGATTTTTACACTTCAAATAATTCTACATATTTACCTTGTGCTAATTTAAGCAAATATATTGAAAAAGAAAAAACAGTTGATGCCATTTACAAAATTAATAGTTTGAATGATATACTAACGAATGATTTGTGTCAAGATATATTCTTATTTAAGCAAGATTTCTATGATTATGACTTTTCCCTTGGAATAACAAAAAATAAAAATAGTATGCTAAATAAATTTAAGGAAAATCAAAAATATTTACACTTACTTGACGAAAATTCACACATGGGTGAAAACAAATTTATTACAACTCATGAAAAAAGTCAAGGAAAAAAAAAATTACCACATTACTATATGTTAAATTGTCAGAATATCACAAGATCACAGGATTTTTTCAGGTATATGCAACCAAGTCAAATTATCGATATTATTGAAAGAAATACACACAGACACTATTTCTCTTATGCCACAAATCAGAACGATATCAAAGATAGTAATGATCTTGTGGGACAGGATAGGAAGCAGGATGATATGTCCTCTGAGATTCTTGAAAATAAACTGACCAGTTCTCACATGAGGAAACATAATCTTGATCTTCTACATTCAAATGATGAGAAGTTGTTTGATCAAATAAAAATCCCAGATATGTACATACAAAAACTGGGGTTAAATTTTTCATACTATCATTTAGAACCATTAATTTACGATTTAATAAAAGACTTAAAAAAAAAAAAAAATGTGGAAAAATTTTTCTCTATAAATCTCTATGATGAAAAGCAAAATTACGAGTTTGATATTTTACAAGATGAAGAATATGCTGATGATAAAATTGAAGATAATCCAAACGCTCCAGAGAAATACACCACGGATAACTTCCTCGATGTCAGATCACTAAACGATGACATGAATGACATTCCGCTCGAAGTATTTGAGAAGAAAGATTCTTCGGACATTTTCTTCGCTTCCTTTGATGAAGACATTCACGACAGGTACAAGTTTTTTTTTTTTTTCCTGCACCTGATTAGTTGTCCGTCCATATATATATCCTTCTGTTTATCCATTTTTTTTTTTTTTTTTTTTTTTTTATATGCTTCTCATTCTTCGCGCGGCGTGTCTCATTACACAGCTTTGTCAGCTGTGCATAGTTCTTGTCACAATTGACATCATGCACAGCATGCGATACTTATTAATCATCTCGAACAATCATCATTACTCCATATATACACACCCCTCTCCAGAGTGAACAAATGGAATATCTTTCTTGAAGAAAAACTCCAGATGATGAGGAAACGTCCCAAGTATGACGTAGACGTGTACAAAAAACATATCATAAATTATACAGTTAACAATGGAGAAAAGACATCATTATCAAACCTTATAAAAGACAAAGAGCCATATGAAATATGCAGAAATTTCTTAACAACTCTGATGTTAATAAACACAAACATGCTAAATATAAGAGAAATAAATCCTACCAGCAAATCCAATGATGTAAGCAATTACGAAATTAATGTAATAAAGGAAAATTCTCAAGAATATCTTACCATGTCTAAGAGGTTCAAAAATACTAGCTTTATCATAAAGGATAAGAAGAGGAAAAATGACACCTTGGGAAAAGCAAAAAATATCCAAGCCAGCAAAAGGAAGAAGCACAAGGATTAATCAAATTTGCATTCGCCTTTAATTTTACCAAAAAAAAAAAAAAAAACATACATGCAATAGAAATAGCTAGATCAGAAAAATAGACATGTATTTTAATTAAAAAAAAAAAATACGCCATAAAATTTACATTAAACATGGGATGTTCTAATTTTCTGAATTGATAAAATAAGACCCACATTTGTTTTGCATACTAAACCGAAATATATCACCCCCCCCCCCCCTACACATACATATCACAAAATTATTTCTTTCTTCCATTTTTTTTATCATTTCATTGATAATATTGTATAAAAAAGAGAAAATAAAAAAAAAAAAAAAAATCATCAATATATTACTGATTACTTTGAATATTACGACAAATGCATTTTCCTGTTCATTCGAGAGCACATAATTTTGTTGCCTCTATATTTTTATAAATGCTCATCTTACACTTTCGTCAACATGAGGAAAATTTAAATATTTATCTATTCACCACCCTAATTAAATTCAACATCCCGCTTCATATGTGCTTGTACCTGTCTATTTATCTTTCCACCCATCTGCTTATCTGTTTATCTATATTTATTTTATCTTATTTTATTTTATTTTATTTATTTATTTTTTTTTCCACAATTTAAGAGTTATTAATTATCAAATAAATAGCGAAACAAGGAAAAAAAAAAAAAAAAAAAATTAAAGAATTAAAATTTTAGCGACATTAACCTTTGCGTACTTATATAAGCATGCATACAAAACATACATGCACACATATGCGTGATGACAAAAAACGAATAACTTAAATTTTGTATTCTTCCACAAGTTGAGAAGAAAAGAAAATAAGCGTTCAAACATCGACCCGTGCATAATTGTATGTACACGGATTTGTATATATGTGTGAAAATTACAACTGCAAACATTTGTGAAGCACAAAAAAAAAAAAAAAAAAAAAAAAAGCGGAAAAAAGGAAAAAGACGGAAAAACATGGAAAAATGGAAAACCTGCAAAGCGGAGAAAAATATAAACAAAAAAAAAAAAAAAAAAAAACCATAAGCATAAGCACAAACATAAGCATAAGGGTACGGGTCAATAAATACGCGATATAACTAATTTGGTTAACCTCCAATACGCATAAGTATACTGATTATACATGCATATGCGAGACAAGATTCACTCTCTGTGTGCATGTGGTAAATGCTTGGGGGAGGAGGGTATGAGAGTACAAGTATAGGAGCGCCTTCATTTTCAAATGAATGTATGCATATTCACGTTCCCATATGCACGAACATATATAAACACGCATGGGGACGGGAGGGGTTGCTGAAAAGGCGTAAAATCTTGGGGTCACACTCGCGAGAAGTGAGTCTAGCGAAGGGATTTACTACTATATAGATATATATATTTATATATATAGACAGATATATATATATATATATATACTCACTATGCTACGTTAAAAAAAGGATGAAATTACTGTGTAAAATAGCCTAAAAAAATCGCGATAACTTATCTGAGAATATGCATAGTTACTTTTTAACAAATAATCAAAATTCAAACACTTGTTGTGAAATTCGGATTTAAATAAAAAGTTATTTTGCAAAGAGTATGAATTCATGTCGTAAAAAAAATATTTCTGGATCGAATCGAAGGACGCGCTACTATTGTCACTAACGCTACTGCCAATGTTGCTAATAATATCACTCACAGTGTTGCCAATTGTGCTTATCACAGTGCTGCCAATTGTGCTTATCACAGTGCTGCCAATTGTGCTGCTCACTGTGTTTCCAATTGTGCTGCTCACTGTGTTTCCAATTGTGCCGCTCACAGTGTCTCTAACAGTGCCACTAACAGCGTTGGTAATAGTGGTGGTAATACTACTACTCATAAGCTCTTTTGTTTTTTTCTTAAAAAAAAGACTAACATCGAAAAAGACCTTTTTAAAAAATATTTTAAAAATGCCTAGAACCCCAATAGCGTTGCAGGAATTGTGATCATCAGTGGCTAGCTTTAAATAAATTTGTAAAATATTTTTTAAATTTTCCAATTTATTTGATTCTAAAAAGAGTGCCTTATAGAAAAGGGGTTCATGGTTCTCTTCATCCGAATTTCTTATTAAAAATTGTAATTCCTTTCTTTTGCTTTTTATAGTATATTCATCACCTTCTCTATATTTCCTTACTAAATCGATGGTTGATTTTTTATATCCATAATAAGCTGAATATATGTCATAATATTGCTTACAAATGTCGCAATTTTTGGAAAAACTCTGAATCTCATCAAACATATTTGATGAATATCTATTTTGATAATAAAATATTTCTTTCATATCTTCATTTTCTAATAAAGGAGAATATCTAAAAAATTCAGATTCATATAAATCCATTACGTGGCTAGTTTCCTTACCAAATGGATTATTATTCAAATAACTACTTTTCCCTAAAATGTTATTGCTCTTATGTTGTAGATTCTTGTTCATGCTTTTTCTTTTCTCCTCTTCTAACATAATCTGATAGTATGACATTGGTTTATAATAGCAATGCAAAAATTCGGTTGTTCTGAAATGCTCCAGAATTATACTTTTCATTTTTTCTGCTTTTCTTATTTTCTCTTCATTGTTAGTTTCTTTCTCTATTTCGTTCTTTATAATATTATCATACTTTTCAAACAAATCAATCTGTTTATACTCTTTCGATAGAAGGTATGTGTCGTGACTATGCTCACTTTTATTTACTTTCTTACTTTTGTTAACTTTTTTAGGTTTTTCCATTTTCTTATTCTTATCAACAACACGCGTGTTTTTTCTTCCCTCACTAGAGGTCTTTCCCAACTTCTGATCTTCTTCTTTAATACCTTCTGCAGTTTTCTCTTTCAAGTGAATATCTTTCCTTTGCCCCGATGGTGCAGTACTACTTCCTAATCCATTTCGATGTAAGAGCTCATTTCTCAAGTTGTTACAAAATTTCATGTGCAAAAATATATTCTTTTTTGCAAAAATGTTGGACATAGCAACCATAGTGCATGATTTTAAAATCGATTCATTTTGTCCAATACCATACTTCTTCTGAAGTGAGTACTTTACTCCTTTTTCTTTGCTATATATTCTTTTGATTATTTTGTCAATTTTGACCTTTCCTTTTTGGGAGGACGGATCCGTTCTCCTTCCACGGCCATTTCTACCGTCATTTCCACCGCCATTCCTTTCTGCGCTTCCCTCGGGTAATGCAAGACGATACTCCTGAAGAAACCCCTCGACAATGTTATACTTCTCTGTAAAGGTCTGCATGGTTTTCCTCTTCAAATCCCACAGCATAGATGCATTTACATTATTTGGATGATCACCCAATTCAGATAATATAACTGCCAGTAACAAAGAACCAGTGTAATCCCTAAATTTGTAATTCCTTTTCAATAATTTAAATAAAGAATATAAACGCTCATTGAATAATCCAATGAAATGAAAATGTTTTAAAGTTTTTTCACATTTTTCATTAAATGTTTTCAAATTTGGATTTACACCTTTCAATATTAAAATGCTCTTGTTGTATAATGAAATTATATTCCCATTCTTAGCAGACATTTTATAATATTTATATGATTTTTTTAAATTTTCAATTTTATTTTTCTCATCATAATCATTTAACTTAATTCCTATATCAGTTCCTGAGTAATAATGCCCCAATAACATCTGCGATATATTGTCTCCTTTGTCTGCAGCTTTCTTTAAATATTCTCCTGCTAGTTCAATATTTTTTTCTGTTCCTAATCCAAATTTGTATATATTATACTTTGCTAAAATATTTTCTAGACTACCTTCATTATTTCTTATCGCTTTGTTAAAATAATGTTCAGCATTTTGGAAAGCTTTATTTCTCTCATTGTTCAGATCTTCCATATACTTTCTGATGAATTCATCATTCGGATTATTTTCCAACCTAGTTTTTTTTTCATTCGTTGCGTCATTATACTCACTATGATGTGGCGTTGGTTCACTCTTTCCACCAATGCTTGTATCGACATTTCCACTTGAACTTTCTCTCACCCTGTTATTAAGCCTTTCTCCTTCTCTTGGTTCACTACCATGGGAAGGCATATTAAATGATCCTCCATTGTGGCTTCCTTCGAATGGGTTCCTCCACCCACCGTTTCCTTCTCCTTCGTTTATTCTTCCATCCAAAAAGTTAACTCCCATGGATGAAATTTCTCCCATTCTTTGGGATGAGACATCTACATTGTTATGTTGTTCCACGTTTAACTGATGCGTGGATATTCCATCTAAAGAACTATTAATTCCTTCAGCTGAAACACCTTCAGAAGGGGATAATGATCCTGGTGAATTTCCCGTGTTGATATTGGACATAAAATAAAAGTGTGCATTTTCCTTCCTATCATTCTTTTTCACTTCATCTTTAAAACCACTATCACTTGACCTCTCCACCCCCCATCGTTCTTCCTCTTCTTGTGCTTCTCCTCCTGCTGCTGTTTCCGTCGTTGCTTGCCCTCCACTCTCTGGAATGAACTCAAGGGATGAACCAACTTTCCTGCTCTTATTTGCAGTACTAGCATTCTTGCCCTTCTCAGCCTTAATCATATTCAAGATATCATCACTATTCATCGTTTTCAATATTTCCTCCTTTCTTAAATATCTTTTATACTCATCCAAATATGCATAACCAGTAGACAAAGCAGATGCACTATCTCCCTGATCAGCTGCTTTTTTCCAGAACTCAAAGGCCTTGATTTCATCTCGTTCAACACCTATACTTTCATTTCCCAAATAATATATTTCGCCCAATGCTGCTAATGCATATGAATTTTTACTATCTGCTAATTTTAAAAAATATTCAAATAAATTTTTAGTATTATCTGTGGTGTTATGAATTAAATGCCTGTGTTTTTCACTAATGTTCTCTTCATAGATTCCACTTTCAATAGATGTAGAATTTTTTAACGAGTCTACAACTGCTCCTAGTATATTGCTTAACAAATAATCACATGATGTTAGAAATGGTGATAAATTATTCTTGATTACAGAATTTTTGTAACTTTTATTATCAAAAGTAAAATCAAAATAGTCCTTCAAAAATATATTATTATCTTTATTTTTATATTTCAATCTTATCATATTATTGGTGAAAGCCAGTTTGCTGTAAAAATCATCCTTCGTTGATCCCAATGAATATGATGCAATTTTAGATTTTATATTGTCAACAGTTTTAGGGATAATTCTATTTTCATTTGATAAAAAATCATGATTTCTAATATTACCATTATTCTTATAATAAATATAAAAAAAACTACTAACAGAATTGTCATTCACATCAGATATATCTTCATTCATTTCTGTCGTAATCGATATAGAAGAATTATTTACAAATATTGGTAAATTCAAATGGTATAATATTCCACTTAAAAAATTACATAATCCATCTTTTCCTTTTCTTATCAGTTTTACTGAATTATCAATATTTCTTGGAAATCCATAAGGAAATTGTAATTTCCCGTTATTATCATTAATACCTACTAAGTATAAAAAGGCCATTGAACACATTGCTTCATTTTTAAGCTTATCTACGAAATTTTTCTTTAACAATTTCAGCTGATCATGAATTTTATCCTTCATTTCAATAGCTGCAGGTGTAAACTCATTCAAATTTGTGTTTCTATACATGGAATGCTCTTTTTCAGTGTCTGATTTTCCTCTTCCTTTTTTACCCGTGGCCACATCAGCCTTCGCTTCTTCGTCTTGTCTCATGAAAAGAAGAAAAGCTTTCATTTCATCACCATTCAGCTGCTTTACATTAAACAGATTTTCACTTAATTTATCTACATCTAATGGGGTTCCACTTAACTCGTCTCGATGCATTTCCATAAGTAAATCTCTACCAACCGCCCCACGGTTAACCTCCTTTTTGGAAAAAATTATCTCCCTCCATGTCTTCCTCTCACTCTCTTTGCCATTTGGAAAATTCACTTGTGCCCACGCTCCATTTCCCCTTTTACATCCCAATTGATTGTCATAAAAATTTGTTCCTTCCTTATACTTCATAATTGTTATGAGGTAATCGTAAATATTTTTAAAATTAATTTGTTTTTTATTACTTATCTGGTTTAGATATGAATAAATATCTTTTGAAGGGTTAAAAATCAGAGGAACGGTCCTACCCGTGGCAGTATTAAAGATAATTCCATCTTTCAACTCATATTTATTTTTGTAATCTTCCATTTCTTTTCTTTTCTTGTCAACTGACATTTTCAAAATTTTTTTCAAATTATTAAGTATGTATTTATTATATTTTTTTAAGTCATCGTCCCCATTCGGTATTTTATTGTACGATTCTATCATGTCTTTCCACATTTCACTTTCTCCTTTTCTTTCCTCGGTTTCAAGTTCGTTGCTACCTCTACCTCTTCCTTTATCAGTAAGAGCAGAATCAGCACCATGCGGCTTATTTTCCTTTATTCCGTTTGAAAATTCCTCCTTTTTACCTTCCATGGATGATTCAGCAGTTTTTCTGCTTGTATCTCCATCGACCTTGACTGATTTACTCGTGTCTTCATCGGAATGCTCATTATGAGTCATCTTCCTCGTTTCCTCTTCCTCTGATAGTTTCTCTAACTCTGTCACATCTGATAACTCTGTCACTTCTGATGATTCTGTCACTTCTGATGATTCTGTCACTTCTGATGATTCTGTCACTTCTACTAATTCTGTCACTTGTGTTGACTGTGATACTTGCCCTTCAGCTGGTGCTTTCCTTGACTCAGGGCGTACCCCACCCTCGGGCTCTGCCTCCCCATCACCCGTAGGAACTAACTCTAACAAATTCTTCTCCTCGGAGATATCTGTCATTGTTTTGTTCATCTGCACTGTGGAGAGGAGTTTCTGATCTGATGGTGCAGGAGCGAACCGTTTGTCTCGCTCAACATTCTTTATTCTGTCGAAATAGTATTCATTATACAAATTATTTAATAAATCTATTAAAAATTCCCTAAAGATGGAAAATATTAAATTCATTTCTAAGTACAAATAATTTTCGACAACATCAGGAGAAGACGTAAATTCTTTTTTCCTAAATTGGTACAAAATAAAATTTGTATTCAACTTATTCAATTTTATAAATAACTTATTATCACTTTTTTTTATCTTATGATGATAAGCATCTTTGGCAATCAAATATTTATGCTTCTCAAAATAATGATGATTATAATACACAAAATAGTCATATACAAAATCATTAAAATTTTTACAATTGTAAAAATCAAAAGGGTAAAATCTTGGACTATTATTCAATTTAAAATTATATTTATTATAATTATCTAATATATCCAATAGAGTAAATTTATTTAAATCTAAATAATATAAAAAATATTCTGAACTTAATATATTTAAAACTAATCTGTATGTATACCTATAAGAGTATACTGTTTTATCATCTATATAAAATACATAGTTAGTTCTATCAAAATAAGATTCTACTAATTTGAAATTGTTATACCATCTAAAGAGAGAAGTTATAAAATGTTTCTTAAATGTTTTTTCCTCAATTCTATACTTAAAATGTTTATTCTTCTCATTATAAGATTCTGTAATTATCATACTGTCACTAACCATTTTTATTAAATTCTTCATACCTATGTACATCTCTTTGTTCATTTTTGTCTTCAAAGAATATTCCTCTAACATGTTAAAATGAGAATAATTTTTCCGGTTCAAACTTCTCAATACTATTTCATCAATTATTTCATCATATTGTTTTATTTTCTCTTGAAATTCTTCTACCAAATGTTTTCTCCCATTTAATTCTTCCCTTCCAGAAGTAGTACTTTTCTCTTTATCCTTTTTCAACATTCTACTCAGACAAGTTTCTTCTTCTTCCTTAGGTGGTGCAAATGCTGTGGATTTTTCTTCCTCCTTAGGTGGTGCAAATGCTGTGGATTTTTCTCCTTTATGATAATTATCAATCTCTCCTTTTAGTACATCTATCTGTACCCATGTGTCTACACTCTTCTTTCCATTCTGGATAATTCCAAACTTTGTATCAATGGTACTTTTCCCTTCTAAACTTGAATCTATTTTAAAGGAATTTACTGTTCCTCCTCCTTCCCCTTCTTCGTCCATTTCGAATAACACTTCTTTCTTTTCATTGTTAATATATTCACACTTAATTATTAATAAGAAAAATGAAAATGTAAAAATAATATAAAAGACATTATTAATCATGTTTACTCTCCGGGGTGGGGTGGGGGAAGGACGCTCTCAAAACTTGTGGTGCATGCAGATGGAAGAGGACGTAACAAAATAGGACTCGCCGAAAATAGAAAAAAAAAAAAAAAAAAAAAAAAAAAAAAACAGCGAAAATTAAAATATGAAAAAAAATAAACTGTTCACATGAATGCAAACGTAACACAAATAAACAAATTCCAAATATACAAAAAAGGGAAAATCAAAAAGGAAGATCAAAAAGGTGATCAAAAAAGAAGAAATAAAATATTTCGATTTATTTCTTTTATTCACTCACATAAACGTGTACATAACTCGCGTAGAGCTACATATTTTGTACGCACAAAAAAAAAAAAATAAAATAAATAAATAAAAAATATATAAATAAAAAATATATAAAAAAAAATATACATATATATATATATATATATATATATGTAATGTGCACATAAACACAAGCGCACACACACGTTATGACATGCTACATATGTGAATAATAAATATCCAAATACCAGTAAGGTCCTACAAGGTAAATATAACAAATAAGGCTTTAAAAACAATACCTCAAATAGATTGTACAAAGGAAAATATAACAGCCAAAGTTACAGGGTTATGATGAGCTTGGAATTTTGCGTGGTGACAATTACGTGTAAAAAGTTCACACATGCTAATTGCATAGCGGAGTTTACCCGTGTTGAGCACAACTGATGTAATACCCATCACTACACATTACTACACATTACTACCCGCTGCAGATGATGATAAAAGGTAGATATATGTATCCAGGAAAGCAAAATCGGACAGCGAAATATATGTAATGTATATGTAAAATGCAATGCGTGATGATTAAAACGCACAACTAAAAAAGCCTCTTTTCAATGAAGCAAAAAGCCCGCGTTGCTTTTTAATTTTGACGCTTTTTTTGCGAAAACAAATTTTGGTTAATTGGAGAAAAAAAAAAGAAAAAATATATACATATATATATATATATATGTATGTACGTACGTGCATTTATGTATATATACGAAGAAATAATTCTTGTACTAGAAGCACTTCAAAATAAAAAATGGATGGGAAAAAATATACATTGCAAACGAAATGAGTTTACTACAAAAGCGGCATTTATGACAAGTGCGAGAATGCTCTTATATATCTTGGTATAGCATGTAAAATTATATGTATCGTGTACTACACGTGTATATATATATATATATATATATATATACATTACTCGTATGCAACCCCTCAATATTGCATATCAATTATTGACATGCTTTGTTACATGATTTTCGCACGTGCCGAATACACTTGTTACAGTTCACTCGCTTGATACATACAGTGATAATGTAGCATTATATGTTCTTCTTCACATTCTTTACATATATATCTCCTGTTCTGTCACGTAATTGCATTGTATGTCGAGTGTATTTGTTACTTTACATATATCCACATGTTGGGTATATATTTTGCATTATATATACAGGTTAATAAATAAACACATATGTATTAGTTAGAGTCACTCATGCAAAATGCGCACTTGCGTTTAATGATAATTTCATTAACTCTTTTACATAAGGGAAAAACAAATGCATAAAAAATGCACGAGCATGAACATGTATTTATGTATGTAAAATACAAAAAAATGTTGGAGTATTTTTATCAAAATTGCACACAAAAAAATGTATGGAAAAAAAAAAAAAAAAAAAAAAAAAAAAAGCTGCATAAAAAGAAGATAATTCGGAATGTACTACGAAAAATATGCACATAAAATGATGTGACTGGGAGAGGAAAAAAACAAAAAAAGAAAAAAAATAAAAAGATAAAAAATTGAAAAATTAAAAAAAATGAATTGGAAAAATAAAAGCACCAAAGTGTTTACGCTAAAAATGGGAAATCGCAAAAGTAAACGTTTAACACGAAACTTGAAAAGTGAATAAACTGAAAAATTAAAAAAAAAAAAAAAAAAAAAAAAAACGCAAGCAGTTAGTCACATTTATGATCATATTTATCCCCCTTTTATGTCCTACTTTTTTTCCCTCCATTTTGTCCCCCTTTTATGTCCTACTTTTTTTCCCTCCATTTTGTCCCCCTTTTATGTCCTACTTTTTTTCCCTCCATTTTGTCCCCCTTTTATGTCCTACTTTTTTCCCCCCCATTTTGTCCCCCTTTTATGTCCTACTTTTTTCCCCCATTTTTGTCCTTTTTTTTTCCAAGAACCATGCATGCGCATTAGCAAATCGAGAAAAATCACATGGAGAAAAGAGATGAAAAAGAGGAATTGCGAAACATAGGAGGAAAAAAAAAAATCCCCAGAAAATAATATGCCAAATATCTAAAAAAAAATTAAAATAACATTACGGTGGAAAGCCAAACGGAAAACAACATAAAAATGTACCTCATTAATGTTTAAAAAAAAGAAAATATATATAATGAATATTTATGTGTACTTCTCCCAAGCACTGAACCATTGTTTGTAATTAGACCCGAGCGCGACAACAAGGAAATAGCTTGGAAATGCCAAAAAGGAAAAAAAAAAAGAAAATAAATATACATATATATGCATATATATATTACTTACACATTTTGTTTGTACATGTTTGCGCTTTTTTTTTGTGCGTCAACCATTTGTCATACAAACGAAAGGGCAATAAAAAGAATACTTTTGATTCCCTGTGGTTTTTCTCCACGCTGTCCCATTCAACGGGAAAAAAATAAATAAAATAAGTAATGAGAAGAAGAAGAACAACAACAAAGCTTTACGACATGAACAGAAACAAATGTTGTTATACCTTTAACCATCATGCATGTGCACGAAATGAATGAAATACTTCTACTCGATTTCATTACCAGGCACCATTAGCCAATTATAACAGGAACAATGATGGTGTACGTTGCAGTATCCGCTGTAGTAGCTCTTATCTTTCTTTTTCGCTAAACGCTTTTAACGCACCCTCCTCAGATGTCTACACACATTACATGCATACTACACCCGCTCCATTTTCTTCCAAATTCTCTTGGGGAAACATTAAAAAGTTTAAAGCGAAAAAGATAATAATGGTGAGACACTATATCTCACAATGGCGCATATAGAACACTCCCTGTATTAATATTATGAAGAAACTTTTTCACCTCTTAAGTCCAAAATAAAAATCAATAAATATAGAGCATACCTAAGTTCTATTTATTCGAATTTAATTATATTTCCATGCCACTAGTAAGAATCATGTCTTCATCGTAAAAAAAAAAAAAAAAACTTGTGTATGTTCTATTTGAAGGTTTTTTTCCATACATATTCATAACTTAGTATAGTCCCACGAACAGGAGCGTGCATAGAGATTGGATGAAATGTCTCCATCACATAAGGATTTGTATATAACAGAATAAAACACATATGTACTTACACACATTCATTCGGTTCGTCATCATGAGTGTGATATTACAATGAATGTTTTTTTTTTTTTTTTTTTTTTTTTTTTTTTTTTTTTGGTTAAAAAAGTTTACGCCTTTCCAATCTGAAAAAAAAAAAAAAAAAAAAAAAAAAAAGGTAATGTCGTAATATATATTCCCTAAAATAAACATCCTGTACACATAAATAAACGCTTGCATATGCATTGTGTACAATTATGTCAACACACTATTTGTGACATATTTCACAGGATTTAACCTCTAACGAAAAACATTTCCTTCCACATTTTGGTAATTTCTGCTGAAGGCGGATGGGGTTACTTTTCATTTGCATTTGAAGTAGGAATCCCGACCCACCGAAACTGTTACATACTTAACAAAGTGAATTTGAAAAATGGGCGATTATGATCAAAAGGGAAAAGTCGTGTAACGTCAACATGGAAAAAAAAGGAAAGCAAAAAATTAACAGAGTAACGATTTTTTCTAATAATCTAAACAGTTCGCGGTGTTTAAAATGAGGATAAGTGTTAAACTTCACAGTTTAAACATAAAAAAATGAAAAAAAAAAAAAAAATGTAAGAAAAGGGGGACGAGAAAATTAATCATTTGCTTACACCTTTATTTATTTACTCAATGTATTTTCCTCCTATAATATATCTTAAAGTTTTGTAAAAACTTTTATATTCTTATCATTTTTCGTATTTTATTACATGGTGTGTTTAAATAAATTCTGTGTCACTCTTTTTCCTAGCTGAATCTCTATAGTGTAATGTGTGGTATATATTGTGAGGACGAAAAAAAAAAAAAAAAAAAAAAAAAAAAAAAATTGTTTCTTTAAATATGCACAAATTTGCAAAAAACTGAAGTAGTCCAATAAATTGGGAGCAATTGAAAAAACTGAAATTGCTGAAAAATTTGAAATTGTTAAAAAAACTGAATTGTTGAAAAAACTGAATTGTTGAAAAAACTGAATTGTTGAAAAAATTGAAATTGTTGAAAAAATTGAAATTGTTGAAAAAATTGAAATTGTTGAAAAAATTGAAATTGTTGAAAAAATTGAAATTGTTGAAAAAATTGAAATTGTTGAAAAAAATGAAGCAGTTGAAAAAATTGAAACAGTTGAAAAAATTGAAACAGTGAAAAAAGTGAAACAGTTGAAAAAATTGAAATAGTTAAAATAATTCAAATATTGAATTGAAATGATTAAGAAAACTAAAAATAAATTAATTTCTTAATTTTTTTTTTTTTTTTTTTTTTTTCTAAACTTTTTGCTTTTCAGTATTTGTTGTGTTATACATAATTTCTCATTAGGCATGTGTTCATATATTTTATATATTTATATTTTTTCTTTTCTTACACATTTCTAATAAAATTTATGATCCCCTCTTAACCCCCCTCCCTACGTTCATCCTTATAATATATATATATATATGGTGTAATTTTTTTTATTTTAATTTAAGTTCTTATTATTATACTAGGACAATAAAATTACATTTATGTGATGACATATATATATATATATATATAACATTATTATCTCACCTCATTCAAGCACCCTGTTCCCTTCAGCTCCAATTTGTTTACGCCCCAATTCATTTTTTTTTTTTTTTTTTTTTTTTTTAACTTTGTAAATACATCTTTTCCTCTACACCATTTTGAAGTATAGTTTTTTTTTTTTTTTTTTTTTTTTTTTTGCACTACTACTTGTGTGGTGCGATTTAATGTAGAACGATTAGAATCATATCTCTTATAGCTTATTCCCGCTAATGTAAAATATGTAACAGGCAAAAAGAAGAAACGAATTGGTCTTTTTTTTTTTTTTTTTTTTTTTCTTTTGCATGCACAAAAAAAGGGTACCCATTTTAGTATTCACACACACACATAAAAGAGTAAAAAAAGATGATATTGTTATATCTCATTTTTGTCGTAATACCATTTATTGCATTTTCTTTTTTCATATATAAAAGTGTATGCACCTTTATTCATGAAAAAAACAAGAGAAATGAGTTTTTCAGTTGTTTAAAATATGAAAATAAGCAGTTTAATGTATATGAGAGGTTTTCTAAAAAATATGAGATTGAAAAATACAAATATTACTTAAAAGTCGAGAGGAAAATTGAAGTCAATTACAACACCGATATTTTTGAAGAATTAAACACTGATTCAAATGATGCGGACAAACAAAATGAGCAATATATAGAAAACCTCTTGGATGACATTTATCATGACGAGAAGTATGTTCAAGATAGTGAATTGAACGACCCCAGATTGAGTTGGATGAGGTACGTAAATCAACAAATGATACTATTGATCTAGATTACATAGTTTCAATTCTTTGCACGTTACGTGATTGTTTTTCTCCTATCTTTCTTCTCACCACACTTTCATATCTCAATTTTCATCCTTCACCTTTGCAGAAAACTGTCTAACGAGGACATTGTGAAGCTCAAAGTTATGCTACTCAAGAAGGCAATATACTTCCTTCCAATATGTAACAAAATATTTCAAGACAAAAACAAAAAGCATCGCCTGTACAATAACTACTACATTGATGATAGCATGTCCAAAGAGTTAGATGGGGTAAAAAGCTTAGCCCCTCTGGGTTCCTTGTTCCTATGCTCAAAGCACGCCACTAACATGTTCCTATGTGTGTTACAGTGTTTTTTCACATGTTTGTCCATGCTTTCACAAATTTGTGCCAGTTTTGCAAATTTGTGCCAGTTTTGCCAGTTTTGCAAATTTGTGCCAGTTTTGCCAGTTTTGCAAATTTGTGCCAGTTTTGCCAGTTTTGCAAATTTTTGCCAATTTTTGCCAATTTTTTTTTCCCCTTTTTGCATCCTAGCAATGTGAAGAATTTTTAGAAGAATTCAACATGATCATTTACGAGGCCAATTGTTTATCTCCAAGATGGGGTAATCAAAAGAAAAGAAAAAAAAATCGTTTTACACATTTTGCACAAAAAGCTTATTCACATTATGACCGTATTTGTTATTATCATTATTTTCCATATTTTGTCATATTTTGCCATTATTTGTTGTTATTATTTTATTTTTTTGCATCCATTTGTAATACCGAAAGGGCGTGTGTAGGGGGTGAAAACTTACCCCACATAAAGGTATTTATTCGGTACATGTTGATTGGAGCCATGTTTTCATTTGAACCGAGAGAATTCTGCATTCATTGAGATGTGGTAATTTTTAACACAACGTGATTATAAACATATACCTTATTATTTTTATCACATTCCTCAGGTGAAACAATTATCTCTGATGCTTATCGAATCTTTCATCACAATAAAATAAAAGCTGACGAAGAGAAAAAAAAAAAAGAAGAATTGAAAAACCAAGCGAAGAAGCAAAAACAGAAGGAAAAGAAATTGAAAGAAACAACTGAAAAGGCTAATTTGTTGGCCAATCAGATAATCGAGGTAGGTATTACATGATTTAACACAATAATGAAGAAGTAAAAAAAAAAAAAAAAAAAAAAAAGAACCATACGGAAAGTTTTGTACCAATTTGTATATGTAAAAATGTACATGGACACTTGAGTTTGTTTATGTGTATGTGCCGTTTGCTTATATAGATCCATGCACTTATCAGTATGATTTTTTTTTTTTTTTTTTTTTTTTCCTTTTTTCAATACACTCACCCCAATATACCCATCCGTAGGAGGAGAATTCCAAAAAAAAAAAAAAAAAGAGCAAATAAAACATGTTTGTTATCCCCCACCCCTCCCACATCTTTTACCTGTATTATTCTTTTTTGATATATTAATTAAAATACTAAAGTTATTACTACCACCACACAGAAGCGTATGCGATAATTACAATCGTTGCGGAAAGTTTTATTTCTTTTTATTTTTTTTGTATAAGATTTAATGTTTGTAAAATTTTACATCAATTATACTTTTTTTTTTTTTTTTTTTTTTTTTAAGATCTAAGTTGTGAATATAATAGAGTTTTAAAAATATATATTTGGGTATGTACATGTAATTGTGTGTATATATATGCTTGTATATGTAAATGTACATATGGATAGATAATTTTTTTTTTTTTATTTTTTGTATCCCCGTCTTTGTGCATATATATATATATATACATGTAACATATATATATATATGTGAGTATTCGTTTGTATGTATAAACATACTTGCCAATTCTGCGTAGGGAGATATCTTTATAAAAATGAACTCCCTTCGTTAAGTATCACGAAAACTTTGGAGATACACAGTAATACGTATGCAGCTGCATATATACACGTTCATTAATTAATTTGATTTCTACACATGTATGCATGCATATATGCATGTAGACATTTTTTTTTTTTTTTTAAATAAACACTTTAAAATTAAACTGGTACAGCTGAAATGAATTTATTTTGAGGTGTGTAATAAAAGAGCATGAAGAGTTTTCTATTATACTTCTTCATTTTATTACTTTTTTTCTTCATTTTATTACGTTACTTCTTCATTTTATTACGTTACTTCTTCATTTTATTACGTTACTTCTTCATTTTATTACTTTACTTCTTCATTTTATTTTATCATTTTTAATTAATTTTTTGAACTCATGTCTATTTGATAATCCCAATTTTAATATTATTTAGCGACATTACAAAACCGATTCCCTTTCGTTCTTTAAGATGCACGCTGTTTGGTTGATATGGCCTCAAAGGGCATTCTCTTTTAACTCCAGTTTGTAGAAGCGACATCAGTAGAGCTGTTTTCCATTTTGTCAAACTGGTTTGTGCAATTTTCAAAAAGTTTTTTTTCACCCTACGTTTCACTACCATTGATGAAAAAAGCTCCAAGGGGTTCTTCCTCTTTTGATGCATTTTTTACACTCTCATTGAGAGCAAAATTATCGCAATTAAAATAGTTATCTAGTAGTTGTCGATTCTCCCTTTCGTTTTCTCTGGGGATCTTATTTTCAATCTCATATTCAATCTCATATTCAATCTCATTTTTAATCTCATTTTTAATCTCATTTTCAGCGTCTTCTCCCTTTTGTTCTGTTAGAAAACACAAGCTTCTTTCAAAGGTGCACAATGTTTTTTTTTCATGTTTGCTGATTTTCTTGTTTATATCTCTTATCTTATGAACTATTGATTTTATTAATATTTTCTTGTTCATATTTTGTATTGCATCCAGTATTTGTGGTTTTTCCTCGTTCCTTGTTTTGCTAATCACGCTGCGTTGTTGAGTTTCTTTTTCTTCTCCATCTGATTTTTCCTCCATATTTATAGCAACATTTTTGTTGACATCTGTTAGGATTCTTTTTCCTAATGTTGAATTACAACTCCTTCCATCTGAACTATCCGCCCCTTCACACATTATCGTCTCATCCAACACATTTAAGATTCGGATCAAGTAATTCATTTTCATGTCTTTGTAAAATAGCTGCTCTCGCATTTCCTTCTTCTCATTTTTCTCATATTCCAATTTTGTATGCAAATCAATATTATCCTTCTTCAAACGTGCATTGGTTTTTACTAAGTTTTTCTTTTCTTCAGATATAGTTAAAATCTGTTTACTAACCCTGTCTAATGATGTTTGAACACATTTTAGTTCTTTTTCCAATTTCTTAATTTTATTGTCTTTACATTCAACCAGATAAATGTAATCCTCCAACTTGTTTTTATACCCATCCAAGAGATTCGTTTTAACAGGATATGTTGTTAATTTATTTATTTCCTCTTTTAATTTTTCATTTTCACTTTTAATATTTTCATTTTTCCTCTTAATATTTTCTTTTTCACATTTGGTTTTTATTAACTCATTTTTGAAATCCATATATTTACTATAGATATCATTTATTAATCTATTTTTTTTTTCTTCCTCTGCATGATATTTCCCTTCCAACTCTTTCAGTATCCTGTCGAAGTTATTTTTCATGTTTTTCTTCTCCTCTTCAAGCAGCAATGTTTGTTCTTTTAACTTTTTATTAACATTATTTTCCATATCATCATCGCGTTTTTTTATAAAGCACACTCTTTTTTTCCTCTCCACATGTTCATTACCTCCTTTCTTGCTATTGAGCAATTCCTTCTTAGCTGTCCTCAAATTGAACACATACTTGTTATCACTTCTCAATTTGTTATCACTTCTCAATTTGTTATCACTTCTCAAAATGTTTTCGCTTCTCAATTTGTTATCACTTCTCAATTTGTTTTCGCTTCTCAATTTGTTTTCGCTCCCCCAACTGCCTTCACCTCTCAATTTGTTTTGGCTTTTTTTTCTTGTTTCTTTTAAGTGACCTCCTCTTTTAGCACAACCCGTTTCTATTTTCTCGCTCAACTTTTCTTCCACCGTGTGGTAATCCACCATGATAAACCCATTTTTGTCACAATCCACATTTGGGGATTCACTACCATATCCCTCCTTCTGCATTATTTCAACACCAGATGGGTGAGAAAGATCATTCAAGTCTTCTATTTTTTCGTTATGTTTTGAGAGAATATCCACATGGGAATCCCTGAAATGTGCTTTATTGTTAAATCTTCCATTGACGTCCTCTCCACCTGCGTATTCTCCATTGACGTCCTCTCCACCTGCGTATTCTCCATTGACATCCTCTCCACCTGCGTACTCTCTACCTCCACACATTCTGTAGGCATTCCCTCTGTTGAGATAATCTCTATAGGACCCATCTCTGTCTGATGTACCCCTTCCCATTTCAGAGAAAAACTCTTTTTGAACTTGAGACACATCTACACATTTACACAATTGAGAAATCAAATCCTTTTCATTAATCTCAGCATGCAAAGAAGATTTCAGTCCTTTTTTCATATGCATATTAAACAAAGACACATTATCGATAGAATTAAATTTAGAATATTTCTCATCTTCAATCAAATTTATTTCTTCGAATGTGCTTAGGTTATCAAGTAAAATAGATGCTTGTTCGCATTTTTCAAAATTTAATTTTTCTATATTTTTTAGGCCATATTTTCTATCCCTATTTTTTTNNCCTTCACCAAGAGAGGGGAAAACTTGTCCAATTTTCTTTCTCCATCCTGTGCATGTATGTATTTGAAATGATTCATCTCCATGCATCACTTTGTCACATCTAGTAGACAGGCAAAGTCATCTGATAAGATATCATAAAAGGTGAAGTTGTCAAGTTCATGCATCGTAGCGTTGGTAAGTCTTTAATTATCTTTCTCTATGCCTGTCCCTTTGGCAATGCCTGCCCCTTTGACAATGCACATCCCTATTCCCACACTCCCACTTCACAAAAATTGATTTTCTTAAAATAGATAAGTTCCTCGTCTCTTCCCTTTAGTTCTACCTCTTGAACACTCAGGTAAAAGGTGTGTATTTTTTTTTTTTTTTTTTTTTTTTTTTTTTTCACTACTCACAAAAATAGCATCCTTTTTTTTTTCTTCTTTTCCTCATGCAAAATTTCTCATCTATCGCTTCAACATTTATACACAACGATAGATAAATATCCCTGATAGAAACAAGACAAAAAGGAATTTTCCTACAAATTGAAAGAATTTTGTTTTGAAAATTATTAGAAATATATTAGACAAGAACATTTTTATTCATCATATATACACATGTACATATGTGTGTATGTTTGAGTATCCTATTTATCTCTTAAGTTATGTGCAAAAACAATCCTAACCTTTGCTGAGATGTTAAAAGAGAAAGACTCCCCAATCAAGCATATCCATCCACTTCCATACGTTTTGTCCAAATTTTCTTTTATGTTTTTTATGGCATTCTGTGGGGTGTAGTAGTAGGGGTAGGGGACATATATCTTTTTGTGAAAAGAAGTGAAAAAGGTCAGGCTGGGGATGATGAAATGTTCAATAAAAGGACTCATATATTGTAAAGGAGTTACATCAAATTCAGACTTACTTCCACGTTAATTTCATTTGTATTCGCATCTGTGTATTTGTCCAATACCCCAGTGATTATGTCTATGATGTTGTTTTGGTTATAATAGGGAATGTCCGATTTCTGAGAAACAGAGAAAAAGGCAGTGTATTTGAGTACATCATTTGCATTTTAAGAAGTTAGACAAGTAGATAATTGTCCAATTTGACAGATGAACAACATCTCGAATTTTCCAAACTTCTCAGCAGTTAGTCTATGTAGACATAAAAGAGAATTCCACTATCATGGAAAAATAAACACAAGCACAAACACGCATACTCATATACAGTGTTAATGCAATTATATACAAACTTATGTCGCTCGTTTTTACTCTTATTAAGAGGCTTTGCATATGCTTCTTCAAATTCTGCAATAAAATTTCGGAGTTCATTTTTGCCTCTCTATTAGACTCCTTAGATCATGCGTGATGAGGATTGTAACTCTGGCAGATAGATGGATCATGCAGTTCCTCTCCCGATCGGGACAATAATTTTTTTTTTTTTTTTTTTTTTTTTTTTTTTTTTTTTTTCCCCCTTTTCGAAAGCTGTATAACCAATGACACGTTTTTCACGTCCACAAAATTAATAACTTCCCAACTTGTCCAATTTTTTTTTGTAGCTTAAATGAGACACAGAGAACTCACTCACTCACTTCCTAAATGAAAAAATAAACTTTTCATTCGAATAAAAAAATCGTTAATTTAACGTTGTGCGGATTTATGCATCCACCCATCCACCATTTCACATTTACAAACTGTGTTTTATATTAATAGATTGGTCTCTTAAGAAAGTGAGAAAAAATGAGCACACAAACAGTAGGGTGTGGTTCTAAAACGAGGGTTAAAAATAACAAAAAAAAAAAATATAAAAAAAAAGATGATAAGTATGTCGTAGATAGATAGACAGATTGACAGGTTGACAGAGAGAAGGAGGAGAAACATATCATTGAAGACGTTCAGACATACACACAAAAATAGTCTAACCTTATGAGGTGAATGTAACAAATATTTTTATAGTTGTTATTTAAAAAAAAAAAAAAAAGGAAAATTGTTATGTGTAATATATACATACATATATATATATATATATATATATATATATATATATATATATATATATATATATATATAGTAGCCGTGGTACAAACACGAGAACGCTATGCAATTTTATTTTCAGTACTACTTCTCCTTTTGGAGTTTATGCAAAATATGGAATATGTCCACTCTCCTATACTTCTCTACATATACTCGCATTCTCTTTCCATTTGTACAAAAGAATATAAGCCAAAATGAAAAAAAAATTCAGAAAAAAAAAAAAAAAAAAAAAAAAAAATGCACCTTCTTAGTGGCAAAGGAGACACACTCATAAATTGTACTTGTGCTATCTCCTTCTGCACACACATGTGAAGAAAAAAGATGATTTGTGTTTTGAAAATGGAGTAATTATCTAATGAGTTCCTCTCAGTGGGAATGATTTTCCATCATGTACTCAAACTTCTATTTAAAAATTGTTAAGTCGGATTATAAAACGGTCAAGTTGCAGCTGAAACATCTCGCGACGAAGCTCCGCCTTGCCAATCTCAACTTCTTCATCATCATGAGTTACGCGATTTTTCAGCTTCATACAAGCACAGACACACTTTCTCTGCCACATAATCCACGTTTTGGTGTGTGATTCCAGAGACGTTTATACGTCCACTGTTGATGATGTAGATGTGGTAATCCTTTAGCTTGTCATAAATGCGAGAGAAGAGTGGGACAAAGGAAAAGATACCGCTTTGATTTTTATAAACATTCCAGTCATAATTTAAGTGAAATTTTTTTTGATAAAATTCCATTTTTTCAAAAAAAAGAATTCTATTTTTATGAACGCGTTCAGATAATTGCTGCAAATCCTTTATCCATTCGGATTTTAATTTTTCATTTTGTAAAAGTTCACAAATAATTCTATTTGTATGAATTGTAGGAGATGAATAAAATTTTCGAATTAGAGTACGTAAATTATTTGCAACAATTTTTCTCTCTTTCTTTGATGTACAAATAATATGCAGTGCTCCAGCTCGTTCTCCATATAATGACATATTTTTCGAAAATGACTGACATACTACAAAACAAATTTGTTTTTCTTCAAATTTTCGAATTAAAGACACATCATCATGTAAATTTGGAGAACCTAAACCTTGATAAGCAACATCGAATATAATTATATGTTTTTTTTTTAAAACAATTTCTGTTATTTCTTCAAAATAAGTTTCATCAATGTTAGTGCTACATGGATTATAACAAGAAACTTGGAAAATAATACTAGCTCCATTTTCTAAATTTCGTAAATCATTTAAAAAAGCTTCATAATTTATATTTATTGAATTAACATCGAAAAAATTAATATACTTAACATTGAAGCCATATGATTTTATCATATTTACATGATTTATGTATGGAATACTTGTTACATGTATAGTACTAACATTAAGTGACTTAAACAATTGTAGTGCTATAAATATAGACCCAGTCCCTCCTATTGTTTGAACTGTACATATTCTTTTCTCCTTCATGTAATTTGAATTAACTCCAAATATCAATTCTTGAGTTAATAGAGAAAATTCTTTCGTACCATTACTTAATAGATATGGCTTTTCTTTACACTTTTCTCTTACTATTTTTTCTGCTTCCAACACACTTTTAAATATATGCAATGTGCCATTTTCATTGCAACAAACTCCTATAGATAAATTTACTTTTACCTCTGATTTGTCATTATTGTACTCTACGGTACTTTTTAAGATGTTATCAGGTTCTACATCCTTCAGTTGGGATATCAATGTGTCCATGTTTCTTTTATGGTCTCTTTAGCAACGACTAGAACGGGGTTTTACATGCACAGTGTATGTCTTTTTTTTTTTTTTCCGCTTTTGAAGAACTGTCGCGGTGATAAACTTGTGCACTCGCATATAAGACCACGAAAGGTAAAAAAAAAAAAAAAAAAAAAAAAAAACAATCACAATCAATGTGGTTCTTCCAAACGTTTATTCCAAGTGAAGAACAGAAAAAATCAGTTGTTTAGCTCCCTTAAAAAATTGTGGAGTTTTTTTTTTTTTTTTTTTTTTATTTATGTACTTATCCCCTCAGTTTAATCAAAATTGTATGAACGTTCATAATTTTTTACAAAAAAGAAAAAAAAAAAAAGAAAACTCTCCTCTTTTACTCAAATTTGTTTAATAAATTAATCTGTTACATAAAAAAAAAAAAAAAAAAGCAAAATAATAAACAAACAAATAAGTACGCAAAATATTAAACAAACAAATAAGTACGCAAAATATTAAACAAACAAATAAGTAAGCAAAAATAATAAATAAACATATAAGTAAAATAATATATGAATAAATAAATAAATACCACTTCGCTTATCTAGGTTTCGTGATACGATATATATATATATATATAATAATTATGGTTTTAAAAAGAAATTCTTAAAAGAAATAAAAAAAAAAAAAAAACATACTCTATATATTTTCATTAATGAGGGGGGCGAAAGTGCTCTCTTTCTACCAAGAGAGCTGATATATTTTTTTTAAGAAAAAATGGGCAATTATTATAACGTAGGCATATATATATATGTATATATTTATCTATATCTTCTACATGCATATATATGTACATGTTTTATGCGCTTATACATACCATGCACTCGTGGTGTTTCACGCTCACGGGGGTTTTGTTTTGTTTAATCCAGAAGGGTAGAAAAAATAATTCAAAACAGTGCACTTGGTTCAACATGGGAAGAGGAATACATTTATATATATAGCCCTAGAGAGGAGAAAAACAAACAGATGAAAAAAAATTGTTTTGATAGTTCTCATCCGTTTGTTCTTATCAAAGTTGAATCGGCGGATAACGAGTGCAACCTTCTATTCTACAACATATGATGACAGCAATTATATATGATATGTTGTATTCATATAACCTGCTTGTTCAAAATTGACATACCCCTCCCACAACCCTACCCTCTGCATGCAACGCATTTACTTAATTACAATTTATTAAAGAATGAAGATTATTTTAACAACAATAATTTTGTGACGTGAACTAGTTGGTGTTCTTTTTTTTTTTTTTTTTTTTTTTTTTTTTTTTTTTATATATATATATATTCATTTTAAAAATATATTTTTGTTATTTCTTTCATTTTTTGTACAATTTAAAAAAAAGGAACACATTTGAAAGCAAATAGTTGCAATAGGAGAGGACAGACGGGATGTTTCCTATTTTTTTTGTCGGGTATTATACAATGGAATGCATGTTTTACAGCGGCTGATATCCACTGTGAAAAAAAAAATAAAATGCATATATTCTGGATACACTTCTACACACGTTTATAAACTTCCCCCCACCCCTTATTTACGTGAAAAAAAAAAAAAAATATATATATCAGTGATAAATAGTGATGTGTGGTAAGTGGACAATGTAGTGGTAGAAAAAGCAAAACAAATGTGATGAAGCGGGTAAACAAATGTGACAAAGTGACTACACAAATGTAACAATGAGAACACGAAAAAAAAAAAAAAAAAAAAAATCTCCCCACACAGGAGGGGCTGTATACCATTGTACCTCCCTTTACTTAGACACACAAAATAATTCTTCGCACCTTTCCTCCACTGCATGACTAGCAAACAACAACTTTAGTGTATCTGGAACTCTTCAGACGCATAACCCTAGTCACTTTGGTGCTTCTTATTGTAACAGACGGATCCTCATTTTCTGCCGAAGAATTCATAGACCAGGTGCAAAAGTTCCTGTTTTTTTTTTTTTTTTTCCACAAAGTGTTGAAAGAGACAGAAGGAAAATAAGAATTATTTGGAGTTTTTAAATTACAACTGCTAATACGCTTCCTACAAGTGCTACTATTATACACGCTTAATGAATTTTCATTTAAAAGTGATTTTTCTTTATTTTTTACTGTTTGCAAATTCTCATTCTGAAAAGATATGCGAAATAAGGGAAATTTTGCAACATATATTTTCTTGGTTTTATAAAAAATAATTTTATAAAATTTTCTTAAATGAGTAGAATAAACATCCCAATAATATTTCATAATTTGTTTTCTACTACTCATGGTAATTTTTAATGCTTCATTTAATTTTTGTATACAATTCATTACGACCTCCCCATTTCTGCAGAATAAAATATCATATATGTTTTCGAAATATGCATTTTCTTTTTTACACATTTGATTGTTTTGAAAAATGAGGGGATCTTTATTTTCACTTATATTTGGATTAATATCATTTTTCGATTTTAGAGTTCTTCCAGTCTCCTTTTTCATACCGCTAATATTCAGCTTCTCTCGTGCACAATCATTTGGTGATGTCTCAACATAATTTTCCTCTAAATTTAAATCCAATTTCTTGGCTTTTTCCCTCATACTATACCTATTCACACAGTAATTTATAAAGTTGTAATACTCTTGGTTGTTTTTAAAAATATTCAAGTTCAAGTTCTGAATAATGTTGGTCTCATTGTTGGCATATTTTCCAATTCCATTTTTCCAATTCGATAAGTAGTAATACAAACTAAGCAAAGATGGACTAGTAGCATATTTATAAAAAAAATTAAAATTTATACAATACGTTTTTGTATACATTTCAACTAACCAGTGTATTCCTTGGATATAATTCTCGCAAATATGCATTTCTTCATTATAATTTTTTTCTCTACAATTTTCCGTATAAAATTTTCTTAAATTGAATTCCATTTGATTGTTTTCTTTTTCGAAAATGGTATTATTCCACATTTCTTTTAATTTGTTAGATTCTTCTTTGTCATCTTGTTGGTTACCCTGTTTTTCATCTTGTCGGTCACCCTGTTTGTCATCTTGTCGGTCTCCCTGTTTATCATCTTGTTGGTCACCCTGTTTGTCATCCTGTTTGTCACCTTGTTTGCCACTCCTTTTGATTTTTACTTGATTTCTTTCCGTTTTATCATCCCATGGAGGCTCATTATTTTCTTCAGAACTACCTGAACGGCAAGGTATTTTTTCTCCCCCTTGGTTGAGTTGTTCTCCCATTTTTCTCTCCTGGGTATCTTGATTCCGATCGACTTTACCACAAGAATCTACCTCTTCCACAATCTTCTTCAAATGTTTCAAATCCAAAATTCGCATACAAGATGGAAATACATTTTCCAAATAGTTACATGAAGCGAGATGCATGGCAATTTTTTTCCTTCTAGATGTACCAGAATAAGAACAAGTTCTTCCATCCTTGTAGCAATATGTCAAGGTGCATGTATAAAAATCGCTCTTGCTTTCTTTGTTCACTTTAATATCTATGCGATTTTTATTTATTTTCCTTTTGCTTATTAATTCGTTCAGGAGAGTTAAGGGAAGGTATAGCATGTGCTCTTTGAAGAGAAGCTGTCTATCTTTGCCGTCCTCTTCATCATCCGTTTTATCATCACTGGAAGGGTGGCTTCCATCACAATCGGCAGTGTCATTACATTCAGCACTACTGAAATTGGAACAGTGCCCATTATTATGAATGTAATAATTAGAAAAGTTAATCAATTTGTGTACTTGATTTAGATATTGTATAAATTGATACTTATTGAGAGTGTTATTATTTGATAGCAGACCATTGTATTGACGTATTCCTCTTTCTTGCATTTCCATCTCATTATCTAGCATTTTAAAATATGCTTCAAAAAAAATCGAAAAATTCCCTTCTTTTATTTTTGGCAAATAATCATTTCCCTTCAATATGAAAAGAATCAGCATATCTCGTCTTATTCTCTCGAAGGCTTTCGAATACTTGTTTAAAAAGAGATTCATGAATGTTCTTAGGTTGTATAGCACCTTTATTTTCTTTTTCCTCCATTTTATATTGTTTACGTGCTTGTTCAGATGAGGTATATTTTTTCCATTTTGCTTCTCACTTCCGCTCATGTCACTTCCTACGTGACAGTTAATGTCATTTCCCACGAGATGATTCTCCTTTTTGTTGATCCATTGCCCACGGTCAACATTAAACATCTGATATGTGTACACATAAATGTTATGCAACTTCTTCAAAGCCAAGCATTGAAGCAATAAATCAGCATCAGCACCAACTATAACAAAAGATTCTTCTGATGCACCTATTGGACTCATGCAAATACTTCCTTTATCTTCCTTTCCTGCTTCATTTATTTGAAAGTTTGTTTCATTAGTGCTTATGTAATTCTGAATCCAGTTCATAAGTTTGAGTTCCCCTTCTCCCAGTTCTTTATCAGTGGAAACATAAAATTTTATGTGTTCATACTTCCCTTGAGATGATAAATATTTTACAAAATTGAGAAGAAATTTGGAAATTTTTTGTATGAAAAGACTTCCACACGTGATGTCATTTGCTTTTGTACGATTTAGAAGAGACGATTTACTTTTTGCTCTCCTTTTAATTTGTAACTTCAATTTTGAAAATGGGCAAATCCCATCGATTGCAAAAAGGACATTTTTTTGAGGATGGAATTTTTTTAATACATTTTTTATTAAACATGACAGTTTAAAAAAAAAGTTTTCATCATTAACAAATTCTACATTAGCTTTGTGTAACAATTGGTTCATATCAAATAAGAGGTTATCTACATGGCATATACTTTTTTCACCTTCTCTTTCTTGTTCTTTTTTGCTATTCCTGTTTTTCTTTTTTCCTATTTGCATGTAACCATTTTTCAAATTCGTCACATCTACTAGTCTATTTTTCTCCACTATCTTAACACAACTTGGGAAATTCTGAATAAGCCATTTGTGAAGTCCTGGTATTCCTGAGGTAACTAAAGATGTCAGTAACGTAAGGAAGACTGTCCATCTTAGAATTAGGTACTTTGACATGTCACATCACTTCTGATAATGCAAGAAGCACGAAATAAAAAGGAGAGAAAAACGAGAGAAACATAAAAATGATAAAAAAAAATGATAAAAAAAAATGATAAAAAAAAATGATAAAAAAAAATGATAAAAAAAAATGATAAAAAAAAAAATGATAAAAAAAAAAAATGATAAAAAAAAAAATGATGAAAAAAAAATGTAAAAGAAGGGGAAATCATCCTGGATTTCATTTCCTATATATATAATATCTCCCCTCCCTGCCCCTACTTGTACTTAAATTTTTTTTTTTCCTTTTTCTTTTGTTACGTATATAGGTAAAACATGTACTATATATATGTACATATACATATTATTCTACGTTTTCAAAAATGGAAGAAATCTCTTTTCTCTTTTTTTCTGCACCGTGAAATTCATACCCTATGTGTGTGCTTCCTCTCTCACTTCTCTCACATTTCACTCATTATATCTATCACCATTATACAACACTTAGCAATGTTCTTTTTTTTTTTTTTTTTTTTTTTCTTTTCTTCTTCTTTTTTATACTTTTACCACATCTCTACACGTTAACATATATACGCTGAAACATTGTATCCCCATGTGGTTATGCACCAAGTTCAGTTTTCCCACTTAAGAATGAATAATTTTTTTTTTTTTTTTTTTTTTCCTTTTTTACATATCCAGAAAATCTATTTTTAAAATGAAAACCAGAGTTATATATACACCTCCCGCTTGTTACCACACGTGGGGGAAAAAATAAAATATAATAAAAAAACTGCTTAATGGTAAATGCAAATACACTTGGACATTTCGCCCCATTTCCACGCAACATCAATCTGCATAATAACATTTTAGAAATTTCTCTCCCCTTAAAAATGAAACTGATTCTGAAAAATGAAATAAAATAAAATAGTGTAAAATAAAGTAAAATATAGTAAAATATAGCAAAATATAGCAAAATATAGCAAAATATAGTAAAATATAGTAAGATAAAATAACGAATTATTTGTAGCGCTGTTCCTTTTTTTTCTACAGTTTCCCAGGGATTTGTCTCACACATATGTGTGCCCAAAAATGCACGTCGTAAATTCATCAAAAAATGAAAAATGAACCAAATGAAAAGCTTTGCCTTAGATGCACATAGTCCAATGGAATAGCCACTTTACCCGTGCAGTTTTTCCAAACGAATATTTTCCTCTATGCAAAGTGTGCTTCTTTAGACATTTTTTTAAAAATGCCTTTAAAAAAAAAAAAAAAAAAAAGGATCAACAAAGCGTTATAGTTTGTTAAGAAGTAGTACATATATATATATACGTACTCATAAATATACAATTGTCCGTGAACAATCATGGGAGGGATTATAAATGCGATCTAAGGCCACGAGGCTAATATGTAAAGGCAAATATACACCTAAAAGCTTGACTTAAATTAACGCACTGTGGCATTTTTGCATTGTTGCATCGTTGTACTGTCACGTTTGTGCGTAAAAAATAGCACAAGGGTTGAGATGATGTAAGCAAAATTTAAACAAAAAAAAAAAAAAAAAAAAAAAAAATACGAAAAGAAAAGAAAAAAAAAAAAATACGAAAAGAAAAGAAAAAAAAAAAAATACGAAAAGAAAAGAAAAAAAAAAAAATACGAAAAGAAAAGAAAACAAATAAAAAAGGGAACGCCACAGATATGGGGGACAGGGGAAGGGAGGAGGGCCTTGCTAATTCTCTAAGACGAGAACGGGAAACGAGCGTTGCCAATTGTGCATGTATACATGTTTACACACTTTTACAAAACAGAAAATTATTTCTACACATACATACTCACACGCATACATATACATATACATATACAGACACATTCATACGCTAATAGGTTAATACCTGTGCAAATGTACTTGTCTTATTTTACTTTCTCCTCCCTTTGAATAGCAACATGCAGAGATACCACAATAAACGATACAGCGTCATTACATCCTCGCTTTGTCTTCACATATTTGTCTATTAATTTTGATGATGATAATTTGAAAAAATTATAGTTTCACATATTTGTGGTATCTCTGATTGCGCTTTTCGTACTTCTCCGTGGGTCAATTAAAAATAAAGAAATAAATAAAAAAAAAGAAAAAAAATAAGAAGAAAAAAAATAAGAAGAAAAAAAATAAGAAGAAAAAAATGAAGGAGAAAAAGCAATATGTACATAAGGGGCCAAATTGCTTCTTATACAAAATTGCTTCTTATACAAAATTGCCTCTTATACAAAATTTTCTCCTATACAAAATTGTCTCCTATACAAAATTATTTATCATACCAAATTAATTTACGTTCCATTTATGCTCCCTGTTCGACACTCCCTGGTGAATACTTTGGTAACCACGACCTGCTACATAATCCTCCAGTGTTCCATTAACACACTTTCATGTCTTACACTCCGGTTCTAAGACTAAATATACAACTATTCAGCATCTGTTCTATGATAAATTTTAAACTATATCTCCACTTCTGCGCATCTGCACATCTGCACATCTGCACATCTCCACTTCTACCCTCCTCAGACCACGGCCTTTCCCATATTTTCTTGCCTGTCCTGAAGAGATACGTACGGACTAGTTCCAATTTCACCACCCTTGGTCTCCTTGATGAAAAATAGAATAAACAAAAATGACAAAATTGACATAAACGAAAAGATGAAAAAGAGAATCGTGGGAGATTTCTTAATAATTATGTCTGAAGGGAACACGACAACAATGGCGCAGACCCAGTTAATTAAGGATGCTAAGCTAGCTGCACTGTCTTTTATTTCAGAAGGAAACATTTCGTGTAAATATATCCATAGTACTGGCCCATAAGAAACAGCAAATGAAATTATCATAACAAATGTTGCACTTATAGAGAGATATTTTACAAAGTCCGAAGTTTTGTCAATAGAGTTAGCTATAGCTGTTGGTAAAAATGCACATACTATACCTGCACAACCACAAAGTAATAAAGTTTTTCTTCCCAATTTTTCAACAATGTATATAGCTGGAAATGTCATCAAGAAATTAACAACTGTCATGATAACACTCAAAGTGGTTATTAATTTGGTGCTTAAAAATTCTTTATATAATTCATTTGAATTTGAAACTAAAACATTTATCCCTGTAAATTGTTGAAGGCCAGATAAAATACAACCCAATAGTATAACATATCGATATGATGGAATTTGTAATGCTCTTAGTAAAGAGATAGAATTCTTCTTTGCTTTCTCATTTTGATCAACTGCATCTTTAATTGCTTTCAATGGTTCATCTATGTTATCTGTTCCATATATTTTCTTTAAAATTTTTTTAGATTCTTCTACTTTTCCATTTTCGAATAAAAAGTATGGAGTTTCTTCTTTAAAAAATACAACTAATAAAAATATTCCCAAAATAGATATAATGCTTGGAAAAAAAAACATTAATCTCCACCATACTCCTTGAAAAGTACTTAGTGTACCTTTTGATTTATCCTCTGGACATTCACCCATTGCCATTCCTAACAAAACTGCTATAAAAATCCCAAATGTGATAAACAATTGGTGTAGTACACCGTATGCTCCTTTCTTATCCTTATGAGTCATTTCTGAAATATACATAGGTACACTTACAGTGATTAATCCAATTCCAAACCCACTTAACAACCGTGAAAATAAAATAGTATGAAAATGATGAGTAATAGATGTCAATATACTCACTAAAATGAAGAAATTATAAATAATTAATAAAGAGAGCCTTCTTCCATATTGTACTAAAAATCCTGAACAGCCACTTCCAGCAACTGCTCCTATAAATACTGATGCTAAAAGGAAAGAACTTTTTAATGTACTTTCATCACATCCAAATTTGTCATTTTCACACCATCCAAATTCAACTATAATAAAATTTTTAATGGTATTTAATACACTAACTTGGTATCCAAATATAAATGAAGCCAGACACGCTGATAATACATACTTTAAAGATGTATTAAAGAAAGAAGAACCCCCTCCTCCTTCTTGACAATTTTTTAGGGATGCTGAAGAGGAGATATCTTTGTTGCTCTTCTTCATTCTGATGAATCACGGGATTGAGAAGCAGGGTTAAGAAGCAAGGTTGAGAAGCAGGGTTAAGAAGCAAGGTTGAGAAGCACAGGGGGAGGGATAAATAAAACAAAACAAAATTGAATGAGGCAAACAAAAACAGTGATATTATATGTATAAAAAAAATGATGAAAAAAAAAAAAAAAAAAAAAAAAAAAGGAAATCTCACTTATCAAACAATTATAGTAATTGAGTTGACTCTGCAACGGAGCTATGACAGCTAATCAATTCTCTTCAACTGTGAGATCTTTGGCAATGAGGTGGAATTGGCTGTGCAAAAAACAAACATAAAAAAAAAAAAAAAAAAAAAAAAAAAAAATGCTCATGTTGATATTGATGTTAATGATTATTATGATGATAACAGTGTTCCAGGAAATAATTTCTGGTGTGCTTCTCTTTCCCAAAATTTGTGTACACGCAATGGGACGCTCTGCTTGTCTCTTTTTCTTTTTTTTTTTTTTTTTTTTTTTTTTTTTTAGTTTAAGCACTTTGTGTTGGGAACAATAAAAACATATATGTTACATAACACTTATGCACGCAAGTGTGATCCTTCATATATAGGAACACGAAATGAGGTAACTACTCCTTCAATGTTCTATAATTAGAAAATTATGGAACTCTCAATGTACGTTGTTTTTGCTAATTTACTCATACAATAAATTGGCATAAAAAATTTACGTGAAACTCGCATAATTTTCTCTCAGGCTTAAAAATAAAAAAAATTGCAATGAGGGGGCTAACTCCTCAAGCATGTATATGATGACTATTGAAAAAAAATATGTTGTCAAATAAAAAAAGATTGTATACCTTTTGTATACCTTTTTTTTTTTTTTTTTTTTTTTTTTGATAGGTTACAAGGTGCTCCTTTTCTCACATAGCATGTACATATAAATATATATATATATATAAGGTTGCAACTCTTTCTATTTTCTTATTTATTCCGTTTTAGTAAATGTGCAGGAAAGTTTGGGGAGGAAGTATTACTTCTTTTTCCCCATTTGTTTATTCAATAGTGCCAATATATATGTGATGTAGCACATATATATCGACAATAATCTCCCAATTTCACTTTTGCTTAAGTGCTCATCCCTTTGTGCACTGAGTGCTTGTTCGAGGTAATGTATATCTCCCCCTTACCAGTTTATTCCTCTTAGCACCAATTAACAAGTCATCCACAACATCGGTATTTTCAGGTATAGTAGCAAAATGTAGAGCGAATGAGTAAAATGTACACAACAATTAATTCTTCCCCTTCGCGTATGCTTATTAATACGCATTTATTTTTATCGAATAAAAAAATTTTGCAAAAAAAAAAAAAAAGCCAATAAACAGGAAAGCGGTTAAAAGGGTAAACGGTTAAACGGGTAAACGGGATTAAATTAAATAACCGTGAAAATGGAAGTGATAAAATGAAATCTCAACCGCAAATTTATGCAAAAATTTATGGGTCATATTTTTAAATAACGAGCTGGGGGAAACTAGTAGATTAAACAAGCGCGAAGTGTAACTAAAAATAAGTATGAAATATTGGAAAGGTATAAAAAAAAAAAAATCACACTATTTTATGGAAAAACACTTGTTTGAAACGTGTTTTTTTTTTTTTTTTTTTTTTCTCATCAAAATGGTATATAATCCCCCTAACCTGACTTTTTAGCAAATTATGAAATGTGCATATATTAATGTTGAATATGGAAAAAGGCGTTTGAACAAAATTCTACATTGTCCATTTTTTCCTGAGTTCTCTCTTCTTATCATGCTGGAAAAAAAAAAAAAAAAAAAAAAAGAAATACAATGCAATGAAATAAGAGACATACGTTAGCAAGACGAAATATTTGTGAAACAAAAAGAGGTGTTTTTTTTACCAAAATACTCCCACTCGCAATATATTCATATTATTTCCAGTGGGAAAATAAGAAAGCATATGCCTTTGAGACATCAAGTTTTGAAGCATTACCACTTGTGCATATAAACTTATATGTGTGTAAAATATGCATACACGAAGTGTATAAATGTATTCACAATGCATTTATGTTAATTACGTATCTCAAAGTTCTTACATGTTGCGCCCATTTATTTACCCATCCTGCACATAAAATCAATACTTTATTGTACTTTGCCTTGCGCAATCCCAAACTTTTTTTTTTTTTTTTTTTTTTTTTATTCACATATTATTCCTGTTTCATTACACAGATATACAAGAAAAAAAATGAAATATTCCATTTGAAATATTTAACACGTGTATGCTAACATTGTGGGAAAAATTGCAAAAATGGAAAATTGAAGCATGCACATTTGATGAATGGAAATTTTTAAAACGTTCCTAAACATTTAGTAAACATAGGAACCAAATAAAATACAGAGAAATGAGAAAACTCTTATTTAGTGTCCATTCAGAAAAAAAAAAATGAAGCGGTTGAGAAGTGTAAAAAAAAAGCCGTGCACATTTTTTAAGAAACAAATTGGCAAATTACACACAAAAAGTTGCATAAAATAATATTTTGAAATACCTGCCGATTGGAAAGATTTTCTCGTATGAAACCTCTACCCAATGTTTTTTAACCCCATTTTGAATGTTCATTTTTCTCACCTATTTGTCACCTCCTTTTTAATTTCACTTTGAGGGGAAATACCACATTCGTTCTAACACAAAAGGCACGTGGATTGCGGTGCCCAATGCCTTAACCATTTGTGTCCACATATTCTGCTTATCTTTTGGCTTTTGCCTTTCCAATTTTCAATTCTTATTTGTTATTTTATTTTGTTTTATTTTATTTTATCCATTTTGACCTGGACAAGCAAGGCATTGTAAAAAAAAAATAAAAATAAAAATAATATGAACAGTTTAGCAAATGCATATAAAATGGCTATTTCTTTGTATTTATTTTATTTGTTTATTTATTTTTTTTTTTTTTTCACCTCCCCCCCTCCCCACTTGTCACTTCAATTCTGCTGACATGTTCATATTTTTACGCAGGAAAATTACCACTTTACGGATTACCAAAATAAATGGTTATTTTCTCAAAAGGACACAATGTTCTTTTCCACTGTGTCACTTTTCTCACATGTGTTTGTCCTAAAATAAGCAATTCCAACATTTTATGTTCCGCCCCTCAGTTAAAAGTATTAACACAAAGTTACTGTTTCATAACAAAGGGTGGTTATTTTCACAAATGAGAAAAAAAAAAAAAAAAAAACGTTATATCGGAACGAATCAAACGGTTTAACAAACACAATTGTATACACGTGTAGACTAAATATATTAACAGTGCGAAAAAATTATACGCATGTATCTGCATAAAGAGGTAGGTGTAAAACAAATTATGGGACACTTTCACCAACATATTTAAACACACATTTTGTTCCCTCTATCTATTTATTGAACAAATTGAGGTACAGTGGGGGAGGGGCCAAACAACCCTAATTTGATGTAATCATTACTTCCAAATCCTAGGATAACACATTTAACCACGTCTCCAATTTCGAATTGATTCCTTAAAACGTTTGTTATTACACCCCTCCTGCTTAAATTCAATTTTAAATACAGATTTAAAGTGTTACAGGAAACTACCATACCATCTAGAATCATTCCCTTTTGAAGTTGTTTCTCATTTTTAATATGAGAATTTAAAAACTGATAATTGATATACTGTTCACTCATTTTTACTACATGTTTTATTAAAGTTGTTCTATATTCATTCAGATTAATATGTTCATTTTCATTTCCCACGTGTTTAACATTTAATATGCTGACTTGATTGTCCATGCGAAAACTGCCATTTTCTGCCTGACCACTTTTATACACACATATTAGCCTATCCACCAAATTTGACATTAGTGGCTTTAAATATAAAACATCCTGAACAGCATAATGAATAAGTTCTTTCGCTATGGGTCTCTTTAAATATATTTTTTGGTCAAGAGAAATAATTTTATGAAAATATATTTTATGTTTATTATTTAAAAGTAAACATTTATACAATAAATCATCATAACTTATTTGATATAGCTCCTTTTTGTTTTCTTTTAAAAATAAATTATACGCTACTTGTGTGTCGAATATATTATTTAGGTTAATGTTGTATTGGTTATATAATATGGAGCAATCCTCTCTACAGTCATGTGAAATTTTTATTACTTGTTGGTCTTCTAATAACTCCCTTAAATATTTAATAAATAAATAGCTATTATCACATTTGTATATATCGAAAAGATATATATCTCGTGCACATATTTGTATAAGACTTACTGTCCCGTTTCTTCCAATTTTGTATCCTTCGACATCCAAACCGATAATACTTAACTTTTCAAGTAGAACATTTTTCTTAATTTCCTGTATGTATGCTTTGCAATCCTTGGAATTGTTAATATAAATTATTTTTTTTTTTAGCCCTTCAAAGTAAGGAGCAATTTTATCATTAACGGTTAAGTTTAGGTAGCCATACGATACGCTGCACACGCTCCTCTTGCGCTTCAGGTTGTTTATGCATTTAACGACACGTCTGTGCATCCTTACACCCGGGTGTCCTTTATAACTTTTGCTTCTTCTCTATTGATTCTTCCGTAATGTTTCTTCTCTATTGATTCTTCCGTAATGTTTCTTCTCTATTGATTCTTCCTTAATGTTTCCTCCCTTTTGTTGCTCCTTCGTTGCTTTTCTCTTTGTGGCTTACCCTTCCACATCCCTCCCCACCCTGATATACACACATGTGACTTCTTCGCACTCCTTCAATATATAGCAGAAAATATATTACCCGCGATCATGCAAATACGTACCCATTGAAGCATAAGGTTCCCTGCAAACACATGGGCTAGTTGACAAGTAAAAATGATACAGTGCTCATTATTTCCTTTTAAAGTTCAACAGTTAAAAATAGATGAAAAAAGTAAAATAAATATATAAAATAAATATATAAATAAAATGAAGTAAAATGTGCATATGTAACTTTTGGGAGAAAAATTACATTCCCTCCACCTTTACCCAGGGATTAAAAAACGAGGTAAAACAGTTGCCTTAATTTTTTCTTCCTTACTCATTTATCATACATATGAGCCATGCTACTACTTTATTCGTTGGTGCTGAAGTGGATATTCGGGGAAAACAAAAAAAAAAAAAAAAAAAAAACATGACCTTTTCTTCCTCTATTTTGTGTGAAAATTTTTTAAATATATGTAGAGCATTACTAAATATGTTTAAAAAAATAATAAAAAATAAAAAAAAAAAGTTCATGAGGCAGCTTTTAAAGATTATAAAATGAGGAACAATTCACTAACAACTGTGTAGGTATATGTGTCATCCATTCCCCTTCTTAGTAAGCAATTATAAGGGGTGTTTCAAAAACAGCGGAAAAAATAGAAATAAAATAAAAATAATTTATAAAATTATTCACCCTCTTGACCATAATGAAAGGAAGAAAGTTCTGTAGTTACCTTCATAGTTCCAGTTTTAGGATGGAAAAGTTTGGTACCTTTTTAAGAATAGAACTAAAATCTCTTAGCACGCAGAGTGGTTCCTTTGGTAGCGATAAAAGTAAAATTCTGTGTCTTACATCATTCATGCCTGCGCTAACCTTTTGGTTTACTCTATGGCATGTATTCCTATCGCAAATGTGTGCAAATTTGTTTCAACTTTGTGCATCCACAGTGTGTCCATGTTGCATCCATTTGGACACTCTTTAAGGAATTTTCTTCCTGTATTATTGTTCATATTTTTTTATTTCTTTACTTTTTTATTTTTTAATTTTTTGTCCTTTTTTTTTTTTTTTTACTCCCTCTCCCCCCATCCACCTTCGATGCAGGGATATACAACTTTGGCTTCAAAAAAGTAACGGAAGAAATAAAATCAAAACTTGTTTATAACTTATTTAGCCATGTGTGCAACAAATATGATTTAATGAACGATTTGATGAGTCTACGATTGCACCGTTGTTGGAAAAACCAACTAGTGAAAGAGCTAGATTTATTTTTAAAATATCATAGTTACAAAGCACAAGAACAATTTTACAAAAACGAAGAAAATACTTTACATGCAAATGAAAAGAGGGAAACTAAAACGAATAGTTCAAACATATTCAGTTATTCAAAAGGAGAAATAGAAAATTCACATGAAAACAAAACTGAACACTGTTCTCATGATTATGAAAGTGTACGTCAAAATGAAGCTACAAAAGAAGAGGGAAAAAATTTCGCCAATTTTTCCACCTCCAGAATATTAGATCTTGCTGGGGGCACAGGAGATATTGCATTTCGGATATTGGAAAAGTATGAATATTATTTGGGGAAGACTAACTACCGAGCTGATTTCATTAATACTTCTAAGCCACCCTTTGTTGACACTTGCAGAACACATTTTGATAGTGGTGAACAATACATGTCAGACGAATTTTACCAGAAGTTTTTCCCTGAAATAATTATCTGTGATGTGAATAAAGATATGATCGAGGTGGGTAAGAAACGAGCAAAAGAAAGGAATTATGAGAAAAACATAACTTGGATAATTGAAAATGCAGAGAATTTAAAATCCATTGAAGACAATTCAATAGATATAGTTACACTATCATTTGGTATACGAAATTTTACTAACATCCCTAAAGCTTTAAATGAAATATATCGTATATTAAAACCAGGTGGAAGATTCTTATGCTTAGAATTTTGTAGAGTTAACTGTACCCTTTTAAAACCATTTTACAATATATATTTAATGAATATTATTCCCCTTCTTGGGAAAATAATAACAAATAGTGAAGATTCATATAAGTACTTGGCTGAGAGTATTCAAACCTTTTTAACCCCTGATGAATTGTCGCAGTTAATACATCAGAGTTCTTTCAGAAATATTTCCTATTCGACGATGACTATGGGAATTGTTGCTATTCATTCTGCATACAAGATTGGTTAATTTTTTTTTCTCTTTCTCTCAAGCAGAAGTAGCAAAAATTAAAAAAAAAAAAAAAAAAAAAAAAAACGTTCCATTTGTTAGAGTTACCCACTTGATGGATTAAAAAACGTCTTTAAAATGCGAAAGATGGCAATTCACTTATGTTCTTTCTACTTTTAGAAGAAGAATAAGAGACACAAACTATCTTATCAAGAGCTCTATCCACCACCTTTTGTCATTCCATTAATGACATTTATTTGTAGTATACCTTCTGGAAAAAAATTCTTTCATCTTTTGCCTCATCTGTTCTTTTATATATATATATATGTATGCGCCAATTCTTCATATTTCCATTTCTTTTTATCTATGGTATTTGCATCATTATAAGACTACCAGTTTTTTTTTTTTTTTTTTTTTTTTCATATCTATGATTTATTCTCTTTTTCCCCTTCGTCACCTTCCTTTCCATTATCATCAAATATCTTTTTCATCGTGGGACAAATTACAAACTTCATCATATATTCATGTCAACCACAGATATAACTTTCACACTTGATACCTCTTCCTCTTCAATAACAACAACACTATTTATACCACTTTCTTGGTCCTTTTGATTAACTTCATTTATATATTTCGTTTCTTCCTCTTTATCTGCATTGTACTTTATATCATCACTATTCTTTCCTTTCAAATTTGTTTCGTTCGACTTACTCATTTCCTTATTGCACTTTAGTTCCGTGGTTCTTGGGAGTTCATAAGGCATCGCCGTTTGCATCTTGGAAGATTCTTCCTGACGACTTTGGGCTCCTACCCCAGATGTACCATTCACTTCTCCGTCACTCACTTCTCCGTCACTCTCTTTTCCGTCACTCTCTTTTCCGTCACTCACTTCTCCGTCACTCTCTTTTCCGTCACTTACTTCTCCACCACTCACTTTTCCACCACTCACTTTTCCATCACTCACTTCTCCACCACTCACTTCTCCACCACTTACTTCCCCACCAATCACTTCTCCACCACTCACTTCTCCACCAATCACTTCTCCGTCACTCTCTTTTCCGTCACTCTCTTTTCCGTCACTTACTTCTCCACCACTCACTTTTCCACCACTCACTTTTCCACCACTCACTTTTCCATCACTCACTTCTCCACCACTCACTTCTCCACCACTCACTTCTCCACCACTTACTTCCCCACCAATCACTTCTCCACCACTCACTTCTCCACCATTCCCAATTGAAATCTTGTTTCGAAGCATGTTTCCACAATATAAAGACCCCTTTTTGCCATGCATGTGATTCCCCTCTGAGAAATGATCTAGCTCCTTATGAGTCACTTCCTCACGGAGACAAAAACGGAAAATGTTATTACATCCTTTTTTGTGTAATCGGGGCTTATTTCCATTTTTTATTGCACCTCGGATCCTGTTCCGTCTTTTCTCCCTCTCTACAGAACATATTCTCAATATTTTACCTAAAAAAAAAAAGAAGCATTCCGTATTTTTTTTTTTTTTTTTTTTTTTTTGAATACCTATGGAGGAATACGATGGAGAAGCAGAGATATAAAAAAAAAAAAAAAAAAGAAAAAAAAAAGAGTAGTTCAAGTAGACTGCATATACGTTTTGTATAAAACATAGATTGTACAAACCTTTGTATGAGAATGAGAAGCCACATTTTTTCAGAATTTCCTCTGTAGTAATTTTTTCGTGCTCCTCTGTGTATGCATCATCTCTTTTGGATATATTATTTGGAATGTCCAAACATTTCTGATCTTTAAATTTTCTGAAACTTGTAACAAATAAATTCCTTAAAAGAGAATTCTCCTTTTTATACAATCTACACAATCTTTGATAGTACTGTTTCAAAAGGATATATTTCTTAACTTTTTCATTAACTTTCTTTTTTCTTTTTTCTAAAATGTTTACAACTTTTTTTTTGTAACTAGAAGAAATGAAACGTCTTCTGATTTTCTCTTCCCAACTACGATTACTCATTATGTCATCCAAAATTTTGTATATCTTTTTAATTTCGGATAATATTAACTTAGAGATTCTTAACACTACTGTTTTTATTTCTTCATTCTGAATTGTCTTCATTAAGTGTTGAAAATCTTTCGATTTATGCCCCTCCTCCGCTGATAGTAGGATTTTCAAAATATGCTTAGTCCAATTAGATTTATTATATTTTTTTCCATTTAAAAGGATGTTTTTAAATTCTGACCTTACATCTGGAGAGTCGTCAGTGTGGTTGTGGGAAAGTTATAGCAATGAATAGAATTAAAATTGAAAGTTCTCACAGAGATCAATAGAACGGAGTGCAACATTGTAGATGCAACCCGATAATGTGATCTCACTTCCCACCTTGTGCTAACTCCCCACCATGTGGAAAATTACCTTTAATCTTCTCCTTTGACCTACAGGTACAATATTTCCCTCGAGTTTTCCTGTGGCTTATGGGTTTGTATATCTCATCAGCTGAAATTGTCAAATGGGAGACGATGAATTGATCCAGAGTAACCATGCTGTTTAATCAGAGAAAATAAATTCATGCATACCAAAGAAAGAAGAGGGAAAAAAAAAAAAAAAAGGCAGGGAGAAAGAGGAAGGGATTACCTAAAACTATAGAACTATAGGTTTGTAACTCTCCATCTTTATCTGATACATCATCTTGGAAAGTAGTTAAATTACTGTCACTTTCGAATGCTTTGTTCCAATTGGAATTATATCCAAGTTGGAAATTCTCATTAAATCGATTGCTAGTCTCGCTAAATGAATATCTATTTATGGCTTCGCTTATTGTTGAAGAGTACAGTTCGTGGAATGAGCTATTTTTTGTTTTCTCGTTCATATTGTGTGCTTGGTTAGTCCTACGTTCTCACAAATTCTGTATGCAATTATGATCAAGTGAATCTGCATGTGCATTCGTGCACGAAAGGGGCCATACTTACAGGGAAGTACACACACACAAGCGTAAACACTATGTGCAGAAATTTCTTTCAACAATTGGAAAAGCGCTCGTACAACAGCATCGTGTGTAGATTTTCCATTTGTTTATCTCACTTCAGTTTGCATGCTCATTTGAGTTCTTTTTATTATATATTGTTTTATATTTTTCTTCTATTTTTTCGTCTATTTTTTCGTCTATTTTTTCGCCTATTTTTTCGTCTATTTTTTCGCCTATTTTTTCGTCTATTTTTTCGCCTATTTTTTCGTCTATTTTTTCGCCTATTTTTTCGTCTATTTTTTCGCCTATTTTTTTTTTTTTTTTTCTTTCACTCTCCGCTGCTCATTATCCCATTACATGTGCGCATTTCATGTTTTTCTTCCCCCAGTATGACTCTTATTAGAAGGGGAATTTAAAATCGATGACGTGAATTCATTTCTTAAAATACATTGTTCAGAAACTGTCTCGTTTTAAGTTCCTGTGAAAGTTAAAAGAGGTAACCAAGGGGAGAGCTTCCTCAAAATTAACCTCTCCATCGAATGGGACAAAAAAAAAAAAAAAAAAAAAAAAAAATCGCAAAAGCGGCAAAAATGAAGAAGCACGTGGGTAGACATACACACGGGTAGGCTAACACACACACGGGTAGGCTAACACACACACGGGTAGGCTAACACACACACGGGTAGGCTAACACACACACGGGTAGGCTAACACACACACGGGTAAGCACACACACGGGTAAGCTCACATGGGTATGCACACCCATCCTGTAAGAACTCTATGCTGCTCGCCATATAAGTTCCAAATTGTCCTGGATCCCTTGATCAATGCTTGAAATACCAAGAATTTGTTTGTAAAAGACGACAATTTTAGAATCATCTGCAAAAATAAAACATCCCTTAAACTTAGGGAGGTTCCTAAAAAATGTCCCAACGTATTTTGTGTTCCTAGAAAATATCCATGATCCACTAAGTAAACTTCCTTTGCACCATTCTCCGAAGTACTGAAGTTAGGGTTCAGGAAACAAACATGTGAAGAATGCAAGGGAAGGGGAGGGGGTATGTGCTAGCCAAAAATAATTGTACCCACGCAGGGGTAGACATAGATGTATGAACACACGAAGGCACAACAGATGTATGAACACACGAAAGCGCAACAGATGTATGAACACACGAAAGCGCAACAGATGTATGAACACACGAAGGCACAACAGATGTATGAACAGACTCCCACAAGGTTGTGACAGGGTAAGATAAGTGATTATCTGCATTTTTTTTTTTTTTGTGTGTTTTCCTCAATCCTTTTAACATATTCCCTTGTGGAAGAGAAAAAATAAATTCCTTGTCCATTCTTCTTGTTGTTCTTCCACTCTCCATAATAAAAGTCTCCATTAGAATACTTCTGAAATCCAGTTCCATTCTTTTTTCCGTTTTGGAAATTTCCTATTTTTTAAAAGCATCCATGGAGGAAATGGGTGTGTAAAATGCAGAGAAAGTGTTAAAAGAGAGAGGAGGAATGTTCAGAAGAGTGGTGAGAAACATAACAAGAACGAAACACAGCACAACTCTTAATAGAAGGCTTCAAGCGTGTCCACTTCTGCACACGTTCACTACATTTCTTCTTTTGGATTCATATAAAAATTACCGTTGTAGAACTCCTTAGTCCTTTTCGTTAGTTTCCCCATCCCTGATTTTTTCCCACACAGATAGGATCCTTCATATGTACTTTTGTTTTGGTATACATGTATCTTTTTATTCTTTTTCACTACTTCAGAATCTTGGTCTGTTTTCTCCACTTTCTGATTTTCCTCTTTTGCTTCATCACCTGTGTGTTATTCGTTTTTTTTTGTATGGGGTGTGTGGGAGTGTGGGGTTTCCCTGTTATCATTTGTTCTTTCGAATTATCACTATGTTGGTTGGAGTAATCACATCAATAGTATACAAAAACTTATATTTCATATTTTCACACATTTTTTTTCACAATAAAACAAATATCTTAAATACTTATAGGTTGAAATAATTGCCTATCTGTTACCTGAGGAAATAGTAGTTAATGCCATTTTTTTTTTTTTTTTTTTTTTTTTTTTTACATATAGAACAAGTATAAAGGAGAAAACTTTCTGATACGTCTTCCCTAGTTTTCTCTCATTTATGTTATTCTACTTGCAGTTGCAAAAAATCCAATATTACATATCATTAATTGAAGAATGCTAATAATGTAAAATTGTATCTAAAGGAAATATCTCACTCTTTTTCACAATTATTGATATGTTTGAAGATTCCCATATGTTTACAATCTTTCACGTTTTTCTTCTTTTTTTCTTCTTCTTCTTTTTTTCTTCTTTTTTTTTTTTTCACTTTTCAAGTGGTTGTTAGAATGTCATCCTTTCTGGTGGATTGGAAGATATATATCTCCTTTGTCTCAAACGATTTTTTTTTTTTTTTTTTTTTTTTTTTTTTTTTTTTTTTTTTTTTTTTTTTTTTTTTTTTTTTTTTTTTTTATTTTTTTTTTTTTTTGTTGTTTTTTTTTTTTTTTTTTTTTTTTTTTTTTTAAATTTTTTTTTTTTTTTTTTTTTTTTTTTTTTTTTCTCCAACTTTGCAAAACATTATGCACCTTTTACGCGACACTTGCAGACACGAATGGAATTTCCAACTAGAGTATTGCACTAATTAAGAATTTTTTATGAAAAAAAAAAAAAAAAAAAAAGAGAAAAACGGAAGGAGTGTAAGGAATAAGTATACATGCATGTATACACATTCGTACACATACACATGAATACATAATATAGGTTCATATTCAGAATCAGCGGAGTAAAAATTCACAAGTCTACATTTTCCTATGTATGCACTTGTACTCATAGGGCGTGCAAAAAAAAAAAAAAAAAAAAAAAAAAGCATCATTTGCACAAACAATCCCCTTAATGAGTTGCATATATAGTAATACCCCAGAGTTAACGAGACCACGTTCTATCCTGTCCTTACAAGAATGTGTATGTACAAATAGAGACTTATCGGCACGGATCAGTGCTGAAAAGGAGGGGTGGGGAAAGAACGCAGACTTTAAAATGTACACACATTGCATGCACACATTCACAAGTACAAAACTGTGAAACTAGCCTCTGTGTGAATGGTTTGTCCAAACATGTCTATGCCGACCTTATCCCTCTGTTGCACACGCATATAGAAGCAAAAAAAAAAAGATAAGCAAAAAAAAATAAGGAAAAAGCAGACAAGGCAAAATATTAAAATAACTCAAGTGGGCAAATCGAGATGAGACTTCCAACTCCCGTTGAGAAGCCGAAAGACCTCGACACTCGAAGTAATGATCCAGAGCGAAAAAAAAAAAAAAGCCGAAGAGCTGACAAAATGGATGACAAAACGGATGACAAAAGAAACAATCAGAAACGGGACAAACAAAATGCTGAAGTGTTAAACGACAAGTCGAGGTCGAACCTGTCCAAGTGCACCACAAAGAAAGGAAATAAAACTCGGTTTGAAGAAAAATACAAAAAATATTACGCGGCAAATATTGATAAGTCTCTCCTAAAAAGTGATATAAACTGCGTAAGCTACGTTTACAAAAACCTGAACGAACAATCTACTTCAAAACAGGTAGCCAAAATGGCCTTGTTCAGAGGGGGCGAAGAGAAAGTAGATGCAGTTTTCCAAATGTTAGAACTTGAAAAATGTCAGAAGAAAAATGAGGCAAGTGGATCTACTCACACCACAGGTCAATGTCGTAACGATCGGGAAAATATCTCAAGTCATAAGAATGATGACGAGACCATTCAATCAATCATTTACTCCACATTCATCAATACAAAGCTCAGACAACAACAGAAATATGCAGATGCAAGTACAATTAAACCAGTTAAAATGAAGCTAACAAAAACGGGGAAAAGAGGGAATAACAAAACTTCTAGCTACGTTAGCAACAAGCCAAGCTACTATTATCCCCAATCTAGTGCAGTAGAACCCACTCCTAAGAGCCCCAAAATAGATACATATAGTAAAAACCTAACTGCAACATTAACAAAAAAAAAAGTATACACAGATGAGTGTGTACAAATAACAGAAACAGATGAAGAATTGAAAACCCTAAAAAATGATGGTACCTTCTTATATGAAAAAATAATATCAGAGAAAAAAAATAATAAAAAAGTGAATCACACTCAAACTAGTACTCACTATGAAGAGGAAGAATTAAACAAATTTGCAAAATATATAACTAAACAAATTATAAATGAAGCAATAATTCAAATCACTTACGAACAAAATGTTAAATCGATGGAAGAGAAAAAAAAAGTTGTTCTCATAAACCACCAACAGAATATTAAAACATATAATCATCTAATTAATTATCAGGAAAATAACTTGAACATAATGCTTGATCAAACTGAGATTTCTAGGTAGGGTGTCTTCCTCAAACCTTTTCTTAATTATTCGTTACCTTCTTCTCCTTCTTCTTCTTCGACCATGCATAATCCCCTTTTTACACATCGTTCGATCTGTTTATCTTGTGCTTCTCTTCCTTCTATCCACATTAACAGGTACCTCCACATTTTTAACAAAATAAACATCTTCTCCAAATCTAGACTTATTATAAATACCATTGTGGAGAAAAATATTCAGCAGCTTAAAGAACGGGTAAGAAAAATCAACAATATCTTTCTCTCACCCTAGATGAAATCACACATATGAAAATATCAAACTGGAAAACCTAAGCATTAGACATTTTTCTTACTCAAACATATTTGTGCACTTCCTTTTAACGAATCAGAACAATGAAAAAAGCAAAAAAACACAAATCGAATGGGACAATCAAGTCATAAAACATCTACTAAAAAATGTCATCGCATTTTTAGCTACAGAAAAGGTTAACCGAAATAAGAAAAAAAAAAAAAAAAAAAAAAAAAAAAATGATAAAACTGGCAAATTAATAAAGAAATGATTAGTGCAAAATCATGAGAAATCAACTTCACGTTCCCATATTTCTCATGCCACTTCTTCCTCGATAAAACAAAACTCACTTTTCATTTTGCAATTTTTTTTTTTTTTTTTGGTGCGTTACACCAATCTGAACATTTTTTGCAGATCGTGTCATATATGACTAAAGAACTAACAGAAAATTCCTTCTTAAACTTTTGTTGTTTCAACAAACAACACATAGATATAATGAATGCCAATTTGAGTGAACACAAAATTTCTCTATATGAGCGTCGACGAATGGAAGCTGGGCATTTCAATTTTGTATATTCCAATGGTAAGTACATGTCTATGGCAACTTCTAATATTCGTTTTGGGGTGCACATGAAACCGCTTGGCAATGCTTAGAAATCATTTTTCCATTTCTTACGCACATCTGCTGGTACCTTTGCCACTTTTTCTCTTCCATGATCACTGCAAAGACAACGTAAAGATTAATATTCCCATAAGAATAAAGAAGCATATGAACCTGGAGAATCTACTACGAATTATAAAAAAACACATAAAGAAGAAACTCAGCATTCTGTCCAAAGATTATGATATAGACTTCCTGTTCATACGGGATGGTGCTAATGACATCATGGTTTGTTCTAAATCATAAGTAGTTCCCACGTCCATACACGTAAACGTCGCTTCGACATCGTTTCACCATCGCTCTATCACCACTTCACCCCCTCAGAGTATACGCGACTTGTTCTCATCCAACGGGAATAAATTCACAATATGCATAAACAAAAAGGAAGAAAAAACCTGAACGAAGAGATAAGATTTTTGTACTCTCTTGTTCAAGAAAAAAATGGAGATATGCACATCACATACCCATTGTAACGAAAGACTCAGACTTCTTACTATGTTAATAGCTAGACAATCACCACAATGGTTCCAATATCAAAAAAACATAACGACAAGTACAGACCCCTTTTCTTTCTCTCCTTTTGAGAAAACAAAAAAAAATATATATGGGTTAACACTTTTACACGAACATTGTATACCTAGCTGCTCTTTTTATTTTTATGCATGTGTATATGCGCATGCCCATACGTAAATGTGATTCATAGGGGTACATAAACACATATGTACTGAAATGTCTGCATATTACATTTGGATATATATATATATATATATATATATGTATATGTATATATTTCTTTTTTAAAGGAGATTGAACAATTCAAACATTTTTTTTTTTTTTTCTGTTATTCTGTGCTCGAGGGATGGAGATATGCTTTTCTCCCTCCCCAGTTGACACCACATTTTAAGCAGCTTATGCATTATAAGCCATTTTACACATTTCATTTCTTTTTTTGCTGGTTTTAATTTTTTTTTTTTTTTCTCGCCCCAAGTTTAAGGCACGAATCACCTTAACCCCGCCGGGGTTTTCCCTCCTTGTCGATCTGCCACTAAACTCTACATCCTTGTCTCCTTCAGTTCACATTTTAAAAATTCTCATATTTTAATAATGTTGTTGCCATCATCCCCGACAAGGTACAGCTTATGGAAATTATCCCATCCTAAAAAGAAAAATGGAAAGTGTATTTGGCATTTTTTACATAGAGTTCCTTTTTTTTTTTTTTTTTGCCTCTTCTATATTATTTACCTGTTTTGAAAGCACTTTGTTTTTTTTTTGTTTTTTTTTTTCTCTTTTCTCTAGCCCATATTTTCTTCCTCATCGGTTACCTACAAACCGCTAAACTTTCGTAAACATATGGTTCCACATTTTTTCATTTTATTTCTACTTTTTTTTTTTTTTTTATTTTCCTTTAACTTACCTATGCACATATAGATGTGGTAATACATACAACCCTTAGCCAGGAAACAAACCGGTTGACAAAATAAGCTTCTCACATGTTGTTTCTTTCACAATCTTATTTTTTAAGAAAACGGAAGAAGGATCACCTCAAATAAGAACGATGCACAAATTGGCACCTTTTGAGAAAAAAAAAAAAAAAAATTCAAAAAATAGCTCAAAAAAAACACTTCAAAAAAAAGAGCTAAGAAAACATTTTAAAAAAAACATAGCTGCATGTATGATGCTACTCCCTGAACGCACATTTTAAAAAGCTGCAAGGATAAAGAAGAAAATCTTAGAGTTGGCCAAGGTTTACTGATATTTCCACTAATTAAATGTAAAAGAAAATCCAAAACATATAACAAATTTCCACAACAGCATTATGAACCCTTTTTTTTTTTTTTTTTTTTTTTTTTTTTTTTGCACTAAACGTGCTTCTCTCGCAACAGACAAAGCTAGACCATTTTTAATACACTAGATAAGAGAGAGAGTGGGTGGGAGACGTCTATAAAAATTATTTTTCTACCAACACGATGCAGATGAAAACAAATTGAACATTCAAATTATATGTAGCCTGAACTAAGTTTGTCCATGTTCCACCTATAGCATTAACACAAACGCATAGCGATAGAGAGGCATACAAAAAGACAGACATACAGACACACAAACAGAAATACCAGCAGACATACAAGCAAACATACAAGCAAACATACAAGCAAACATACAAGCAAACATACCAACATCCGTACCAACATCCATACCAACAGACAGGCCGGAAGGAAGGGGAAAAAAAAAATGAACGCGCACGATGAGAACGCAATAACGAAAAAGATTAACCTTCTTCGAAGGAAGCAACAAGAAAAGAACAGAATAAATGTAAGGAATTATGAAGACATCTTAGATGAATTGGATACGTGTGTTAAAACAAGAAATGGGTACAAGATAAGTTCTATCTTGAAATTAACGCAACTTCCCGTGGACATTTACATACTTGACGAGACAATGGAATGTGAATTGAGAAAAAACATAAAAAAAAAAAATTTCCTAAAACATTATGAACAGCTAATAATTGATCATTTTAATATATTTAAAATATTATGTAACAGAAATAATGTAAATTGGGATGTGTTAGTAAGCACTGGATGCAAATTTTTATCTACATTCATACATTTATACTCTGATAATTTATGGCTATTGCCATATCTTCTCACTATATGTTCCTTTTTAAATAATATAAGTACATTGGCAGATTCATATTACAATAGTAACAATAAAAGTGATATTTATAATGAAGAAAATGAAGATATAAATGAAAAAAACAAATATACAATTGAAGTTTTAAATTCAATTAGAGGAAAAATAGGAATTGTTAAAGGAGATATTGAAAAACATGGTGGATTCATTATCCTCATGTTTCAATCAATTAAATTATGTATGAAGTTAAACAATATGCAAATAACTACTAGTTTTCTAAAGATAATAAATTCCACGGATATAGATTATTCATACATTCCAAAATTTTTTGTAGTCCTCTTTAAATACCAATTGGGGAAATTATATTTACATAAAATGGATTATGAAAAAGCAGAAAAGGAATTCACTTGGGCATTCTCAAATTCAAAAAAAAATAAAACTGATTTTAAAAAAAAATTACTAGAGTCCATTATTTCTATAAGACTTAATAAAGGAATCTTCCCACCAAAAAAATTATTGCAAGAATATCAACTTAGTATATATATTGATATAATATACTCTATCAAGCAGGGAAATATATTTCTTTACAATCGTGTTATTGAAAGGTTCTCAAAATATTTTTTTATTAACGGACTAAACGAATGTATCGATCAGATGCATTTTGTTGTTAAAAGAAATCTTATGAAAATTGTCGTTCAATGGTGGAATAATAACATTAAAGATAATCCAAATAAATTATATAAAGTTCCCATATCTATTTTTCATCATATTTTTACCTGGGCTCATATTACACAACATCACCACCACCTCGAGACTTTATGTATTATTACTTCACTCATCTTGTTCAAATACATCAATGCTTACATATCCTATGATAACAACATTCTCGTTCTTAGTAAAAATGATCCATTTCCCTCTCTGTCAAAATCACGCATCGCCAACAGGGGTCCAATTGATAAGGCATATGCCTGATCAGGAACTGGTGCTTCTGCTGTAATGGTAGCACACATAGCCCTTCAGAATCATCCTACTAATAAATCGCGACGTTACGGTAGTACATCTAGCTCATCAAGATAATATTAACACATCTAATCAATCATAAACTTTTAACACATCTAACCAATCGCAACCTTTTAACACGTCTAACCCATCGCAACCTTTTAACGCATCTAACCCATCGCAACCTTTTAACGCATCTAACCCATCGCGATATTATTTTATTTTATTTTTTTTTTTTAAATAAAAGAACCCCTAGAATATATACTATTCCCTTCCCCAATGAGACAACATATTGTAAACCTTTTTCTTTTTATCGATTCTCCTGTCCAATTTTTTTCAACTGTGAATTTTACCCTTCAGGAAACATACATCTTATAACTAATGAGGTGCTCCAAAATAGAATTTAACGTTTCATCGCTTAGTCTAATCAGTGATGGGATGAAATACCTCGCCTCCTGAATCGTCTTCGGGAGAAGATTAACTAACATGGCTATTTCATACTCATGCAATTCCCCTAAACGTTCCAAATTCGTTCTGACATCTACAATGGAACTTCTGTTTTTTATCGTGGCAAATTTATTTGCGTAGTCGAACGAGGACTTTATCAGCCTGCGTGGGGGGGTGGACGTGGTGCGCAATTGAAGCGGTGCAATTGAAGCGGTGCAATTGAAGCGGTGCAAATGAAGCGGTGCAAATGAAACGGTGCAAATGAAATGGTGTAAATGAAATGGTGCAACTGAAATGGTGCAACTGAAATGGTGCAACTGAAATGGTGCAACTGAAATGGTGCAATGAAAACAGCGCAATGGAAACGCCATCGCTGTCGCGCTACGACTCGAAAAGAAGCATGAACGGAGCAGCAAAACGAAATAAACACCCAACTGTTGGTGTCCAATTTTATACACACAAAATCAACACTATCTGTGCAATTCTATGTAATCTGTGTATTGCTTTGTTTTCTTACGCTTGTGCTCCTTCATTTCGTTTAGAAGTTAACCTGAGTTGATCCCCTAAAATGAGTTGCAATTCACAAAGGTTTAGACACTTGCAGTTTTTGAACTCTGCGTGGATGGGAGACATGTGCAGGAAGAGAGGAGAAAGTGGAATGTAGTTTTTTACACCTTTGCATCTGTGACATTTGGGCAAAGACACAAAGATCAATCAGAGTACGTAAGAATGGGTACACATCAATGCTAATGTTATCACTGATTGAACAGACTGTTAAGCACATGATGAACCCATTTCGATCTCACAGGAAGGTACCTGGGCCAAGATCCAAGTTTTTGATATCCCCTTGGTCGTTGTTGCCAGCCATCGTGGGCACAGCGAAAGGAGGCAATCAAAATGAGAAAAAAAAAGGAAAACGAAAAAAATGAGAAAAAAAAAAGGAAAACGAAAAAAATGAGAAAAAAAAAAGGAAAACGAAAAAAATGAGAAAAAAAAAGGAAAACGAAAAAAATGAGAAAAAAAACATAAACAAGCGCTATACATATATGCACGTATGTGGAAACAATCAGGGGAGAGATAAGGGGGCTACAAATCTTTTTGGGTCATTCCTCAAATGTAACAAAATGGGGAGAGATACTTCCAAAAAGTGCAGAGGAAATTAAATACTTATTTTACTGTATATTTTTCTTTTCAAATGTTTTGGAAAAACAATTTTCTGTATTTAAATACAGGGTGAGAAAAAACCTACAACTTTTTTTTTTTTTTTTTTTTTTTTTTTTTATTACTGGCATAATTGGTTCAGAAGATACAGAATAAAATGAACGAATTTTATGCCAGTCTCTCTCCCCACCCATCTTTCGATTATCAAAATTTGGTTTACTCAAAAGGGTCAACAGTGAAAAGGATGGAAAAAAAAAGAAAGAAAAATATACATATATATATATATATATGTGCTACCTATTTGCTTTCCCCCTTTTACAAAAAGAAAAAACAATAGAAAAAAAAATTAAGTAGCGTGATATTCTATTTCCTTCATTGTGCTATTGCCATGCATATATAGATCATAGTTTATATCATCTCTTCCTCTCTCTCTCCTACTTTTTTTTTTTTTATTTTTTTAAAGTTGAAACAAAATTATGAGACTACCCCGACAACATACAAAATTTAGTAAAAAAGAGCACCTCTCCCGAAATTTCCAAAAATAATGAAATAAAACAATAAATGAAAATGTCACAAACTGCAGTGTACTGAGTCGAAACGCACAGGATTGCAAAGCGACCGAATGCAGTATCTGTATGTCTGTGTTTTCTTCTCCTTTTCACCACCCCCTGTTTTGACACTCCCCAATTTATTGATTCATCAAACTGAAAAAGGCGTGACATAAAAAAAAAAAAAAAAAAGAACACTATTTTTTAATACCAAAAATGAAAATAAGAAAAGGGAAATCTCCCATTTTTACATTTCATAATTTTTTTTTATAAAACCATTCAAACACACACACACACACATACACACTATTCTGAAACTTATTTATACACATTGTGATACCTCCTTTTTCAAGTAACACAAATGAGACGAATGCATATAATAAGATTGACAAATTTTGTATAAATATCTGTATATTAAATGGCTCCAATTGAATAAGAAAAAATTCTCTTAAGAAGAATAAAAAAGAACAGACCACCCTTTTTTTTTTTTTTTTTCCTCAAATCCATCAATATATATACATTGGAAACTCATTTTTATACATATCTACATTTGTCGCCAATCACCTCGGTTCCAAATATTTTTTTATCCAAAACGGAGCTTCTTTCGTCTTTTCTTATTGTTACTGTTACTGTTACTGTTACTGTTGCTGTTGCTGTTGCTGTTACTGTTACTGTTACTGTTACTGTTACTGTTACTGTTACTGTTACTGTTACTGTTACTGTTACTGTTACTGTTACTGTTACTGTTTTTTTTTTTTTTTTTTTTTTTTTTTGCTCATGTATAAGATCTGTATTAATCACAATTTTGCAGTTGCAAACATGAGACAGCAATCCGTGCATTGGTTACACTCGTACAATACCCTTTCGCCACTTCTTCTCATGGGAAGCGTGTAAAAGTTGATGTTACGCTAAGTACAGTTCAAGGTTCAGTCATCAACTTTGCTTGTAGAGAGATGTAAGTGGTGGTGTATAGGAGAAGCATAGAGATAAAGGCAGAATAAGAGCCACATAAAATTACATCTGAGAGATGAAAAAGAAATATCATTTAGTATATTACTTCCTATCTTTCTAAGTACTCAAAGAATGTGTGACATATAAAAAAGGGAAAATGGAAGGAGGGGGGGAAAGGGGAAAAAAAGAAAAAAAAAAATTCAGCTAAAAAAGGAAGATCCCAAAGCCATGTGCCCATATTCCCAATGCTTCTAAATATACAAACTGGCCAAATGCCAAACTGGGAAAAGTACATGTGCACACTTCATTCCATGACACCGAAGCTATACCCCCTTTCTGTTGGAACAAATGTGCTACAAAAATGAAGTTTATTTATTTGTTTTCTTTTCCAAAAATTATAAAAATTTAACTTCTCATTCGTCCTCTTATAGTTGAGGAGAATCTAATGATCAAGGGAAAAAAAAAAAAAAAAAAAAATCAACTCCATTCTTTAGAGAGAAGCACACGTGGATAAAAGGCACGCACAATTTTTCGCGGAATGTGAAATTCACTAAAAAAATGAATTCATAAAATGTGCAAAATTGTAGCTAGGGATTAGCAAAAAAATATGCGAAATTGATAATTTCCCTCCCAACCCCTCCCCAGACATGCTCCTTTTTTTTTTTTTTCAAAACAAAGAATGTGTAAAAGGAGGAGTATCCACCTCTGCGGCAAGTGTAGTCCTAAAAGTCAGCAAAAATAGAAAAAAAAAAAAAAAAAAACTCAAAAAGGTAATCCATCAAAAACGAATGAACTAAAAGAATCTCCCAAAAAAGGGAGACATAATTTGTTGACGGTTGACTCAGAGTACGGAAAAAATATGCCCAAGGAGCAAATGTTTAAAATTAGGCGATAAAATGAAATAATGACAAAGCTCTTGTGGTTTCATTTGATAGATTTAAATCGTGAAGATAGAAATGGGGGCAAGAACGGGGATATGAGAGGGAGAGTGTGAAATTATTTCTACTAATTCTTGAGTAGGGAGAGACCTATACCATATATTACTCTACACTTTCAAATGGTCATCTACATACAAAGTAGCGTAAAGCTCTTATATCACTACCACGTCTTGAACTGAATAACATTTCTTGTAAAGTTGCATAAGTTAATGTGTTATCTTCTCCTTTAAAACAAAAACAAAATTAGTCCAAAATTTAGTTCAAAATTGAGAAAATACCTACCCCCGCCCCCGTTCGTTGGCCTCCTGAACTGGGTACACACTTTTTTTCTTGTCTCCATTTTTTCCTTTCTTGCTGCCATTTTTTCCTTTCTTGCTGCCATTTTTTCCTTTCTTGCTGCCATTTTTTCCTTTCTTGCTGCCATTTTTTCCTTTCTTGCTGCCATTTTTTCCTTTCTTGCTGCCATTTTTTCCTTTCTTGCTGCCATTTTTTCTCTTCTTCCGCCATTTTTTCTCTTCTTCCGCCATTTTTTCCTTTCTTGCCGCCTTTCATTTTTGGCTGTTCCTACACATCTGCAAAATGGGGTTCGTAAAAGCAGAAGAATTCATAAACCACTACATGAGGGTTAATAGAGAGATAAAAAAATTATGTACCCGAAAAAATGAAGAATTCAAATTTAACATATTCATATTTTACCATAACAGCGTAGACTCTATATGCACAGAACATATTTTACATTTCCATAAGAATGTAAAGAGAGATATAAACATATTCAGTTATGGAATTGAGAAAAAAGAAGACCTCCTCAACTTTTTCAAAAAATATGAAGATGTATATTCTCAAAATAAAGAATATTATAGAGATTACTTCTACCAAGTGGTGCTTATAGGTATGGGTTCTCATATGAACACAGATGCCAACATATACACATTGATAGAGGACTTTTTCACAGGAATTCTGGCCAAAAATTATGTTGGATATTTGAAATTTTTCGTTATTGATAATAAGCGGCCATTCCATGAAATTTTCGAGAGCAGTGATAGGTGGGATTTGGTCTTGAGTGAAATTGAAATGAGTGACATCATGGGGATATACGGAAGTTCCAATAGTGGCAATCCTGAAAATGGCGGGGAAGACCTTAGGAATGATCTTGGGAGTGATGGTGAGGGGACGGGTAAAAAAGTCCAAGGAAAAAAACCAAGGGGAGGGAAGAAAAACACAAAAAATCATAAACTGCAAAAGTATTACAACATAGTGAAGGAAGAAAACAAGTGCATGTGTCTTATGATTTACCCCTTTATCCAATGTGTGAGTGAAGATGATTCATCTGCAATTTTATTCATCTCTAGTGTTTCTTTAATTTCTTATTTAAAAACAGATCAAATAACATATGAATATTATAATAAAGAAATTCGAAATTTACACAACGATTCTTTGAATATCTGTAATGGACACTTCATTTCATTCGATTCGGAACGAGGATTATTACCTCTGCTGTCTTTTATATCTCTCAATGAATCGCTAGAAATCGATGAAAGGATATACATATATGACCACAAAAATGTTAGAAACACATTTAATAAAATTAGAACAATGTGTCATATTGAGATAAAAGAATTCACAGGGAATTTTAGACAACTGGATTTAAAAAAACAAAATGAAATATTAATAAAATTAAAGAATTTTATAAAAATTATAAAGCCGTTAAATAGTTTAGCATGGAAACGAAGAACTTATGTTCTTTACAATGGTGACAGTTTCTATTTTTTACTTGTTCTCATCTACATCTATATAAATAGAGCAAAAAAAATGGATTCTTATCTTTACAATTGCCTTAAAACATCCGACTTTTTATTTAATATTTTTAAAGATCGATTAAAACAGTCAGAAATTTATGACAAGCTAATTGAAAAACATCTACATAAAAATGCAGCTAGCTACTTAAGTGTATTAATTAAAAAAATTATGGAAAGCAATAAAAAAAGTATTACCATTGCATACAATTTTAAAATCTTTTTAGATATATTCCAAACATCTCAAAATTCATATACACATCCATTTGAATTAAAATTTATCTCTAATATGTTCTCTTCATTTCAATCATACTGTAATGAGAAATATAAAACCTATCATCTTGTTGTATGTCACATTAATGATTCGGATGATACTATACTTTATGGATTCACACCACTAAACAAAAATGATTACTGGCCTTTGATCTTCTCAAAAATTGCTTACAGTAATTCTGAACAAGTTGCATACGACACACTCACCGATGTAAACACAATGCGTATACGCAGGAACGACTTTAAGTTCATTCTTTCTGAAATTAAAGATGTTTTTCGAAGCATCCTTCGCTATCACCACAAGCGACAGCTCGACGGGGAAGACACCACCGACGTGGATGAAGAGGAAGAGGTGGAAGAGGTGGAAGAGGCGGACGAAGTGGAAGAGGTGGACGAAGTGGAAGAGGCGATTGAAGAGGAAGAGGCGATTGAAGAGGAAGAAGTGATTGAAGAGGAAGAAGCAGAAGAAGTGGAAGAGGCGATTGAAGAGGAAGAGGCGATTGAAGAGGAAGAAGCGATTGAAGAGGAAGAAGCAGAAGAAGTGGACGAGGTGGAAGAGGCGGAAGACTAATCATATCGCACGAATGAAACAGATCATTGGTGCCTGTGTTGTCCCATCAAACGGAGAGCTCATTTTTTCGTACAAACCTTTTCCACTTTTTTTTTTTTTTTTTGTAATTACCCTACATGTCCATCGCTTCCTCGTGTGCAATTTCATCCGAAACATTGCATGCATAAATGTTTGCAAACATGCCTGATATCACACAAGCATTAACAATATGTGTTTAATATTAAGTACTCCTGATGAAAATATCCGCAAATGGAATATGCGAAACTGATATCCCCAACCCCTATGTCTTTTTCCTTTGGCTAATTATTAGTTTACTATATTTAGTAATCTTTTTTTTTTTTTTTTTTTTTTTTTATGTATACGCGACATTTATGTGTGTTGTGTATGTTTAAGTACACATATTTATATACACCGTGGAAATTTCCGAATATCATAGGGCTAAGCAGGGCGTATACGGACACTCTGCCAACTTGTTCGCCTTTTTCAAGTTTTTCACGTTTTTCGCTTTTTTTTTTTTTTTTTTTTTTTTTTTTTTTCCCTCACCATCTCTCCCGTCCTCAGTTTTATTTGCCCCCATGTCACCATTTTTAAGGGGATTAAATTGTATAACCAAGAAATAGTAATTCGGGAATTTTGAAAATTTTGCAGGAACGATAAAACTGTTATTTGATCTTTTTGATTTTCCTTGTCTCATGCTTCAAGGGAAAAATAATCACATGAAAATAACTGTCTCATCTACACCTAATTTACCTCCTCTTTGATTTTAAAAGTTTACTACTCCGCTGAATAACATTTCACTTGAGAAATTTATGTAAAATGGAAGTTATTCCCCTCTAAGTAACTCTTAACAAGAGAAAACACATAATTGTTAGAAATGGAAAAAAAAAAAAAAAAAAAATGAAATGAAAATGTGCTCAAAAGCAGGTTGCGTAATTTTATGACAATATTGTTTGCAATCAAATTGGACATGCGAAAAAAGTTATACCGGGTATATAAAAAAGCCTTGTGAATTAATGTGCCCCTGAAAAAAAAAAAAAAAAAAAAATTCCAAATGAACGTGCATGTAAAAAAAAAAAAAAAAAAAAAAAAAACACCCTCGTGGGAAAAATCAAGGGTACCTCTTAAAACTTACGTTTGCGGTTATACGTGAAAACATCGAAATGCATACAATATACCTAAATAAAGTGAATTTAAATGATAATTTTATTTGAATAAAGGAATATAGGGGGAACAAATGTGCTTATTTTTTCGTATTTTTTCGTATTTTTTCGTATTTTTTCGTATTTTTTCTAGCTTTTTTTTGTTTTTCTTTTTTTTTTTTTTTTTTTTTTTTTAATGGAAAATTTCTGCTTAAAAAAAAAGGGAGTGGCTCAGCGTTTCGCCAGTTTGCCAAAAGAAATTACAGCATTACGTAACCTTGTATTTTCAACTTATCGTCCCTTACATTTCTTTCTCTTTTTCTAATGGAGATACACCTGTGAAGAATGAACAGATCGTTAAACGTTTCCAAATAAAACCACACCCAAACTTAAACAGAATATAACAAAATGAAAAATTGCAAACCTCGTCCTTTAATCTATTATCGTTGGATATATTTATGATGTACCGCTCAACTATCGAACAATTTATCTAGTGTTCACTTTCCTCTGACGCTTTTTATTTTTAATTACGTCATATCACACTTGCGTTTTTACTTTAGGCTAAAGTATGACGCAATGTGGTTGTTTTTCACATAAATAGAAAGGAATGGGGAGGATAAGCATTACATATAATTTATATAACATATTACATATATTACCCACACAGAGATGATCCATTTGCTTACTTTTTACTGCTGCACATGGCTGCATTGAAACTGAGGAGGTACGACACGTCGTAACTTTCGCAGATCTACATTTTGATCCTTAGTCTCATTACTTAAGGGTTACACGGATTTATAGAACTACCCATACAATTCTGTTTTGTTCTTGCTCTTTTTTTTTTTTTTTTTGCATGCTACACATGTATATTCAACGTTATATGTACGTAGAACATACATGATAAAACTAATGTAATAAGGAATAAAGTGCTTTTTACTAAATGAACGAAATTCTTAACAGCAACGGAATTATAATTTGCAAAAATATTCCCATTGATAAAAACCGTTTTGAAATTACTGAAATATTTAGTAAATGTAAAAAAAAAAAAAGATAAAAAAAATAAATAAATAATATAATACCGTTATTTAAGAGAATAACAAATCACTTCAAATTAGAGCAATAGGAAAAATAAAACATTCCTTTTATGTCACTCGTTATACACACAAATTATCAGATGGGCCGCTACTAGGTGAAGGTATTTATTTTGGAAAGAAAAACAGCAACATGTTTTATGTTAAATATGTTTACTTCAAAGATGCTATAAAAGCTTACGAGGTAAATCCCAAAATGTGAAAAATTCACACGAAATTATGTAAAGTTCACAAGTTGATCTGATCAATCTGTACGTTCCTGCGTTTCGGCATCGTCAAGACGCAACTTCATTATTTCACATTTTTCCAATTTGCCACGTTATAAATATTACGATCATTTCCCACTCCTAAACAACCAGAGCTTGAAGGATAACAAAACGAATGATTACTACTTTGGGTTAACATTTAGTAAAAATGATGAACTAAAATACAAGGCAATAAAAGGTAATGAAGGAAATCAAAGTTCATGTTCGGAAACATGTGTGTACACATATAAATATATATATTTGCATATGTTTGACTTTTTTTTTTTTTTTTTTTTTTTTTACATGCCCAAGCATTGATTTATCCTGCATGCATATATTTTCACCTGACCCGTTCAGGCAATAAAAAGGCAATCGAAGAATTAAAGTATATTTATAAAAACAACAAACAGATAAAAGTTAACGACGAAATGACAAACGATATACTTAAGGAATTAAATGAGCAAAATAATGAACTATTAAAAAAGAAGAAGAAGGAAAAGGAAATAGAAAAGAAAAAAGACAAGTCCTTCATTTTAAATTTACTCACCAACGTTGACGAACCGCAAGATAACGAGGAAACTAACAAGTGCGTAAAGAGAGAGAAAATAAATCCACATGTGAGAGCTGAACTGTAAAAAAAGAAAGAGCGAGAGAGAGAGACAATAAGACAGGATGCAACGAACGGGATATGCATCCTCTTCGTGATCAGGAAATCAAGTTTTCCTCCACACCCGTTCCAATGTCAGGTTCGTATGTCCATGTAAAGCTGCTTAATAAATCAATTATACAAGGGCTAAAACAAATGTGCTTATTCATGATTATGTATTGTTCCCTCTCACAGGCTAAAAACAGAACTTAAAAATTACTTGAGCTTAAATTGCCTATGTTCTTACAACTTTGACGAAAATAATAAATACGACAATTACTTAACACCGACTTTTCCAAATTAATTTGGATAAATTGACCTAATAGGAAACTTTTTTATTTATTTTATTTTTTTTTTAATTTGTTGATGGTATACACAAGGGAGAGAAGACGAAAGAGAAAAATAATTTTTTTATGTGAAGTATAGTCTTTAAAGCTTAAGAGGTATTTTTTTTTTTTTTTTTCTCCTGTCCCGCGTTTTATATGTGCATTTTTGTTTGTGCACGTTTTTATGTGTTCATATTTATACATACGTATTTATACGTGTTGTCATTTAAAATCATGTAAAGGAAAATTTAAAATATGAAATGGTAAAAAGGAAAATAAAAGTAACAATGTAAAATAAAAAAAAAGTTTTTAAGGAGATCGAAAAATTACGAAAAAATACGAAAACATCCAAAATGCGCACAAAACGGTGTGATCCAAAGTAGATATTTTTGTGCTTTATCTCTTCCTGTTTGACACGACCGACCAAACATCCTGTTGTCTCATTCGCTCATCAAAACTGTAGATTTGACCATTTGTCTGCTGATATGTTCTACAAAGGTGTGGGAAATATGTACGTTCATGTCAAGGAGACTTGCGCAAAAAAAGGGGAAAAGATAAAAAAAGAAAAGGAAAAGAAATGGAAATTAGAAAGAAAAATAAACAACAAATTTTGCATAACTGATGACAATTAAAAAAATCACACAAATTATAAAAAAAAAAAAAGAACTATCGATTCTCCTAGCTCTTGTTTTTATTTTTATTGCACTGCTTACTTATCCACTTGTTTTTCTCATCTCTGTCCATAGTTGCAAACATAATTTTCCTGTTATTGTAACTTATATTAAATAAATGCACGTTGCTTAGCCCCAGCTCATTTTCCACGAGCTTTATTTTTCGAAGGTCCTCCAAGGAGGTCAACTCTGTGAACTTGTTAAGATACAATATCTAAGAAGCCACGAAGGAAGTATGCACTTGAGGACATGTGTATATATACGCGCAGAAGTGTACATGAAGAAATTTATCCATAGACATAAATATATGCAAAAGTGTACATGTAGAAATTTACCCATAGACATAAATATATGCTGAAATGTACATGTAGGAATTCACCTAATAGACATGGGTATAAAAAACATACGTATACCTACACGAACACTCAAATGTATGTCCAATTTGAAACGCTGTTTTGGGAAAATTTCTCATAAATAAACCAAGCGGATGACACAACGCATCATCTGCTGTTAATTCGGGCTACTTGTAAAACGAAAACGTTTGTATACAAGATAGGAATCGATATGCACCTCTTGAGTTCTATCACCATTTCAGATGATGATGAAACTTAGATAACTTCTTTATTTAAAATCTTACCTCGGTCGGTTTCTCTGCCTGATAGTACTGTGACTTAAAGGAACAGATGAAATTTTTTGTTAATATCATATATCTCTTTCGCAACCTCTTCAAATATTTGGACTGCTTAAATACCCATCCCTCATTTACTATTTCCATTTCAAAGGGAAGAAGTAAAAAAAAAAAAAAAAAAAAAAAAGGAAAAAATGAAAAAGAAATGAAAAGATAACTTTATCGGAATGTATGTGTTAACGCATAAAGAGGTAGCAGTATGGGTTAGACATGCGGCGGAGGAACTTTTCACAACTTAGAATTATTCTTTATTTTATAATATTTAAAAGAAATAATAAAAAATAATATACAAAATTAAAAGACCAAAAATATGAAAATTAAAAAAAAAAACACATCCCCAATTAGGAAAACACAACAAAAATAAAGGATAAAAATTTGATTAGCTCTCAAAAGAGAAGTAATTTTTTTCCTTTCCTCCTTAAACGAAAAACTATGAATGATTAAGAGGTTCTTGCTAAAAAGGATATTCATCATCAGTTTAGTACGATTTTTTGGTTCGTCTGCATGTATCTTTTTTTTTTTTTTTAAAAAAAAGGTAATTTAAAATTTGTCAAAAAAAAAAAAAAAAAAAGGGGGAGGGGGAAAGAAAGAATTGACGATTATAAAATGTAATAAATATTATACAAAAATAAATAAAGCAATTCCTGACAAGGTCGCAAATTAGGAAAATTTTTATATTGTATGTTTTGCTTTTTTTCACAACTAGAGAAAAGAAAAAAATAATTTACACTTCAACCCATTTGCACAAAAGTGATTTTAATGAGAACTACACTTTCTGCCAAAGTGTGTGTATGTTTGTGTGTATGTATGTATGCTTGTTTAAGCATTACAGAATTTATAAAAAAGGTAAAATTTGCTCAATAATTCTAGTTTACATATATAATGCTACAATATATAGGGGAATGCAACTTTAGTCTAATTACAAAAAGAGAAAAAAAAAAAAAAAAAAATGTGTATGCTTTTTTTTTTTTTTCTCTCAGTGCATATCTACTTCGTAAATTGCCTGAACAAGTCAGATGAGAAAAAAAACGAAAAAAAAAAAAAAAAAATTAATTGACAAAAAATAAGTTTATTATGTAATAGCTTCTTTATATTCCTATTTCTTGATATATTTGATACTATTTTCTTTTTCTTTTTTCTTTTTCTTTTATCTTTTTCTTTTATCTTTTTTTCTATTTGTTTTTCTTACTTTCTCTTTTCCTCTTTTACATAAAATGGAGACTGCATTCTGAGCTATATTATGAACACTGCGTATACCTTTTTTTAGTGCACAACAAGTAGCTTGTTAATATGTACACAAATATGCGGTATGTATATATATTGCTAGTATATTCCTACTTATATGTATACATGTATATATTTACATATAAGCATAAATACAAGGAAAATTACACTGTTTCTGTTACTTCCTCAACTCCAGTAAAGAATTAGTGTATATTATATCTTCTGCCTTACTAAATTAATTTTCAATTCAAAAAATTATGCATACAGGAGATTAAATATGCGTGCTATGCATTTACTATTATTGTAACATTCTTCGATGCTTTTCACCATTTCACAAGTGTAGCAAAGGAATGGATGAGAGCGACGTCAAATGATAAAACGAGTGCTAATCAAGAGCAAGCAAATTTGAAAAGGTTTAATTTAAAAAAAAAAAGGAAAAAAAAAAAAAAAAAAAAAAAAAAAAAAAAAAAAAAAAAAAAAAAAAAAAAAAAAAAAAAAAAAAAAAAAAAAAAAAAAAAAAAAAAAAAAAAAAAAAAAAAAAAAAAAAAAAAAAAAAAAAAAAAAAAAAAAAGAAAAAGTAGAAATAAAGGAAAAAAAAAAAAAAAAAAAAAGTTAAAAAAAAGAGAAAGAGGTGTTTAAGAGATTGTTCTTAAGAGGCACACCAAAAGAATAGCATAACATGACGAAAATGTACCTTCTTCTTCATGACCATTAATTTTGAATCACCTTGTGTTTACGCCATATGTTAAGGAGGTACTTTTAAAAGATCGCAGCAAAAAAGTATGGATATTATACATAAAGCTACCCACACGCACATACATACATAAACACATGCATACATGTGCTAATATTATACACTTGTAACATGCGTAACATGTGTAACGTCTCATTATTCAGAGGAACACATGCATTTGAACAACCATCCCTGTGGGAACACGAACCTTTTTCGCAGACACAAAGAAAACAGTGGTAGCAGTATCATCCCCAAAATCACTATTCCAGACTTTTATGTTGAGACAAATTGAATAGTTCCAAGTTGACTTATGGATCATATTCAAATATAGAAAACACACTGAATATGCATTTACGTGAACAAACGTGTGTGGCCCATTGTGCATATATAAAAAAAAAAAAAAAGAAATTTTTTGTTTTCTGTTTTGTGTATTCTGTTTTTTTTTTTTTTTTTTTTTTTTTTTCTCTCATATTTCCGCTCGGAATTTACATATCCGTCATAAAATAAGAGAACAAGAGGGGAAATTATGACGGCTGAGGATAAAAAGGTAGGAAACATGTTTCTGCATTTTTTTTTTTTTTTTTTCAGTTCTGTATTTTACATCTTCTGATCGATTAATTACTCGACTAATTATAAGAAGAAACTATTTACCTTCAATTTGAAACATGTAACCGCAACCTAACATGCACATCTGCAGGCAGTATCCATCAAAGTTCCCGTGAAATCCAAAGAAGCAGAAGAAAAGAGAAGAAAATTAAACAATCTCAAAATAAAAAATGAAGAATTAAACGAAGAAGAAAAAAAAAAAAAAGAAGAACTGGAATTACTAATTACGAGATTGAGAGATGAAGATCCAGATGTAATTAATCTATCCATCTCCTTATTGAACAAGGAGATAATTGACACGAGCGGAATTTTGACGTCTTCTCTACTGGCTTTAAAAGTATTAAAGACTCACTACAACACATTACTAGAAATACATGAGGATATGAAATTTGAGGAATGTAAAAAAAAAATGAGTAACATGATAAGTGCTTTGTCTACCACTATAGGAGATGAAAATAATATTGTTAAATATATCCTTATGGGGAATAAGAAAGAGTTAATAAATTATGGACATGAGTATATCAAGAATTTAATCACGAAACTTTTAGTTGAGTATAAAAATAATAAAGATGAAGAATCTAGTGCAACAGGAATAATGTTATCATCTGTTGGAACATCAGGACCATTCAGTATTAATACAGCTATCACAAGTGGTATCTCCACATCTATGACAACGACAGGTATGCCAAAAGGAGCTCATATGATTAACCAGATATATGAGCTTGTGAATATCATTGTTCCGTACTGTTTTAATCACAACACAGAATATGAAGCTATTGATCTTTTGATCGAGGTTGATAAGATTCAAGATATTCATCAATACGTGGATGAGAAATCATGTGAAAGATCCATTTTGTATTTACTTAATATAACACATTACAGTTCTTCCACAGAAGAATATTACAAATTAATGGAAGTAATTTTACAGATTTTGAAAAAGCACAAAAGACATGTTGAATATTTAAAAATTTTACTAAGACTAAACAGAAGAGAAAAGATTAAAGATTTGATTTTCGAATGTCCCGATATGATAACATGCAAACAAATGGCTTTAATTTGTTCAAGACATTCGATTCATTTAGAATTTACACAAGAGGAAATTATTCGATATCCTCATTTGAACCTTAACGAGTTGGCTAGCTTATCATCAGGAGAACATTTGTCTTCCATTTTTTTAAAATTAGCCAAAGATTTAGATGTAGAAGAACCCAAATTACCAGAAGATATATATAAAACACATCTAGAAGAAAAAAGAAACACAAATGTATGGGATTCAGCTAAACAGAATTTGTCATCCTCTTTTGTTAATGCATTTGTCAATGCTGCTTTTTGTAAAGATAAACTAATGACAGTTAATTCGTCCTTGTGGATTTTTAAAAATAAAGATTATGGTTTAATGAGTGCAACAGCATCTATGGGGTTATTACTTATGTGGAATATAGATGAAGGTTTATCACAAATTGATAAATTTCAATACAGTACCGATCAATATGTAAAGGCAGGTTCTCTCATGGCATTCGGTTTGGCTTGTACGAATGTAAAAAATGAATGTGACCCAGCTTATGCATTGCTATCAGAACACATAGATGCAGAAAATTCTCTGGAAAAAATCGGAGCAATTCTAGGTTTTGGTTATGCATATGCTGGAACAGCTAGAGAAAATCTTCTCGATGTTTTAATACCACCCCTTGTAGATAATGGATGTGTTATCGAATGTAGTGTCTTCGCAGCTGTATCTTTGGGTCTTGTTTTTGTAGGATCTCAAAACAGAGAAATTGCTGAATACATTATTGACACAGTTCTGGAAAGAGAAAAAGTTAATAATTCTTTAGACCAACCAATAGCCAAGTTATATGCTGTAGCGTTAGGTTTATTATTTCTGTGTTCAAGAGAAAAATGCGAAGCCACACTTTCAGCGTTAGAAATTATAAAACATCCAATTGCAAAATATATCATTACAACTGTGGAGGGTATGGCATTTGCTGGATCGAATGATGTTCTCAAAGTGCAGAAAATGTTACAAGTTCTTGTTGAAAAGAGAAATGACAAAAGAGTAAATGTAGACAGCAACAATAAGCCAAGTGCTGATTTGCATAGTGGTATTGCGATCGATGGGAAGATCTCTGGTGTGGATAGTAATAAATGTCCCAATGATGTGAAGAGCACGAATGAAGTGAAAAGCACGAATGATGTAAAAGGTGTAAATGATGTGAAGAGCACGAATGAAGTGAAAAGCACGAATGATGTAAAAGGTGCAAATGATGTGAAAAACACAAATGAAGGGAATAATTCCAACAATGTTGGAAACGGAAGCAACAATAATGTCGTGTCAGAAGACAACTTGGATCAATGTGTAGCTATTTTAAATATTGCCCTTATAGCACTTACAGATGATATAAGTTCCGAGATGACAACAAGAATTATTGATCATTTTTTACAATATTCTAATATAAATCAAAAGAAAGCAGTCCCTTTAGCATTAGCATTATTATTTACATCTTTCCCTAAACCTAATATTGTAGATATATTATCCAAATTAACACATGATCAAGATGCAGATGTAGCTTTGCATGCTATTATGGCTCTTGGATTTGTTGGTGCTGGAACGAATAATTCACGTATAGCTATTTTGTTAAGACAATTATCTACATTTTATTGTAAAGATACTAATGCTATATTTGTTGTCAGACTTTCACAAGGTTTACTATACATGGGAAAAGGACTACTAACTATCAATCCATTACATTCTAATCGATCCATTATCAATCATGTTTCTTTAGGATCCCTTCTCATAACAGTACATGCATGTTTACAGCTGAAAAATACCATATTAGGAAAATACCACTATTTGCTCTACCACCTCGTTCCTTGTATTTATCCTCGAATGCTTGTTACTGTAAACGAGAACTTGGAACCTGTCCCCATTTCGGTGCGAGTTGGCCAGGTTAGTTCATGCAGAGGCGGTTTGCATTTCACTTCTTAACAGTGTTGCACTTCACTTCTTAACAGTGTTGCACAGCACTTCTTAACAGTGTTGCACTTCATTTCTTAACAGTGTTGCACTTCACTTCTTAACATTGTTGCACTTCACCCCTTATCATCCCCTCCAATTCAACTTCCATTTTCATACTCTCCTCCCTCCCATCCCCACACCCTAAGGCCGTGGACGTCGTAGGACAAGCAGGAAAACCGAAAACCATCACTGGGTTTCAAACACATGTCACACCTGTGCTGCTGTTGCATACAGATCGAGCTGAGATTGCAACTGAGGAATGTAAGTTTTTTTTTTTTTTTTTTTTTGGCATAAAAATATTAATACCGCTTTGCTTTTGTTAACTACATATTGACATGCCATTATGCTCCAAATGCCAATATACTCCAGAAACATACGTTGACTTATATTCACCCTCACTCCACCCGCAGACATACCCATCAATGACACGCTTGAAGGAATTGTTATTCTGAAGAAGGATCCAAATTATGTACCACCAGTAGTTAACTAGAAAAAAAAAATAATTGTACACATAATGGAGAAGTTTAAAAAGTTGGAGAAAGAGGATAAAAAAAAAAAAAAAAAAAAAAAAAAAAAAATCAGTCATATAAACTTAATCCATAACCCATCAGTAAATTGCACATTTGTATTTTTTACAAATACGATATTTATCTTTTCAAACACGTTCGTTCGATCGATCGATCGTTCGTTTTTTTTTTTTTTTTTTTTTTCCCTCCCCTTAAGATGCATCCATAATCGATAAGCAAAAGGTTGCTGCACATCATATATACGTGCACACACATTAACATACATGTTATAGCAATTATGATTAAAAATAAATAAAATTAACACACACACACACACTGTGTAGGTATTGACAAAAAAAAAAAAAAAAAAAAAAAAAAATAAGAAACTGGCCAATTAATATAGGTGAGGCCAATGCAATAATGCTGAAAACTTTTGTAGAACAACACAGCATATGGGAAAACCTCCTTAGACCGGCCCCTTCTTTCTAGCACGCGCCCTATCCTTTATATGGTCAAGTGCTGTAGTCATTCTCTTAGATCGGATAACCCCAGCAGGTTTCAAATCGATGAGAGATGTTATCCTACTTTGTTCCATTTTTGAAGTTATTAAACTATCTGTTCTCTTCTTCTTTCCCTTTTTTGTTTCTCGAATAATGTCAATTAAATCATTGACAGTTTTTTTTCTCTTTCTTTCAATAATGGGAAAAAAATCATCAATTTTTAGTTGATAACTTCGTACCTTAACATCATATTTCTGTAAAATTGGATTTAACACACTAAAAATTTTGTCCTCAGAAATGTTGGTTGCTTTGTGTAAAAATTTGGTGATACTATTCATATTGGGGAAATGCCATTCAAACTTCTGAATGTCAGTGCATACCTTTGGATATTTAAAACATTTGTACACTTCCCTATCAGGAAAGTTGTTAGGAAATATCCAGTTAAATTTGTAATTTTTATGTGTTTCTAAAAAATGTTTTACTTCTTCATTTTGAAAATATTTATCCTCATGATTTATTTCTCGAAACGGATTAGATACAATTTCTTTTAATTTTTTTAAATCTTCAAAAGTAGGAAAAGCTTTTATAATTTCCAATGCATTTACAATTCCAACTCCATGTACTCCTATTGTGTAATCACACCCACATAATAATGAGAGGTTAATCAGCTCCTCTTGATATAGTCCTAATTTATCTTCTATTAACTTTTTTTCATACACCTCAACTGTTTTTTTCCTATTAAAAAAATTCTTAATTACTGTTTTCCCACTAAACACTAACACATCTGAATCATCACTTATAATTGCATCACAATAATTTCTGCTGTTCAAGTAAGAACATTGAGCTTCTGCTTCGCAGGGTGATTGCACATAAGGAATTCCGAATAAATCTAAAAGAATTTTTATATCATCATTCATTTCATCATTTATTTCTATATTATTTTTTTTCAATTTTTTATATTCTTTCATTAATTCTTCATTCTCTCTGTTCGTTTTCTCTATGTACGAATCGATCACTTCACTCTCTTCCAAATCTTTAAACTGAGGATAAAAACTTCTCTTCTCCAATTCGATACCCTGACCTGTAACACTCTTCTCCTTTTGCTTCCATTCTCCAGATTGCTCTCTTCCGAATGGACACTTCAAATATTCCCCATCCCTACATGTATCATCTTCTTCCTTCCTAAACTGATCCATCAGCATTTTATTATTAAGCAAATTTTCAAAATGGCTATCTTTACCTATTGTATTCAAATCCACTACTTTATTCAACAACACGTTCTTTATTTCTTCCTTGCTCATGAATTTTTTTACTTTTTTTTCCTTCACATTTTTCACTATCTCAGAAATTTCATTACTTTCCATACTGAGGGGTTTTTCTTCTTCTACTACTACCATATCACTACTGGGGTGTTTCGTTTCTCTGGGATAATCCTCCTCGGATGAGTAAGACATTTTACTCAATTTTGTTTTTTCTGCGTTCTTCTCAATCGATGAAAAAATTAACACGTTTTGTGATTCATCAAGAAACTTTGAATATTTGCTCAATCTGTTTAATATTCTATCATCTGTAGAATTATTTTGCCTAATCTGTTCGGTTTCATTGCTTATCTTGTCATCATGAATGATTATACATTCATTTCTATCATCCCTTGTGTTTTCAACATTGTTGATTAGGATGTGGTTCTCGCTTAGTTCGCACTCCTCCTTACTTGCTTCTCCATTCTCCAAACTTGTTCTCACGATGTCTACACCAGATGTAGTACACCTCTCACGAGAATGCAACCAATTTGTCCCTTTTTCCTTTCGAGCCATCATGGGAACATCACCACTACCACTGCTGCATCTACCACTGCTACTTCTACCACTGCTGCATCTACCACTGCTACTTCTACCACTGCTACTTCTACCTCTGCTACTTCTACCACTTCTACTTCTACCACTGCTACTACTCCCATTTATGCTCCTTTGCATTTTTCCTTTCACCGCCCCCACATCGCTGCTGATCAGATCAATCACATGATTTTCTTTCCCCTCTGTTTGATGTTCTTCGACACCTGCCTTTTCTTCAATGCTACAATTTTCAAAATCATCATCGCTGCTTCCGTGCTTGCTACTTGGGCTTCTACTACGGCCGCTACTAAGGCAGCTTCCCCTTGTGTGCAATCCAGAGACGTAATTCTTCCCGGGATGGGCAGCACGCACCTCTCCATTTATTCCTCTTACAGATGTAGCAACCATTTTTTCCGTGTCGTCCATTTTCTTCATCTCTTCAACTAGCCCCCTCTCTTGAGCTCCATTAAGGAGATCTTGTCCAAAAATTCGCTCATCATCAAGCAAGAGGAGGTTTTGCTTAAACTCATTTTCCATTTTGATTCGTTCCTTCTCCTCAACCGTTTGTCCATTACAGAAGTTTCCCTTTTTATACCGATTTAAATTCCTCATTTGGGCATCCAAAGTCTCTTCTTTTTTATAAGCCTCTACAGTGATATGTTTATCGTGAACCAGGTTTGGGGTTGTATTTTTCTCGTCCTGTTCCTCCTCCTTAATATACAACTCTTGATACTGTTTTTCTTGGTTTTCAAAATAGCAATTGTTAAGAATATCATTTATGTATTTTTTTTTTTTATTTTTTATTTTTTTTTTTTCCCTACTAACGTTGTTATAATCTCGAGCATTAAGACTGTCAAAATGTTTTGACAATTCTTTGTTAATGATTAACTCTCCTTCCACATTTTGAATATTTTCAGCCATTTTAATTTTTAATTTTTCAATTTCAAAATCAGTTTTGATCATTCTCACGTAAGTTTCTAACTGAACTTGAGAAAATATATCCATATCATCCTTTGCCTTTATAGCTTTTATTCTGTTGTCTGTATACCATTCTTCCTTTATATCTTGCAAAATTTGGTACTGTAATTTTACTGGAAGCTTTTCAAACACATCTTTGTTAATTTCTTTAAAAAGGGGAATTTTTATTTCCTCATTGTTTACATAATACACTTTGTATTCGTCTTTTCCTTCTAGGAATAAATTAGAATTATCCAAACTTGTCGGTAGCTCTAAAATGTTTATCTCTTTTTTGTTTTCATCTTTCTCTGGTGTCTTATCATTCGTGTTAATTAGGTATCTCTCATCACCACACACCGCTTCCTCTCCATCACGCCCTGCTTCCTCTCCACCATGACACTGTTTCTTCTCTACACTTTGCTCATTCCCACTTTTGAACCATGGAGAATCGTCACAAGATGATTCTACATATGTTGCATCATCATCTACCACGTTTACCCCTCTCTTTCTAACATGCCCATTTCTAACTGAGTCACCATTTTTAGGTGTATCTGCCTCTCCATTAATCGACCTATCATTAGTGATATCTCTATATTGCTCCACAACACTATTGGCAAAAACTTCAGACTTCGAAAAAGAATCAATTGCTTCTTTCCCTGATGATGTAAAACCATTCTCAAACCCAGAAGCACTATTACTAACACTTTTTGAAAATGTTTTCTCATTTTGCAAAAATGACACATTTAGCGCTTCTTCAATGTTCTTGCTACTTTTCTCCTTGGCCTCTTTCAACTTTTGTGTGAATTCCATAATATCTGTATTATAATTGCTTATGTCGATAATGTCAACTGGTCTCCTCATACACAGAAATCCTTTGAAATTTTCTGGAATGCTTTCATAATATTTTTTTCTCGCAATGTGTTTTTTCCTCACAATTGCTTCGTCTATTTCGTTATCTAAGTTATTTATCTCGCCACTTCGAGGGAAAAAAAACTCTTCTTCGACCACATCTCCACTCATTTCTTCATCCCCCGCTTTGTCCATTTCTTCACCCACCGCTCTGCCAATTTCTCCAACCACTTCCTCATCCCCTGTAAGAACATCCAAATCGGCTATCATGAGAACTTGATCCTGTAATTTTCTCAAATCATCGTCATTGCAAATATTCAAAACATCCTTAACGCTTACAATGACACTTCCAACCTGCTCAACCATGCTACTAAGAGAGGCATCATTTTCTTTAATACAATCATATATTTCGATCATCTTGCATTTGAGAGTGTGATCTTCACTTATAGATTTCACGTTCTTTTGGAGGGGTGAAGATATTAATGAGGAGCTTTTACAAATAGAATTTTCTTCATTCTGTTTTTTCTGACTAGGCACGTTTTTATTCTTACTTTTCAAAGATTTTAATAAAGATTTTTGATAATAATTATAAATAAGTTTTTCTGCAGTTTTTTTAAATTTTTCTTCATGATTTCTTTTTTTTATGTTTCTCTGAAATATTGTTTTTCTTTTTAATTCTGGAGGATTTCCATCGAAAATAAAAATTGGTCTTATATTATAATAAAGTAATTTACATATACGAAGGAAAAAGAAATATAAATGTACTTTTTTCAAATTATCAGTTCTTATTTCATTATTCATATTCTCTGAAAAATCTAACCACAAATCATTAAATATGCTCATGTTATCCATTGAGTTGCTTCTCAACACTTTCAAATTATTTGCATATGTAAGTTCATACAACCATATACTAACATCAATTGCAATTCTTTTACCTGTAAAAATTTCAGGGTTAACCCTAACTCCAACTGGGGCCACGATAGACCACAACCCTTTAACCCCCATCTTTCCAAAAGTTTACACACACACATATATATATGTATGTATATGTATATATATCAGCTTTTTCAACAAATCTGATCCCTTTTCCTCTTTTTTTTGTGTGGAGATTTTTCCAAGATGCTACTCAATCTTCTCAACATCCTTTCACTAAAACAAATTACAGCTTTAAAATTTTCCTCCTGCCCTTCAAAAATATATCTTTATTAAAGAAGAATTCACATTTAAATCGCTACCCCTTCCATGTACAAAATTTATGAACAACTGTGTGTCAATTAAAACTGAGGTGAATGTCTACCCCATCCCCCTAGATAATTTTCTCCCTCTTCGTGGAGTATTTTTAAAAAAAAAAAAAGAGAGTGTGTCTGATTAAATTGGTTAATGTCACGGGGAAGTTCAGCTGAGTCTTAAAAAAATATATGCATATATATACATATATGTATATATATGTATATACACCAACAGGTGTCTCACGTGAAAAATAAAAATTGTTTCTTGTATTTTTTCTACAATTTTCCTCTCTTATGCAGAAGAAAGAAAAATAAATTTTGTCAAAAAATTCTCCGTATATACATGTTTTTTTTTTTTTTTTTTTTTTTTATACATGTATATATATATAACCTTTAAAAGTACCCACGTTTCATATTTACATACGATTCGATTCAGTAATTTAAAAATCTACCTTCTTACAAACTCATAATTTTTTAAAACGACAAAAAAATGAATAAGTTAAATAAAAGATTGAAATGATGGAGTTTTAAAAACAAAGGAAAAAGATTTAATAAGATCCAAATAATAAAATAAAAAATAAAAAATAAAAAAAAAACATCCCCGTGCATATTTATATTTTCATTTTCCCCTTTCCCGCTTTGTATTTTTTCTTTTCCTTTTTTTTTTTTTTTTTTTTTTTTTTTTTTCCTTCTTGTGCGCTTCGGCTCCTTTTATGCATTTTGTTTTTTTATTATTTTTCCTTTACTGCTCTTGTGCTAATTCCTAAGCCAGAAATAAGTTAAAAAATAAAATAGGATAGAATAGTACAGAATTGGATAGAATTGGATAGAGTAGAATAGAATAAATTTTTACCTGTTCACGTACACAGCAAAGGTTGTAAAATAAGTTTTTATTCCCCAAACTCCATTTTTTGAACGAAGTTTAAATGTATACAAACAAGCCTGAAAGATATATACATATGTGTATGCCCATTTCACGCGTGCTTTTTTCTTTCTTCACACAATTTTTTTATACCACACGTAGAAGATCTTACAAATGTAGTAACAATGATCATATTAACGAGAACGCATTTTTTATTGACGATTCAAACTCTCCTTTGAAAATTTTGTATGCTAATTGTTGTGGCTTCAGCATGAGAAGATTTGATATTTCATTTTTCAGAACACAGAACTGAAGTGTTCAAGTGTTACACACACATATATTTACATATAATGCGCTAATCCTATTTGTATGAACTGTAATTTTGTATAAATATGACATTTAAAGCACCTTTTGGTGTACCAACAAACATTTTTAAATATATGTAAATGTTGGTTTTAATTTTATCCTCTTAAGCCTCTAACCCCCGAACTTCATCTATTTTTCCCCTACTTTTTTTTTAAAAACATTTTTTTCAAGTTACATGCTACTCAAGTTATATGTCTTTCAAGTGATATGCCATTCAAGTGGCATGTTTTAGAAATAGTATATTTCACAATACAATGTATTTATTGGTGCCCATTTTTTTTTTTTTATTTTTAATTCTCAAATAGCTCCTTTTTTTTCCATTTTTTTTTTTCATTCATTGTGTGCATAGATTTTGCAATTTCTCGAACCCCGGTCAGGCAGATCCAACTAAAATGAGCAGCGACCTGTAGGTCTACCAATTTTTCGCCGCTCCGAAAAATGAATAAGAAGGAAATAAAAAATATATGTTTCATATATTTACAGATCATTTGCTTTTGTTCAGTTTTGATAAATTCTATGGGACATGGAAAATATAACACTAAAAAAGAAAATAGCTTGATAATTATAAAAAAAGAAACTCTGTGTGGGGAAAAAAAAACACATAAAACTAAATGTTATCCGTGGCTGTATTTAAAAAATTGCGAATTAAGAAATAGGGAAAGAAGAAACAAATACTTAAAGGACATCTTTAACCAATTAACTGGAAACCACTCTCCCGAAAATTCAAATATTGAATATTATAGCTTAACGCCAAAGCTGAAAAAAACTGTTCAGTTTTTTCAAGCACTCCCAAATAACCCGTACCGCAAGTAAATAAAAAACTGTGCAAAGCGTCCCCCAAAAAAAGGGGGGGGGGGAAGCAAAATCAAAAAAATAACATAAGAATAGATATATCTATATATACGTGTGTGTAATGGAGAAAAGGCTAGTTTTGAAATCCTGTTAAGGATATCCTTCCGCCCACTCCCATTTTCACCACTTTGCTCTGTCTAACGAAATTTCATTCGAAGCTACGTTAAGAAATTTGCTCTGAAAAAACACATGACAATTGTCACACATATCAGCATAACGTTGCGCTGTTTTGTTGTCTATCCTTTTATGTACTATACTGATGAAGCACGGATGTGTTTTGTGTTTATTGTCCTGCAATACACACTACAAAATAGTGCAGTATTTTTTCCTTACCTTAACAAAAAAAAAAAAAAAAAAAAAAATTTTCTTTTTTTTTTTTTTTTTTTATAGAAGTCAAGAAGTAATATTGCTAGGAAGGAAATGTCCACCTATGCCCGATGAATTAAAAAACCGACAAAACCAAGTATTGGTATAGGCATGAACTGAGAAAGCAACAAATTTTTGCATCGTCAATAGATTAATGTGTATATACATTTTTTTACATAACCACACATATATATAAATATACTTATAAATTCTCATGTTTACCTTTTTAGGGATGCCAATCAACTGTATATATACACCCCAAGGTTGAGTCCGGTGATGGGCAAAAAATTATTTCATGGTTAGGGGATTCAGGTGAAACATAATTTATTTTTCCAACGCGTACATATCTGTGCGGATGCGTTTCCGTCTATCATTTTCAGCTTAGATATGTTATTCTATGTTATGATGTATATGTATATGTATATGTTTTTTTTTTTTTTTTTTTTTATCTTTTTCCTTCGCTCCTTCCACGCCGGAAGCGCATACACATTGCTATTAATTTTTTTTTGCAAACATTTTCCTACCAACTCACAGATGGACTGCTGACCAAAGGAATTGTTTACATTTTAATCGATGGCTTGAGTGGCTATCCACCCGAAGAAATATTGCAGGTAAACCCAAATTTTATTACACTAACTGGGATTTCGGAATTTTTAACAATGAGTAGAATAAATGGTTATTTAAATATTATGAATAAAATAAAGGCATTTTCTACGGCCATTATGGAGAATAAGGAGTACTGAATTTTCTTTAGTTCTCGTTTTTTTTTTTTTTTTTTTTTCTCATTCCTTTTCGTTTCCTTTCCTTCGCTTTTTCTTTATTTCAAAAGCATGTTCAATATTTACTTACCCGTTTAAAAATGTACCATTTGTAAGTTTACACATTTATTAACTTTAAGGGAAAAATCCCCCAACGTTTCTCACAATTGAAAGCATTAAAATACCACACAACATGAGTGTGTATAAATTATGTACAAATAAATGATGTTATAACATATTCTCGTTTTCCCAAATGCTACTAAAAGCGAATTTCTCAAATTGAAAATAAAAATGAGAAAATATATATATATATATATATATATATATATATATATATATATATTACTTAAACCTCTTATTTTCACTCTTTTTTTAATCAACTTAATTTAATCAATTTAATTTTTTTTTTTTTTTTTTTTTAATTTAATATTTTGGCTAGTTGCCCTCCTCAATTCTTAAAGGGAAAAAACTTCGCAACAGAATGAATATTTGAAAAATTTCACAATAAACATAGGTACTTAAAACAACAGTGGAATTTTTTCAAATATTAAAATGGACATACAACAAAGAGGGTAAATTCAATTTAATGTTTCTTTTTTTTTTTTTTTTTTTTTTGAATAATGTGCTATGCATCTCTTCATTCAAATAAAATAAGGAACAAATGGAAAATCAAAAAAAAAAAAAAAAAAAAAAAAAAAAAAAAAAAAAAAAAAAAAAAAAAAAAAAAAATAAAAAAAAAAAAAAAAAAAAAAAAAAAAAAAAAAAAAAAAAAAAAAAAAAAAAAATTTTAAAAATGTGTGTTTTAAATTTTAATAAAAAAAAAAAAAAAAAAAAAAAAAAAAAAAGTATATATATATACATACACACATACGCTCATTTTTCATGTTTACACAGATGTAATATGCTCACATATATGTACATGTACACATTTGTTGTTTTTCAAAATAATACACTTTTGATGCCATATGAGGTGATGGAAAATGTACAAACCCTCTTTCATCAGAAATGTGAAAGACGCTGCAGGATGTTTTTTTCCCTCCCTTCCACATCTCTCCCCAAAAGAAAAAATCGTTGTAAAATCGTGAATATTGTCATTACACACAATTTGCTATTTTTAAATGAAACCCCAACAGGGGCTTAATGAAAGGGAAAAAAAAAAAAAAAAAAAAAACACTCACTGAAAGAAAGCGTTTCTCCACCGTTGCATATGTATATATATATGTACATATACACATATGCATAACAATATATATATATATATATATACGTATGTACTTTCACATATGTGTACACCTTTGTGTATATATTTATGACATACGCAACAGCATAATGCTGTAACCCCTTTTACTCATCAAGAACTATATTTCTGAAAAAGTCCAATTTATATTACAATTCCACAGGAATAGGACCCATTTGAACGTTAATGATTTGTTTTTCCTTATTTTATTATCTCTCGTCCATTTTCTGTGACTTTATGAATTTTTCAGGTTTATGTGTTTTTTTTTTTTTTTTTTTTTTTTTCTTTCTTTTCCTGTTTACGATTAACTTCTTCTATTATAACATTTTCTTATTGTGTCACTTTTCCCTCTCCACATTATTCATCTCTGTTTTCTGTATACAGTACATTTTTCTCTCAATTCGCTGTTTAAATATATTTATTTGTTTTAAATAACCTGCATGTTCATGTAAAATGTGACATGAAAATTTTGCAATTAAGACAACGCTCCTTCTCTCATACTTTTTTTTTTTTTTTTTTTTTTTTTATCACACTTCCTCTTCATAATTATGATTTAATTTATTTACGTAAAATTAAATGTCTACAACCCCATTTGAAATGTTCCAAATGTAGGTGTTTCATTTCCTTTTATCTTAACCCCTTTTTTTTTTTTTTTTTTTTTTGCATAATTAAATAGTTACCTCAAAATAATAATTAAGAATGACATAAATTTATACGTCCACCTAATACATGTGAGTTTTTTTTTTTTTTTTTCCCCCGTTTTGTTCGAAGCTGTAATTACTAAGAGGAGAAAATGCTCCACTCTATCCTTCCATATTTACAAATTCGAGATTATTTTTTTTTTTTTTCCTTTCCTTATTCTTTTATTTTTGGTTAATTTTTATTCTTTTGTTTATGTGCGCATTCATGTTATATACCTTCCAAACGTGCGATGAAACCGACATGAAGAGAGCAGTTTATTCTTCCCCAAAGATGAAACGAGAATTATAAGACAGGCTGGTGTAAGTAGACAAGCTTTTCACAAGGCAAGATTTTTATTTCGGTTTTTTTTTTCGGTTGTTTTTTTGGTTATTTGTTTGTTTATACTTTTTCGCTCATACTTTTTCGTTTACACTTTTTCATTCACATTTTTTCTTTAATATTTTTCCCTTTCCCTTTTTCTTTATTCCGTTTTTCCATTTCTTTTTTTTTGTATTTTGGTTCATCCCACGCATTTGAGGCACATACGACAAGGGGCAAAATATACGTATATATATACACATACATAGACATGTATATACACGCATGTGCTTTTTCCAATTTTTCAAAACCTGATGAGAGTGTCATTTTGCAAAACGTGCATCACATATACAATATTACAACAATTGAAGGAACTACTGTAAATTGGTCTTGTACAAGTCTCTCTCGCGAAGCTAATCCCATGCGTCGTTTTCCACGTTTTTGCAACTGAATAGACTAAATATATATATACAAATATATGCATATATATACAAATATATACAAACATATACATATATATATACATATAGAATGACTAAACATACGTATATGGAAGACAGAAAAATTACAAAACCGATTAATAGCATACTGGCTGAAGAAACAGAGAAGTTAGTAGATACCTACAGCTTTGAAAATGTGCTAACAAGTGAAACCCTAAAGAAATCAAATTCAAGTCAGAAAAAAGATGGAAAGAATGGCGTAGCATTCCACAAATCGCTAGCTGTAGTGAATGTAGCTGCAGGGTTAGATGGATGTGATGATCAATTATTACCAGCAAGTTTCAGAGCCTTAGAAGCTGATTTAAATTTACACCCATCTTTATTAGGGTATATTACATTAGCACAGACGTTAATGTTAAGCTTGTTTAGTCCAATATGGGGATTTCTATCAGATAAATATTCAAGAAAATGGATGTTAGTATTTGGCACAGCTTTATGGGGAGTAGCAACTATTTTACTAGCCAATATAAATGACTTTGCACATATAATATTTTTTAGAGCAATAAATGGATTAGCATTAGGTAGTATTGGACCTATATCTCAAAGTATTTTAGCAGATGCAGCAAAAAATGAATCCCTTGGATTATCATTTGGTTTAGTACAATTATCATCCAGTGTTGGAAGATTAATAGGAGGAGTAGTAACCACAACAGTGGCACTAAAATATTTTGGTGGAATTAGAGGATGGAGATTATGTTTTATGATTGTTGGTATATTGAGTATCATACTAAGTATCGTAGTAGCATTATTTGTAGATGATGCACCTAGACAGGTTCGAAAAAAGAAGAAGATGGAATATCTAGATGGGGATGGCATAGATAGAGGATCGAATAATGTTAGAATAGTGACTCAATATACTCAATCGTATATGTTATATCAGAATATTGTAGAATTGCTGAGAGACAGTTTATCAAAAAAAAGTATAATTATTATTCTTATGGAAGGATTCACAGGAACTATACCATGGCTAGCTCTAAGTTTCAACACCATGTTTTTTCAATATTGTGGTTTAAGTGATTTACAAGCAGCTATAATAACTGGATTCTTACTTATCGGTTCAGCATTAGGTGGAGTCATAGGTGGTCATTTTGGAGATATAATGCATGATATATCAAATAAACATGGAAGACCATTTCTCGGTCAGCTAGCTATGTTTGGAAGAGTCCCACTTGTAATATTAACATATCTTGTAATACCACAAAAAAAAGAAAGTTTTGAATTCTTTGCCTTATCTTGTTTTTTCCTTGGTCTATCATCCATCGCTGGTGTAGCAGTAAATAGACCAATAGTATCAGACATAATCAGACCAGATTATAGAGGAACCGTTTTTTCATTAACCATAGCAATTGAAGGAGTAGGTGCATCTCTCATTGGTGCACCATTGTTTGGTTATTTAGCTGAAAAGGTTTTTAATTATCAAAATAATAATTTACTAATTTCAGAAATGCCGGAAGAATTGAGAAGGAATAATGCTGAAGCTCTTTCCAAAACTTTACTCTACCTGACCTTGGTTCCATGGTTATTATCTTTTGTTTTCTACAGCTTGTTGCATTTTACTTATGGAAAGGAGTTTCAGAAGATGAACGAAATAATTGAGAGAGAATACAAATATGATGATGAAGATGAGGAAACCATTGCGGAAAATGTAATCGCACACACTATGTGAATAAGATCAGAAAAAAGTGTGAAAAGCAAAAAAAAAAAAAAAAAAAAAAAAAAAAAAAAAAAAATTAAAAAATTAACCTCTTTGATTAATGAACTTTAATAGAGAGGAAGTGCACTATAACACGTATATACATGAACGAACATACAAAACTATCACCTTCACCCATGATGAACGAAATAATAAATATGAATTCCTGCAATACCAGATGTCAGTTGTGAATGTGTGTGTTGTTGGTCCCTGTCAAGCCGGTACCAAACTGTTCTTATCCAATTATTATTATAACACTACCAAGAGGACGATTGAAGTTTTTTATTTTATTTTATTTTTTTTTTTTTCTGTAATATGCACTTATATGTTGCATACTCCACAAGTGGTCCCTTTAATGTCTCCACGAGTTGAAACCTTACCCAACTGTTTTGTGCCTCTTTTATTTTTTTTTTTTTTTTTTTTTTCATTATTTTATTTTATTTTATTATTATTTTTTTCATTATTCTGCTTTATTTTATTATTATTTTTTTCATTATTTTGCTTTATTTTATTATATTTTTTTTCATTATTTTGCTTTATTTTATTATATTTTTTTTCCATTTTTTAATTTCTCTTTTTTTTTTTTTTTTTTGTTACTACCCACTTTAAGCCTCATCCTATACGATGCCATTACACATCCGCACATCGGAACCTTGTTAATTATTTCAATCTTGCAATATCCCCCAGTCCTGATTTTTTTTTTTTTTTTTTTTTTTTTACCCAATTTTTCATCACTCATTAAGTCCTTAACCTTTATTTTTTTTCCTATTTTTTTCTATTCCTTTCTTTATCTTATGACATTTTATGAACATTTGTGACATACCTGCACATGTGTGTTACACAATTCATGCGCGGGGAAAAGGGAGTAATTTCCATACACCCCGTGCTTTTTTTTTTCCTCCACGGTATTATATGAACTTGTTTAATTTTTATTTTATTTTTTTGAAAAGTTTTTATAATTCTGTTTTTTTAAGGCAGACACAAGGTGGATTAGCCATCGTTATACACAACTCCCCTAACGTGCATTTTTTATCTTTGCATGTACACATTTTCCTTCTCCTCATGTAATGACAACTCTCGTGTGATATGCATACACGTGTGTAATAAGAAGTGTCATATACGCTTATTTGCTTACATCAAATGATATTAAATTAAACCTTTTTTATTTTTATTTTGTTTTGTTTTTTTTCTGGGAAAGGTGATATTTTAAATGGGTCTCTCTCCATCTCCAAGGTGCGTATCCACAGTGGTAGGAAAAGCACTTACCAAGGGTCTGAGGATGTGCCATCTTACTTGGTATATATAACATAAAGCCGAATAGTAATCTAGTTTAAAATAAGCTACTAACCATTTCACAATTCTAATGTAGGTGATATTGTTATAGGGAAAATATATTTACTGGTTTCAAAATATGTTCTAAAAATTATTTTACATGGGAGAGATGGAGAGGTGGATGTTGGGAAAGGGCACTTCCACACGAGCAACATTGTATATTGGAAGAAGATGAAATGGCATGTTCTTAGAAAAAAAAAAAAAAAAAAAAAAAAAATTTAACAGTTTTTTTAAAAGGTTAAACTTTTCGTCTTAACATTTTCTCCAGCATTTTTGAAAAGCGTATATACATTTTAGATGGTCGCATAGGATAAGAAATGTTAGGGCCCTTTAAACTATACGTTTCGCCTGAACTGGTGAGAGTATCTATCCCAAGAAGTAGTAGAATATATTATAATTTCAAAATCAAGGAATGGTTGAATTTTTTTTTTTCTCCATTGTGTATATATAACCACGTTCATACATAATTACACGAATGTAGAGATGCTATACGCCGCCTTTTTTTTTTTTTTTTTTTTTTTTTTTTGTTAACAAAAAAAACATGAAATTATTAGTGGGTAATAAATAAGAATGAATTAAAAAATTTCTGAAATTTCTTATCACAATTCCGGTAGAAGAATTGTTATAAAATAACATCTGTAAATCATGACACCCCAAATTCTGTAAGAAAACATAGCTCTTCTGTAGGGATCTACTTCTATCCATACTATAACGGGTACTCTTTACCCAGACTTCAAATATAAAAAAAAATCGCACAATTTACATAATGATACCTATGTGTGACCTCCATGGGTTAAACCTATTTGTGGAGGATGACCTAGGGTCCTTTTTTGACAGATTTGAAAAGGTTAGAAAATGGAGAAAAAAAAACAGAAAAAATTTAACGCTAGAGTTTAAGTTAAGAAAAGAAAAAAAAAAAAAAAAAAAAAAACTGGTACTTATATTAAGGTTTTATATATGTGCAGAATGTTTTGTGATTTATATTATAACTTATATTATGTCTTATATTAGATATATGTATTGTAATGAATGGTTCTTAAGTGAGGAGGGGGGAATCTTATATGCAATCTACACACGTACAAGTATTTGTAATTTATTTTTTTTTTTTTTTATAAACGAATATAGATCAACCCATAATGCCCTTCAAATTTTAAAATTTTGTAGAAACGGAGAGATACTCATAATTATGTTATCCTCACAGACTACACCACTTTTTCAAATGAACAACCAAGATTTTTAACCATTTTGAAATTTTTTTTACATGACCAGATATCACATTCAAATAAAATTGTGCCATCTAGATGTTATTATTCATCCGTTCAGGATGATCTAAAAAAATGCAATTTTTCAGATAATCAGATTTTTAGCATAAATGAGAAAAAATGGACACACCCAATAATCCCAGACTGTGGTGACCATGAGAACCATGTCAAGAAGAAGTGTCATTGTTCCTTTAACGAAAAATATGTTTTTAAAAATGAGAAAAACAATTCTGAATTAGACAGGAAAACACAAAATATAGATAAAATTACGAACAGAGGAAAACATGAAAATATTCTTAGAAAATACAAAAAGTGGAATCACTGCATTGGAGAAAACGGAACAGAAAGTACTGTTAGCGGTTCTGAAAGCAACTTAACCAACTTAGTCAACTTCAACAAATTCGACAAATTAGAAACCAGTGTAAGTAATCCCACAAGAGACATAACTAAGGACATGGACGAGGCGCAAATAGTTGTCGAAAAGTATGAACAAATCATCCAAGACATAAGTACCAAAGATGACCACCTTTTTGTATACAAAATTAATAACACCATAGTTATCATTTCGAATGTAAACAAATATCGTAACAAATTTGAATTCACACAACAATTAAATGAAATGTTTTACGACTATAGAATTTTGAGAAATACAGAATTAATTTGTTTTTCCAATGAACACATGATAGTAGACTCCTTATATCACCTGTGTCCGATTCTTTGTAAAGGTATGCCTCACAAGGCCCTGAATATATTAGAATATAGATCCTTCGAATTATTGCTCATGTGCATTTGGTTTACAAGTACTATAACATCTCAATAGTGATATGGTAGACATGCACACCTATGGAGAGATGGGTGCAAGAAGGAAGCAATATGAATGCTTGAACAACTGAAACCATCTCAGAATATTTTACATGATAGGGAAAAAAAAAAAAAAAAAAAAGTACTTTCACATGAACATGATTAAATGTATAAAAAAAAAAAAAAAAAAAATTCATTTCTTTACCCTTCACAACTTTCTCCTACCTTTTTTTGTAGATTCTGTGGTGAATATCTTTCCTCTTAATAAACACATTGTTATTGGAATTCTGAAAAACTTCGTATGTTCTTTGCTTAGCTCATCTAAAGGTAAGGTAAAAAAAAAAAAAGTGACACATGTGAAATGAAACGTTACAATCGATTCTAATCATATCGAATTAAAGGAACAAACAGAAACCATAAATCTGTTTTTACAAATCGTGATATCGACTTCTAAATCGGTCGAAACGATATCTGCATCGATTATCCTTTAATTTTCTTTTCTTTTCTTTTCTTTCTTTTTTTTTTTTTTTTTAAAATAAAAGAAGATCACCCCTTTGACAACATGCAAGCGATTCACATCCACACTAACCTTTTGAGTGCACTAAAAGAAAAAGAATGGAAATGCTTATTTACACATACGTTAAAGATAGCTATTCTTAATGACTCGAAATTGTTCTGGAAAATAAAAAAAAATGATTTGTTCCTTTTCAAGAAAAAAGCAAAATATTTTCTTAACAAATTTTTATTGAATAGTCAAAATGTAAGAAAAAGAGGAAAAGGAAACAAAAAAGTTATGAACATGTTCAGGTTTGGAAATACCATTGGAAATGCCATAAAAAAGGTAAGGGGAAATGTTCTTAATGGTACGATCAATTTGGAACAAGAGGAGGAAGAAGAAGAAGAAGAGGATTATGTCACGTATGGCATTTACTACGAACTAAAGATTCTTTACGAATTAAATGCAGTAGACATGACCGTGCTCATAGATGTGGAAGAAATAATGAAGAAATATAAATTAAAATATAAATTAGAAACAAATTTTTTAAATTATTATGCATATGATATAATTCACCAACTCAGCAGAGAACACAAGTCGTATACAAGGGAAATTGAGTTAGTTTATTTATTAGACATAAGTCAATTACACCGCGATGTAATCATTAATGCACCCATAAGTGTCGTGTACAAAGTTCTTTGTCCGGTCATATCCATGTTCCCTATTAACCGTCTATCAGCAGTAACTGTGGGTTTAACACAGGATTCAGAACCTATTGAAAAACACGAAACATTCCAACAAATAGAACCCGTTGCATCTATCACGACTTCGCTACTAGGAAGAGCCAAGAAAAACAATTTTCATGAACAATTCGTTCATCTAGAACAGATAGGTAACAAATCTGAAACCATTAGAGTGATATATGTGAGTTGTATGAGCAGAGAGAACATCTGTATCAAGAATGTAAACACATGCCTCGACGTCATGGTTTTTATAAAAATATTAAGGGATCTAAAATTTGACATATTGTTGAGGAAATATCAGAAACACACAACATGCACAAATGAAAATTCAGGAAGGAAAAACTTGCAAAACATATTACTTGTAAGAGGAAATATACAAAAGAATATTTTTTTATTTAAAAATTTCGTTTATCAGAAAAAACTTGTTCTCAATATATACAACTGTGGCACCGTGTGTCGTTTCATACTTCCACTTTTATGCTTATACATTTGTAAACAAAATTTGAAAGCAAAAGAAAGAAAAAAGAAGGTTCTAAAATATATAATTTTGAAAGGAAACAAACAAATGGAATCAGTAAGAATTATAAGCCCATTAGTAAAAGTCATACATGACACTTTTCCATTCATAAAAATAAAATATTTAAAAAAAATAAACTACCTCCCTATATGTATTACTGTGAAAAAAGAAATCAACCGGAAAATGAAACTTTTTTGTTGTAAAAATGTGAATATACAGAATTACCATTCTAGTCAGTTCGTCTCATCGATGCTCCTTGTGTCTATTTTTTCTGACACAGATACGTGTATTCGTTTGTTGTTCAAGAGGATGAGACCTGTCTGGGGTAGAAAAAGACAGCATGTCACAGCAGGTACAAGCATGAAAGGCAAAACAGATGTCCCACTTGGTAACACATCTGATGAAAAAGTGGTGGGAAATCCTACCCCTTGTGTCAGGGTCAATGTACGAAAATATTTGTACCTGAAAAATGTCAAAAAAGAGAAGAAATGGTGCTACAAGCACAGAATGCAGATACACAAAATAAAGATGCACAAAATAAAGATGCACAAAATAAAGATGCACAAAATACAGATTCACAAAATACAGATGCATAGAATACAGATGCATAGAATACAGATTCACAGAATGCAGATGCACAAAAGTGAACCTTTTCTTAAGTATGCCAAGTGGGACAGTGCACATATAACACCAGGTAGAACACGTCACTCATGCACCCTCACTGCACCTGTCAAGAAGTACATCCAGAGAAAAATATGTTCAAATTGTTCACCTCCCTCACTTGGAACAGGTGACTTGGAAAATGATTCAACTCTGAGACACAAAACAAAGGGTAGAAACTATATTCAGCATTTCAGCACGACTTCAAAATCGTTCATAGATTTGACAATACATATAATGAAATTATGGGGTGTGCAGGTCCAAATGAAAAACATGGATTATTTTATTAAAAAGAGGAAAAAATATCCCTACTATGAGAGAAGGAAGGATACACATTCTGTACTTCAAAAAAAAAGTATCATAAGGAAAGTGAAGCGGTTCATGTGTTCGATGAGCTATTCAGTTGTATATACTAATATTCGCTTTATCAAAAAGAAATTGCACATCTGGTTTTCTTCCGGCAGTTCTAGTGATATTATCATTGGAACTTGTTCTCTTTACAGTAACATGGATGGAGATGAAGATATTGATAAATCTAGTCGCTTTCCTACTAAAAGGGGTTCAAAGAAAGCCTGTCGTAGATGTGATAATAAAGAGAATGAGATAAGTAATAACCTAGTGAACCCAAGTGAAAAGATAAAAATGGGAAAAGAAACAAACCGGTACACGAACAGATATGTAGAACAAGTTAAATGTTGTCATAGCGGATGGAGGAGAAGCAAAAGTAGTGGCATTGTAAACCATGAGAAGTTATACAAGGTAGAAAGCGACCTAGGTCTGATCTTTTATTTTATCATTGGATGTCTTATAAAAGGAGTAAATTGCAGCATTGACTTGAGCTTACAGTTAAAGGGTGTAGAATTGTACACAAGGAGATGGAGGTCAAATCTGAAAGAGCTAGCCAAGGGTAAGAAGAACATTTCTCCAGATGTAACAAACCAAAGAAGTATACTTAATTGCAGTAAACAAACCTGGAGATATCGAAAAATCAAAGATGTGAAATTCCAGAATCACATACCAAATTATTCACTCCTCAACATTTTACTGCTCCTAGGGGTGGACATATACATAAAAGGAACAAGCAGAAAGAGCAAAAAATTATACTTTTTTTTCAAAAAAAAAATGAACATTAGAAAGATATGGATTAAAAGACTTCTCCGATTGGCAACTTCTAAACGTATAAGAAATTTTAATCAAAGGAATGGAAGTGAAGGATGCATAAGAGGAAGAGACCTTGTGCATGTCAAATACAAAGTATTTGAAAAGGTGCACATAAAACTGAAGCTTTTTTCAGGTAAAATATTCCTGGAAATAGTAATAGACGCTGAAAATTTTTCAGATGATTTTTTTTCCTTGAGTATATTATTTTGCTACTATGTATTTACACATCCAAATGAAAACATTTTGTTTAAAATCAAAAATATACGCAACCAGAATATAAAGGAGTCCATACGAATATATCATTCTGTCACTATCCTTAAGTTATTTTTTCAAAACACTCTTTGTATTCTCTGTAATGAGAACATTGTGTATATAAAAAAAATGAAACATCCAATACAAAATTGTCTTTTCCGTCAAAATAGGATCAACAAAAAGGAAAAAAAAAAAATTTCCACAATGGAAGTATCAATACAAAGACAGGAGTGTAACAACACAAATTGTCGAGGGAGAAAAGAAATGCAACCATTCAACAACTCCCAATATGTAATCAACAATAAACAGGAGTTATACATCTATGTAGACACTCAAAAGGATCACAGAATAATTTTTATGATTACAGTTTTGTCGCTTATTTGGAAAAATATCATAATTGATAATTGTTCCGAAATTGAAAAGAGCTGTCCACGCTTTTTTGAATATGCAAATAGGTACCTAGGAATAAAAATAAACTACACAACTTCTGAAGAAATAAACTTTTGCAAATTCACAAAAATTTATAAATACAGATTGACCAATGATAGAAATGATGAATCTTCTTCTGATCGTCTTTCCCCTTCTGTAAACTCCATAACATGCAGCAGCTCCTCAGGAAGTAATAACTGCCATTTTAAAAATAAATATAAAAAACCTTTACAAAATTGGGATCATAACAATGACACCCAAAGTTACAAAGGAGGGAAAAAATATGTCACTATAAAAATAAAAGAGAAAAAAAATGAGGAAAAATTACACAAAATGGAGTGTCTTCTACTACACCCTACTGTAAATGCAGAAAAATGTGATAAAAACAGTTTTTTAAAATATGACCATATGAAAAATTATGTACTGATCGAAAACGGGTATAAAAATTCACACAACCACTTTGACAGAAGATATGTTCATCAGGGGGAAGATGATAACCTTGGTCAGTATATTGAAAAAAGCACTTTATCCAAAATTAAGAAAAATATTAAAGATAATAAGGAAGAGAAAGTGAAAAAATCAAATAAAACTGATTTGCACATGTGTAACACATGTGGTCATAGAGACCATTTAACGAAAGTTATTTCTACTTCTACAATGCAGGAACATAACTGCCTAATGAACAAAAAAAGAGAAAAATCGAAGTTAGTACTTTATAATGAAATTTCATTCATTATAAAAAACAAATATACATCTAAAAAACATGAAAATGGGACTTTTGGCAAAGGGAGTGTATACCTACCATATGACTCTAACTATTTGAGAAAATACAAATATGAGGACATACTAAAAGGAGATGATGTAAATGTTTTTTACTTAATTAACCAATTAAATAATCTCAATATAAACATAATATGTGGCATTAGAAATGTAGGGAAAAGCTACCTGAGCAGGAAGATAAGACAAAACGACACTCTTGTTATAGACATAGATGAACACATTCTCAATGGACCAATAAGCTTTGACCATCTAACAATTGATGATTTTAGATATTATGAGTATATCACTTTGGTTTCAACACTTTATCTAGCATATTGTGTTTTACTGGGAGTTGGAGGATGGGAAAATACTTACAATGGAGGAGCTATCAGCGAGGACTGTGGAGAGAAGGAAAAATGCAAAAGTAGATTCATCGAAGAAAAGAAAAAGAGCCTGTTGAATATTTATACCGGTTTCTTTAAACTAATGGAGAGCACGAAAAATGATTCACAAGCCAACTTTGACAGTAATAGTATCTTTTTTAGTCTATGTGATAAAGATATCATATTTTACAACAAAAAAATAAATAACCTGTACCATTTGCTAATTAAAAATTTTAATCAAAGAAAAGAAGTAATAAACACCCAAAGTGTAACAATCGTTTTGGGTGGAGGAATAATCGAATTTCAGAAATCAAGAGAGGTATTGAAAAAATTAAAAAATGTAATACTACTTAAAAGAAGCAAAAGCGAAATTTACCATATATGTATGAATGACAAAATAAAACCACCTTTAAGTGGAAACCTAGAAGAAATAATCAACAGAAGAACCGTGTTATTTGAAAAATTGAACGCTTTTCATTTTTATATACCTCCTGAAAATGTTATTAATACACATATAAAAAATTTAAAAAAATCAAGAAATGAATTAATTGTTAGTAGCTTCTTAAACTTTTTTAATTACAATTTTTTTCTGAAACCAAAAGTTCTCCAAACATACAACAAAGGGATGGGGGGAGGAGGAAGAGCTATATTATCCATTCGTCTAACCAGTTTTTTGTCTTTCAATTATGAGTTGTTGAATTGCGTATACGATATAGTAGAAGTTATCATCGATTCTTGGTATAACTACACGAATAGAGATCATGAACAGAATGATTATTACCCTGATTTATTTGAACTAGCCATATTTATCATCCGATCGTATACAGATAAACCTATTGTTGCTAAGTTCCCCAAATGGGTTTTGTTCTCCAATTTTTATAAGATCCAAACTGATGTACCAGTTGAAGACCACAAAAAAAATATCCCAAAAAATATTTCCTATAAATACTTATTAAGAAGATTCTACAAATACAAAATTAACATCTTCGACATGGACGTTAGTTTTTTTAAAAAAGGAAAATATTTCTTATCATGTAAAAAGGAAAATATTTTTTTAATTATCTCAAGGCATATGGAAAAGGTACACAAAAGAAGTATTTCCAACAATTTAACTAAACTAGACAGATTATTACCTGATTTAATAATATTAAAATTTGCTCATGCAAATAGGGAGGATCGCGAGATACTTCACTTGGTGATAACTGATTATTATGAAAATAAAGTTGGAAATCGAAGTATCATCCCTCTCATTAAAAGTACAGACGAAACCAAACGTTATGAAATATCGTCTTACAATTTGGAACAGAACAGTTCGTTTGTTTTTCTCTGCAATAAAATTGCACACTTGGGGTATCGACAACAAACCGTTTTAAATTTCCAGAACAAGGAGAGAGAACACAACCATCCCCCGCATACCAATTATATGCATAGTTTCTATTACCAAAAAATTAAGAGCATCATAACGGTATCCCCGATAAGTGCTAGCAGTAAATTTTGACTTCTTCAAAAGGCCACGTCTTGGGGGGGGGGTGCATTTTAAAAAGCATCTTATCATGGGAAACGTTAAAAATGTACACTTGGGAGAATATCATTTGTATCTCCACCCATTTGACGTGATATGTACTTATTCAAGAAAAGCCCATCCATTACATGAAAAGGAGAAAAAAAAAAAAAAAAAAAAAAAAAAAAAAAAAGTGTTCATCTTCTTACAAATTGGGGGTACCCCCTTAAATAAGCACTACGATTTTATTATACTACCAGCAGAATTTACAAGACCGATTGAATAGCCCTTTCCGATATTTTTATTTCACCTGCACAGTCAGTTAATATGTTCGTGTAAAATGTTTGTCATATATGTTTTTTTTTTTTTTTTTTTTTTTTTTTTGGCTAGCTAGGTAGCTATACCAGTCCTCTCCAACTGCACTATAGCATTCGTTACAAAATAGCCACTTACAGATTTCATAAAAATGTTAATGTCTGAAAAGAAAAAGTTGCAACAAACAAAATCTCTTCTGTTTGCCGAATTGATCCATGATAAAACCCTTTTGTGATATTCAGATAGCTAGGACAAAAAAAAAAAAAAAAAAAAAAAAAAAATTATAGAACAATGCTGAATTTTTATATTTATTCATAGATTAAAAATGGGAGAAGCAGGGTTTGGAAAAGTCATATAAAAGGCGTAAGGACAGAAAGGATTATCCCCTAGTATGTACGTAAACAATGGGTGTGTGTTCACGTGGATGGATAATGGGTAATTAAGGGATCAAGTGCAGACGTGCACATATAATTCCCATATATACCATATACATACATGAGCTGCGGGTTCATGTAGATTCCCATAAACACATGTGCAGGTACGAGCATACATATCCATACACATACATGTGATACACACGTTTTCACCTCATGAAGGCACATTAAAAATGGAACTTTTTAAAAACAAAAAAAGGCAAGTACACAATGTATAAATAATAATAAACTGTAATGAACGGCATACTCAAAAAAAAAAAAAATGAACAACAATCTTGGACATTTTCATATGTCCTTTTATTTGTTTCTTTTTAATAAGTAAAAAATTCAAAAAGGTAAATGTTTGGGTAAATAAAAAAAAAAAAAAAAAACAGGCATAAGTCATATGCACTAACAAAGTTGCGCATATTGACCAAAGAATGGTCATTAAAAGTTTCTTCATCTTTTCTTCTTCTTCTTCTTCTTCTTCTTCTTATTATTATTATTATTATTTTATTACTCTTCTTTCTCTTCTTCTTTTCACATCCTCATTTTGCATAAGACATGTATGGCACGCATTCCTAATCCGTTTTCCCACCCAGCGTCTGTCTTCCTCTTAGAAGTTTTGGACACTTTATGTCACAAAGACTTGTACAATCCATCAAGGGGATTAAGGAAAAAATAAAACGCCGGAAGGAACATGTGCATACATAACATATCATGGTGGTAAATAGTATATCATCTGGAAACTGTGCATCATATAGTCTTTTTCGTAATAGGGTATATATATATATATATAATATTAAGTTATATTATATCATTATCATGGATCATATGGGAGGAGATCCATAAGATGAGTGTGGGGGGAGGGGGGTAGAGAGTTCTCCCACCCTCCCCTCCCCTCCCTTTTCCTATTCTGTATTCATTTTCTCAAAAACAAATGGAAAATTTCGCTATAATTCAATTCATTAAAGTTGGCAAAAATATTGGAGAGGTATAATTTATCTAGCCCAATTTTTTCAAAGGAATCATGATTTTGTTTCAAAGAATTAAATAAAACCCCGAAAAAATTGTTGCTACTTTTTTCATCGCTATCTCGTTTCTTCCCCAGACTAGTTTCATCATTATTACTATTAGGATTGGAATAAACTTCTTCGCAACCTAACAGTAAAGACTTGTTAATATTTAATACATTTTCATCATTGTGAAAAATAGAAAAATCTGGGGAATTCTTTTTCGCATATTTATTTAGAATTTTTAAACTTTTTTTGAAAATATTCTTACAATCGTATATAATAAATTCTTTAAATACATTCACTAAATTATTTATATCATTGGATTGGTAATAAATACCTTTCCCTGTAATTATTTCAAACAAGGAATTGAAAATTTTAATATAAAACTTAAGATCTGTTTCTTTTTCTATACATTTGATATGAAACCAGAAATACATACCAAAATCTTTTAATTTCCACTTTGTTAGCACTATTCCAATTGCTTTAATTGTGTTGAGTAAAAATGTTTTAATTTCATAATTTGTTGATATCACTTTTTTTTTATTGCTGTTCATAATTTTGTTTGTTTCTTTTATTCTTTCAAAAAGTACCTTTTTTTCTTTACCCAACATTTCAAATGGTTTATGCCTACTATTCCTCCTAAAGGATGAACAACAGGATGTTCTCATATCCCTTTTATTTCTGTTTTCAAGATTTGACATCCAACTATTCATATATTTATAATTAATTAAATTTCTTCTTTGGACAATATTTTTTAACATTTTGCAATGTTCTTCATTTATCTTTTTATTATATGGCCCAATTCCACCTCTTTCACCCCTTGATAACTCTTTCAGGATTGGCATTCCACCTCTTCCCATTCTGCTATTGATGCTTTTATTGCTATCCTTTATATTATTTATCATTCCTCCTTTGCATGTAAAGGATGGAAATTCCCTGCTTCTGCTGTTTCTGCTGTTTCTGCTGTTTCTGTTATTTCTGTTGTTTCTGCTGCTTCTGTTGCTTCTGCTGTTTCCCCTGCTTGTACATATGCTCGTGTAACTCCCACTAAGATATGGAATCATATTTCCATTTATGTTCCCACCATTGTTTTCAATTTTCATATCGAAACGAGTAGACTCCAAATTCGGCACAACTGTGTGGTTATTGCTTCCTCCTTGTGTTGATCGACTAAAATCTCTATCTGGAGAGATAGCCATCATCATATTACCATTTCTATTTATTCTATTTGCACTTTCTTTGTGAGAATCAATAAAAGCATGGTTACCACAACTTAAGTAATTTCTATGCAACAGGGCACTTGAGTTCAATCTTATACTTGTATTATCCGTACTGTTTTTCGTATGCGTACTATGTACAAAAATTGGAATTTTTAAATCAGTTGAATTTAAATTCATTTGTTTTCTTTTTCCCTCATCTTTGGGGATATAATTTGTATTGCCATCTAGTAATGTTGTTGGGTTCTTAAGGTTGCCTAAACTTGGAATTATTTCATGATGTTCGCTCATCGCAGTTGTGCTTCCCCTCAATTTTTTCACTTCGCTGTTTGTGTTAATTTGCAGACCTGAATGATAGATGCTGTTGTTCGGAAAGGTCAGGCTGTTAAGGTTGTTAAGGCCGTTCTGATGGATCGAACTGTTCTGACTGACCAAACTGTTCTGACTGATCAAATTGTTCGAATTTTTGACATTTCGAAAATTTTCTGCACCGTTTAGATTAAGACTCTGCGCGACATCTTTCAGGCCTCTTAAATTGCTGACATTTCTCATGTTTCCCATATTCCTCAAACAGCTGATACTCCTCAAACTTTCCATGTTCCTTACACTATTTATACTTACATTGTTAAGGTTACCTCCTAATTTTTCGATATCCATACCTTTCATTATTTTCATGTTGTTACCATTTCCTTTAAAGATTGCAGACCCACATACGGTGGGTATTATTCCACCTTTGACTGCCACTCCACCATTCGCTATAACTACATTGCTAATTTTTTCCACACTACTAGCAGTGCTTCCATGAATGATTGCAGTTTCGCTAGCTGTTATACCTCCATTAGTGAGGATGTTACTACTCCCATACTCCATATTTCCAGGATACTTAAATCTCCCTTGGTTTTTTATATACACGAGATTTATATTATTTTTATTTCCACATCTGTTCATGTAGTTCAATAAGCTCTGATTTGCACTAACGTTAATCCTTGAGTAATTTCCACCCGTATGGTGATTTTTCGAAATTCCTCCTACATTGGTTATATTGATCCCATTGAGTGCATGCATGAGATTCTTACTGTTTACATGACTCTTCTGATTTGGTAGATATGGACGATATACATGTGAACGAATAGAATTTCCATTTTCCCGTTGGAATTCCATTAAATGTGTACTATTTTTCTTCATCAAATGATTGTTATTTTCTATATCTTTGTTATAAAAATTATTTACATATTCCTTGAGCCTCACAATTTTCGGGTAACCACTATTATTTTTTGTAGTACTACTCTTCATTGGAGCGTAGTTGTCACATTGGTCTTCATTCCCTTTACTCATTTCATTTTTCTTCATTAAAATTGATTCATTTCCTTTTATCATTTTGTTATGTGAGAAGGGATTCATATATTTATCATCAGGGTTCCTGAGACGTTCCGCTTTCTTTGTTCTCGTAGGAACACTTTCCGTACCTCGAAAGGGGCTACACTGGTTGTTTCCTGCACGGTTTAGGGAATCATTTTGGGTATCGTTTAGTTCACCCTTTAGTGCGCCACTTAATGCACCATTTAATGTACAGTTTAGTTCACCCTTTAGTGCGCCACTTAATGCACCATTTAATGTACCGTTTAGTTCACCCTTTAGTGCGCCACTTAATGCACCATTTAATGCACCGTTTAGTTCACCCTTTAGTGCGCCACTTAATGCACCATTTAATGCACCGTTTAATACACCGTTTCGTTCACCGCTCAGTGCACCCTTCTTCACTACACCATTTCCTAAATTGCTCCTTTTCGTATTCCTACCATCGAGGGTTCCCTCGCTGCTGCAACCATTACATCCACTCTTCTGATTTTCGCTCCTCCCAACTATCATCAACTTCCCTTCATCCGACGTGAGGTTTCGATAAAGTCCCTCATATTCCACTTCATCCAATATTCTACTGGTATCTTTGCTGTCAGTTTTTCCCTCCAGGCGATACGGATAAGAAAATTCTTCCGTTGTAGTCGATATCGAATCTGTTGTTATTATATCATACTTGGATTTATAATTTTTTTTTTTTTCAATTAAGTTATTTTTTCTTGTAATATCTCCTATATTTATCAGATATTTATTAAATTCATTATTGTCACAATTTTTCTTATAGTGCACATTTACATCTTCTTTGTATAAATTTATTTCTACATTTCCTTTATGACCTTCTGTCATTTTATTATATTTTTAAACACCATTAATGTGCTACCTGCGTGTCTATTAGCCCTGTGCACACTTTCTACTCTTTTTTTTTTTTTTCTTTTTTTTTTTTTTTTCTTTTTTTTTTTAATTCTCACTTGACATGAAATGCAACTCATCATAGAAGGAGATATAAACACATAAGTGAGCACATAAGTAGTAACAACACATAAATATATGTGTATCCTCTTTTTCTCTAAGCTAATTCATAAATGTTTTTTCAAAGTAGCATTTTAATGTGGCATTAATTATATGTTGCACAATGCTAAGGGGGGAAACACACATGAGGCAAAAAAGGGGGGAATAAAAATGGGAACAAAAATGTAGAATAAAAATGTAGAATAAAAATGTAGAATAAAAATATAGAACAAAAATGTAGGACAAAAATGTAAAATAAAAATATAGAACAAAAATGTAGGACAAAAATGTAGAATAAAAATATAGAACAAAAATGTAGGACAAAAATGTAGAATAAAAATATAGAACAAAAATATAGAACAAAAATGTAGGACAAAAATGTAGGACAAAAATGAAGTACAAATGTGTAAAAAAAAAAAAAAAAAAAAAAAAAAGCAATACACTATTACTACAAAATTAATAAAATTTTAATTATCCAATTTGCACATCAATAAGTTCTGATAATGCTCAGGCATTTATCGAGATCCTATTCTATTGATTTACTAGCTTCTCTTATATCCCTTTTCCCTCCAACCTTCATTGTTCCCCTATCTTTGTAGGATTTCAAAAGGGTTGGGATTCGGTTAGGTGTTGTGCAGACGGGTGTTTTTTTGGGCCCCTCTCATCCCTCTCTTGCACTTTGTGCGTGCATAAACAAAAGTTCAAATTTGTTAAGTAAGTACGTGTATATGGGTATGTGTATGTGTAGATATATGTAGATGTAGTGTATGTACGTATATGTGCCGTACGTGAGAATTTGTATGAGTGCTTATGTGGCGCACTCTCATGATGATCGTAAGAATCGATAAGAGCCCCTCATTTATAAGACAAACTTGTATACACAAATACAAAATGAAACAATTTCTAACTTCACACAAAAACAAAAATTCTCAAAATGTGCAATTTAGCACACCCCTTTTTTTTTTCTTTTTTTTTTATTCTTCTTTTGATGGTGCATATTATTTCCCCACATTTTACAAAATTTAGTATTGGATGTGTATAAAACGGTAAAACAAAAGAATGATTTTTGACATTAATATATATTGTGTATTTATCATATATCCTAGAGAATATGTACACACATAATATTGCCTATAAGTATAGCACATATTATATATATATCTAACGAATCTGTATAACACATACACAATGTAAAATTTTTTTTTTTTTTAAATTTATTCTTAAACTTGAATTTGTTATATATATACGTGTATATGTCATACACCTAAGAGATTTAAGCTAGTGGTAAAAAAACAAATAATGAGATGGAATCAGCTAATGGGAGAAAGGGAGGGAGAAAATGAAAAGGAAAAAAAAGTGGGCTTGGAAGAGCTCGAGGAGAAAATATTTGCGCCTCAAGCGTTGTATTTATGGGTCATATTAATTTTAAGCAAATATATACATATAAGTATATATATATATATACATACATATGTACATGTGTACGGTCACGAAAAAGGGGTGAGGGGAAAAATATTTAGCTAACTTTAATTCATAAATAAGATGCACAATCTCGTTGTGATTGATCTGGTGAGGTGATACGGATCAGGGGGGCGGGGGTGTGGATGGCGGGAAGAAATTATAGGATTTCTTTTTTTTTTTTTTTTTTTTTTTTTTTTTTCTTTATCAAAAAAGTTGTAGTCGAAACATGGAAACAGTAATGTACAAAAACATGCTCATTCGATGCATGCGAACATGAAGATATGTAATTACGTAAGTGTATGGGTGTGTAAGTGTAAGTATTGTAAGTATATATGTTCTTATTTTTGTATATATCTATTTTTTCACGTATACACATTTCTACCCGTTTGGTTTACAGCATAAATCCATGTACACACTCATATGGGTTACTGATTATGTACATGATTGCACATGTTTGAAACGCACAAATGCACGCTGCCCAAGTGCAAATAGGTACATATATATATATATATATATGCATATAAATATATGTACGTGTTTAACAAAATAACGAAAATGTTCTCGCATCCCCTTAACAAAGGTGCACATAAGTATACCACAACAAAAAATGTCACAGAACGGAGCGTCAATTGTAAGGGATGCAAGGAGAAAGGGGGGTTGTGGTGGGGGAGGGATTGAACTCCCTACGTAGCTGAAAGTAATATATATTTACTGCAACTGCGTAGCTTCTGCGCTTAGGCACATATACGCTTATGGTATGCACTTCCGTATATGTATATATATACATACATATATGTTGTATGTATGTTTATATTATGTAAGCATAATGTACGTATTCATATTATTACATATATATGTATATATAATTATTTATTTAAAAAAGGCCTTTTTTTAATTGGCTTCATTTTAAAAAAAAAAAAAAAAAAAGGAGATTATTTAATTTTTCCTACTTTTTACGAATTATTTTCATGTTTTTATAAATTATAAAGAAATATAAAATGTGCGAAAATAAAATCTCGCACAAAATTAAAGCAGTTTAGCATAAAAAAGCGGTATATTTATTATTCATACATGTATATTATATATACGTTTATATGTACATTATGTTTATATTGTATATATATATATATATATGTAATTTTTATTTTTTTTATTTTATTTTTATTTTTTTTTTTTGCTATGGGTTTCCAAAACAGTAACAATGTTAACAATATTAACAGTATTAATAATATTAATAATATTAATTATATATTAATTATGTTATTATAATAAAATGCAATATATTTATATATTCCTACCATCCTACAAGCCCTCTGTGATGTGTTCCATATATATAGATACATTTAGTGGTACATAAAATAATTATACGACAATATCAATGCGCGCCACATTTACCCCCCCCCCCCCCCCCCTTAAATTTTTCCTTCTGGTATTTTTTTTTTTTTTTTTTTTTTTTTTTTAAGAAACGTTACGTCTGTACGAATTTATATATGCAAAGGCACAGTGATACATTTGTTAATCGAATAAACCACGTATTCTTGTATAAAAAAATTATATATAAAATATAAAATACGTATTAATTTGGTCTTCATATATATATATGAACTCATTACATATATATAAATATATATATATACATATTAAACTAACTCTATGTGTCCGTATGCGCCCCCACTGGAGGAAAAAACTACTAATTAATATTGTTTTAAAAAATAAATAAATAATTCAATATATATTTTTTCTCCCCCATTCTTCGTCCTTAATTTTCTTTCACTTTTATCACGATTTGATACAAAAAGTTTTTTATAAATCCTTCCTTTTTTATTTTTTTTTTCTCCTCCAAAATAAACTTCCTTTCGCATTTATATGCCAACATAATAAAATTTTATTTTAAAAAAAAAATTACCATAAAAAGGTAACTTTTCACCTTTTTATACCCTCACCCCATTTGATGTTGTTATTATTTTTTACCTTTGATATTACAGTGGGATGGGATATAGGGGGGGGGGGGGGTGGAGGAGTACAAACAACACGTGACATAATCGAAAATGTAATTTAAGCATAATAAAAGAAAAATGAAAATAGGAATTAGGCTAATTTTTCCATTTTTCCTTTTTTTGTCCCCTTGTTTTTTTTCTCCTTTTTCCCAATTATATGTGGGACAAAAAAAAGGATATACAAAATTTCCCCCATCCTCTGGGGCACAAAATAAAAAAATGGATTTAAAAAGAAAAAAAAAAATAAATAAAAATAATTATGAACAGTTAATAAACCTTTTTAATGTCTTCAGAGGAGAGAGAACTTATTATTGTGTCCCTTTTTATTTTATTTTTTCATGGTGTTTGAAACATTTCACTTGAAACAAAAGCATCGAGTTTTCAATTATGTATGTGGCCATGTGAGTGTGCTTACACGGACACACACGCACATATATATATATACATATATATATATATATATGTATATATATGTGTCCAGTGTTCGAACGCACTACAAACGTTAAACTGCTTTGTTGACAAAATGATTTGTTTAAATTAAAAAAAATTCACGATATAGAGGAACAGAGGAGACGTGTGTGATATATGATCGAGGAGTGAAAAAAAAAAAAAAAAAAAATTGGAAAAAAAATTATCTCAATGAAAAGAGTGTACAAATAACCTATATAAAATATATACTCCTCCTCTCCTGATGAGGGAATGATAAGTATAATTTACTTAACACCTTTTGCGGTTTTCATTTTAGTGCTATCTCCAAATTCATGTTATTATATATGTGGTGAATATAAATATGATCTTTTGTATTTTTGGGGGGGGTCATGGATAGGGAAAAAAAAGTTTCACTTATATATTGCCGTTCATATAAATGCGAAAAAATGTAAGTTCCATTGAAAACATACTGTTTTTGGTATGCACCTTTGGGTACGTCCCAAATTGGAGTTATATAGCGTGAAAAGTGTATACATTCTTGGTAAATAAAAAATATACACACACGCACATATATATATATATATATATATATACATATAGTGACTAATTTGTGTGCAATTAAAAGGTTACCCAAATGAAGAGGAAAGACAAGGTGAGAAAATTGGGACATGACAAGTAAAGATGAGTTGGAAAGATGGCTTCCTTTTGAATCTTCATAGGACAAAGGTTTTACTCCTTCCAGTGGTAGTTGCATTTTATGCAAATGTAAAAAAGGGTGCTAGGTTCATCAGCAGATCGGATTTGCAAACTGTAAAAGTACGCCTCGTCATTTGTGCACTTTGGGCAAATGGCTACACGATGAAGAGAAAAATGGTGTGAATCAAACACGTGCTATACATGGAGGTGCATCCCATAGATACACTTCTAACTTTGCATTCACATCAAACATTTTACATGTTCCACGCCGGTAAAGAAGAAACATAGCAACACACCAACCATTATTAATTTGCAAGTAAAGAAGATATCAAGTGCCTTACCTTGCGTTTTGGACATGTTCTTGTTGTTCATATCCACGGCATCCAAAGGAATGGTCTTGTTATATTCTTTGCATTCCAACTTGTTGTATATTTTATTTTTTATTTTATATTTGAAGTTACATGTTTTGCAGTAAAAGTACACACCATTTTCAATGTGTACCAGAATGATGTTGTGACAGTTCGGGCAGAAAAAAGCCATTGCGCTCGTTTGAAGGGGAGATGTGATAGATGAAGTGAGAAATGGAAAAACACCTTCATGTAAGAAAATGAAATTTGCCTCTTTTATTTCCTCTTTGTCAAAAATTAGGACAAATCTTTAAAGGAGAAGAGGCGGGTGTTGGTGGTGGAATATATCACAATGAGAGTCATAATAATTATAAGGGTTATTGTGCTAACTATACAAGTTAATTTTCATTCTACTTTGCATTGGATTATTACTATCTGTCATGCGAACTTTGTTATAAAATGAATAGGAAATGTGGTACTAGTAGGGTGTAACATTTATATCTGCTACACTATGCGTCTTTATACTTTTTTTCCTTCATATTCCCTTTTTATCCTGTGTTTCATGCTATGTAAGTGTTTGTGTGGTGGAATTGGTGGCAAATGTTTTTGTTTTCATTCATGGATATATCTAAAACTTACAGAACTGTTAAGCATTAGCACATGTACGCATTTCTAGTTCAGATTCCTTAATCGGCCACCTTAAAAACAAAAGACCGCACGTGCACTATATCTCACCCACGTTTTCAATGATTTCAGGATGGTCAATCGGGGGGGTGGAGATGTTCATAAAAAAAAAAGGTACCATCAAAATGTGACTTCAAAATGTGGCTTCAAAATGTGGCTTTAAAATGTGACTTCAAAATATGACTTCAAACAGCAGTTTTCAAAATTTTAACTATAAATAAACCAAATTTAAATACCAAAATTCTGTCAAAATGGTAGCGTGGCACATTAGGTAAATCCCACCACGGGGAGTAAAATTGAACATGTTCCTTCTTCTTCCTTTTCCAAGTTCCAGAAATGACATTAAGAATAAAATATTTTTTTTTTTTTTTTTTTTTTTTTTTACTAAAAATTTTGGATGTTGTAGTTCTAGCTGACGACTGAATTTTAATAGCTTTTTCCTCTAAATTTTTTTTATCATAAGTACGGTATGAACATTTTTTTTTTTTTTTTCTTGAAAAAACATTTGCTGCAACAAATAGGGCACCTTATTTTTCACAAATCGAAACGCCTTCCCGCTATGTACCCATTCTACAAACCGAATGGTTTATTATCATTATATTAGCATGTGCCCATATATATATATATATTTTTAAGGGGAGTTTCTATTTTCCATTTCCCTGGCTACTTTTTGTTATGTCCATTTTCATTATAAATACATAAAGTCTTTTTAACTATTTCTTACCCCTATTTTATAGGGAATTTAATGACACTTTTTTTTTGTTTTTCTTCCTTATTTTCTTCCTTATTTTTTTCCATATTTTCTTCCTTATTTTTTTCCTTATTTTTTTCCATATTTTCTTTCATATTTTCTTCCCATTTGTACAATTTCTCCTCATTTACGAAAAGCATCAGACAATCTCTACATCCCACCGACATGTTAGCACTCCATTTGAATGACATATTTGTTGATCTTTTTCAACTATAAAGTATTCGACAAATTGTGGCCAAAGTGTGGGGTACCCATTGAGATATGTTATTACATGTACAGTATTCTTCCCTTGAAGATCCAAAGAAGGGTATAAGTGGTGAATTGGTGAAGTAGTGAACCGGTGAGGGAATCCAAATCAACACGTTCTTATGTATGTATCACCACATTAGTGATCGAAGCTGTTTGATGAACTGACGTGCCGGACACCTCTGTTTACTCTTGCCAAAGCCAGATGGATCATTTGAAAAACATATCGCCCATCGATGGAAGATATAAAAAATCGTGCAGCGAAATTTCTGCATTTTTTTCTGAATATGCTTTAATAAAATATCGAATTATTGTAGAAGTACGATGGCTGCTGTTTCTTAATGAAAAGGAATTTTTTTTCCAAAAGGTAAGTGATAAATCAGTTGAGAAGCTGAAACAAATTGGTGAAAATATAACGGATAAAGACATAGAACGGGTTAAAATAATAGAGGAAGAAACAAATCATGATGTGAAGGCCGTGGAATATTTCATAAAAGAAAAGATTAAAGAATGTGAAAATAAAGAATTGATGGATATAAGCGAATATGTACACTACCTATGTACAAGTGAAGACATAAACAATATAGCGTATGGTGTATGTATAAAATTGTGCATAAATGATATAATACTTCCATATATAGTAGAAATACTGGATAAGTTAAAAGAGCTAGCCATGGAATATGCAGATATTCCATTATTATCCAGAACCCATGGACAGCCTGCATCTGCCACCACATTTGGAAAAGAAATAGCAAATTTTTACTGCAGAATATATCGCCATTTGAGTATTATAAAACAAGTGAAAATATGTGCAAAATTTAATGGAGCTGTAGGGAATTTTAATGCTCACAAAATTGCAAACAAAGATGTAGACTGGATAAGTAGTATAAAATATTTTATTGAAAATTATTTTGATTTAAAGTATGGTTTATATTGTACTCAAATACAAGATCATGATTATATATGTGAATTGTGTGATAGTTTAGCACGGACGAATAGTACGCTCATTGACATGTGTGTGGATATGTGGCTTTACATTTCAAATAATTTATTGAAATTAAAAGTAAAGAAAAAAGAAATTGGTAGTAGCACAATGCCACACAAAGTCAATCCAATTGATTTTGAAAATGCAGAAGGAAATTTACATATAGCTAATTCTTTCTTTAAATTGTTCAGTTCAAAATTACCAATAAGTAGATTACAGAGAGATCTATCAGATTCCACTGTTTTACGTAATATTGGTAGTTCCTTTTCTTACACTCTCATTGCATATAAATCAATCATAAAGGGATTGCAAAAAATAGATATCGATAAGAGAAATATGGATCAAGAACTGAACCATAATTGGTCTACATTAGCAGAACCAATTCAAATTATAATGAAAAAACACAATTATGCAGATGCATATGAGGAATTGAAAAATTTCACTCGAGGAAAAATTATTAACAAAGAAATTATGCAAGAATTTATTAAAACCAAGGGGAATTTATTACCCCAAGTTGCCATTAATCAGTTATTAGACTTGACACCTCATGAGTATACTGGCTATGCTAGCTATCTTGCCAAGAATGTACAGCACCTTGCAAAGGAATTCGATTCGGACAGAGAATGAGTGAGAAGGGAGACGACCCTGTGATTCTTTCTCAATTTATCCAATTTCAGGAACAATGTAAAACCGTTCCTTCAGGTATAGCTGAAGACATAGCTGCTATATATTTTTTGTAAAAAAGAAAGAAGTTTTATGCCTTTCTAACATTACTACACCCAGTTGTGGCTTTCTCCATATTAATACAAAACCATGGGAGAGTGGTACATACATATATATATATATATGTACGAATTGGGGAAGGCCATTATAGTTACGTCCTTTTTCTCCAAATTCATATGCCACCCTCACGACTTTGAAAATCATGAAAATTTATTCACCCCCTCACAATTCCTAAATGGAACATATATATGCATACATTTTCCTCTAACTTCATTGATACTTCATATGTGTAAAAATGGGCACGTTTGAAAATTTTAAAAAGTTTGCAAAGGATTATACCCACGCAATAACACATGAACAGCTAGCCGCTTACAAAAAAAAGACACAAAAATTCGCAGCTGAAATACCTGCTGTATTCATGTTTGATGGTTCCACTTCGCGAATCCTCACTGCACATGTGCAGACGTGCAAATGTACAGAGGAAAAAAAGGAGAGAAAAAAAAAAAAAGAAAAAAAAAGCACATTCATCTCTATCTTAATTTTTAGACAGTTATACAAAATTGAGATGATAAAATGAAATAAAATAAATGATCATATAATGCGTCTGTTTGAAATACATACATTTTTGAATTCATTTGGAAGAAATAATCCTATGAATTAATAGCGTTAACTTGATCCTCCCTCCATTTGGTCTAGTCTCCACCTAACTGCATGACTTCGTATCCCCCACCCTACCCCTTTTTAACTAGCCCAATAAGAGCATGGTTAAAAGGATGGAAAGGCTGAGAGAAATAAATGAACTAAATGCGGATGACGATGTAGTCAAAATACATCTACCTGCAAATAAAAACCCTTCTTTACAAACACACTTAACTCCAACGTTGCCAATTCTTATGCATATTTGATCTTCAGAACATCCACCATTATTAACTGAACATGATTTTTGTCCCTTATTTCCCATAATGTCACTTAGAACCATTGTATCTGTTATTCCCTTCTCTACACGGTTGTTCCTTAAGGCACTGTAATGTGGGATATCATCATCCAAATTATCTGAAACAGGAAGGAATATATTAGAAGAGAATATACAATATTTCATTGTAACGATCGGTTAGTATACATGCACCAAAAGAAGGTGGTGGTGGTGGGGATAAGGAAAAAAGTTAATGAACGAGGACCCTCGTTCCTATCTACTCATTTTCAAGTATTGGAAGGGAATCTTCATCAATCTTTCCATACGATAAATAACATGATATTATTTTTGCTATTATTATTATTGTTATTATTTTATTATTTTATTTTATTATTTTTTTTTTTACTTTTGAAGAAAGAGAAAAAAATGCTACTCACCTAAGTGAAGTTTATTTCCATCAGCACCGTTTTCTCCTGTGTTTTCTATGGCACTTCCGTCAGTGTTTTTACTTTCTGTTGATGTCGCTTCATTTTGTGTTGTTTCTCCTTCTTGCGAACCTTTTCCGTCTTCTGTTTTTACAGCACCTGGTGGATCATGCTTAGATATTTCTACTTCATTACTTTTAGATTCCAAATTTTTGTCATCTTGACTACCTCCGCTTTCAGGTAGATTTTCAGTTTTTATTTCACCTGTTCCTTGCCCTTCATCTTGCTTTTCACTCGCATTATTACCCGGATTTCCAGTTTCAGGGGTTGAAATCTGCGATTCTCCTTCCGTCGAAGTTGCTGCATCGGTATTACTATCATTTTGCTCACCATTTTCGTTAGGTTTTGGCTTTTCTTCTTCATTCTCACTATTTTTCTTCTCCTCAGAATTAGAGTCAGTTCTCTGATTGGCGGTTGAACCACCCTCTCCTACATTCTCTGATTGCTGTGTGCCACTAACTGTTTTATCATCACTTCCACTACTTTCACTACCACTTCCACTACTTTCACTACCACTTCCACCACCACCATTTCCACCGTTGCTATCCCCCACTAATGATCTGCTGGTGTGTGTGGCCCCCCTGTGAATATTTTTTAGGCCCAAAAAGGAACCATAGGAGGGACGTTTAAAATCGTAACAGCAGAAGAGGAACAAATGGATAGCTAATAGGACACGTAACATGGCCATTGTTCCACCAAAATCGATATAAATAAATATATATATATATATACAAGAATTAAAGAAAAAAAAAAAAAAAAATAGAAAAAATAAGGAAAATTAAAAAAAAAAAATAATAATAATAATAAACGAAAATTTTAAAATTAAAAATCTTACACAAGCAAATGAATTTCTCGCTGAAGTTCGATCTCTTTTTATTTAACGTTCTCCCTTTGTTTTGGTGGGTTTGTTCTGGTTCTAATTTGTTTTGTAGTGCAATAGCAACTCAGTAGCAATTTTGTTCCCTTTTCGATTTTTTTTTTTTTTTTTTTCTTTAGTTTTCCCTCTTTTTTCTTTTTTGTTGATTTTTTAACAAAGTAAAAATATGAAGAAAAAAAAAAAAAAAAAAAAAAAAAAAAAAATCACAGCTTCAGTTTTCTATTTTTTTTAATGTTCTTAAGTGCTTGAAACGGATCTCTTTTCGTACGAAATTTCCCTGAACGCATCCTAAAGAGAGAAATTGAAACCAAAATGGTAATAACAATACATGAAGCTTCCACTTGTGGATGTTGTTTGCGAAAAGAACTGATAGATCAAAATTAGCTCATTTCATGTGATGTGGTTGTCACTTGCACACTTTTAGATATGCATCTAATTTCTCCTTGTTACAACGAAAAAAAAAAAAAAAAAAAAAGGAAAAAATCAAAACCTTGTGAAAAAAAAATCGAACATTCCTAAATTTTTTTTTTTTCCCTCCTATAACATAATAAGGTACTACAATAAGTGCCAATTTTGTGGTGCACCAATTTTATTAAAAAAGCTTATTAGCCTTTGAAACGTTGTGAAGTAAATTTAAAAAAAAAAAAGATCAATAATAAATAGGTAAAAATATGCAAAAAAATGTGCCAAAAAATGTGAAAAAAAATGTGCCAAAAAATGTGAAAAAAAATGTGCCAAAAAATGTGAAAAAAAATATGCACAAAAACATGAAAAAAAATATGCACAAAAACAAGGACAAAAACATAGAAACACACACAAACATGTATATGATAAAAGGTGAAGAATTTTTTATTTTCCTAAATTCTTGAAAAGAGGTGAGGAGTTCTGCAAAATGGAGAATGGGCTTAAGCCATTGCGTTCAAATTGAGAGACTTCCAAAACGGTGCATTAAAAGCGGAAAGTTGTAAAATAAATTGTAAACGATTGGAAAATGAATTATACGAATGAATCGGAGAGAGAAAAAATACACACTAAAAACACGTACACTGTTGGAAGGAACTAATTTATCGAAGCTAAAATGATTATTACTAATAAAAACCAACAAAAAACTGAATTTAAGGAGGACGATTTTGATGATTTCACACATTCAATACCAACCAATTTATAACCAGGTTTACACAAACATTTAACAATCCCTTTCCCCAAATTCTCACATATTTTATCATTTCCACATCCGCCATTGTTATCTAAGCACAGATTTGCATTTTCATCCAATTCGTTTAAATCGTATAAATCATCATCTCCATTTTCATAATCTTCATAATGTTCAACATGATCATCATTTACTGTCCCTCCATTATTACCTTCCCCCAAATTAGCCTTGGTTTCTGCATTAATTGTATTAACTGAGAAAATGAATAAGGGAAGATTAAAATTTTGATTTGATTTCTTAACAATACAGTTAATAGGGCATTGAACTTGAATTGCATTTCGTTAGGATGTCTGTTTATCTAAACCGTTTTATTTCTTCTTTTTTTTTTTTTTTTTTTTTTTTCCCGCTTTTCCTACCTGTAGGGGTGTCCTTCCCCTTTGCAACTGTTGAAGGGGGGGTAGTGGCAGTGTTCGATGGATTATTTCCTCCATTCATATTATTCCCAGAAGAACTTGCGTTATCTGTTTTTGTGGGAGAATTCAAACCTTCAGTATTCTTCTCATTCGTATTTGTAGTACTACTTTTTGGATCACTTAAAATTCTTTTATATCTTAAAATGGTTCCAACATCTGCTAAGCTGTTACATATCGAGGTGTAGTATAATTTATCAAAATATAAGCTGAAGATAAAGAACAAGTTAAGAATTAATGAAAACTTTGCAACCTTCATTTTGAAAAATGAGCAGTACGGAGTGGAAAAAACGGTTAGGCCAAAAAAAAAAAAAAAAAAAAAAAAAAATTATTATTATTCCACAATGACAACCAACGACCTAAACTATTGTAAGCATTATAAAAACGCTAGAGTTTTGCAAAGGTATAAAACTGGCAAAAAATTAGAAATATTCAATATCAGGGGAAAAGGTACAAAATTAGGAAAAAAAAATAAAATAAAACTCTTTTCGAATATTTTCATTTTAGCTAATATTGTATTTCTAAAAATTTATAGCAAAAAAAAAAAAAAAAAATACATTACATATATATATATATATATAATATGTGCATGTGCGTATGATATCTCCGGTCCCACTTATCTTTTAGCTTTACATATTTCTCCTCAAACAAATTAATACATGCTTCCCCTGGAGAAAAACTCGATATACATTTTTATTTTGGAGCATTTTTTTTTTCTTTTTATCCCCTCCTCCAAATGGGTATATTTTTACCCAACCTGCGATTAGTAACAATGCTTAAATTGGTTGCATATCGGCACACGCATATTTACTTAATTCCCCATCGGTTACCCGTCTCATGTACATTCAAATACGCACTTATAAAATGTACAAGTGGATATACATATTCTCATACTCATGCAATACATCATGCGAAAAAATTCCCCTTCCTAGTATGCACATAATCTGTAAAGGAAAAAGAGTCATATTATCGCACCCATGTAACAAGAATAGTTCTTTTTCCCCTCATATACGCAAAATATATTTTACACCATAAGGAAGGAACTTTGTGTATTACTTCACCCCATTTCGTTAAAATGCATAAAGATATTATTTGTTTAAAAAAAAAAAAAAATGCTCACATAATGCATAAGAGTTAATAATTTATTAAAAAAATATAAAAAAAAAAAAAAAAAAAAAAAAAAAAAACAATCCTTTATTAAAAAAAAAAAAAGAAAAAAAAAAAAAAAAAAAAGATATTATTTGTTTAAAAAAAAAAAAAAATGCTCACATAATGCATAAGAGTTAATAATTTATTAAAAAAATATAAAAAAAAAAAAAAAAAAAAAAAGGATAAGCTATCCTTTATTAAAAATAGAGCAGGAAAAAAAAAAAAAAAAAAAAAAAAATGCGTAATGAAAAAATCTATGATTCCTTCCACCAAATGTGACGTTCTGATTATGTGGAATTATTTCTCCTTAAACAGATTGACATGTACCTAGCGTCATCATTACAACTACACTAAGTGACAATCTTTAATAATGTAAACTCAAACAACTTTGTCTTTTCCACTGTTTTAAGTAACGTTTATCAGCTATCTCTTTTTTTTTTTTTTCATCACATAGTTGTTACTAACCCTTTTTTTTTTATTTTTTTTTCCTTCTTTTTCGTTTTTTTGATCATTCTCCTATTGCTGCACTCAATTCAAAGTACATCTTCCGAAAAATTCACTTTGCAATTTTGTTCTTTCCATATATGAATTAATAATTTTTCTTTGTTCACTCGTCCCAGTTATGAACAAATTTACATTTTTTCAAAGAATGATTAATCGGTATATATAGCTAAAAGGAATAATAGTTGTAACTAGCATATCAAAGGTGTGGTACGTACTATGCACTCCACAATATCATATGGAAAAAAAATGAAATACTCCTCCTATGTGAACATATTTTTTAGTTAATATATAGGATTTCACAAAAAAAATATTAGTCTGGGATGTACATTATAAATAAATAAAGGTCGCAATGGATAAGTAACTTGGGAAGTATTCGTCTACACATTTGCTAAGGATGGGTAGTTCCCATGCATGCGTGTTTCTATATATAAATATATATTTGCAACCTCGTTTTGCGGTGTTCAGTTCTTTTTCAACGCATCCATCCTTGTATTTCTCATTCCCTTATTATTGTGAATAAGAAAAGACGCACAGAAAAAATACATGAGCAGAAAAAACAAAAAAACAGCCCCAAAGGACACAAACAGGAGCACATTTTTATACAATCTTTTTTCTTTAAATTTGTTCCCCATGGAAAAGGAATGGTTAGGAGTCTTTGAAAAAAGTTCTTATAGTAGAACGCATTCCTGTTAAACTATTTTTATTTTTTTTTTTTTTTCAAAATGATAATTTTTTATACTGAAACAATTGCACTCACCTACATTATTATATTCCGAATTGCGTTCTTCCCCATTTTGTTATTTAAATTTCCCTTTTATGCTTAGAGAGCAATTTGTCTCTTTCGCATAAATGAATGAACATGGTGTAACTATGTGGAAAAAAAAAAAAAAAAAAAAAAAAAAAGGCGGAAACTGCTTCCGACGTTATCACAACTACGATCTTTACTTACAGATGGGCATAACTTGGTAGAATATTTTTTATGTTTCTTTTCCCCCTGTTTGTAACATTTTTTACATATTCTGCTAGAAGCTTTTATTTGAAATTGAAACTTGAGCACACTAACGCCAGAAGCTATTTCATAAAAAAAAAAAAAGTTTTTACACATTTATTAACCAATTGAAAGGAGGGTACCAATTTCACTTTTTCACAACATTGACATGGGCACTGGATTAACTTAGTAACATCACCATATAAAAACTTAATGGAAAATCATATCCTACAAGTACTCATTTAATTCTACATAGAAAAGTATTTTCAACTGAATAGACAATAAAAAATGGATGGAAAAAAAAATAAAGACATGTGAAATTATTATGAACAGTTCATAATTATTTCATCTTTTAACATGATTTTTTTTTTTTTTTTTTTTTTTCACCATTTCGCTAGCACACCATATATGCGTTGCTCTTTGAGTGTTACTTTTAAGGTGTAGGTGATAAAATTAATAGGCTTAAAAGAAAGAAAAAAATAAATATCACAAAATAAGCAAAGCAACATAAAATAAAAGCTTAAAATCATATTTACAACATGAACAGTCAAGTAAAAAAAAGAAAAAAAGAAGAAAAAAAAAAGAAAAAAAAAAGGAAAATTGGGGATACTTAAGAACAATGTGTACATGTTTAAAAGTGCTCACACATAAATGTAAATATTTTTTTTTTTTTTTTTCGTGTTAAGCACATATTACGCACTATTTTTACTTCCACATTTCGCTTTGCAAAAAAAAAAAAAAAAAAAAAGTGTGTAATGTATATATATATATATACATGTGTATACTTATAAAAAGGAAGCATAAGTTAAGACATTTTTTTTTTTTTTTTTGTTAATATTCCTGTTACTTTCTTTTGAATGGGTACAATTCAACAATTGTTTTTCTCGTCTCGTATTTTTTGTTGAGTGTAAGCATAACGACTTTGCTTCATGTCTAATTGATTTACCTGTGTGTCCACTCATTTTTGTGCAGCTTGTAGAATAAAGTTTTAAAAACTTTTGAAAAATTGGCAAAGCTGAGTACCATTGATATGGAGTAAGAATTCCTCCATATACAGATTGGTTTAACCTTGTGGAGATCAAAGAGTAAACATGTGCATAAACATGTACATGCTTATATATATATATACATGTGTATTTTTTTTTTTTTTTTTCATCCTGCTTAATGCTCATAACATTCGTGTGCAAACCTGTTTACTTACTCAATAACGTTGAGAAGGTGTTTTTTTTCTAACAACCATAACAAAGAAGTTAGGCTTATCTTGTCCCCATAGGACCAGGAAAATATGACGCATGCATACATGTGTGTACATAATGATAGTGTATACCTTTTGTGGGGAACCTAATTAGCTTACACAAGTTTATTTGCAACACTTTGAAATGGTTGTGTTAACAACTGTGAAGAAGGCGACAATGGAGACGAACAAGTACTCATATCTATCTCTTGTAGAGACCTCCTTTTGTCAAGCTCAACACATGTAACACTTTTATACATAATAAACAACCATAATACTTTTGAAACATAGCATACATTTGACCTTATTATTACTTAATTTTTAAAGGGTAAGAAAAGAAAAAAGTATGTAAAGCATAATGCAACTAGTTTTGTTATCGTAATTACAAACTTTATTGATTCCACTTTCTACCACCCGAAGATATAAGAACTAATAATGCTCAAGTTTTTCCCACTATTCCTTCACCTTTTAGGCCAAATGGTGTTTTTAATATAATACACATTTATTCGAACAATTTCATATACACATTCTTATAAATTTCACACATTTCATAATATTTTTAAACCTCAAACGCGTTACCCCATTTTATCGTGATTTGCAAAACTATTCATGTGTGTGTTTGTGTGTGCGAAAAGGGAGCCAATGCACATATACACACATTGCAGCGCATCAGAAGTTATGAAACTATAATTTGACGTTTCTGAGCCAATTGTTACATTACCATTAGGGGAGTTTAACATTATATTTTTTTCCAAAAAGGAACATGAGTACTGATACATGGAGTATACTATATAGGTACAATAATGATGATATAAAAAGCTTAACTGAATGGAGAAAAAACAAAGGACATGCTCAAAACATTTCCGATGACTTCCAACTTAGCAAAAAGTGTATTCTACATACAGACACGGGCATGTATCAGTGTAAGATTCAGCAGGGTGCAAAAAAGGGAGCCGTTAAAATGGAAGAAGACATGGATGATAAGTATCAGCTAAGCGATAAATGTGAAAAACATTTAGTTGTAGAGAAAAATGGACAAGGTAAAGAACCAAATGATGAAGCCGAGGGAAACGATTCAAATATAAATGAACACGCATTTAAACTGAAAAATAATAGTAAGTTTATAAAAAATAGGAATGGTCAAATACACAAAATAGTTAACAAATCAAAGTCAGACTATTTATCTTATAAACTTAAGAACAATCTAAGTTTAGTAGGAAACTTCGTGAATCATGAAAAAACAGTTCTTCACAATAATTCATATCAACACACAAATTCATTTCACAGAAATAATGCTTATCGTTGCATAAACTCAGTTCATCACAACAATGGCGGATATAACCAATTATACACATTAACAAATGAAGATATGAAACATTTCTTAGATGAAAGCTCACAACTTTTACCAGAAATCAGAAGGTACACCCTAAACAACACGTTAGATGAGAATATTTCAAAAGATCAGTCTAAAGAAAAATGTCTTATAAGAAACGTAACCAACATGGGATCCATTAGGGGGGAAAATGAAGTTTTAAATATGTCATTTCCACGTGGAGTAGAAAAAAAAATGTTCACACTGACAAAGGAAAAAGAATCTGATGAATGTGAAGGGGAAACATCTAATGAACATTTTCATTTATGCGTAGATGAACGAAGCAATAATGAATTATTTGAAGACATATCAAAAAGTAATAATTATTTTGAAAAAGTGGGAAAAGATTCTCCAGGTTACATAAATGGAGAAAGAAATTTAAATGAGAAAAAAAATAGGATCATCGTAAAAGAGTCCAAATTATTTATTCGACAAGAACATGGAACCTCAGAGCTGACGAAAGAAAAACACACTACTATTGATAACATTACGGGGAAAAAGAACAATCTGATGAATGAGGAAAATGAAATTACTTGCATTTCATATGTAAAAGAACGGGATAGAAGTAGAAGACGCGCTGTTATGATGGATAAAGAAATACAACAAAACACAGATAGAGGATCACTATCCCAATCCGATCATAGCGATTTGAAAAAAAAAAATTTTCATTTTTCAGGTAGAAAAAAAAAAGGGGGTAATACAGAGAAAGGTAAAAAAAGTATAAATTACAAAAGCATCTACAAAAATGTGCGTGAAAAATTGGTAGTACACCAGAATAATACCATGCTGGATCATCATAAATGGCTTCAGAAATGCCCTCACGTGGACGTTAATCATTTTAGAATTCCAAATGAAGATTTATATAAGAAAGAAAATATAAAAGATGTGTCTCGAGAAGTATTGTCAATGATTTCAAATGAAATGCACGATTATACAACGGAAACGTGGAAACCGATCAATAGGCATAGCAATTGTTCCTCTGCTATGAATTCTAGAGATGAAAATACCAATATGCGTAATTCTAGTTCTGGTACTTTTGAACATACTGGTCGCAGAAGCAGCAAGGGAAAGTCCAGCAACGGTAAATATGGTTTCAATGAGAAACATATTAGTAAGAGTAATTTGGGGATGGAAAAAAATGCGAAATTAAATAACCCATTCGATGATTCTAATGGCACTACTTTTGGAGCAAATGATTCGTTTTTGTTAACCATGGCAGAAGAAAAAAAATGCCACTATAATACTCGCAATGCCCATACATCAAATAATTTTTTTGAGAAGTATAAAAGTGTGCAATTTTGCGATTCTCTGGAGAATTCGCACTTTTGGAAAAAACACATTCTGGAGGTGTTAAAGAAAAGCGCAAAAGGAGAAAAAAAAATGGAAAAAGAAATGGAAAAACAGATGGAAAAAAAAATGGAAAAAAAGATTGAAAAAAAAATGGAAAAAAAAAAGGAAAAAAAAATGGAAAAAAAGAAGGAAAAAAAAATGGAAAAAAAGAAGGAAAAAAAAATGGGAAAAAAAAATGGTAACCACATAGGGGAAAAAAAATTTATGTGTAAAATTACCTGTAATGCACTAAAAGCGAAAATTCCTTATGTGACACAGACGAATAGTACTGATGCTAACTCTTTGACAAATTTTGTTCCCAAAAGTATAGGGAGCATAGAAAGTGTCACCACCAAGGGGAAAAGTGCCGACATTGCCTGTGGCGTCAGAACTCGGAACCCTATTAATGGCCACGCTGGGAGTGCAACGAGAAGGGACAATGACAACAAAGGAGAACATAATTACAGTAGGGCAAGGACCCAGCACATTAATAATTGCCTCGACATTATATGCAGTGGCAATGCCTCTCTCGGTTGCGATAAGGGAGAAAAAAAAAAAAGGCATGACGGAAAAGGGGGAGAGTTCGCGGGAAAAAGTAACGTTTTAATTTGCGACAAACGTGGTAGTTGGTGCAGTACAAAAATGAGCGACATTGAAAATCACAATAGTGTTTGCAATTTTAACCACAACAATGGTAGAAGTAGTAATAGCAGCAGAAATGGCAGAAGTAGTAATAGCAGCAGTAATGGCAGAAGTAATAACAGCGACAAAATCAGGAACAATAGTAGTGGCAGCCTCTTTTTGAGTGAACCACTTTTAAATGCCGATGAAAAAGAGGGGGCAAGCAACCCTTCAGTAGATGTTTTTTTTCCCCACGTTAGTCCAATAATTAATAGCAAGAATTCATATAACATGCTAACAAAATCCAACAATTCAAAGATCGTGATAAATGAAAAAATTAAAATAAACTACCCCGATGGAAGACCCATTACACAGTGCAACGGGAATGGAAAATTTCTTCAAGGGGATGAAGTGAAAAAAGGAGACTCGCAAATGAAACATGGAAATGATTGCATAAACAACATGGTTAGTGGAAGTGTGAAGGCGTCCGTTACCATCAAGATAGGGCATAATAAGTTTGTAAAGGACTATGATGAAGATTGTACTATCGAGGACATCAGAAATGACAGCAGCGAGGATTACAGTCATGATAAATATGCGTTCAGTGCACACACTGAAGAGTTAGGGGGCGATGAACCCAACTGCATAAATAATCATGTAAATCTTCCAAGTAATGACAAAGATGCATTAAATAGCTTCGATGTAACATGTGAAGATTGCCGAGATGTGAATGGGAACCAGATGGAAGATATTTTCTCGAGTAACGACATCCTTGTTAAGGACATTGAAGAGATAAAAATGAACAAAATGTTTTTTGAAGAAATTTGCATATTCAGAATCCATGAAAAGAATGACGAGAATAGTGAAAGTAGTGGCAGGAAGGAACAAAAGAACAACCCATTTGAGTACCACTTGGAAGGACATGGCGCAAGAATTTTGCATCACAAACATAGCATCCAGGATGTTGATATAACAAAATTAGTATTAAACAAAAATTGCTATGAACAAATAAACCATGAAGTTCAAAATTTGATGAAGGAAGAAGACACATACGAAATAGAAATGAATGTTGGGTTGGTTTTTAGAAAATATATTTCTATCGTGATAAATTTAGCATGCAATTACTTACTTATTAAGAAAAATGAAAAGAACATAATAACATGCATACCGTATAGCAACATTTTAGAAGTTAGTATAATCAAGAGAAGCAAGAAAAAGAAAGATAGATACTTATTCAAATTAGTATACGTTTTTAAAAAGAAGGAACAGTATGAAAAAAATGTTACGTTACTGTTTCGATCGAACAGAATGGAAGTATTTGAAAAGATTAACAGTAAAGTAGAACCCAATTCAGTAGAAAGAAAGGACCCCAGATGTAAAGAGTACCTAGATATAGAATCTGTTTATAGCTACATGGTAGAAAAGCACAAAAAAGCATATCTATTATATTTGAAGCATTTGCTACATATAACAGAAAGGGTGTGTAGAAGACACATTTTAAAATATGCCTTTATTGAATTAAAAAAAAAATGTGATCATGAAAAAAAAATTCAACAAATGAAGAAAGAACGAGATAAAGCAGTGCAGAATGTAGCAGATAAGTTAGATTTTTGGATGAAGAAAAGATTGCAAACTTATTTTAATGTACTCGTTATAAAAAGTTACGAAACTAGTTTTATAAATTATCAGGTGAAAACAAATAATATGTTATTTAATATGCTTGTAAAGGAAAAAAGTTCTTATCAAGAGATTGTAGAAAGACAGAGTTTTCTACTATTATTTCATGTATTGTCAAATATGTATAAAAGAAAAATGAGCAAATATTTCCGATGTTTTGTAAATAACAATAGAACTTTGAGTAGGAGGAAAAATGCTGTTTGTTATTCACTAACTCGTGTGAATGGTATTATGTTAAATTATGAAAGAAGAATAAAATGTCATGTCATCTCAAAGTTAAAATTTAACTATGATTATGTAACATATTTTGTTTTCGTCATGTATAAGATATATATGCGTCGAGTTTTCCTTGGCTACATACATCTGAGGGATAACAAAAATGGAAAAAAAATTGTCATCGAGAAAAGTGTGTACAAAATGATTAAGGTCTTATCCAAAATGGTAGAAAGTCAAAAGTTTTACGCTTTTTTAAAATTACAGAAATATATTTTTCACGAAATGGATAGAAAAAATAAGCTTATCTGTAACCGTTTAATGTATACAAATAATGAACTGTGCCAGAATTTGGACAAAGTAGCAATTGAAAAGGGCATTAACAAAGTTGAGAGCTTTTACAAATTTAAAATGAAAGAATATTTATTAAAATATTTTTATATATTAAAAGGTCCACAAGCAGCAAATATCATACAATTCAAAAATCGTTCCCTAAAATATTGTGGAATCTTTTCATTCATTTTAAATAAAATAATCCAAAAGAAAGTACAAGACTTGTTCTTCATATTTGTTTTGAAATGTTATCAAACTAATAATAAAAACAGGCTCTTATATGCAATGAAGTATTTGAATCAAATTCTAGAAAAGAAAGAAAAAACAAATGTTATGAATCTTTTGCAGATGTATGATACATATCCTTGCTTATTTCAGTACAGACATTTGACGAAAATAGAAATCTTTGCTAAAAGTGTTGATAATTTTATCACCTTTTGTAACAAAAAATTGCTATTAAACTTTTTGTTAAAGTTACAACATTTGAAATATCAAGAACGGTTTATAAAAGCATACAAATGCATTGAAAGCTTATACAAGATAATCAGGATTGTAAATAAGGAAATAAATTCACGTATGCAAATGTCATTTCAACTCCTTTTGCAAAATGCGAACAAAAAAAATAATGATATACTTAAGGAGAAGATATTAAAAACAAACAAAAAAAAAACACAGTTAAAATTTAATTATAAAAAAGCACTCTCTTCTCCAGCACCATTTTTGGACAGCAAAAAGGAGTGCCTCTTCTACCACCTTGACCTTCCACTTCCATCTACTTCCGATTCGCTGAGTCTTTTCAAGCGTTACCCCTATCTTTTTTACAACTCTGATATATCTCCCGAGCGCACCACAATGGCCGGTATGTACTCTTTCAAGTGGTTCAAATGGGAGAACTATGAAAAACGAGAGGGTCCCTTCCCTCTGTCTGGTTGCCTCTCTGCCTGTCGTCCTGTGTATATAACTACATACCTGTCTATTTAGTTATCTATTTAGCTATCTATTTAGCTATATATTTAGTTATCTATTTAGTTATCTATTTAGCTATCTATTTAGTTATCAATTTATATATCTATTTAGTTATCAATTTATCTATTTATTTACTTATCTATTTAGCTATCTATTTAGTTATCAATTTATCTATTTATTTACTTATCTATTTACCTATCCATGTCTTGTCTGAGATGGTGGCCCTTCGTTTCCATTCTCTTCCATTCGCAGCTTCTTAACTGCATAATAGCCATGTGTTTACATGCCATTATTACACATTATTCCATTACCCTTACCCTCCCCCATCTCAACTCAGATGACAACTTTTCACTGACCTCAAACGACAATGGGTCCAACATTTTTTCCTACGACTATGAAGGTAAGCCTGAATGCACATTCCTCTACTCCATCCCAACACTGCATGCACGCACGAGAGAAGATGCATGGGCAGATGCATGAGAAGTGGATGTGAAGTGGATGAACAGATGCATGCACATATACACGCTCCCATTTCACCTCCCCCGTTGCAGACATGGACAAGATTAAACGGAAAATTTGCGATTTTAATAACCGAATGAGTAACGTCAAATTGTAGCAGTATATTCTCTGTGTGTATGAAGAAGAAAAGGGGAGACGATGATAATGTTTTTGATTCTTTCATTACAAACCCAGTGAATCGATGCATTTTGTATGTTGTCCGAGTGGTTGTTTAGTGCAATTTTCGCTGAAATTGGATGTAAGTTGACAGAAACAAACATTCCCTTGATCTATTCGTTTGTCAGTTCATATTTCTTTCCACATTTCTAATTATTTATCCGCTTAATTGTCGATGCAACTGTCTATTCCTTCCCATCTCTTTTTTTTTTTTTTTTTTTTCTTTTTTGTGTACTTATTCGATACATTCCCACGTATTCATACATTTGTCTTTATTTTTGAAGTTCAGTTTTGTAACACCTCCAATGTTTGCACCTTCACTTTACATTTGATTGATCTCGTCTCATAACTACCCATGTCTCCTGCTTCATATATTATTACAAAAAATTCAAACTCATTAAAAATGTTTGGTAAGCAGAGGGGAATGGGTAAAAGTTTTACAGTCCAAGACTAGTCATTCTTCATCTGCCACGATTGATTATTAATTAGTGCTTATTAGTTAGTGCTTATTAGTTAGTGCTTATTAGTTAGTGCTTATTAGTTAGTGCTTATTAGTTAGTGCTTATTAGTTAGTGCTTATTAGTTAGTGCTTATTAGTTAGTGCTTATTAGTTAGTGCTTATTAATTACTACTTATTTATTACTACTTATTAATTAGTGCTTATTAATTACTACTTATTAATTACTACTTATTGGTTAATACTTATTAATTGCTACTTATTGATTATTACTTTTTTTTTTTTTTTTTTTCTTCCCTTTTGACAACCCGATAATTTGCTCCTGCAAATGTACATTTATACATATACATGTACGATAAAAACTATTTTTACCTGATCATGAAGAGGAAAACTAGTTCTATATACCCTCCTTCAGAACATCTCATCATTTCGGACGTCATCATAAAAAAAAAAAAAAAAAAAATATTTTTTACGGCTCTTATGAGGGGTAAGAGGGAAAGAAGTTGTGTCCACATAGGTTCGTGATGAAAACAAGAAAAATCACTTGGTCCATCCACTTCACCACCTTCCCAAGAAAAAAAAAAATCTCTTGTACGCATTCCATAGGTTCGCCAATAAGAAATAAAACGTAGCACATTGCTCGTTCTGGAAGGAAAATATTGAGAAGTTTACTTAAAAGGTGTATAACAACATTTCCTCTCTATATATCTTCATCACTTCTCCATTTCATCACTTCTCCATTTCATCACTTCTCCATTTCATCACTTCTTCATTTCATCACTTCTTCATTTCATCACTTCTTCATTTCATCACTTCTCCGTTTCATCATTTCACTATTCCTCATTCAGAAAACACGATCCATTCAAGGGTTCCGCACGAAGGAAGCCCCCCACCCCTCCTCTGATGACATTTACCTCATGTGTTATTCACCCTTGGGACGGTGGATGGGCACCTGAGTGTAAATTTCGTGTTAGGATCGAAACTTATCTTTCAATACAGCGTTTTTTTCCCTCAAAATACCTCCCTTTAATGCTCCTTTAACCAAGTCCATCAGCAAATGCAACCGCTTCCACAAGCGCAACCACGTTGGAGCAAAACTTAGAAAAAGTTTACGTCAAATGAATTTCCACAAGAACACTTTGAAGAAATGTTTTGAATATTTTCAATGATGAATTTCTTTGAAATGAGATTATTTGTGTAATGTATTCTGGAGTTCCTCAAAATTTCAGCAGCCTGCTTGTCAATTATTACAATACATTCTTTATCATATACAATTAAATCTTTTTCTTTTATATTATTTTTATCCATTAATGAAAAAGAGTACTGAAAACCAGAACATCCACCAGCTTCTACAGATACTTTTAAAGCCTTGGAATTTTTATATTTCAAATTCACTTGTTTCATTTTATTTATAGCATCCTGAGTTAGTTCTATAATTTCGTTCTTATCACACTTTTGATTATTTCCATTCATAGGAGTTGAAGAAAATACTACCTTCATGAATGAGTTCTGAAATTTGGGTGAACAATAACATGATGGTCCAACTTTCCCCTTTAAGAAGCGAAACATTTTTTTTTTTTTTTTTTCAACTATTCTGTCTGTTCAGTTCTATTTGATTCGTATGCATATATAATATTCATAAAGATATGCCGATTTATGAATACATTTATAAGTGTGTGAATGTATAACGGTTGAGAATATCCAATGGATTTATCTGCTATGCATGTGCATGTGGTATCTTATGTTTTCTCTTTTCTTCTACTGCTTTATGTAGAGATATATACACACACACATATATATATGTGTTTATATATGTGTGTATATATGTGTATATATTATGTCAACTGTAGTCGTAACAACAGTGGGGGTACCCTCATTTGGTTGTGCCCAGTGTTCAATTTTAAAATGTTTCTCCCTAATTTGTTGTGTCTCTACATTCCTCAGTGTCCAAATTGAAGCATAGCAAAATGAAATGGCTTTTCCAAAATGTGTGCATCAGAAGTGTGATTTCAACACTTCGTGTTGTTGTAATGAATAATCTGGTTACAGAGACTTCGAAGGGGAATGTAGGTCGGATCTGTACTTACCCTTCCCTTTCCTGTGAATGTACATTCTTAAAGGGTGGAACTGTGGGCGTGGGGTTGTTATTGTTTATGAATCCTTGCGGAAAAGCACTTACATAGCATGGCACATGTGCATATGTATAAAGATATGTATATACATATGTACCTATACAGACACTTCCCGTGAGTAGCAATTTTTGCAAATTAATTTTATGGTGAAAACTTTTACAGGAAAAAAGTAAAACTCATTTGATGAGAAGAGTACAGATTTTCTCACAAATGTTTTTACAACATCCTGGTACGTTTTTTCTGCGTATTTTTCTTTTCGTGCAAAATTAAAAGGAGAAAAAAAAAGAAAAGAAAAAATAAAAAAATTCCTTGTAGGAACACTGTCACATTGAATAAGTTTCCACAAATTGGGTGAAAAGCAAAAAAGGGAAAAAAAAAAAAAAAAAAAAAAAAACACCGAATTTATGTTTCCCACGGTTTTACCTTGTAAATGCGAAAAAGCTTCTTTTTTTTTTCTCTCTTTTTTTGAAACCTCCTTTGAGGGTCCATAAAAGTAACAACGCAAAAATATAAATTCACTACTTTTGATTGACAAAGGTTTTTTTAATGGCTTTCATATTTATACACGAAAGAGATGGCAAAACTGTGCTCGTACAAATTGTACATATTTATGTTCAAGCAACATATTTTGGGAGAAAGAAAAATGGAGAAAAATTCGGATAAGTTAAAAAGCTCTATTTGATTAGGCTGAGGCATGCATGTGTCCAGGTTAAGTTAGAAGTAAAAACCTTTCCGTTGCCGCCTTAATTTAAGACAACAGAACAAGGGGGAAAACCATGAGTACATATATGTGTACATATACATACGCATACACATGTATGTATGTACGTAAGTATATAATATATGTAAACACATGTACACGCGTGATGAACGAATTATAAGTCTATTAAACAATATCACAAATCGTGTTGTGAGATTTAGTCAGTTAATGTTATTTGTATATAAAACATCTCAAGTGACGCACCCAAATAGCGGGAGGGGAAAAAAACAAGAACAAAAAAAAAAAAAAAAAAAAAAAAAAAAAAAAAAAAAAAAAAAAAAAAAAAAAAAAAAAAAAAAAAGTAAAAACAGACAATATAATTATCAAAAAAAA